TTGCTATTGCTGCTTCTGTTTGGTTTGCAAAGTCTGGTTTTGAGGATAGACAATCTCAAAGACAGACATTGAGATGTTTTGTTGCATGTCGCATTTTGCTAATGAGATTTCTGCAGGGATTTGGTATTTTACTGTTCTCTAAAGTCAATTTTTGAGGATAGATAATCTGAGAGACAGACATTGAGCTGTTTTGAAACCACCACCGAGGACTCCCAAATAGCCGCTCCTACTTCATCTGCGATGCTGTGCAATGAAATGTGGGTAGTAAGGCGTGCTTCTGGAGTTGTGTTTGGGGTTGTTGTGGGTTTTTATTTCCGGCTGATTCGCAACCTGTTTTGGAGTTACTGAGCAGTGAGTTGAGAGATAGACTTATTCAGAGCCATGGCGTTTAGTAGGATTTCCACGTCAAAGGATTGCGATGCTAAGTTCGGGCGTTGTGAGTACGGGTGATGATGTGTGTGGTTGGTGGAGGCATCTTCTGGGATGTTGGGCGCTGGTATGGGTCATAACTTTGAGGTATTTGAATGTCGGTCGAGTTGTGCGATTATCGTTGTCTGAATTGTCGAAGATGAGGATGGGTATTGTTGTGTAGACTTTCGAATCAGAGCTTTTGGAGCCTTGGAAGGATCGAGTTACTGTTACATCATATACTTCCCATTCCTATCTTTCTCGTCATATGTGAGATTTCATTACTAGGCAAACTCAGCAGCCTTTCATCAAGTGCATGATTCAAGTTAGGACAGACATTCAGTTACTACACGTCTTTCCTTCAATCTGCTCCTCCGCGCCAGTCTGAAATGAGAGTTTACGACCATATCTTAATTCTCATTTCTCAGGGCCAGTACCTCTGCTCGGAGTCCTGCTGCTTGTATCTACGGTGCACAGTTTTCGGAATCAATATTATCTTCCTTTTTGGGGGGTATGGAGTGCACAGATCCTCTACCATAAAGGCTGAAGATCATCTCGAGTTCACCTGCCTCAGCATCCCAGGTGAGATCTCGCCCCTCCGTCTCCCTCTGATAGCATATATACTTCAATCCATTTCGGTGCTGGGCATCCCTGGCCGTTTTGCGTACAGTCACACAGTGTGATGTGCCATAAGGTCTACTGTATATAATACCACATACTTGTGTGAAGCGATCTAAGCAACTGTGAATTCGTGGAATATTGAACCGCAGGAGGTAAGGTCCTTTCGTTACTCCTTGGCGCTCTAGCATGTCGTATATATCGCCAATTCCGCAGCCTTCATTTGCTTCGTAGAGACCCTCTCTTTGTACGTTGATGGCGAACTGGTCAGCGGTCAGACCCTGGAGATATGCCATCGTAACGAAGACACACTTGTTTTCGAAATCTCGCGGATTGTAGGTTGAGCTTCCGAAGAGGCCGATGCTGTCGAGAGCCAAGCCGAAGTTAGACATTTTGTGCTTCTTTGAATGTGATTGATTGAATTTAGTTGCTGTAATTGTTAATGCGATGATGAATGATGCTGTGATTGATGAGGCGAAAGTTTGGCATCTGAGGTCGCCCTTTATATGATATGCGAGAACAATGGTGCTTCAAGTATTCTTCGAAAAAGCATCACGAAAAACCCAAGGCATCAGACATTTCCAGCTGTCTTCTTTCACAATCTTCCTTCTGTCGTAGTAAGACCTGTTTCTGAACTCCAATGAAACGTCCCAGAACCAGACAATGACTTGGTGAAAGTTTTCGTAGATCGACCACCTTTAATGGTCTTCTGTCAAGTTATCTCACGCTGTATCGTCTCAAGAGGGACAACTTCCGAACTCTTCAGAGTCACGAAACCCAGGCGCTCATACACATTCCCTCCCAAAGCTTCAAAACCAACCCCTCCATATTTTCCTTGCTTCGTAACAAGAACAGAAACAAAACTTCTTCTGCCTCCGAAGGAATTTTCTCTTTGGTATCAGGCAATACTTCACCAAATACTTCTAGTGTCAGGTTAGTCTTGATGGGAATAAAAGGCACCATGCGCAATGGAGGGAACATGCTGAATCAGTCCGGTCCGCGGTGCGGGTGCAGAAACGGTTCAGCGGAAGTATATAATTTAATACCTCAGTTGAGTTTCTATTCAAAGGCTCAAATCATCGTACTGCTTCTCACGTAAATAGCCATCGTTTTCCTAAAACATGGCGCACTAGTCGGCAGTCCTGAGACTCGTATATGGAAGTATTTTGCAACCTCTTCGTCGCTTAATCTCGGTTCAGAGACTTACAGAGCAGCTTTCCAGTGCGACAGATCTCGAGGACTTCTCCATCGACATCCTGAGAGCCATTCGCTCGTAGAGTCTTCGTAGCTAATCAACTGAAGAAGAATCTCGCACCACCAACAGCCTTGCGATGATTGTGTTTCAAGACGTTCTAAAGTCGTCTTGTAGCTGACGTCCAAGATGATGTGAGGAAAACTCCGACAAGACCATTGATTCTTGCCCCAAGGCGTCACCTGACCGCTCGTCAAAGAGTGCTTCGACTTGGCTCAGATTGCCGACTTCGGATCTAGCCTGAGATCCTCCTCCAAAGAGTTGCGCATTATCTGGGAATGAAATGACGACAGCTTCTAGGAAAGAATACAAACAAAACAATGACCGCTCATGGCTAAGTGGAAAGTATGTTGAAGACACGATTCGAACCCAGTTGTGAAAGGCTCTCGGTGATCCCATGTTCAGCCGCAAGCATGGCTTGCAGTTTCATGTCCGAATTTGGAGGTCGGCTCACGTACGTAGCCTGCAAGACAAAGAGGATTCGCTGTAGATGCTCTGTAAGTGAGTTCTTTGGCGTTTGATCATAAAGTACATGCCAATTACGAGAAGTGTTCTGCAAGATCGAATGCTCGAGATCTTGACAGCTCTTCCCGGGCACATGCCTAGGTACGTATGAAAATACTTAGGTAAGCATTCATTAGGCTTTCACACCCTTCTAGACATTGACATCATGAGTAGCATTGACATGTTCTGTTACATGAAACTAAGGATGCGATCATTGAGACCGTAGACCTTTCACAAGTTCCAATACTGGTGCCCACTTAGTCACCAGTCCGTCACTCCATATTATTTCAGCATAGTAGCTACAAAACATTACAACATAAAATTAAGGGCCTCGAGAACAAGCTTCCCTGAGCACAAATGGCCGCAGTGTCTCAAGGGAGTCGTCGACGATTATATCAACTTGCTTGCCTCGCTCTATTCGCACCGTCTTCTCCCCGCTACTAATCGTGAGGACCGTGATGTCGCACTTTTTAGAAAAGGATCCCTTTTTATTCTTAAAACAATTCAATTGTGTGTGAAAGTGCTGTTGACTAGCTTTAGTCTGCCCAAAAGCAACCAATCACTCTTCAGACAAGATTTATCTTTGTGCAATTGTCATGCATATGACGCTTGGAGAAGGGTTGTTGGTGAAGAAAAAAATTCTTCCAAATAGTGTATCATCCAATCTCAACATATAATGAAGTAAGTGAACAGCTAGCAAGCTTTTGTGATGAGATGCAAGTGTAATGTTCTGCGTAGTGTGTTCAAACTAGACGTAGTGCCCGCTGTCTTTTCGCGCACTAGACCCCTAATGCTCGCTCGCTTCCCTCTCTCTTCAGACAAATGGTACCGAGTGATAGTGCAGTTTCCAGCTCCAGCACCACACAAGAATATAAAATCTCGCCTTGCTCACCGAAAATCACTCCTTTCATTCTTGCAATTAACATATCTCACCCGGTGTCAAAACCTCCTCATTCGCTGCCGAAACAAAGAAAGGCATTACAGATACAAACATGCGTCTCACACTCCTCAGCAAGGGTGCCATCATCGGCCTAGCCGCAGCAGCACCACTGATCTTTCGCAATAAGGATGTCACTGGCATCGGAAGGGCAACGAACGAGCTTCCTCCTGCATATCAAATTCCCGCTCAAGTCGAAATCCTGAACAAACGCGACTGCACGCAAAAGGTAGAATTCAAACAGGAGAGGAAGAAAGTCGAGAAGTGCGCAGACATTTTCTACGACCTGGGTCTAAACATGAAGCACAACGGCAACCCACCTAACAATGCTCATCGGACCTGGTTTGATGTAGAAGCTCCCATGGATGTTGAACCCTCTTCCCATAAATTTATCGAGATCAGAGATTGTTTGAAATGTGCAGACTCTTCTGTTCTACGGGAATGGACCAACAAGTTTCTTCCACAGGATTACATCGATCGTGTCCATGCGATGAACGATGAGGAGCTCCTGAAAGCTGCGGCTGAGTTGACGCCGAGCGACATTCAGAACTGGGTTTGGAATTCCAGAGACGTGTGGACCCGAGATTTGGCTGTGGACTGCAACGGAATTGATGCTCACTGCCGTATCAAGCATATAAATGGGACAACATTTCCCTCTCACCGACAACACAAGAATCCGACGCACGAAGAGCACACTCCTCACCAACTCAAGAAACCTGAACTCAAGCCTCACTTCACCAACCAAACCAAGCATGAGCCTGCAGTGCATTATCTTCTGAAGCCAGGCTCTAAGCCCCACTACCTCAACCATACTACACACGCAGACCATGAGTCGAAGATCAAGCACCTCAACCGCCTCCACTCTCGTTCCAACGTTACTGCGTTCGGCAACATGACTGCCACCTCCAATATGACCGAAGTCTCCAGCAAGACCGAATGTGCACCATACGTGAGACAGTTTCTCCATAATCTCGTTCACCTAGCTATGAGCCTGGCGACTCGGAACGCGACCGAAGAAGACGCCCAACTCATTGCCGTAAAGTTCGAAGAGATTGTACATAAGTACGCCACCGCTAGGGACGGACTCGCTTCTAGTAATGGAACTTCCAACGAGCACCTGGATGTTGCAGGCATCACTGATGTATCTAACAACATGGAAGGAGCTGAGACCAATGAGGATGATGAAGACGATGACGAAGAGGAGGCTGAGGATGAGGGCAAAGACGATGTCTCTAGTTCGGTCATGTGGAATCGCCGCATCATTGAAAACGCGACGAAGCTGCTTGGAGCTTTGAAGGAAGGCCTGGATCAGATCGACAGCACTGAGGTTGCTGAAGATGGCAAGACTGATCTCCCTACCTCCTTGTGGGGCAAAGAGCTGATGAAGATGTTACTTTCGAAGAAGGCCCAATATCAAACCAACGACACCGAGGTTGCTGCTCCTATCACTGACCAGACTTCTAAGAAGTTACCTGGTGCATTGCCCTCTGAGGTCATTGCCAACCTCACTCGCAATCATGCTTAGAGTAGTTCACGAAAACTGTTTGCCGATATCCGACCTGAGGTTTTCATCATTAAGATTTGTTGGCTTGCTTGATTACAACTTCATCAGGAGCCTACTTCAACTAATTGGATTCTTGGTGATTTTGATTCGGCGTTCTTAGAGCGTGGCACGCCCGTGGACAATGTGTTTCAAGTCAACATTGTCTCTTTAAGCACACTGACTGCAATTGGTGTTGGGCGTAAGGTTCTTGTCGTGGTATTTGCATGGCTGAGGATGTTGTGCTTCGACCGTTGAGAGTACCGTGTAAACAATTGTTGATTGGGAGAAAGGTTAGGCGTGTATGGTACTGTATAGGGATCTATTGTTGGTCAGCTGTTAATTCAGGAAGGGGCGGATATTTGTGTATAAATAGCCATAATCGTACCAAATGATTGCATCAACTTGGGAGTTTTAACCTGTTTTTGGAGCCATTTTGTACTTCCCAAATCTTTCTGGAAGACGATGATACTCAACTTGTGGGTTTCTTAGTACACTCCGAGGAAAAGCTAAAATTAAAGTGAACGCTAAGAATGGGGTGGATAAGCACTAACGAATCATACTTCACATGATGCTTCTATGCTAAAGTGACTCATGAATTGCAGGAGACACACAGAAGAGCTAAGTAGCAGACCTGATTCAATTGATAAGCTTTCGTTTCGAAATCTCGTTCTATAGTCTCTAGACGTGATGTCTTCTTCTCGATTACCACCACAGCTAGGATGGATTGGTGCGTAATGACTGCTATGTCCGTAGAATTGTACGCTGATGTTTTAGGTCTTGGATCAATGGGAATTGGCATGGCCAAGAACTTGCAGAAGCATCTCAAATCCACAGGTGCTCCTGCATTATGTTTCACTAATCGTACAATGTCTCGCGGCGCATCTCTAGAAGAACTTGGAGGCGAACCATACCAGTCCGTTGTCGAAGTAATTCAGAACTCGGATATCGTCTTTACATCGGTATGTATTTTTGTAGAGATGAGTACAGCCACTTAACAGCGCCACAGCTTAGCGACGACTCTGCCTTGGAGACGATTGTGACGCAAGTGCTTGCTGCTGGGAATCTAAAGAACAAGATCGTGGTTGACACATCTACCGTTCATCCTGACAGCACAGTCGAAGCATCTTCTCGTCTGAGCGAAGCTGGAGCACTCTTTGCAGCAGGTGAGTCATGTGACAACCCAAATAAGCTCGTCTGTACTGAATTGGAACAGCTCCTGTCTTTGGTGCATCCCCTGTTGCAGAGGTTGGGCAACTGTTGTTTATTGTTGCTGGGCCTGCAGCAGCTACGAGCGCTATCGAGCCATATCTCAAAGGCGTGATGGGACGAGGGGTGATCAGCCTTGGAGAAGACGTTTCGAAAGCAAGCTTGATGAAAACCTCAGGGTAGGACAAACTATCCTAAAATTCTGATCTTTCAGCTGAATCTATTAGAAACTTTATCACGGCCGCAATGATGGAAATAATCGCAGAAGCCCACGTATTCGCAGAAAAGACAGGGTTAGGAAGCAAAGCTCTTGAGGCATTGATCGAACAACAATACGGACCACTGGCTTATACAATGTCCAAGAGGCTCACTACAGGGCGCATATGCGCGTACTCTTCGGTATGCACAAGGTTGAATTAGACTAATCATGACTAGGAGTACAACCATGGTCAGACTTGAACCTTGCCATCAAAGATGTCGGACACGGCATCAATTGTGCTCAGAGCGCAGGAGCAAGACTGAAAGTAGGGGAGATAGCGTTAGGACATCTTGAAGAAGCAAAGAAGTATTCTGAAGGTCAAGAACAACGGCCATTGTACTCGTCTTCATTGTATGGCATCATCCGGCAAGATGCAGGACTAGATTTTGAATCGGAATTCGTGGAAGCAAGAGACGACAAGGCAACTAAATAGAGCTTCTGAAAAATGGATAGGAAATCAATAGGTTCTGAGATTATTTGAATGCTCAATATGAGAAAGACATCCCGCATCAGCTCAAGGTATCAAGGTTTCAATATTAGCTTAGCGTGCTTTTAGCCAGTTTATCTATCGGCACCCCATTGGCATCGGTTTTAATTGGCTGAAACTGTTCACCGCCTTCCCGCACTGCCAAAATCTAATCGTGAATTTCTCAAAAGTTCACGAACTTTTTTTCGACAGAAGCACTGAAGGTCTTGATCGTTTCCTACCAGCACAATGGATATCCACCGCTGCAGATTCGTGCCCTACCCTCCATCGACAATCAACGCGCTTGCCTTCTCCCACTCGCACATTTCGAAAGATCAGAAAACTGCCCCTCCAAGATTAGCAGTCGGACGCGCAAATGGAGACATCGAAATTTGGAATCCGCTGAAGGGCTTGTGGTTACAGGAAACCATTATTCGAGGAGGAAAAGATCGCAGTATTGATGGCCTTGTATGGACTCAAGATCCAAATGAAGACGTCGAAGGAAGAACGATTATTGGGAAATCAAGACTTTTCAGTATAGGATACACAACTACGGTCACAGAGTGGAATTTGGAGACGGGTCGACCACTTCGCAATGCCAGTGGCAATCATGGAGAGATATGGTGTATTGCTGCCCAGCCTGCCTTACTTCCTGCAGAAGAGGAAGACATTGGCAGCAGCGCACAGTGGACGGGGCAAAGTCTGATAGCTGGCTGCACGGATGGAGCATTAGTACTATACTCGACCAAAGACGATGATCTACAGCTTCAGAAAGTCCTCATTCGCCCATCTTCGAAGAAAGCAAAGATCATTAGTGTCGCATTCCAAGACAGGAATATTGTGGTTGCTGGTTGCACAGATAGCACGATTCGTATATTCGATATCCGAACGGGTGCATTGTTGCGAAATATGACCACTGGTTCAGGGCCCAAAGGAGGACCGAAGGAAATCATTATATGGTGTGTCAAAGTTCTGAAGAGTGGAAATATCGTTTCTGGAGACTCGACTGGAGAGGTCAAGATCTGGGATGGAAAAACATTTACCATGTCGCAAAGGATAAAGTCGCACAAGCAGGACGTGTTGAGTCTTGCTACAAGTCATGATGGTTCAGCAATCTTCAGTGGTGGCATGGATAGAAGAACCATCACCTACAAGCCAGTAGGTAAGGGCAAGCAAAGATGGGCAGAAGTGGCACATCGCAGATTTCACAATCACGATGTCAAGACTATGGCAAGCTTCGAAGGCCTCGGCATGAGCGTTTTTGTATCTGGAGGTAGGAGCTACAACTTCACATACTTGAACATGGCTAACAATCATAGGTCCTGACGCATCTCCCATCGTGGTTCCTCTCGGCAAATTCGGATTCGAGCACCAAAGAGCATTGCCATTCCTTGCCCAAGAGCCAATTATACGAAGCGCACCAAGCAAGAGGCTGATGGCGAGTTGGTGGGACAGAGAAGTTCATATATGGCGAATGAACAAGCAGTCGAAAGCTGTAACAACCGAAGAGAGTGAAGATGAAGCAGAGGTGAAGGGCCGTAAGTTGGTCGCCAAAATGCTTATAAAAGGAGAGGCGAATATCACTTCTACAGCTTTAAGCGCGGACGGCAATCTAGTCACTGTAGCCACCACGACAGATCTCAAGATGTTTCTTCTACGTAGTAAGAAACCAGAAGACGGCGAGGGTTTGAGGGTCTCGAAAGTTGTTGTTCCTGCAAGCATCGCTTCTGGAGCCAGACTTGTCCAATTTTCACCTGACGGAAAATGGCTCTGCATTATTCGTCCAGACAGTCATATCCTGCTCGTTAGAATAACGAGTGAGGCCACATCAGTCACTGTCCACTCACAAGCCTCCAAGCCTTCACGACTTGATCGCCGCATCGAGAAGAATATTCTTCTTGGCGGCCTTGGCACTTACGACAGAACAATCTCGCAGGTTACATTCTCTTCAGACAGTCGGATCCTCGCCATCAGCGATATCGCTGGTTACATTGATACGTTCGTACTTTCAGGAAACGAGGATCTTACTTTACCGATACCCGAGGACGAGGCAGACGCCGCGTCATCAGATTCTTCAGATCCTGAATCAGATTCAGATGAAGAAGAGGAGTCCAAAACTAGGCTCATCTTCGGTCAGCATTGGACACGCAATCCAGCTGCATCGTTACTCCCGAAGCTACCTGCTGCACCTGTGGTGCTCTCATTTCGGCCCGGCACCAACGACGCACAAAAGCCTTTGAGTAATGGTGTGTCACCGCATCCTACCAGAAACAATCCGCACCCTGTGCCACACGACCTGCCCGAAGGAGAGGACCGCTTGCTCGTGGTTACAGCTACATCTGATGTCTTCGAATTCGAGGTTTTGAAGGGTGGACTGAGCGCCTGGTCGCGGCGGAACCCGACTTCTAGCTTCCCGCCTAAGTTCAAAAAATCTCTGGATCAGGTACGAGGCTGCATTTGGGATGTTAAAGATTCGCGAGAGAGAATATGGTTGTACAGCATTAATTCGTTATGGATGTTTGATCTGTCACAAGATTTCCCTCCGGATCCCGCGGGCGCTGGAAGTCGGAAACGGAAGCGGGCAGCTAAGGAACATCCATCTGGGGCAGGAGGTCACGTTGAGGATCATCAGCTAAACACTGGTATTTCCAGGAAGATGCAGAAACGAGATCCAGACGAGGTTGAGATTGAGGAGGTGGAAATGCTTGTGAAGGATGATGATGCGATGGATGTTGATGAGGATGTCGATGATGTCTCTACTCTCCAGCGTCTGATTTATGGTGATACAGAGACCGAAGATGCCGTCAAGGGTACAAAGTCTCGCTCTTGGCACTGGAAGACCTTCAAATATAGACCTATTCTAGGTATCGTGGAGATAGGCGAAGGCGATGAATTTGGACCCGAGGTAGCTTTGGTCGAAAGGCCGATCTGGGAAGCGGATCTACCGCCGAGATATTATGGTGAGCAGGAGTGGAAGGATAAAGAGATGGCGGCCATGTGATGTACGTTTGCCTATATGGGAGTCTCTGTGTGCATTAGCTGGAGTTTGGGTGGTGAGATACTGGGCAAGGAAAAGTCTACAGAGCACGAATGTGAATGGAGTATTTCACAATATCTTGGCTGTTCATAATGTCTGTTCTTCCTGTGATGTCTGTTTTACTTGTCAATGTCTGGTTCGGATTTGACATTTATCGGGCTTGCTATATTTCTTACTGCTGTTGGTCATTGTACTCATCCGATGAATCGGCGGAGGAGGAATTAATCAGCTTCATGGCTGTTCACGACAGTAGAAGATCCTCAGCCGACTGCTTTCTTGTTTGCAGAGCCCATCAAGTCCTTGGCGTTACAACCAGGAACTCTTGTTCCATGGGAAGACAATGTCAAGGATATAAGCTCCATCAAAGTGAGAGATTTGAGTGAGAGAAGAATTCCCGATTGCTTGTTTTGATGCTTGCTCTAGAAGTCACAGGAAGGAGTCAAATTTCCCTTGAATGCGCTTCTACAGTCAACAGAAACCAGGTGTTCAAGCACAACCGAGCTTCACCCTCCCTTCCACCCTGTCTATCCTCTGGAAGTCAACTCTCTACATCATGTCAGTCACTTTCTAAGTGCATTTAGTCAGGTAGGAGCGATGGTGAAAGTCATGATGAGTTGTGACTTCGAATCGTATCAAGAAAGGAAGGAAGCAACGCGCTAGTGAGGCCTTGCTTTCCTTCGAACTCCAGCTTCGTTCACGACCACCATTCTCCATCACAGACATTTTAATCTTGACAAACTCCAACTCTGCGCACGATTACCATTCTTTATCACAGACATCAGAATCTCGACAGACAATACCGACGTCTCTGTGCGTACTGCGAAGATGGACAATTACAACGGCGAGTCGTCTCGGTGTCCATATCCTTACAAACAACCAACATCTTCTTTTACAGACGTCGCCAACTTGACCCAACTCATCGACCACTCCATGCGTGCTATTCAAAATACGTCTCTGGGGCATAAGAACCTTCCGAGGCAGCATCCAGAAGGTTCAGGTTCCAGGCGTGGCAGAAAGCAACAACGCAGTACCAACGAGTCTGTTTCTGGACATGATCAGTTGATGATTCCGTTCGACCAGATGGAGATCCGCGATAATACACAAGGTAAAACATAAGTCTTCCGAGAATACATTACATGGGACTGACAATACAGGTTCTGGAGACCAGACTGGTGTCGTCCAACCACCCTCAGGCAACCAGTTAGACAAAGGGAAAGGACATGCTCGGCCACCATGTAAGATCTTTCTCGGCACTTGCAGAACTCAAGCTAATCAATATAGACGCCCCTGAAGCCTCTGCACGCCAGACCTCTCCTCCACCCAAGATTTTTGTTGGTAGACAGCCAATGACTGTTCAAATCGAGTTTCCCATTCATGAGAATGACAAAGTCGACGTATACCATATGGACGGAGTTCCCGTGGAATACGAACAAGAGGAAGCCATACACGTGGGACTCATGAACAATCAACTCTTGAGCTGGGAAGCAACCAAAGACGCTTCCAAAGCAAAGTGGCCAACTGGAACTCTAAGACAGATCCTGCGCGATATGAAAGCAAAGCTCCAGAAAGAAGCGGACGACAAGGTCAGAGACCTTACTGAAACGCTGATGGAAAAGACTCGAAGAGCGGATCTCGACCTACGTCGAGCTGCACTGTTAGCAAGTGAAAGCGAATTGAAAGTCGAGAATTACAAGCTAGAGGTAGAAGAATGGAAGTTTTCATGCAAGAATTTGGAGAAGCAACTACAAAAGCTCTTTAAGATTGTAGAAGATGAGGAGGCAAGCTCGGTATCTCCGCTTGAGTAGCAGCGCGGATGAGTGATGAAGAGTTGGTAAGAGGAGGATAGGCAGCGGTAGGATCACTTCGTGAACGTGGTCGGGGAGCAGGAACACGCTTTACTGAATAGCGTTAAAGCGAGAATCAAACACCAACATGTTAACGTCTAATCCTCCAAGTCCCAACGTGAAGTCTCCAAATCCTGGACATCCTAGGCAGCAAGAAGTGAACCAGAAAATATTAAACCCAAGGCTTAGCATACAACGCCATTTAACCAGAATCCCCAACTCCACAAACAATAACAAAGAAAGCCGGACTCAAAGTCCAGCACTTCGTAACAATACGACTTATCCCAGCTTACATCAACTATATCAACACGAGACCAAGCCAGTCATTCAGCAGCTGAAATCCCACCGATTCAACTCCTTCTTGTGACAAGACTCCCTCCAATCAGATGACTCACATCCACCGCATGCCTGCCTGCGCTCTTTTCATCACCTCGCCACACTAGGTACCTACCGTCCTCCGATCCATCCGCACACACATATCTCTCTCTCGTAACTCGTAAGCAAGTAAGGACAATATTTTCGGCATGACTCGGGATATTCCCACCTTCACCTACACCCTACCACTTTAAGCTACTGTAATCCCATAGAGCAGAACAGCAGAGCAGCAGAGCAGACGCGCGTCTAGCTCTCGTCGTCATTGCTGCTGCTGATCATGACTACTGTCTTACTAAGTCATTGACTTCCTTTCTTCCCTGGGTAAAGCAGTGAGCGGTGTCGGTGGGAGGTATACCGAGACAAATACTATTTGTTGCAGGCTGTATATAGTATATTATGTCCAGAATTCTCTGACTTTTGAGTAAAGTATAAATAATAACAGGAAATGAGTGATGCTCGAAGAAGAGGGGGAATTGTTGGCTGCAAGTGATGAGAGTGATGAGAGTGCAAGGAAGCTAGCTACTTGACATTCCGATTCTCAGATACGAGTTGAGATACACCAAGGCCCGTATCTCGATGATAGCACAGTTAACTCGCAATCATCTCATCAGACGTAACAGTAGTCGGCTTCCCACCGAGTGGTGGAAGATCTCGTTCCCCGATTGTTCATTCGGTGGAGAGGTGAGTACTTAGGAACAGCATGTAACGCGTCACCGTTCAGGGGTAAGTTGCGAGGCACGTGCTTTATACTGCTGATGCTTCGCTTCTTGTTTGTGGACGAGTGAGAAGAAGAAGAGTTAGAAGTAAGCAGAGTAAGGCTAGCCAGGATGAGGAGGAAGCGAGTATAGAGGGGATGTGTAAGAAGCGAGGATAGTAGCGTAGTGTAGAGAGATGTTGAGTGGCGAAAATTATGGAAGGATTGTAGGCAGCAGTGTGATGATCTTTGATACGCGTCTGAGGTGTATGTATGTGTGTGACATTGCGATTATTCGCTGAATTAAATCAAGATTGTTTTGCCACTCGGTCAAATACCATGATACTTTGATGTTGCAGTGCTCAGAGATTTAGAAAGTCTACGAGGCCATGATACGCGAGATAGTGTCAGCCTCAACCACGGATCAGATAATTACAACGAGACAACTTTGTCTTGTCTGTTGGCACTCTGAATTAAGCAGATGTGGAATCTATCCACGTGTACGTCGAACATGTCTTTCCGAGTAATGTGGCTGCCTGTCCTGTATCAACCACATTCGCAAACTCTAAACGCGCGTCAACTCTCAAATCATCTGTCACGACTCAGAGGAACTGTCAAGTGGACGTAAACCAATCTTCATACTCGGGCCGGGTGGACGAATTCGATAGTTGATGCGGCTCAAAGCTCTCATCGGGGCTCTACCCCACTGGGAGACAGACTGACGTGGAGGAAGCACGTGCATTCAATAGATGCACAAGATTGAGCAGTGGAGAACAACGCCCTCGCATCCCCATTCGGCTCGGTGCCGAAACCCCAAAAACCTCGATGCGGCTCATGTGACGAAAACATGCGAGTTGTGGAGAAGGCAATCTTATTTGGCGGAGAAGCACGACTGCGCTTCGGAGATTGCTGGATTGCGAATCTTTGATGCCATCAGCGCCATCTTGGCATTAGTCAGGACGCTTGTGCCGGTAGAGAGAACTTAGGGAGCAAAGAGGCGAGCTGTCAAAACGCAATCGTCGTCGGCGGGCCAGATCTCGGGTTCTCTCTTCCTTTTGCCTCTTACGATTCATTCTTCGTCTGACTTCAGAAACAGATGACGCCAAGACGAAACAATCTCTCAAACCTTACCTTAACTCTAAAATATGCAGATTTCCTTGGGACAGAATGCAGAAACACGGACCCGGAAGAATTGGAATCTCAGGTAGATGATCAAGCTTTGTGTCTGTTTGATGTTCAGTCCTCGCTTAGCGTTTAAATGTGCGCTAGGCCTTATTGGTGACACTGCCAAGACCCTGATTGCGCGTCCTCGTACGCAGAACCCGGCGATGGATTTGTGAGGGAGCAGATGGGCAATCGTTTACATGTTTCCGACGTGCACACTGCACAATGATTAATTGTAAATTGGAATGGAAATGATATTCTCTTGGCAGTGGGTATAGTCGTCGTCTTTAATACTCGCTCTTGACGTCTCTCTGTCTGCGAGAGGGAGGTCATTGGGAATTTGATATACGTTTTGGCTTCACGTAAACCCACCGGCTGACCTCGAGTCGCGGGCCACTGGCAGCAGGAAACCTTCGGCTCTGTACGAAGGGTCGACACGGGTGGCCAGACTGCGTAACGCAGTGAGGTTTGTCTTTGGCTTGCGTATCAAAACTCTTGCCTATGGGGGGCAAATCGACGTGATCCAGCAGCACTTGTCAGCAGAGGGAACGCAGAAGAAATGGAGTCCTGGAACTGTCGGGGGCTGGGCGCATTACTTTAATCCTCACGGCAGCTCTGTGATCCGAATGATCTGTATCTTGATCGACCTTGAGCTTCGTGGCCCTTTTCCAGGTGTGAGGCTCAGAGACTGGTCTGCGCCCCAAACGGCTCCTGTTGCAGATTCTCACAGACTTACCCCATACCTCCTCGACCAGCCTAAAACAAGCCGGCAGGAAACACACACGTGATAGAGAAAGTCGAGAATTCCAATCTTCGAACAAGGCTGCAACACAGAAACGACGATTGCTGGGGTTCACTTGGCCCATTCCATCCCCGAAGGTTGAGAAATTCCATCAATATCGACGTCAATATACGGCTCGTCTGACACGGTGATTGGATCGACACCACGACGTATCCAGTCTTCCTCACCGTCATACCAGATCATTCCTCTCGGCGACACTCTCTTTTGATTGTGCCAAGCGGAGGCAGACTCCACAGATTAGCAGAACGAGAGGCCTGCGTCGATATTCAGAAGAGGAGGAAGAAGAAGAAGGACCACTTGTCAGAGAAGTCTACATCAACCACCAGAAGCAATTATCATCGTCTCCAACTAGAGATATCTCGAATTAGTAATTGAGAACCAGATCGACAGTGATTGGACGTCACCAGGGTCCCGTTCTAAACCAGGCCATTCAAAATAGCTGCTCAGACCCATATAAAGGAAAAGCGCCTCAACGGTCAGGCTCGCGCGCCTTTGCCCTGCCATTTCGGAGGTGAACTTTGGATTTTGGAGCTGACGACGACAAGACTGGGGCCCTTGACGCCCGTCGAATCACCATCCTCTATCTGCAGACCCACTACGGCGCTGCAGCCACTCAGCGGTGCTCACCCGCGGTGAAAATCTTCCTAGCGTGAAGTGGAGTGGATTAGGTGTTGAGGGACTGTCCTACCCACGCGTCTGCGCCCATCGCCCATCATCCACATCCACATCCACATCCACATCCGGGTCCTGGCCTGGCTTTCGTGTCTGACGGAACAGCGAGCGAGCAGCACGCACGACGACGACTCCGAATCCTAATCTTCTTCCCGCACCACGCACTCTTTCTTACTCGACTTCTTTAAACACTATTGCTCACACACGTACCCGACACATCGATACCACCTATACCAAGACCTCGTCGTCGCACCTCACGACGCCTTCATCTGCCTTCTCGTGGTGGTTCTTCATGAGTTCTTAATAACTGCCACAGTCCCTTCCCCTCACTGATCCTATTCTTGGGTGGTGCCTTGCGACTTGCCACACTAGCCTAAAACTCTTAGCGTCAGCTTGCGCGGTCTTGCTGCGGCTGTGCGAACATCGAACACTGAACACTCACTCAGTCAGACACTCACTCTCGTTGAACACTCTCCTCTCCTTCGACCTTTCCAATTCAGAGGCGCTCCGGTACGGAGTATCGACGAGAATACCATCAACCCAGGACAGAGACATAATTGACGACCGGAGCGAAAGTTGGAGTGGGCGACAATCGACCCTTCGCCACATCACCCTCGAGCCGATACCATGGCCGACTCTTCGCGATACGGAGCGTCGCAGAACCCAGAATACGACGAAAGATGGGCAAAGGACTTGAGAGAACAATTCGAAGGCTTATTACGGGTAAAGCGACTCAATGAACTCGATCGCTCACGAACATCATCGCCCTCACCTCGAGAACGTTCCTCCTCCAACAACCTTCGAGGGTCTCCTTCAATCAACCCCCCTCAATCCCCTGGATACCGACCGTCAACATCCAGTGGCTCACAATCAGGACCAACACCTCCTTCATACGCTTCATTACGGAATCTGCCAAAGATACCCGCTCCACCCACCGATGCGCAATCACAAAAGTTTCGAAACTTATTAATCTCCTTATCACTGACACCAACGAAATATGAGAATCCAGGCCTTTTAGATGAAGCATTACAAGTAATCCCACTGGACCGAATCTACGGAGAGGCCGAGGAAGAAAGCCAAGTGCTCCAGGCACAGGCAGAGAGTATGGGAGATGGAAGAAAACCAGAATGGGGATACCAGGACTGCGTCATCCGCGCCTTACTGAGGTACGTTACATCTTTCCTGCTGCATTGAACGATTTCTGACTGCAAACTAGATGGTTTAAGCGAACGTTCTTCTCATGGGTCAATAACCCTCCATGTTCGGTCTGCCTTTCACCAACTATCGCACAAGGAATGACACCTCCAACACCTGAAGAATCAGCTTATGGGGCTCTTCGAGTGGAACTTTACCGATGCTCAGGGAACGACTGTGGAGCCTACGAACGATTTCCACGATACGGCGATGTGTGGCGTCTACTCCAGACACGAAAGGGACGATGTGGAGAATGGGCCAATGCTTTCAGCATGTTGTGCAGAGCTGTTGGTGGTCGTGTAAGATGGGTTTGGAACGCCGAGGACCATGTCTGGACCGAAGTTTACTCCGAAATGCAGAAGCGATGGGTCCATGTGGATGCCTGCGAGGAAGCCTGGGATAATCCACGACTGTACTCTGATGGATGGGGAAAGAAGATGTCATACTGCATCGCTTTCTCGATGGACGGTGCGACAGATGTCACTCGACGATATGTGCGCAAGACTGATCATGCTCTTGAGCGTAATCGTTGTCCTGAGGAGGTAATGCTCTACATTCAAAACGAAATTCGTAATCTTCGACGATCCAACATGGCCAAGGATGAACGATTCCGCCTAGAGAAAGAGGATGCTCGGGAGGACAAGGAATTACGTGGCTATGTTGTTGCTTCGATTGCTCAATCGGTTGTCTCCAACCTTCGACCTGGTGAGCCATCAATGAGCAGCGCTCGTCCACGAACACCGGAAGATCAGAAACTGCCTGCTGAGCAGCCTGCCGGTAGACAGAGCGGTACACAGGAATGGATCAATGCCAGAGGTGAGAACGGTCGTCGCCAACAACCTCCAAGAGATCCATCACAACGTGGACATTGAAAGACTTCCTTGTGAGCATTTGCACTTCACATATGAAACAACACCAACGCGAGGCTGAAGGCAAGCCGGAGGATAAATCTTCGAGCCAGCAACGGTAATGCGACCATCGCACCGATCCCAGCGCCGAGTATCATACTCATGCTTGCCTACATGTCGGCCACGACAACCTCCCGATTTTCTAACCAAGCGACAATCTGGTCGCTTATAACAAAAACACCTTCCGCCTTCGGGCGTGTACGCTATAGAATGCGGCTGCATTCACCGGGATTTACTTTGTCACGGCGTTCAGGGAGATATCATAATTTTATTTGTCAAACATATCAAAGCCAAAGAAGAAATTCGATGTTGGGAAAAGGAGCTGTGCCAAGGTGGCATCCAAGGCAGGATACAGCGGCGTTCAGGAAATATTCGGGGTTTACGACCCATGCTTTATTTTACTACTTTTTTATTTATTTGATACGGAGACGATGAGCATTTTGCATGAAGATGAAGGACGGCAGGCAGGCAAAAACTACCTACCATGTTTTGATTGATGAGATGATGGATAGAGAGAAATGATGGATCGACGGATGTATGAAATGCATATAGATGAGAGATGCAATTGAAGAGCATGTTGGCTGTTGAACATTACATTTTGTGCTATTTATATGAGTGACTTACTGCTATATCTGAATAATCGAAGTATCTGCACTGTAATTAAAAAAGCTCCCTTTCATGTTCCTGACAGTAAGCAATTTGCAGCACTCTCGGCAGCCAGTTTATCAAGTCAAGCGTGGAAATACGCCTTGACCAGACTAGGATTAGATAAAGCCTCACTGCGCCACAATAACTCTGGCTAAAATTGACATGACGCGCTGTGCTGGCTCATCCAACTTCACTCTCAGATCGCATCTCATCTCATGTCTTCAATCCAAACCTGCCTAAAATAATAATGCCTCATCGAAATGCTCGGCATCTCAAGATATGAGGCTTATCGTCGGGCCGAGCCGCGCTAGTTTTCCTTGGGACCACCAGCCAGCTTTTTCTTATCTCGAAAGACGCGTCGGGTTTGGAGTTCTGCTGCCAAGAAAGCAACCAAGACACCACGGGAGACGATAGCATAGCTAAACAATAGGTTGTTGTTGGTTTGGGGAGGACGGCTACTGTCGCCTGAGGAATCGGGTACTCACCAGATCAAATATCACGCCACATCCCCGATTCAATCTTGGCAGCCCCGTCCTCTCACTACCAACAACCACCCAGACAACCAGACACACAGAACAATGGCACCCTCCCTCTCCACCCGCCTCTCCCGCCTCTCCTCCAGCATCTCGGAGCACCCCCTCTTCTCCACGCTCAGCATCCCGCCCTCCCTACGCCGGCACCTGCACTGGAACTTCATAACGCTCCACTACACATACTTCATCTCCATATGCCTCCTCTTCTCGCTCATCTTCTGGGGCTGCTCGAACCCGCAGTACGCCATCTCGTACACCGACTCCTTGTTCCTGGTCGTCAGCGCCATGACGGAAGCGGGGCTCAATACCGTGAATCTGAGCCAGATGACGACCGCGCAGCAGGTGTTACTTTGGTTTTTGATTGTGGTTGGGGGAAGTATTTGGGTTAGTATTGCGACGGTGCATGCGCGGAAGAGGGTTTTTGAAGCGCGGTTTAGGGATTTGGTTAAGTGAGTATTGGGGCCCCTTTTTGTGTGTTGATTTGTTTGGAAATTTGGCGGCTCTGGATTTTTGAGTTGGTCTAGGAGCTGAGTCAAGGCTCTTGGAGACGTTTTTGAACTCTTGGAGCTTTCCATGGCTTTTAAATGTTTGCAATGGAGGTTTGCAGGACTGACTATTTGGATAGGAGACAAAGAGAGAGCATTCGCGAGAGAAGCAGAACTAGAAGACGGAGCGTAAGTGCATCAGGCCCGTTCATGCGGAGAGCTTTGACGGCCGACACCACGGTTGATGAGGGAAGAAAACCAGATGAGAGGAGCGAATTCGAGAGTCGGCATAGTGAACCTCGAGATCCAGCTGTGGATACCGGGAAAGAGAACGTGTGGCCTGAATCACCCAACAGAACAATAGCAGCAGAAGAAGAAAGCACGAACAAAGAAAACGGCAAACCAGCAAACGGAACGACAGAACCAAGCGCAGGCAACCACAAACCAAAGGTGGAAGACGAAACAGACAAGATAGACGAAGGCGTGCAAAGACGCACCCGTCAGCGTAGCATAGACTCTACGCATATCTCATACGAACACCGCGTTCTCAGTTTCCGGAACGTGAACAACGCCCGTCCGACGACTATGTCAGCATACCAGTCTCCGCGCCAGGCGAATGGTGAAGGTTTGTTGAATCGTATGGAGAACAGGGCGAAGGTGCTTAAGGATGAGGTGACGCACCTGGATCACTCCCTTTATCCGACGTATTTGACGAGGCATACGACGGGGCGGAATGCGCAGTTTTATGGCTTGACGAGAGCAGAGAGAGAACATTTGGTAAGTTTCTGTTTCCATCTTAGGATCGCGCGCTTTTAAGCGGAGACTGCAATTTGTCTTTGAGGTTGTGATGAAAACAAGCGGAGGTTTGCAAGCTCTCGAAACAGTGATGTGAATCTAGAGCCGCGAAGCGAATTGTTTTTGGAGCTGAATGAAAGCAAGCGAAGGGTTGCAAGCTCTCGAAATAGTGTTGTGAATCTGGAGCTGCAAAGCGATTTGTCATATCCCCTTTTTCTGCAACGTTAATATGTTAAACAGGGAGGCGTCGAGTATCGAGCCATCACATTACTAGCCTGGATTGTACCAATTTACTTTGTGCTTTGGCAACTTTTGGGCTCGATTGGATTAGGTTGGTATTTTGCGAACAACAAGCGGTCGACTGCGGAGGAGAATGGGATTAATCCTTGGTGAACACCCAAACACTAGGCTTTGGATCATGTACTGACAGTGTAGGTGGTTGGGTGTTTTCAATGCAATCAGCGCTTTCAATAATTCGGGTATGAGTTTATTGGATGCAAATATGGTAAGTCAACTTGAGAATCGCATAGGAATCACCGCTAATTGCTTTCAGATCCCATTTCAGACTTCGGTCTATACACTCGTCACAATGGGTCTTCTCATTCTTGCCGGAAATACAGCGTAAGTGGTTCGCTTCGCTAAACGTCTCGTGCCCTATTTGAATTATGCTGACTGACTAATCAGTTACCCTCTCTTTCTCCGCTTAATTCTCTGGTCTCTGCTCAAGATCCTCTGCCTCATCTACCCCTCTTCGGATGCCTTCCCCTCTCAGAAAGCTACGCTCCGCTTTGTCCTCCGCTATCCTCGCCGCGTCTATACGAACCTCTTCCCCAGCGCCCCAACCTGGTGGCTCCTCTTCATGGTCATAGTTCTGAACGGTGTTGACTGGGCTGCTTTTGAACGTATGTAGAATCTGCTTTTGTGTTATAATCATCCTAGGACCCAAGCTCTTCTAGGTCGTCTCGGAAGTCCCACATCAAAGAACATATGGTTCAACTCCTCGGATATGCTCCTCGGCGCTTAGATCTTTGTCAAGAAACGTGTACTAATTTGCTATCAGTCCTCAACATCGGCAACCCAGCAACCTCCTCCATCCCAGCCCACTTCCGGGTCCTCGACGGCCTCTTCCAAGCCCTCGCCGTCCGCTCCGGCGGCTTCTACGTAATCTCCATCACCAGCCTGCGCATCGGCCTCCAAGTCCTCTACGTGATCATGATGTACATCTCCGTGTACCCCGTCGTAATCACCATGCGCCACTCCAACGTCTACGAAGAGCGTTCATTGGGTATCTACGCCGACGACGCCGACGACTCCTCGGACGAGGAATCCGCCCTCTCGAAATCGGAACGGGAGAAAGAGCTCCCGAAACTCGGATCCCTAGCTACAAAGTTCAAACGCACGCTCACGACTACCTTCGACAACCTATCTACGCCGTTCGCGAGCCAGAATATGGCCGCGACGAGGAAAGCCACGACCACGACGGGCAAACAGTTCGTGAGGCAACAGGTCCGTGGCCAGTTGGCTCATGATATCTGGTGGCTTGTTCTGGCTATCTTGTTTATTTCTTGCATCGAAGTGTCGAATTTCGATCGGGATCCGGTTACGTACTCGGTGTTTAACATCGCGTTCGAGGTCGTGAGCGGGTATGGGTGTGTGGGGATCTCGACTGGGTTGCCGAACGAAGCGTATAGCTTTAGTGGTGGGTGGCATAAGGCGAGTAAGTTGATCCTTTGTGCTGTCATGTTGCGGGGACGGCATAGAGGGTTGCCTGTCGCGCTGGATAGGGCTGTCAGGTTGCCTCAGGGAGTCGAGAGAGAGGATTTGGGTGATGGTGGCAGGGGGAATGGTCAGGGATGGGAGGATGAAGATAGAGTGCTGAGACGGATGGGCAGTTTTGGGGTGAGGAGTCGGAGGGGGAGTGTTAGTGTGGGGACGGGGACTTGAGTTGATTGCGAGGCGATTGGTTTAGATTACAGAATCTTGTGTAGAAGCGTCGAATAGAGAATCTTTAGAAGTCGGCTCCCTCCCCAGTTCAAATCGCTACCCTAAACCACTCTCTCGACCCACTCAACCTTTCTTCTTCCGCCGACATTCTTCAAAATGACCAAAGAAAGAGGCCATTCAGATCCCGGACCTCGCCATTAGCAATTACCTATTGTCATTCCCGTTCCTAGGTCCGGAGCCGAGTTGTGTTAGTCCATGCGGGATTTGGGAAAGAGCTTTTTGCTTTTAGAGCGAAAGCGTTGGGAATTAATCCGCGTCTATACTTGGGAAATCTTCCCCAACACCTAGCTTCTCATCGAATTTATAAGCAGGCAGACGTTCGGAGAGTATACAGAGTCGTCCTCCTGCTGGGACTAGGATGCTGCCGTATAGCTACCGAAATCCTGACTCCGTCCAGACTTACAGCTGTAGATCGATCGGACAAATCGACATTACTCTCCCTCTGTGATGAATCGATGACCAGACTCTCCAGATAATCCGTGCTATTGAAGCCATCCTTGAAGCCGTCAAGTGAATGGACTCCGCACCATGGAGCGCCTTTGTGTTGTCCAATGACAACAGCGAAGTTGGACACTCTTTTCTCAACAGCACATCGAATAAAAAGGCGCCGATCACATCTGGCTGGCCAGTGAAGAACATTTCGTCGAGGTTCCATTGTTGAAGGGGATAGACGGATACTAGTTCAGCTGTAATACCCTCCTCGTTGTCTTCGTGAACCAGCTTAATGCGACCCCATACTTGCTCGGCCAGTGATGACTCGGGGCCAGAGGAATCAAGCACGCCAGTTGGATGCATATTTATGTCTGTAAGTGCAAAATCTCTCAGCTGGTCGAGTGAGATCGTCACCAACCAGGACGATGTCCGTCGAGCAAATAGATTTGCGGATGGCCTGGGCTGATCAACAAAGATACATACCGGCCGATTTCCTAGAAAGCAATATATCCAGGCCATAGACGGCATGGAAGGGTCTTCTGAAATCTTCAGAGGTATCCTCATACGGATTCCTCGGCTTGTTTGTTGCGGTGGGTATTGCATGTTAAAGAGACGTACTGGCAAGTTTCTGGTCAAATGATTTTGCGTGATGTTCAACTGATCAACAGAGACCAACCCATCGTAGTCTTTCTGGTATGCAATCTGATAGGGCAAAGACGGTACGGGATTTTCGGCCATGGCTTCGACTAGCTCTGTGATTTTTTGAGTGTTGTCTTCCCCAAAGTTTCGCCAGGGCTCCTCCAGGATTCGGATCTGATTCAGCTCGCTAGAATGATGATGCAACATTGGCTTTTGCATACTTATGATAACGGTGTCGGAGAAGTCGGCTGGAGAAGAGGCAAGGATACCTGTTAGCGCAGGGGAACAGTCGTAATGTAGCGACCAAGCGAAGAGAGTGTAGTCCTCATTCTGCTTCATGATTTCTTCCTGAAGCCTTTGAAATGCCTTGACTCCTTCTCCGTACAACATAGGCATGCTTACTCCGAAGATTCCTAGCAAGCAATACGCTATGTCTTCCACTCGAGTTGTCTGTCTTTTGGAAGCCCACGACATCCGGTGAGCAACGACGCAAGTAGAGGGATCCTCGCCGCGCAAGATTGGAGTAGGAACACCGGTCACCTCCGAGATCTGCCTTGACAAGCTCGCTTTAGTCCCAATCTCGACCCAGCCTGCGGTGTAAAATTCCAAGATCCGCGGAGCAATAAGCTCTTGTAGCGTCCAGCCTCTAGTGAACCAACGACTTCCGGCAAATTGGCCAAGCGGGGCGTTTTTCGTCGTCAATATGTCTTCAAGGTAGACGTAACATAGGACAGAAGCTTTATACCATTGATACATGGAATTGATAGCCTCTGTCAGTTCCGCGCTACTAGACTTGTCGATGCAACAGGTGTCAATCCAGACCCATTCGAAGCCATCACCTGCTGCCTTCTTACAGCACCCTTCTAGCTTCTTAAAGCCAGACTTAGCCCCGCCTGTTCGTTTCTGAATATCATCGAATAGCACTTCCTCTTGTCCCCATGTATGGCTCAAGATAGCGTAGGGCGGGACTTGAGAATCAACGAAATAGGAAAGCTCCAATGTTTTGGTATTAAGCAATCTCATGATAGCTGCGATAGGTCCACGGTGTACCAAGCGATGGTCGAGATGAATGCGGATTTCTAACCGAGAGTTCACAGCTCAGCTGAGAAGCTAGTGTCCCGTCTCATCCTCAGGCAGAACTTCTCTGGTATTAGCCTGCGCAGTCAAGTCCGTCACCTGATCATCAATCCATGGTCGATACTTATGAAGGTGAATGGCTCTTGTTGACGATAATCCATTTTGGGCTAGCTCGCCTTCGCTACACTTGGGAACTACCTAGGTCTATAATAACAAATAAGCATTTTCCTGCTATCAAAAACAGAAAGATGTGTGCTTGAGCAGTAGGGCGGCCGAATGGTCGAGTCCAGAACAATCGAATTCAGATTCTTGTTTCCTGCTACGATGTTTACTCATTACACCTCGCTTGAATCTGTTATCCCCCTAGATACTCTCTGGCTGGTATCTAGGAAAGGTTTTGCTATTTGACACCTCGAAAAGAATTTTTCTTATGATCCCGCTTATGATCGATCCTCTCTCGCAAGTCGAGGTTCAGCTAATGTGAGGCTGGTGATTTTTTTTCGCTTCAGATTCAGTGCAACAGATTTCTGGTAACTTGCACAGTGAGATTACAATAATGGCATTTATCTGAACATGACTTCGATAGGCCTTCGAGGAGCAAGGGCTCCTTAATCGGCACAGCAGATGTTCGCTTACAAGGATTGAGCTGCAGGACATTATTCTAAACTAAAAGCTACGCTACCAAAATATTTCCTGCAAAGCAAAGCCTAAAAATGAACACCAAAATTCCCATCTCCTCGCGCCAGTGTAAAAACCAAGCCAAAAAGAGAAAAAAAAGCAAGCTATGAATGTAAGTACAGCAACCAAAAACCGAAACCCCCAAGAGAGCAAAAGTTCAAACAGTTCCCATTCTCCTCTTAACCCGAATCTTGAAGTCAAGCGGCGGTCCTTGACTTCCGACCAACCACTGATTAGCTGGACGAGTTGGGATACTTTCAATGTCGTAGTTTAGCGCTATGTAAGCCAGGACTAGCTTCATCTGTTGCGCGGCGAAGAATCTACCTGGGCTGTTCTCGGGTCTCATTAGTCTCTGCTGCCATCAGGTTTGGGCGATATTGACGATGAGATAGGATGAAGGAAGACGAACCAAGCATGCCGTCCATGCGAGAAACCCAAAAACACCTTGCTCGTCTGCACCACGGGGGCCCCTGCCCTCTCATCCACAAACCGCAACGGCCGAAACTCTTCTGCCCCTTCATATATGTCCTCGTCTCGATGCAAAACCGATTGATGGAACCCCACGTTCGTACCACGCTTCAACCACTCCCCGCTCGGTAACCTGACGCCTTCGCGCGCTATGACTTTCTTTAACAGGCCACGGGACACGAAACCCCATAGTCGCATGCTTTCGCGCAGAACGGAGTCGAGGGATACCATTTTCGCGAGGGAGCTCTTGGTCCAGATATTGTTGGAGGAGGAGAGCGTGGTAGTGATTTCGGTGCGTAGGGTGAAGAGCAGAGAGGGCAGAGAAGAGTGGCAGGCGAGGTCCAGGAGGAGGTTCGTGAGGGTTATGGTGCTGGATTGGATGGTGGCGAATTGGAGAACTGTGAGGCGTTTGGAGATTAGGTCGGTGGTGCGTTCGCTGGGGTCGGAGTTGTGATACGAGTGGTCGATGCACCATTGGATGTAGTCGTTCTGTGTATTCTTTTAGTTTTGTGGAGAAGTTTAGGGGAGTGGAGGAGGTACCTTGGCTTTCTCGTCAGGGTTGGAGGCTGAGAGGCGTTGTTTGATGATGGGAAGGGTGTATTTGCTGCAGGCGAGGTAGCGGTTGTAGTCGAATATGTTGATGAGTGGTGCGATGATTCTGTGGGTGTTAGTGAGAAGTGTGGCGGCACGATGTGATACTGACTTCTTCATGAATTCGGGGAAGAAACTGATGAAGACTGCTTGCACGACGACGAGACGGGCAAAATTCTTGGTTTTGTCGAGATAGTCTTCATTTCGACCTGGATGCCATTAGTCAACGTCGAGCAAAGGGAAAGTGGACTCACAGAGTGGAAAGCCAACAAGAACACGATTGGAGATGCGAGCAATGACGTTCAAGATGGTATCGTAAGTAGTGACTTCAGTCCAATCTTGAGTATCGACTCCCCACTCCTTTCGGAATGCGAAATCAATTTCCTCCTGGACGTCGCTGGTGTAGTCACCAAGCAACTTCGTCAACTCCTTTCGAATGACATCTTCGTGAACGTGATCAGGAATGATGCGAGGATGGAGCATCGTATGATCAGCTTGAAGGAAGGCTCGATTTACTTCGTTTTGACAGATAACATTGTCTGGTTGTTGCAAGAGCCACTCCATTTGTGACATGGGAAGGATGACCTCGGGACCCGTGGTGATGTTCGGGAGGACAAACGGGATGTTGTTCTTGGAGTACTAAGTGCCACGTGTGAGTCATGGCTTGTCAAGGGATGGTAGGACTGACCTTGTCGTAGCCACCTTGCACAAGTTGGCGAGTGTGCAAGAAGCTTTGGAGGGTGACGCGAGCTCGTGAGAAAGGGCCGCTGGATTGTGAAACCCAGGGAATGTTCTCAGGGATCGAGTGAGTGGAAAAGAGTCTTGAATAGATGTAATGAAGGATCGTAACGAAGAGTAGAATTGACAGACACGCGCTTATGAGTTCCATGGAGAGTAACATCCCGTGGGAAGCCTCGTGTGGTGATACCAAAGGAAGCACACAAGAGATCCTGGAAGACGTTTCAGAGTTTGTGGGGTTGAAGGTTCTCTGTAAGCGGACGAAGAAGTTGCTTGTATTGCCTCGTTGCTGTAGATGAACGGAGAAGTGGTCTGAATTCTGACGCGCGTTTGACTACTGACTCCTGACTCCTGACCCGAGTTCTGAAATATATCAGGCGAAACCAATGGGCCAATACTTCTAAAGAAGAAACTCCTGAAATAAGTTGTTGTTAGCTTCAGAGGGTACAAGTCCAACAACAAAGACTATGCAACATGACAGACTTTGATGAGGGCACTGAAGAATATGCCCAGCCATGACCAGATTTTCCCAGTGATCCTTCCCTCTAAAAATCTCGAAAGATGTTACGTCTTTCGACTAGATCACCAGACCCAACTATAGCCTGTGACGAATTGCAAGTAATTGACCAAAGAGGCAACAACGTACCTGAATAACCGAAGTGAGTTGTATAGTCTGTGTCCCACCGCAATATCAAGCGATACACTAAGCATAAAGTAACAAAAGCACAATACTATGAACACAACAACGCCCGAACTACATGGCAGTATGGATTATGCTCCGTACTTGAGACACGTTGCACAACAGCGCCTAGAAGTTGCAAAAGGAAAGGTGGTGAGATTTGAAATAGTTGCAATAGAGCGAATCGGCTTCGTGGCGTACCTGCCTACTGCGCCGGAGACGTTGCGACAAAGTCATGGTAAGTGGTTACCTCGGAAATATTCCCGGACCGAAACGCAAATAATATTGACTTGGCACCTGCAGGAAGTAATGCAGATCCTATCACAAATGCAAGTTCTACCCTTGGGATTGGTGGGGGAAGGAATCGTTAGTGTCATGGCCGTTGAGGAAATGGGGCACGACAAGGTCACACGAACCACGCTGAAGGAAGTTGCATGGATAGAAGGTGCTGACTTCCAGGATCCAAGAGGTGACTTCCAGGTTCCAGCAGTCTGTGCTCTGCTTCGATCCTCGACTATCTCCGATCATGATGCACTGACATCCACTTAGGACGACGATAGGACCAAGGCAAGTTCAGGCGAGTGGATGCTATCAATCGGATATTAGGAAACGTTGTGGACTTGTGTAACGAGCACAAGAGTCGTTGAACGCACACAGATGATGCCTCCAGAAAAGCATGGTGATACTGTTGACAGATAACTCGTGCATGGCGTAAGACGGGGGGACCGCAAGCATTGGAGCGGAAGAATCCAAGAAAGGAGAAGAAGAAGCAGAAAGAGGAAAAGGAAGAGACGCGGTTCGGAATGCAAATATTGACGCGGCTCGCCGGGAACAGGGCTCGCTATTCCTTGCAGGTGAGACTTACGGGGGTGGACAGCCTGTGCTTTCAGCCCGCATTAGCCGATCGTTACCTTATGTCGACGACCGATCAGCGTCCACATTAAAAACTTCAGCTCGTTATGATGAAGATAGTAGGCCGTTATTGACTTTCTTTTACCTGCACGTTTTTATGATGAGAGACATGTCGGTTTCCTATGTCGGTGATATGCAGGGACGTGGCTTCCATTTGGCTAGGAACGACAGGTGGGAAATGAGAGCTTTAGACGGGTCACAACGAGGTGTCACGAGAAGACTATCTTAACGCTCGACTCTTCTTTCTTCCTTTTCTTCGTATCCCGCCGAGTCAGGTTACTAGTTGACTCTTCACATATACCTTGAAGCCTCTATATTTCTCTTCAAATTTTCCAAATCCATCACTCTCTTTCAGATTCTGAAGTCCACTGACAAGTCTTTTCCCCGGATCTCGAGCTCTAAACCAAACTGAGCCCTCAAATTTCACCAAAATGCGTTTCTTGACCTCAACAATCCTCCTCGTCACTCTCACCTCCTCCTCCCTCGCTGCACCCCAACTTCTCGGCAGCCTAGGAAACGCAATCGGCCAACTCCTCCAACAGATTCCCCTACTCTCGACTCCTCCACCGGCCTTCCTGATGACAACCCAACCCTCACCTCAATGCGCCGACGTCAACAAAGGAGCTCTGCTCTGCTGCCAGAGCTCTTTCAATGGCGACATCCCGATCTTTGTCCAGGCTGCTCCGTTGATTGCTTATAAGTTGAATCCGAACAGTATCAACTGTCTTTACGGTATGTTGATCTCCCTCCTAGTTGGAAAATCAAAAGCTGATGTGTTTGTCAAGGAACGAGGAACTTCACGGACTGTGGCCGAGGTGTGGAGTTGTGTTGTCAAGTTGATCAACTTGCCACTGTGAGTTAAGGATATGAGTCCAGACATTGACAATGCTAACAACAATTACAGACTCCGATTAGTGATATTGTCAGTCTCGCTTTGTATTGTAACACACCATCTCAGAACGAGTCTTCGGTTTGGACTCCGAGTTCCTAGGATGTGATGCTTGGCTCTGTTTGTTTTCGGAGTTGTGGTTTGACTTTGTTGCTTGTCGTGGATGTTCTATGGCGGAAAGACTGTGAATGTGACTTATTCAAACCTTGCTTCTGATCTGGTTGGTGTTGGTAGTGGTTTGCCGATTGTTCATTTCGGGATATTTGCTTGACTGAACTTGATATGACAATACAAATAATGTTTTGATAGACGCAGTCTACTTGAGTTGGAGTTGAAAACCAACAATGGCAAACCTATTCGCCTCAAGCTCGACATTAAGCATCCTGAGATACTGTACCTACCCTTAAAGAATTAAAAAGCACGTGATAGCATCCATCACCCTTCCCTGCTTCCATTAACCTAAAATCTCTGTACGAATACCACAGTTTCACAATGTATCACGTCTGGTTCACTACGGGTCGTACAAATATCAACAGTGAGTGAAAGCAGAATATACACGTGTCGGACACTTCGTCTACTATCCCATTATAGGTAAGGCGTTCGTTCTGGTGAAACAAAAATGGCTTACCGTACTGTACCACCTCAAGTCACCACAGGCTAGCTGTGTTCGTAACAGCAATAGCAGGTTCGATACCGTCCATATGTGTGGAAAATGGAGAATGGAGATAACAGTGATGGAAAGACAGACTGTACGTGGGAAAGAGTAGAGAATTAGAGGGCAGGTGGTGGGAGAAAGTTAGAGTAGGTGAGGCCTTATAAATGAGTTGAACGATGGTCGATGAACATCTAGATGCGGAGATATCCCACAGACGAGTAGTTGAGCCGGCGTATTCTCATGTCCAGGTGTGTTGCGGACGTACGATGAGGAGGTGGGAAGGTTGGGAAATGACGGTGTGCTGTCCTATCCTACTTTGCTTTGCTGATTTGCTTGAGGAAGAGAGCCCAAGTTCATACTGGGGGGAAAGGTCCTCAGTGAGGTTTCTGCTCGTCGTAAAACGTTCTCGAGATCTTCGATGTATTACGATGCGGGTTCCCGGAATGTTGGTCGCGCGTACAACCTGGCCAGTATTGGTTGACGGCGTCCAAACCCGAGTCGGAAAAAGAGGAGAATAGCTCGGGCTGGATTGACTTGCTCTAGTGAGCGATGTTAGGTCGTAAGGAAGTGGTAGGAGGGTCATGGATGCTTGGTCATGTAGTGACGTGGAGTTTTGGAAGGTCTATGGGTTGCCATAATGTAAAGAGTAGTTTTGTTGCTTGCTTGTTTGCTTGCTTGCACGATATTGTCTGCTATTGCATGGTAATTTCTTGCTTGCAAACATGATCAGAAGGAATTGGTGTCACAGGTGAGGTTGTTAGTAGCAGCTGCTGCCAGCGGACAGCAACTCTGAGTCGGGTCATCTGGCAGCGAGATACGGTCTCAGAAGAGGTCATTTGCTTTCTGGCGTCTGGTTCGGAGTTGTGATGTGTTTTGATGGCAAGCAGTAATTGATTGTATTGATTGGCACTGCTCTGGGTGTGAGCTATGGAAGAGGGAGGACAACTTGTAGGACTCCCACCTAGTGATGTGTGCTGTCCATGTCCTTGCCGTCTGAGCCCCGGAAATTTTTGATGTTTTCTGATTGCAAGGAGGCGGCCATTGGAAACAAAATAGTCCCCGATACTTGTGCCTGACGGTGCTTGGTGCTTCCCAAGTGGCAATTGATTGGGAAAGAACTTGCAATGATGGAGAAACCGACCTTTGCTGGCAAGAGTGTACAACTTCGGAAGCTAGGTATAAGAGGGAAGAGATTTTCTCCATCTCCATGACTGTGGTATATGCCTTGGCCCCTTGCCAATTCCGACCTTTAGACTGTTTATAGCACCCTTCCCCAGTCTCACAGCAGCATTTGTCAGGCGCTACGATAGCGTTTGATCGTCTCTTGCTTCAAGAGTTGTCTGATGTATGCTTGGCCTCGGCCCTATAGCTGTTTGTGAGAGCAATTCCACAGCAACGTGGAAGCATTTTCCAGACCACTGAGGTAACCACTTGCTTGTCTCCTCCCGACTTGCGTTGATTGATTACTTGAGTTGTGAATTGAGCTTTGAGAGAAAGGCGAAGCAGTACGTGCCTTGGTTGTGTCTACACATGATGGACATAATCAGCTTTCAGTGATACTTATGGGAACTGGGGCTTGTTACAATACAACGTGTAGTCAATGTCGGATCAGGTTCAACTGGTGTTGATCGTCCTATATGATGTTGTTATTGCTGTTGTAACGTGACACCCTGCTCCCGACTCCGTGCGATGCCGCCAACGCGCTGCTTGTAGCAGCATTGTAAAGTTCAGGGGCTTTTATATAGCTCTCAGAGGTGGGAAATCGCAAGTTGGAGTGTCGTCTGAGTTACTGTATGTATCCCTTGATGGCATAGAATGCTGGGTGACTTTCAGTCCGTCCCGATCTTCACTTCAAGTAGACGGCATCGTTAACGGTCTGATTCTGGCCACAGAGGACGATGTAGGCCTATTTGGACAGGACAGACTGTAGCGGATGACAGCGGCATCAAATTTTTTTCCAGACCTTGGTACCACGATTTGACCTTCTTCAGCGAAAACGACATCGACTCGGACCCACTTCCACGCGCTCTCTATCAACAACGAGATTTTATTTGAGAAATTTGCTTCAATATCAGACGATTACACGTCTATCTTTTGCCCGCACGCTTCTAAGAAACATTCTGCACGCCTTCTTCCCCCTTGAAAACAGTCGCGAGGCTATACTCCATCCTTTTCTCTTCCAACGACAACAGCTCGCTCTTCAGCCCACCTATCGACGCTCTCTGTCAACAAAAGGACCTTCCTGAGAGGTCCCTTGTCTTTGAAAAACTGTTACGCAGCTTCTCCTTGCCAGCACGCTCCCGAGAAACCCCATTGCGCGTCTTCCAGAGAGACAGTACCTGCGGCCTTCCTCTCTAAATGCAACACTAGGCGTTTTCCTCCCATCACGAACAACCCGAGAATCTAGATCTGTTCTTCTAAGCGTTGCCAAGTTCGTTTTCAACACTCTTTGCGAAGTATAGCAGTGTTAATAGCCCTAGAACTCTTCACGACATATCAACCGACTGCCATACCTGGACTCGCACATCTTCCTTCTCGTACGAAGACCGCTTATTATATTTTCTACGTAACGTATTGAATACAAGACTCAAAGATGGCTGAATTACAGGAGCACTTATTTTCTTGCCGCAAACCACCTTCTTCGAGCTCGGAACCCTTTCGTGAAGTGCCTAGCCTTGGCTATGAGCCCCCATGCGACTGCGGTATCTGCCCACACCACTATCGAACGTGGGACCAGCAATCGGACATGTATACCAGCTATGGAGGATCTTTGACCGATGAAGATGTTGAACAGAAGGTCAAGCATTGGATATCAAGTACCACAAACAACTTGAGTTATGTACGAGACCAGTATCGAATACATGGACCTGCAATCGAGAAGAAGTGGCAAAGATACAAGTGACCAAAGCGGGAGACTCTGTTACTTTCTGCAAGCCCGAGCCTGTACAAAGCAAAGTGGGCCCCTGTCGAATTGGCTAATTTGCCGCAGCTGACTGATCAAGATGTCCAGCATCTCGACCCCGCGGAAGCACTCGCGGAACTACAAGCATGAAGTCGTACACATCGTATAGCACGACTCATTCCTTGGCTTAACGTAGAGAGCTTGGCAGAGAATACAGAGTTACTTCACGCTTTAGTCCGCGCACGCACAGAGCACTATATCCAAGCATGGGCGGCCTTCGATAATTCACAACTCGAAAATGCGTATCATCATGGCAGTGTCGAGCTTTGCTTTAATAAAAGCTGCATCGGAATGAAGATTGAAGACTATGGAACTATGTACAAATGAAGACCTGGGGCACACAATTGGATAATGGCAGGCTATCCTAGAGCATCACTGATCTTGGAAGCGGGATATGAGATCTCGAAGATGTTGCGCGCGGTGACCGAAAAGCTTGTGGTTGGACTAAGTCCGTCTTCAGGTACCAGAGACAGGTTTGGGAGCATGGCAAGCATGGCTATTCAACCAAGCGTTTTTGTCGAGTCTGGTTCTAGGTACCTTGGCCGGCCATTTGCCTCTCCACCTTCGTGTGCTATTGAAGACCTGCTGTCCATTGCTAGTGATAGAGTAGAATACACTTTTGGCCATGTCACCCTTCTACAGACTGATCCAGCATTCCTACGATGGTATACACAAGAGCTCCTTGACAATGCGTTGCTCAGTGCCGAGTGCAAGTCTATGCCGGAGGTCTGTTATGGCTTAGCTGCGGAACATATCAGTCGTGATGTGGCGAACTTTTGGGTCTGGAAAGGGATCGTCGGAGAGTTGAACTATCTGAAGAGTGTCGACAACAGCAAACATAACGATCCTAGACTCCTGAGCGCCATGGGTGCTCTTGAATCTCTCATCCTCCACCACATCGATCACTTAGAGAGACATATATGCTCTTGTATCCTTCAGAGACCTGCATTCAAAGATCTGTGGGACATCAAGTACCCGGCTTTTGGAGTTGCCAAGACCAGTAACAAGGGATTCAAATCTGCACTGGACCTCTTCAAAAAGGATCCGCTTCACTGGTGTTTAACGCAAATCCTGACTAGCACCAAGACGAAGGATGGTTTCGATCATGCCATGCTGTTTGCCTTTTTGAATAACCTCCTGTCATCCAAGACCATTAAAGAAGAGTCGAAAGGTCGAATCGATGATGCACTCCTAGAAAAGTATTCGGATCTCGGGGCACTACACGAACTCCGCGATCTACTTCTCATGCATAGAACTGGCCTCACCTATCGAAACTTCGACGATGCTAAGCTGAAGGAAACTGGACGAGCTTGGAGATATCTGTCAAAGGGCTACAAGGAGGGGAGCACCGTGCTTTAACCGAACAAGTCAATTAGTCAAGCTTTGGCTCAAGTGGCTCGAATGAAGGTTCCCCCAGCGAAAGACCAGAAGTACTACGACATCGAAGCAGACTACCGTGAGTCGACAAATGCGTTCTGGATGGCCATCCGAGATAATCATCGAGAAAAGATGAAGGGCTTAGGAATCTCTGAAAGCGATCTTGCTGCCGACATACACGATCTCTCTGCGGCCTCAGAATCTACTCATCTCCTCGAATTGAACGAAACACGGAACCAGATTGCTGTTGCTTTGGAGCAAGCCGCAGTGAAACGATCCATGAAGTCTAAGTCTACGTCAACATATATCCCGCAAAATCAGTGGGGCCCTGAGTCACAGTCACTCAAGTCTAATATTTTGTGTAAGGAGAAGGAGAAAACTCGAGGTCAGGACGATTTAGTGGTCGAAGCAAACCTCCTAGGCGGACCTCAATCAGCACCTCCAATTGGTCTGATCATTAAAGTTAATTCCGAGGCCTTAACGACCTTTGGCAAATTATTTTCTCGAAATGGCGACACCTTAAAGCCTTTACCGTATCAAAAGTTTTCCCAGGCGATGACTGGTGCTGGATTTAGTGTTGTGCAAGGGAGTGGCTCCAAAGTTACATTTGTTTGTACGTCTGGAGCAACAGTCAGCACTACCGGGAAGAGACGCATTCTTATACATGTGCCGCATGGCGTCCATAGTGCTAAGATTGATACTCAGCCTCTCAGAGCTATAGTTTTCAATTTGAGAAGACGTTTTGGCTGGAGCGAGGAGACTTTCGTGTTGGCGGAGAAATGATGTAGAACTGGAATCTGAACGACGGACGCAACGGAGGAATGGGGGTAGGGGGTATACTTTGGACTGCTGTAAAGATTGACTTTCTTCTATACCTGTCAGATTCTGGATACTTTGCACACTATGTCATGAAATCCTGTCTACTACAGCTATCATTGCTTGCGAAAATTTACCTCTCTATCTCTGTGGTTATTCTTGACAAATTGATATATATATATATATATATATATATCCACAAACTCAAGATACTAAATAACCTGCACGGGGCCTTTTCTCGATGCTTCACCACATACCATTCTTTATCTTATGCTTTGGAAGAGTGGTGGAAGAGTGGTAGAAGAGGTGGAACCTATGGGCCATGCCCACAGGAGGTTTTATTGACACGGACAGATACCTATAGATCTTCGGCCTGATCACGAAGGCATAGGCTGGAGTCTTCATTCAAGTTTCTCTTCCGGGTAAGCAACATCTTCATCCCCACGAAGCAAGATCAAACTGAATGTGTACCCTTTGTGTTCAGAAACTCCAATGGAGCCGGATATCAGACAGGTCTCGGAAGCGTCACTATTCCCCAGAATGGAGAGTGCGTAGAGTTCCAGGCAGAATGGGACGGTATCCAAGTCGCTGGGGGTGGAAACGACGAATGCTTCCTCCTCATATATATGGATCCTGCGTGCGAATTTGAATCAGAGACTGATATTGGTCCCATCAACAACACGGCACTTGAGGGCTGGGTTGGTCCCTTCCCGTTCAATGAAGACAGTACCACCATATTCACAGGTATTGGTAAGTTGCTGTGCTGTTTTATGGCGGCTGGGGCTTTGCTTGTACAGTGCAATGCTAACTCACTGAGCAGCGTCGGGCCAACTTGTCAACTGCACTACGTAAAGGCGAACGGCGCGAGAAAGGAGATATTGTGGGCGAGAATGGCAGCTTATGGTGGATGCATTTAGTAACTAAGTCTGTTCAACACAGCACTATGCAGCAACGTACATAATTTCGAATTTGCCTCAAGCCCCACAGTTCAACGTGGAACTCAACAAAGTAAATGTTTCCTCTAACCTACCCCAGACTTGCCACAGTAGTCTTATTTTCATAAAGTTTCGCTATTTTAATAAGTCGTTTATTGCCACCTGTTCAGTGGAATTCGTAGCTTGAATAGGGCTCCCCTTTCTGGGCTCGCTTCGATAACTACATCCGTCCTAGCGCTTTCATGCCAAATCCGTCTCTTGTTCGCTTTTCACTATCTTTCCACTCTACATGTTGATTTTATAGTCAAGTAGTCGAGCATTACCGTCAAATACACAATTTGCTTACTGAATCCGGAGAAATGTGATCGAGGATCCAGAAGTAATTCAACAGGTTGTTATCCAAGTTTGACTGTAGTACTCGCCGTGGGAGTACTACATTGAGCCTGGGATTTCAAGCCGACTTCCCCCCACGTTTTATCAAAAGACTCTTTGAGAACTCTGGTACTGGAAACGGCAAATAATTGGGGGCAGACTCCGACTTCCTTCATCTTTCGTTCCGTCGTGTGAAGATACAGTACTCTACTCCTCGTTTAGGATGTCTCCTTTCCTCCGTTACAATTTTCAAACTCGCCATCTCTTGTTACATGCCAAATCGAGCGACTGAGTATAAAGGGCCTCGAAACTCCTCGAAAGTTACAAGGTCAATTAGCAATCTCGACTCGAAGTACGACTAGTAAAGGTACTCACTCAATGACTATTAATCCTTCATTGCCCTTGTGGAGAGTTCGAGCTGATAGTTTAGACAGAAATCTTTGCACTAAGAGCAGGACCAGTCTATAATGCACAATACCGGATCGTTCGATTGATTGCGGTCGGATGTCGGTGCACGTGGTTTAGCGCCACGAGGCTGTTGTGGTATTGACAAGCGCCATATTCTGACAATTCTTGTCTGCGTAATTCCGCAAATTGTCTTGATTCTGTCAATGCGATACAACGCAATTATTGCCAGGTGACAAAGAATTTTTCCAAAAGTCTAGAATTATACACTGATGATGATATAGAATGTATGCACCAAAGAATGTGTGTGATCCTTCGAGCTCTGGAATGGCACCCGCTCGTCCTTCCGGTTTCATAATACCACCTCCTCAAATGGCGCCGTGCAAGCCTGAGCGCAAAGAGTGCATAAAGCAGTTCCGATCCATTACAGACCAACAATGGCCTGGTATGATGTACAAAAAGATCTTGAACGACATCGAGGCGAAGAATACTTGCAGAAAATTGGTGGCAGACATCGACGGTAATCGTGAATACCTCCAAAGTCAATTGGCTCTCAAAGGACCCAGTATCAGGAAGAGATGGGAGGAGTTGAAAGACAGCCAACGGGAGACGGTAATGAAGAGAGTCGATCCAAAAATGTATGAGAATAAATGGATGGAACCTGTCTTGGGACACAAGTTCCGGTATGCAAACCACAGCATCGACTGTAGGAAGGATTATCGCAACATCCACTTGCTTCCATACATCAATCTGCAAGCATTGAAGGAACACCCTTCCCCGCTTCTAGACTTGTTCCAACACCGAAGCAACTTCAGTCCTGCAGAACTTGCCTCATTCGACAATCGCATGCTTGACTTCGGCTGGACTTCCGGTACTCTCGATGTTTATTTCAATAGAAACAGTGTTACTATGCTTGGTCCCCAATTTGGAAAACTTGTTCCTTGGGACGAGAGTGCTGTACATAGTTGGGAGACTGTTGGATTTCCACGCGCTCACCTCATACTGGCAGCGCAGCACCAGCTGCTAAGCTTTCTTCGGGGTATGTTCGATGCTCTCAGTAAGTGCTTGATCAATGATACTGCTCTTGCTAAAGGCTTGGGACTTCCTGCCACAAAGCTTGGACAGGACACATTGTCGAGCACCAACTACCTCTACATCCTACTCCAGTATTCGACATCGACAGGCTATCCATTATTAGTCAGACTCGATTTGCTCTTGCCCAGGATCACTTGTCCCAGCTGCAAACCGATCCAGCGTATATGCAGCGCTACACAAAGTTGATTTTGGAGGCAAAGTATGACAAATGCGCAACAGACCCATACAGCATCTGTGCCATGGACCTGGACTTCGATTGTTGGAGTGCTAGACACTGGGGCTGGATCGATGAAGAAGTCTCGAAGCTCAAAATGATTCGGTCAAAATTTGAAAGTCGGATTACACCAGGCCACAGCTACAATTTGCCCAAGCCATATGCAAACAGGCTCAGAGCCTTGGAAGCATTGATTATCGAGCTGCTTGACACGCTGTCTCGACATATCCAAATTACGCTACCTCACCGACCCGGATTCCAACACTTGTGGGACTTCGATTTTTCAGATCCCACCAAGATTGTGCAGCGCCTCAAATGCAAAAGAACGGATGTCGCCGTAGCTGATGCAGAACAATACTTCAAGGACCCCCTCAACTGGGTTATTAGCTGCTTAGCAACCAATCCAAATTCTCCAGGAGTCCTCGATCACTCTCGATATTTTGAATTCCTTGAAAAACATCTCGAAGACTGCTCGCCCAGTGAGCGATCAAGGGTGGATGAGACGCTGTACAGAAAATTGTCCCGACCTGGCAGCCTTTAATGAGATGCATGATATGCTCCGATCACATCGTCCTCGTGCAACGCAGAGCAATATCGCGGAATTGGAATTCAAAGCCAAAGGCCTCGAATGGCGATACATGAGAAAAGGTTTGATGAAGGAGGGAGTTGGTGACAAATGGGGGCTCGTTCTCAGGGAGAGCTCATTACAAGAGATTGGTATGGACTGGGGTTTGCTGGGAAGATTATTGGTACGGTTCATGGATCAGCCATCCTTATCGAAAGGTTCTCCGCTCCAGAAGCTTCGTATTTTTTGGGACGAGCTTCGTTTACAACACACGGGAAAGTTGCGAAAGGCAGATTTCAAGGCTGATGATATCGAATACGACATGAGTCTGATCAGCGCCGATTTTCATCCATCTCACATGGCATTGGTCGAAGCCGAGAGGAAGAAGCACTTGACGAAATCTGCTGCGACCAAATCCACCACGGTCCAGCTGCAGAAGCCCAAAAAGAGTACGTTGGTGCATGGACAAGGTATGGTCGAGCCTGTCAAAGTCCCATCAATCACTACACAATCTCGCTCCCAGAAGTCTGGAAAGGAAACTGCAACTTTCGAAAGCCAAACAGAATGGGGGTCTACACCGAACGACATCAAGCCAACCGGAGATACCAAGGCCAAGGGAAAGACTCGTGGAATTCCGTCTGCTATCGCGGATGACATGGATGCGCTCGGCCTTGATGACACTCGGGAATGCAGCGCTGTGAAAGTACTAGTGAAGAAGTCAGCGTACGATATACTCATGCGCCTGTTTCCAAATCAGATCCAAGGCAACCAGTGCCCGCCTTGGACGTCTTTCGTCGACGCAATGTCGAAAGTAAAATTTACATCGCGACAGAATGGCGACTCTGCTGTCACTTTCCAGCCTACTATTGGCTGTAAATGGTACAGACAAGGTAGCATAACCATTCATCGTCCACACCCACAGGCAACGATCGATCATGTGATGTTACTCTCTATTGGAAAACGCACGAAGAAGTGGTTTGGTTGGAGCCGGGAAACTTTCGAGCTGGAGAAGTAATGAATAGTATTACAGAATTGGCTCTGAAGCGTTTCCTTAAGCTGCACTTGCAGGCGAGGGGAGTGTCGGAATACAAGAAAGTGTTGATACGTTTATGAAAATGACAGTAGGATTACCTGGATGGAAAAGGTCATCTTCGAGATTATTTTCTCTCTGCAGACTAGATGTATTCAGGGAGCTGTGTTGATCTTAGCTTTTGAATACTACTTGCCTCAACCACTCACAAATCTCATCCCATCCGTGAACCACCTGCGAGTCTAATCAGACGCTTCGAAGCTTAGCATCATGCTGATTTTCCCAGTCCTTGTTCGGGATAGGAAATCGTATGCATTCTCCACATTTATGATGCCCACATGGATCTAAATGATTCCGGATTCGAGATACTGGATTGAAGCATGTCTTCCAGACAATGGAATGTTGCTTTGTACACTGGAGTTATTTGTCAGTTGATATTGAGACTTGGGAATTAGGAGGGCTACTTTGCAACATTCCCAATTCGGATCATCAGTTGGTGTCATGGTGAGATTGGAGTTTGAGGTGGAGTAGCGCGAGGTTTAATTCCAAGAGATTCAGAGTAGAGGACGCGGTTTTGTGGAAGTTCGTAAGCATTTGCCTCGAGAAATCTGCTGTTGGAGAACGGAGTACCAAGTTGGAATCACGGTTGAGGTTGTGAATAACAATGAGTGCGCGAGGCCGGTTCGAAACATTGGACCTTGGTTCTGGTCTTGGTGACCGTGAGAACAGGGATGTTTGCCTCTGCATCGTTTCCACGCCGTGAGACGTGCAGGGAAGGTCTCGAGGACAACGAACTAATAGAAGGAATATGATTGGTAAAAAAAACTGTGTCGCACTGAAGGACATTGGGTGTCGCTAGAAAGTCTCTTCTGGCGTTGGACTTTGTCAGGCTGAAGGTCAACAGCTCCATGTCTGAGTTCAGTAAAAGATTTTGTTTGCGACTCCTGGAAGAACATCTTATGTTAACATGCATACTGGTAATACTTTGCGAAAAGAGACTTCGGCAGACATTACGCCAGGCTACATCTCGAGATACCATGACCGATACCGATTGCTGTCTAATATGTCAGAAGGTTGCAAAGCATACAAAGATCCAATCTCGGTCATATTGCGTACCAGTGATATGATGTTTCGATTGCAAGCTGTTTCTGAAGTACAACATGCACCATTTGAAGAGCGGTTGGGAGTATCATTGATCTCGCCCAGAACTCTCCATACAGGATATCCACCTTCCAATCACATCCCAGGGTATCTTGTATGCGCCCAACGCCGTTTGCATATAGATCCATGGATTCCAGTCTCAATTAATCCTACTCATATCTCATCCTAGTCTTATGCCGGAGTTGGAGCTGCTAAAGCGGGGTTGTCCTTCCACTCGAATTCTATTCCAAAGTCAGCACAGGTTACATTTATGATTCAGCAAACATACTCTGCCTGCACATTGGACATTGCCCCTTCGAAGACTCTTGCTTAATCCACTCCACAATGCAATGCTATGATATATCAGTTTCTTTCGTCTTGCGTCGTGTTACGTTGTCACCAACCATATGGAAGTTATGCCCGCATTTGCCAGAGACTGAAGTCCAAGTCAGCTTCTGAGATCATTGTTCGGAGGAGAGAGACTTACGCAGACTGCAGTCATCTCCTGGGTATTTGCATGTTGGACATGTGCCATCAAAATGCACTTGACAGATTCCGCAAACATCGTCGTATGCAATTTTCCATCGCCACGTAGCTACCGAGTTCCATTTGATAATCTTGACCTTCATTTCGGATCCTTCAATTATTATCGCTTCGATTTCGAGTATCGTGATATGGTGAAACTCAAGGGACGAAAGGGTTGTCGTTCTGGGATGAATTGTTCAAGTGGTGTTGTTGACTTTCGTTCCCACGCGCCGCCAAGCAAAATCGCCGCGCCGGAGACACGGCTTTCACGTGCTCACCTTCTCTTATCAGAACCAACCACCAGATTGAATTGCTCACCAGTGCAACCTCCACCTCAATTAATCGCCAACCCCTCTTTCGAGGCAATTTTCATTTGTTTTCTGAGTTTATCGTGGACTCTTGCAGCTTCGCAAATAATTCATGAGGTCTTGCGACAATCATCTCCACTTCTTCCATGCACGCTCGATAATAGCCAGGATTCTTTAGCACGCCATGGCGGTAGCTGCGGTGCTCTCCAGAAGAGCTTACATTCCTCTCCACTTCTCACGATGTCGTCCTCAAACTCTTCGCACATCGTTCAATATGGCTTCCTCTCGCTCTCTTTCCTCCTACCTCGTCACCCCTACCGAGCTCCAAGCAGCATTGAAAAAGAACTCTCCTAGCAAGATATCTACAGCTCCGAGAACGGTCCCCGTCTGCGCTTCTTGGTTCCTCCCCAACGACGGCCGCAATGGCTTACAAACCTTCCGCGAGAAGCGTATCCCAACTGCTCGATTCTTCGATCTTGACAAGGTCATCGACAAACACTCTCCTTACCCACATATGCTCCCTACAGCGTCCGACTTCGCAAAAGCCATGAGCGGGCTTGGCATAAAGAGAGATGATACAGTGGTGGTGTATGACTCACAGGAGTTAGGCATATTCAGTGCTCCAAGAGTGGGATGGACATTGAAGGCATTCGGACATGATTCTGTACATGTTCTGAACAACTTTAAGCTCTGGGTAGAGGAAGGATATCCCACCGAAAGTGGGGAGTTCTGGGACGTGGATACTTGCGTCTATCCAATACCCGAATTTCAAGCTAGCAAAGTAATTGACTTTGAGGAAGTGAGAGAAATAGCTAAGGACGTCAACAAAGAAGGTTCAGAAGGTGTACAAATATTGGATGCAAGGTCACACGGAAGATGGCTTGGAAAGGATCCAGAGCCAAGACCTGGTTTGTCCTCAGGACATATGCCAGGCAGTATATCAGTCCCAGTATCCGATTTATTGGACCCGTTTAAGAAGACGATCTTGCCAGGAGACCAATTACGGAAGATCTTTGAGAGTAAGGGAGTTGATCCAAATAGGCCGATTATCAACAGCTGTGGTACAGGTGTTACGGCAGCAGTAATTGATGCAGCATTGAGTGAAGCAGGATATGGTCATGAGAGCAGGCGGAGATTGTATGATGGGAGTTGGACGTAAGTAATCTTCCCTTGACTATGGTAGAAAAGCTGACGAGTATTGCAGAGAATGGGCCCAGCGCGTAAAAGCATCTGACAATTTGATCGTCAAGGAGGCTTAATATTAGGGTGGCTTGTTGTTGCATTTCAGCGTTTGCATGTGACGGATACCCAGCTCTTCTCTTTCTCACATAACCGGTTGTACAGGGTATCTACACACGATGGTCTCAATGAATGCATTCCAATGGTGTCATTTGGATCTAAGAATATGGTTTCAGTGCATGATTTTGACTTACATCATTGAATTTGGTGATTTTCGGGGAGTGCCCTAGAACATTTTTACTATGTGAATGTCTGTACTTTTGTGAATTGTCGAGTCCTTCATCACAACTCTGATCACTTCATATGAGCATATACATTGCCATCATACCCAACGTCCATGGTAGCCTGATGCACTCTCACTTCTTCAGCTAGTGCTACAGTCCACTGACTGCCTGCAATTCTCAAGTAGGGATTGTATCTCCTCTCAGGAGGAGGTCTTGACAGCAACCTATTACTTGACAACAATATTGACCTTGGTCACAAAATAATCATAATTTCATTGATGAATAAGCTGGGCAAATCAAACATCTCAGGAGCTTGAAAGCTTTTCAAAGATCACCTGGGTCAATGATAGTGTGTTTCTTCCTTCTTTGCATCTTGTTATGAACGGGAAGACAAAGGCCGACCCGGATAATTTATACCTTGGCGCCTAATAACTTTGCTGTGGCCCGTCTGAGACCAAGCTAGATTTTGCTCTTCACGTTGAAGTGAATTCACTTGTCCTATGTTGACGTGAATCACGCAACTTTTTAGCTCCGAGCTCCGAATGGCGCCGGAGGGGACATAAAAGACGACTTTTCTCTTCTTTTATGACCATGAGAGACTACGATACAAGCTATCGGCAAATGGAAGCACCGGGATCCGTCCGGCGTTGCGATTCCTTACACAGTTGGCTACTTTTAGATGAGGCTCATTGTTGGGTGATAAAAGATGTAAGCAGAATGTGCCGGGGCGTAATTGTCATTGGATCTGAGGGTTGTTATTGTCAACTTCTTCTTCCCTTCATTGACAGGTAGAACATCTGATTAGATGAAAGATGCGAGAAGAAAAATTGTTCACCAGGACATCAGTTCTAAAGAAAAACGTCTTATGCCTAAATTTCTCTTAGTTGGCAACAACAATATCTTCGACAATAACTTTTTTTCCATCCCAAAAGAATAGAGTTCTCCTTTTCCATTTTATGTCAAATGAAAATCAATACAAGGGATAGGCGGCGCTGCACCGAGACAAATCCGGCTAGAACCAGGGACTTGAATTCTGATTTTTGTTCCCTTACTATAAGTTAACATTTTGCAAGAGTATGGAAGGCTGTTTTATATGCTGTGGGTTAAGTCACGAAAGTCCGCATGGATTTTAGTTCAGATTTGAAAAGGGTGAATCAATGCTCTATGACGTTCTGGAGCGCTCTTGTGGCTAGAGCACCAGAACCTTGTGGGTATAAAAACTCCCCCCTCCGGAACGCAAAAATTTCTCACCGCAAACTAGAGACCTTGAGAGAGTATCCAGTTAGAGTTGAGTGGAGGACGGATTGTGATATGATGAAGAGGATAAGGGGATGGTTGTTTGTGTGAGGAGAAAGGGAGAAGAAGGAAACGATAGATATAAACATAAGTAGAGGATTGTTGACAACGATGGTAAACTTGACAAACAACGATCCAAAGAGAACACCTGCCGGAATTGTAGCACAATGCTTAAAAACTATCCCGGACAACTCTGGCATCAAGAGTTCGAGACTGGAATTAGGATGTCACATCCAAACCTGGACCACCGATTTCTGTATGAATTCCCTTTCACGGTCCTGAGTACTTAATCAGGTGGGTTTCCATCAGACCTGGCGTTCTACAAGCCGGTCTCGACAACGCTTCGATCATCATGAGTGAAGACAAGAAATTCATCATCTCGGACGCTTCGCCAAAGGAAATCCCAGACCTAACCCTCCCTCCTTGCATTAGTCCAGTGAGGAAGTCTAGTGGTTCTGAGCCGGGTCATCGGGATGTTGAGCATGTTGGTCGTGGTCCAGAGAATACTTCAAATGACGGTACTACCCAACCAACAAACAGCCTTGAGGAATCGAGCCAAGACCATGGTATTGAGTCCACCTATTTGAATACCGAGCCAGATCCGAGATCTGTTGCAACCATCCCCAATTCCAGAGCAGCTTCTGAACACCCAGATGCTACCGGTCAACCCTCGTCTGCGGCATCTAGCTCCGCAAGCGTAACGATTCCGAACATCCAGACCATCACACTTCGTCCTACCCCTACTCCACCTCTTAGAGAACAACTTGTTAGGAATGTACCCACTTGCCCACCGTGTCACGCCAACCCTGGTAATAGCAATTGCCGCGGAAGCCCAGCCTGTAAGCCGTGCTAGAAGAGAGGATACACAGTTGCACAATGTAGGGGAGAGGCTCCTGTTCCAGATGGGAGCCAATTTGCCATCCATAGTGTTGGAATCGGCGGGTCAGGAGTTGGTGTTGTAGCAGGAAGTATTGTTGGTGCCGTTGGCGGTGATGTGAGTGGCTCTGGCTCGTGTAGACTGGGAGAGAACAGCAACGAAGGTGGCAGCGCAGAGAATGTTGGAGGAGATGGATTCGATGCGACAGACCAACGTGAAGAGCCAAAAGATGGTACAGCCGGCTCTCGATCTAAGAAGGCTGACGAAAATGGAAGCAACGGTGAAAAGACGGAACGAGCCGGTGGTGATGAATCGGTCCCAGATTGGGGCCGAAAGGGTAAGGAAAGATGGAGTATGCAATTTGCAGGTCTGGAGTAGAAGATCATAGATTGAGATTAGTCTTTGAATGCATTGATTCTTGGATTGTAGCCTCGTCTAGGTGGGATCAAGCATGCACAAGAAACACAATCGCGCTAGACCGACGTCAGTCACCCGCTTCTCCTTACACTTGATTCGCTAATCTGAGCTTTACCTTATAGATTTAAATAAGCAAATTTCATGTCACTAAGTCCGGAAAACCAAAGGTTGCTAATATACTGTTAGCTCAGTTGACAGCAACCAGATGGACTTAGTCACGCCATAACGAAATACGCCATAACGCGACTTCAAAAACTGCACCCGACACCGAGCAAGTTTTCTACGATCTCCCCTAATCGACAGGTGGGATCCGAGTTTTTGTTTCTCGATCCTATATTTTGTTCTCTTACATGGATGGTTGGAAGTTTTTTTTAAAAAAGTTTGTTTACTTTTTAAGCGAGGTCAAAAAATGAGCTTCACTTACGAGCACGTACTAGATCTCGAGGAAAGCTGCACCGAGCGGTAGGTCTTTTTACCTGGAGCTAGGAGATTCTCTTATAATTTCTGTGTGTTCGCTTCACTCTCTGTATTGGGATGCAATCTAGGTAGATTTTGGCCAGACATAGGCGCGTCTGTTCAGGGGCTCGCTTAGGCCGACTTCGGCTCACGTGAATTCAGTTGCTTCTGTGAATCATTTTCTCTTAGCAGCTCATTGCGACTATCAAAGAGAGCTTGGATTCTCTCATTCGGGTGTCCTTGGTTATTGAAATCGGATTTCTTGGAAAGATGCTATTGATCCTGCAACCCAGCTCCTCCAATAGCTACAGTCGATGCATGCTCAGCATAAGTTCAACCCATTATTTTCACGCCGCCATGGCTATACCAAGTACTCATTGAACCACTGAACAGCCTGAAAGAAAGCAGCCTCTTTAGAAAACTTCTCAATCCTGACAGAAAGATCCGGACGAACCGAAAAGCCATGCGAGACCCCACTGTAAAGGTTGATCTGGAAAGGAACTTTGATCTCACGAAGAATTTTCTCACTCTTCTGACGCTTTTCAGAAGGGAAAATCTCATCCGTCTCTGCTGCAGTGATGCTGAGAGGGCCAGTGATGGCCCTGAGTTCGTCCTCGTCGACAAATGACGGATGTGCGACGTATCCGACAGAGACGCCACGTCCCTTGGCTAAATAGCGAATGGTGTATTTAGCTCCGAAGCAGTATCCGACTGAGCCGATCTTCGTGTATCCCTCCTCCGCTAAATGCTGTAGGGCAGCATCTACCACGGGCTCGACATCCTTAGGCGCGTGCTTGCTTTGAAGCCAAGGAACGAGGGCAAAGTCGGGACCTTTGGGGGTCTTGCCGAAGTCATCGCCGCAGAAGACATCAGGGACGATGGTGTAGTAACCGTTTGCCGCAAATTGATCAGCAATTAGCTGGGCGTTGGTGTATATACTATAGTAATCGGGCAAGTAGAGGATAGCTGTGTTTTTGTGGACGATGCTGCCAGTGGGGGCAACGATGTAGGCATCAAATCCTCTAACTTTGATCATGGAACCTTTGGTAGCACCTCTGTAGGTAGGAAAGTTAGTGACCAACTTTGGAGTCGCAATATTGAGCTCAAATCACGCACTCATGCTTGACACCTTCTATGCAACACTGTCCAGGTGCGTTGGAAGCCATCTTTGATATCTTGAAATGGTCTTGAACTTTCTATAAAACTAAAAGAGATGAAGATTTGCGAAACAGAAATGTGCAAATGATGCAAATGAAAGTATGGATCCTTTTTAAAGTGAATCTATTGAGAAAAAGAAGTGTGAATAAGCAGGCCGCATGAGGATGTGGCTGTCTCATTTGGACTCGATTGGATGGCAGGTACGATAGCTATTGGCGAGTGAAAACGAAAGCGATTGCCCACCTCACTGGTGCTAATTTCAGTTCTTTTGTACTGGGTAATGAGTAAATAAGAAATAATGGAAAGTGTGGAGGCAAGGAGGTCGTAAAGGAGTGAGAGAAATTGAAGTGTTGCTAAAACACTTCTCTCCTTCAATTTGCTGGACTTCAACGTTTTCAATGCGAGTATGATGCTTTTTTGACTTCTTGTCCACTCACTACTCCTCATTTTTAGCCTCATCCTCACCTACTCATGCATCTATTACTCTACATTGGCATGAAGGTAGGGTGAGTAGTACTGGATTGTGGAGTACGAATCTAGGTGGCTGACAAATTGACAATAAGTAGCTGAGTAAGAAGAGTTCAATACGCCATACAATAAACTCTAATTTTGTTATTACTAGACAAATCGTTCTTTTATCACTTTTATAAGTACTAGTTAGCTGCATTAGGTATGTCATCCATCACAAAAATCAAGACGGGTCTGTGTAAGTCTTACTGATCAAATGGTTTCGTAGATCATGAGTATGCAAAAACTTTTCGTTTGCTTAAGTAATTGCAATCTTGTTTTTGATAAGTGTTCAAGTGTGATATTTCTGGCTGGTGCTGGGTCTCGTCTCAAGCGTGTGAAATATGATTGGTGCGGATGATAAAAGCTTGACGGAGTGTTAATTTAGGCTAATCGGAAGTTTCCCCACAGGTCGTTCGGCATTATTACGCCTCAAGATCAGCCGCTTTTAGTTTCCGACTCAGAGATCGCATCTCCAGAAAACAAAAAGAATGGGGTTTGGTCTCGAGAAGTCAACCAGATCGACCTCACCGATCACTGCTTCGGGTTAAAGGTTGCCGCTCGCTGCGGAATCGGCGCGGGGATGAGCGCCACCATGGGGGACTTCCTATGAGGGGTCGACGCGGGGTTTTCGACTGGGAGGCTCCCCAGTGGGAGCTTGCAGGAACAATAAAATGGTCGTGATGGTCTTCAGAATAATTGATGGTGTATTGGTGGGAGGAGCAGACTCGCCGACATCAATCAACCTTCCATAATGGCTCATTTCAGAATCACCAAAGTCCTTGCAGTACTTGCATCACTTGCACCAGCACTTACAGCAGCACAAGACAACAGTAGTTATGTGGACTACGATACTGAACCTCAGCCAAGTCTGTACGAGCAGACAGTGGTTACCCCATTGTTATCTGGCTTTCCTGATTGCCAGGCAGGGCCTCTGAGCAACACTACAGCATGCGACACCTCAGCGAGTTATTATGAGCGAGCCCAAGCGCTGATCTCACTCTTCACACTTGAAGAATTGATCGTCAACACTCAAAACAATGCTCCCGGTGTTCCTCGATTGGGCCTTCCCAATTACCAAGTCTGGAGCGAGTCATTGCATGGGCTTGCCCATAACAATATGAGTGATTCGGGAGAGTGGAACTGGGCCACGTCCTTCCCCCAGCCCATCCTCTCGATTGCAGGGCTCAATCGCAGCTTGATCAATCAAATTGGCTCGATAATTTCGACTCAGGCTCGCGCCTTCAACAACGACGGTCGTTACGGCTTGGACAGTTACGCTCCCAATATCAACGGCTTCCGCGCTCCCATTTGGGGTCGTGGCCAAGAAACTCCAGGAGAAGATGCTTCTTTTCTATCTGCGGCCTATGCATACGAATACATTACTGGCCTCCAAGGCGGCGTTGATCCCGAGCATCTCAAGATCATTGCCACACCAAAGCACTTTGCTGGATATGATATAGAAAATTGGAATAACCACTCGCGTTTGGGGAACGATGTCAGTATCTCCCAGCAGGATCTCTCGGACTATTACACACCTCAATTCCTAGCCGCTGCCCGTTACGCTAAGGCTCACAGTATCATGTGCTCGTACAATGCCGTGAACGGAGTACCCAGCTGCTCCAACTCATTCTTCCTCCAGACTTTATTGCGCGACTCGTGGGGCTTTGCTGACCAGGGCTACGTTTCGTCTGATTGTGACGCAATCTATAACGTTTTCAACCCTCATCTCTACGCAAATAATGTATCTGTGGCCTCCGCCGATTCTATGCTGGCCGGAACGGACATTGACTGTGGCCAAACGTATCCATTTTATTTGAATGAGTCCCTCGCTTCCGGAGAGCTCTCTCGGAACGACATTGAAAAGTCGGTCACTCGCCTCTACACATCTCTCATGCGTGCCGGCTACTTTGATCATTCAACGAGTGTGTACAGCAACCTCACTTGGAGTGATGTAGAAACCACAGACTCGTGGAACGTTTCATATGAAGCCGCGGTTGGGGGAATTGTGTTGCTCAAAAACGACGGAACTCTTCCCCTAGCCAGCACGGTGAAAAGCATAGCTCTGATTGGTCCATGGGCGAACGCAACTACTCAGATGCAGGGTAACTATTATGGAAACGCGCCTTACTTGACCAGTCCTCTGGCTGCTTTTGAAGCTACCGGACTACAGATCAATTTTGCACTGGGCACAAATATTTCTGGTGATTCGACGGAGGGCTTTTCGGATGCTCTTACGGCTGCGAACAGTTCCGATGCAATCGTTTATATAGGTGGAATTGACAACACAATTGAGGCCGAGGGATTAGATCGTCAAGCCTTGACATGGCCAGGCAATCAATTAGATCTCATCTCTCAATTGAGTGAAGTTGGAAAGCCTTTGATTGTTCTTCAAATGGGAGGCGGTCAGGTTGACTCCTCCTCAATCAAGAACAACACCAATGTTGGGTCCCTTATTTGGGGCGGCTACCGTACGTCATTTTTCCACCCTGAACTCCTCCTGTCTCTTCTTCACTATGCTAACCTGTTGAGCAGCGGGTCAATCGGGAGGTGCTGCCATAGTAGACATTCTCACCGGCACTCGTGCTCCAGCTGGTCGTTTGGTTACAACACAATATCCTGCAGACTATGCTGAGCAATTTTCCTTTCTTGATATGGGTCTACGTCCCAACGGATCAAACCCTGGACAGACCTACATCTGGTACAGCGGAACCCCAGTATATCAATTTGGCGACGGGCTCTTCTACACCACCTTTGACGAGACTGCAACTTCTAGTAATGCTAGTAACACATTTGATCTCGGAACTTTGGCATCCGCGGCTCACCCTGGATATGCCTACATCGAACAAGTTCCATTCGTCAACTTCACAGCAGAGGTGACGAATACTGGAACAACTGCTTCACCCTACACAGCCATGATCTTTGCCAACACCACCAATGCCGGCCCAGCGCCGTACCCAAACAAATGGCTCGTGGGATTCGATCGTTTGGCTACGATTACTCCCCAAAACTCGTCTACACTGAATATCCCAATACCATTAGGAGCTTTGGCTAGGGTTGATGAGAATGGAGATAGGGTGCTCTATCCTGGGGATTATGAGTTGGCACTGAATAATGAGAGGTCTGTTGTGGTGAAGTTTAGCTTCATAGGTGGATCGGCAGTCTTGGAGAAATGGCCGTTAGAGGAGCAGGAGGTTTTGCAATCTGAATGATTGTGGTGATGGTAGATAGAACTAGTCAAAAATCTTACTCTAAAAGTCTTCATTAACGCTACCCTGTCCTCTCATATACTCCTTCATGTTCCTATTTTCTCAAAGTAACTCGACATGGATAGTGGTCACTTGAATGAGCCGACCCTTCTTCAATTTGAAATGCTCTGTCACCATACACCTGTCTGAGATCGGTCCTCCCATTTATCGTATCCCATTCCTCATAAGCGTCCTTGAACTCGAATTCCCTGACCAAATGTACAAGAATGACTTTCAGCTCAATCATCACCAGACCTTGCGCGATACAGTTCCTAGGTCCGTGTTCGAAGGGCCGCCATGCGCCCTTGACAGGAAATAATTCATGGCCTGGCTCGACCAGGAAGCATTCTGGGAGGAATTCGGCAGCGCGAACCCAATAGGCTGGAGCACGTTGCATGGCGACGTGAATGATGAAGACGAAAGCGTCATCCATAGGACAGAGTGCACCAGAGTCTGTAGGAATGCTTACGTCGGGCTTGCCTTGGCGTGAACAGGAAGCTGGAGGGAAAAGGCGGAGAGTCTCTTTGATAACCGCAGTGGTGTATGGCAGGTCGTTTGTGAGGTGCGGTTGCGAAATGAGCATGTCTGATACAACCTTGAGATTCTTCCCAAACACACCATCGTGCTCGGCGCGGATCTTGTTTAACGCATCGGGATGTTGAGACAGAAGATGCAGAATGTAGCATATTGTGCTGGATGTCGAATCGTGTCCCACGAATACGAATAGGCGGATTTGTCTGATTGCGAAAGCACGAAATTCGGGGTCCAACCTTTCTGGTTTGGTCTTACCGTCCCCCATATAGGCTTGAAGGATGATGTCCATAACGGCCTTGGTGCGAGAGTTGTCGCTGTCCGCTTTGAACTCCGCGTATCGTCGATCTAACTCGTCACCAATGTACTTGTCCATCCTTCTCCCATTTCGCCACTCCATATACCAACGAGCTACGTTCAGTGACCCAAAAGGGTTGGTTTCTGCGCTGGGTTGATGTCAGCGGATCTGGGATATCATGGAGTCCGCGAGCGTATTATATCCGTTCTGAGCTCCAAGCTCTGCGTTCCTAAACCTGTCAGTTGGAGAGTTGGCAATGGAAGCGAAACTTACAGGATGGTTCTACCGATCACATCCATCATAGACCGTAATGATATCGTATCCAGGGAAAACATCTCACCCTTCTCAGCTAGATCTCTGAATGTCTGCGCATAGACCATAGTCTCTTTCACCATGCCCGGAACCAAGCTCAGAAAATGTTCAGTACTGAACCCTTTACTGAATACTGAACGCCAAGGTCTCCATTCCGCCTCCCGCATATCAAATAGATTAGGTCCTCCTGCAATAGGTTTGAAGAAGCGCGGGAGTAGACGAGGTCTCTCTATCGCCAGTTTTGGGTTCTATTGTACAGCAGTAGCGACTTGTGGGGAGATGACGACAAAGCACAGCCCAGACATAGGCCATAGATCGATATAGAAGGCGCCTTCTTTCTGGAAATGATCACTATAGATGTCGCCAATTATGTACTGATAATGTGCATCTTTGGGCAATTTCTCAGAGTACTTTTTGAGTAGGAGAAGGTGGCCAAAGAGGAAATTATGGCCGGGTGCAACAGGCTGGATTCAGTCAGTAGGACACAGGAAAGCGAGTAAGGACAAGTACCAGGCCTTGTTTCTTCAAGTTGCTCACGATCATTCGTGCATGGTAGAGGCGAGTGAAGCCATACGAGAGCAATGTTGCAAGGACGAGGGACAGAGACACCGCAAGTGGGTAGGAACTTATCGACTGTAAGGCCGCCATGCTTTTTGCTTGTCGCGCAGAACAAAAGACGAGTTCCGACTACTTAAGTCCAAGCACGAGAGGAGGCAGAGAATCCAAAAGAATGGGTGGGTAAATAGAGGCTCCCAATCTGCCTCAATAATGTTGGGTTGGAAAGGTAGATGGCAACCATAAATATGAGGATATGCAATCGTGTCGCGTAGTCAGAACCCTGCCCTGTACCGTAACGTCTACTGGGCCAAGCCCGCTACAGGCTATAAGCTCCGAGGTTGTGGATTGACGACCCGAACCCTCGTAATGTTGGCTGATTGATTTGGCCACAGAACACACTTGTTGGATTCGAGAAGTTTGCCATTCGCAGTTTGGTTGGAGAAGTCTCACTGCAGAAATTAGATCCTGTGCACCGGAAAAGGCTGATATCCTCCACTTGCTTGAGTTCAATTGCTGGGCTTTGGAAGATTTGACGAACGGCGTTGGAGGAGGTGAGTGAAAAGTCCAATAGATGACGACAAAACGGGGACATTTGACATATGAGATATCATATCAACTTCTCGTAGAGCTAGAGCAATGACTTGGGAGATATGATCTGAGATATTGATGACTGGATGAAGGTATGGGAATAATTAAGCTGCATCTCTCATAGATCTCAGTGGACTCTTCCATGCTTACAATGAACTTCTTGACCCTCCTTTGGCAGGTCTTTGATGTGCGAATCTCTGGGAACACTGTTCAGAGCTGATTTGCATGACTTGACTATGCACGGCAAGCCTTTCATTAAGTGCAACGCATCGACATACCTCAAGTACCAGCATTGAAGCAGATTATTCCAAATCGAGGAAAACGAGGTCTTTCGATGCTTCGCTCATAAGTTCTTGGAATAGATTCTGTAGATAATGTGTATTGATATATAATTAATTTTTATTTTGAAAAACGTGAGGGAGATCTACTCAAGCCTTTCTTGATAACATCTGGAGGCGTGAGCAATCACTCGAAGAGAAGTGAAGACCATAGTCAACGAGCATCAGCGTCTTTTCGAAATTGCAAATTACAAGCCAAGGATAGCTCAACTTGTGCAGAGCGTCTCCTCTGCGGAGCCAGAACTTCGGTTCGTGAACATGATCTGAAAAACTTCGGCACTCGTTGCAAGTTGCAACTGCGGCCACGGAGAACTTCTGTTGGCAGCACAACAGGAAGCAGACACGATCGGAAATTTGACCGTATGCATGTCTTTTTGTATAGCTGTCTCTGTGCACCTAGCTCTGCCGCTGATTGCTGGTTGCTGGAAATCACGGCTCCAAGCAGAGTCTGTGATAAATGTGGGGTGAAGTTGCGTTGAAACTTGCTAGGGATCGACTCAGTGGAAGCTCCATTATCTGCAATATGAGAATTGGTACTTGGGAAGCAATACTTGACGAATTCTGCCTCTCGTGTCGCGCCTGTGAGCATCTGTGAATGTACGTAGAAGGCTGTAGTCTATGTTGAAGATAACTAATCTCCAGATTCACTAGTCACACACCTGCGATTTTCTCGGAATCGCCCACCTGCGGACTTCGGAAACGCGAAATCTCCAGTCCAGATCCAACGCTCATTCAGCTCCTCTAAGAGAAGAGAAGATATAAGAATGCGTGCTCCTCCGGTGTCACAATACTTGCTACACTTCTAATCCCACAGCACTTACTCTCTTAGGGTCAATTCGAGTCTAAGCACTCCTTCTCAAAGCTACGTCTACCCCTCTACGCGTCGCGTGCCTCGAATCAAACAATACCACACGATGGCTTCAACCACCTATTTAGCGCCCAGCATATTGCTTCATCGCGGCTGGAATGAATCAAGCTATGTGTGGTCCCCTTTTGTCACCAAAGTCGAAGCACGAATGCGATTTGCTGGACTTTCATACAAACAAACAGCGGGGTCGCCAAGGACAGCCCCAAAGGGCAAGATTCCGTATATCGAGCTATCTCAAAAGGGCTCGGATCCGGAACTGATTGGAGACTCCTCTCAGATTATTGAGAGATTGGTGAATGACGGCTTGCTACCTGATCTCAACGCGAAGCTAGGACCCGTGGAAAGAGCGCACGACATGGCATTAAGAGCCTTGTTGGAAGATAAGCTGTATTTCTACCAGGTCAATTGCCTCCAACTCTATGTCTTAGAAATATTTGCATTGCTAACATAACTGCATCAGGGCTACGAAAAGTGGCACGAGAACTACTACGCAATGCGAGACCACTCTCTATCCTCTATCCCATACCCCATACGGATCATCGTGGGACTACTTGCATACAGGAAAACAATGACAACCTTATATGGACAAGGTTCAGGCCGATTTTCTGGTCAGGAAATTGCTGGCTTCCGAGAGAATATCTGGGCAAACATCGAAGCCCTTCTTGTTGACTCTAGAAAGAAATCGGCAGGGTCAAAGGAGGATGCGAAGTGTTTCTGGGTATTGGGGGGTGATGGACCATCAGAAGCTGATGCGGTGCTCTACGGTTTCATCATTGGTGCATTGATATGCTTTGCGTGAGTATCATTCCTTAGCGAAGGTAAATGAGCTGTATTAACAGTCCATGCAGGGCTCCCGTTTCTCAGAGGGTAGTGAGGACTTTTCCAGTCATCAAAGAGTATGCTCAAAGGATCCATGATCGATACTTCCCAGACTATACTGGCTGGAACGAAAGCTACCATGGTGATTGAATGAGGTACACTCCAAGCTTCGTCTCTTTGACCGGTTCTTGATCTTATATGTCGTTGTCTTACCATCAGCAATTAAAGGATTCTATTCAGATGCTGTAGAGCCAATCACACTTTCAAGATAATGATATTGAGCAAGATGCACTGAACAGTCTGCCAGCTTTACTCCGTGGGTTTGCTCGGTGGATATGTCTATGTCTACATCTGTGTCTGCTACTATTTGAATTGCTTTGTTCCATTTTGGTTCTGATTATCAATGCATCTCTTTTTCATCATCAGAAAAGACCTTTCAGCGCTCGTTGTATCTATTGTGGGAGACAGCTCTTTGATGGGATAAGTATGCTCAATAGAGTAATGTGATCTGAGAGGCCTGGACGTATTTAAGAGGTCATTTCCACCAGAGTTTATCTCATGATCTTGGATATCAACGACATCCAGGATGGCGGGAATGCCGACCATCTGCATCGCCCTCGTTGTGGAGCGCCCTAATTCCAGAGATATGATGCCACTTGCCATTCCAAGACTTCGAGTTGGGTCTCCGTACCCGCAACCCCGTTCCAACCTCATTACTCCTAGTGGATTCAGCAGCTTGTCTAGTATCATTTTAGGCAACTCATTTCGAGACCTATTCGCCTTCTCAACTCGCAACATTGTCCTCGAGCCGATCTTGCCCACCAGTATCCTCTCGTATGATCCTGTGGCGTATGGTGGGAAAGGTAAATCTACGAAGCACAAGCCACAAGTCTCCAACAATCCTCCCGGAAAACCACCGACTGCTCCAACGCTTGAAGCTAGACCATCCCGCGCGGGTGGTTTCTTCCCATGTCAATTTTGCAGATTGGTGAAGAAGCTATGTTCTTCTTCAAGGAACGGAGAAGTGCCGTGCGAGCTCTGCCGCATTCAGGGCAGAAGTGGGCTACGGTGTCTGGGACAACGGGAAGATATTCTACTTACTGAGGTAGAGGGAGGTACAACGAATGACGATGGTGATAGAGCTGATGATGGGGAGGCTAATGGGGTTGCTCCTGGTGACAATGGAGAGGACCTGACAGCCACTTTCGAAGAAATCGACTTGGCAACGGAGGAGACCACCCAGCCAGCTCAACAGAATGAAGAAGCCGAACAAGTCACTGCCCAAGACGCTGCCGACCCTCTCACGAACGAAGCAGCCAGAGATGCTCAAACCGTGGCTTCAGACGAGCATATCGAAGGCACGAACGAAGTCATCGACGCTGCACATCCAGATCAGCCAGTTGAAGAACAAGAAACCAATGCCCGCCGTCGACGTCGACGACCCAAGCGAAGCGGTCGAGCCTCAGCTGCTCAGCCCACTCCAAGCACGCCCTTAGGTCCATGTGCAATGTGTGTAAGAGAATCAAAAGATGGTGCCGCTTGCGCGTTCATTTCAATTGGGGGAAGCCCGCCTTGCGACCCTTGCGATAGACGAGGTTACAGTGTGTAAGAATGTAGAAGTGGGAGAAAATACACCAGGAGAGATAGGGATGATGGGGATCTTGATTTCGTCGCTCCGGGCTTTGGGTACGGACGTGGTGAGAATTGGTTTTGGGGGCATTTTGATCTTTCCATAACGAAGGCATCAAGGAACGTGAGCGGCAACAGCCTTGAGCCAGACTGTGTGTGTTATGGATTTGATTTCGAAGTTAGTTGCGTGCGCGGCGGTGGTGCTTAATGTTTCGCTTGAGTTAGCTACCTAGTAGTAGGGAGATATTGCCCAAGTTTTTTCAATTGTGTTGATTATATCGAAGTGCAAGTGTGTCCGAATCTCGTTATTATGGCTCTCAGAGTCTCAGTTGCTCGGGGTCAGTGTTACCAGATTGAAAGAAATGTTTTCTGAATTCGCCGCAACCAAACGACCACGACTACCCGCTCCGGAAGCACCATGTGTACCCCGCAAGGAAAATTCATATATCGACTCATGTTATTTCATGAAGGAAAGATAGCTAAACCACTGGCAAAATCCGCCAACTTCGATCTGAATCTTTCTGACCGGTAAGGGCCTAGCCAAGCGGCCTGAACCTTTGAGGTAATGGTAGTATGGAGCTTCATCATGATGAGATACAACAGATTGGAATCAGATGAACCTTTTGTCTTTTTATTTGGTACACGGCCGTCCCTTCCAGTATACATTCTTTGAGGTAGGCTAATGAAGGAGGAGGGGTCTGGTAACAAGAATCATGACGTTGCGCTGGCAATTGGACATGAAGAAATGATTCAACAACTTGAGTTCTTTCTCTGAAGTCTCGACCTCCCAAAACTAGATTTGTGCACAGATCTGTGCTGCAAGTATTGTACTTTACAAGTCATTGAAATAATAATAAAATACTTCCGCCCGATCCCCGTGACACTAATACTTAGAGAAATAAATCGATCTTACTAGTTGACGAAGCTCCCGTTAACTTTTGACAAGCATTTAGGTACTTTACATTCCTTTCAACTTGCAGTCAAAAGCATGAAAGTTGACCTTGGAGCTCTACCGCCTTGCCTGCTTCGCGCTTATTCTCCAAGCTTTGATCAAAGAATCAAGCATTACACTCCACACCAACTACTACATAATTGGCAAAAACATCGTCTCCTGCAGGGTAAAAAGGAAAGAGCTATCAGGCAGAGCCAAGAGCCTTCTAGTAACAGCAACACAGAGTGCGTCCCTGGAGGATGAAAGGGGACGAGAACTCGCATGCTGTCGATCGACTTGAGAAGAGCTATTAAAGTGCGCCCATTCATGTCTGTGTTGAACTTTATCTCATTCCATGCTAGGTTTCTTGATCCTAGCCTCACCATATCAATGAAGGAGAGGAGTCCGCCCAAAAAGCGTCAGAAGTTGGACCCAGCAAAGGCTAGCGATAGCACATCAAAGTTCTCTACATATCAAAACACCATTTCGAACACGCCGGCTATCACCAATCGGGCCTCGTCATCCTCGGTCATCGCCCACGATGTGACTACACTTCCGCAGCCCGAGGTGTTGATGATTGCACCTCCACCTACTTCTCAATCTCCAATCGTAAGGATGCCATCGATACCTGCGATTGTCGGACGCGAGTTCGAACTTCCGGAGCATCTAATTTCATTTGAAAAAACTTCCTACGAAGGAAAACATTGCAACAGCCTTGTTCTTCATGCGCTGAGAGGGACTGGCGTTGTACCTATCAGGGGGATGCACCTCCCTGCGACTCTTGTCGTATACTTGGGCATACCGCTGAGACCTGCCAAGCTCGTGATGACTTAGGTAAAGAAGATGTGCCGAAGGAAGAGTCAGATAACAACAAGGAAGGAGGCCAAGAAGGGAGTACTGGGGTTTGGAGAGATGGAAAGTGGTTTGCTTTTCAGTATGGACACGTTATGAGACATAGAGACGCTTAGTGGATGAAGTGAGAATTAAGCAGGCATTCCAATGGAAATTGATGAGTTTTCCTGCTGCCAGTGATGTAGACTCTGACAGTGTTTCGACATGCGACCCACCTGAGGTACCTACTGTTTTGTCTCGTCCCTGGGGGAAAAGCAAATGCATGGAAAAAATCAACGACCACAATATGAATATAGTCGTGAGGGAAGAGTGGAAAAACGAAGTATGGAGGGGTTCTCCAGCTGAAGTTGGAGCTGAAAGGGTGGCTGGCTTCTAAGTCACCTGGTCGCGCCAATGTCTCAGAAAGTGTCTCTGATTCCTATCCAGGACCAATGACTCCACATCTCTAGTCGTGAAGTAGAGACAGGAAGCTCCACAAAAGCTTATATCTCGACATGTTCACTAAGTGTGACCTGGAAGTTATAATTTCTTAGCCTTGCGAAACCCTTCCGCGGAATTCTCCTTCTTGATTGAAATCATTAGTTGGCTGCCAATCACCTCAAACTTTGACTGTCTGGATTCTCATCTTGCCGTTCATGAGTCTATCAGCATGCTGGTCCGTGAAGATATGCTTTAGTGTATGCCTGAAGATTGTTGTTTGCTTCTCGCAGAGCCATTACACCACTATGTAGTGGCAGACTTATCATGAGCGGCACGAACCTGCATGCCAAGACATCAAACTTACTTCTCATTTTCAGCCAGTTACCGTGGCATTGGAAAGTCGGCAATGCTTACGGAGGATATGATAGGTTCGGTAGATAATCAGAGCTCACAGCTGGTCGAATATCTATGACATGTCAAAGACGCTTTCAGCCAGCCAGTATCGCTGAACAGGGATCGGACCTGTCAGTGGCCCATAGTAAATCCTTCGAAGTATAAAAACATCTACCCCATCCCCAGCTTCCCCTCAATCGAAGGTACATTTTACTCGACCCAGTATTGCTCCTCAAGACCAGATAATTCCATCACCCGACTCAACGAGCTCTTGAACAAACCCTCTAACGATGTCTTATCCAACCATTCCAGCCTACCAAACGCAGGCCAATGGTGCGGAGAAGCTCTCCCGCGAGCATCCCGTTCTCGATTTCTTAATCGACCATCAAGAGGCCTTCGATACTGGCAAGATGAAAACCGAACCCTACACTGTATTCCACGTCGATGATTTTGTCTTCACAAAGTCTGATGGCACGGTCCTACCTCCCGGGGAGGCATCTTGGAAAGGCTTGCTCGAAGGATACGCTCCATTCAACAAGCACTACCACGAGGGTCGATACGCCTGCATCTACGAGCGCAACGGGATTTGGGAGATGGTTGGTTTTGCAAATGTTTACGCGAATCTTCTTGTTCCTGGCGAGAAGACAAAGAAGGATCAGTCTGGTCGTCAGTGGGATGTCCTTGTGCCGGGGGCATTTCTCTTCACTTGTGTCAAGGATCCTACTGGTCCGAAAGGGTTCAAGGTCAAGTCAATGACTTTGTTTGGAGACGGAGTCCCTGTAGTTGGAGAGATGATGAAGCGTGGAATGGTAAAGGCTGAGGATCTTGTGAAGTAAATACTCGCGTAGATACTCGAAACTGAAACAGTTTCCTTGCACGAAACCACTGTAGTTAACTTGGGAAAAGAATGTGACAGTCAATAAGAAACTCTGACAAACAAATTAAATACTCTAAACATTATTAGATTCCATGAGTCCTTTTAGAAACTTCCAATTCCTAAATTTTGAAGTAAGTCACGTGTTCGCTACCCCTGAAGGTCTGAAGGACTTCTCAATGGCGAAGAGGATGTTACTAAAAGTAATTTGACGTTAGCTCTTGAAGAATGTCAGGTGAGGTGGCTGATGGGCAACGATTTGTTGCACAAAGAGCTTAGTAGCTTTTGAATGAAGAATTTTGCACTCGCGCATTTTACAGGGTCGATTTCCAAGTCTCCACGCGGTGCTCAAGAGTTCCTTTTTAGTAAATATGACCCGCAAAAGATCAGACCGTTGCGACATAGCGTTTAGCGTATCTACCGCTATCTAGACCCCTGGAGACCTGAAAGACTACCAAGCTAACAAGGAGGCTAAACGACACCATAGAGTGGGCGAACCAAAAACACGACGCACTTGTCAGCATTCCGCGATGGCTGATCCTAGCTGTACCCGAGGCGAGCAGGCATACTTGATATACTGCGATAATTACGACACTCTCATCGTCAGAGACTGGGATGATCTGACTTTGAGAGAGCAAGCAGAATGGAATATGGCCTTTCCAGGTCAAGTTCGAGAGGATGGTAGGTTACCAGAGTTCCTTCTTACGCGCGCAACAACTGAGATATGCTAGAACCGTTCTTAACGTGGGTCAGAGAGTGGCCTAGACCAGGTGATGTATATGTGTATGAGCCAAGAGGTATGTAGGCTTTTGTTACGCGAGTTCAACTGCAGTCCAGATATTCCGCAAAGGATCAAAGGACTGTGTAGCCAACATCTGTCTGTCCCAGAGCTAATGACATCTTTCAGAGCCTCAACCTTACCGGACACCTACATCTGCCTATACTGCTGCGCCTACCCCCTCGTTCTCTCAAATTCCCAACTCGAACCTGAGATCATCTCCAGTCGATGCAGCAACCAGCAGCCAAGATCTCACAGCACAATTGGGTAACTCTCAGGATACCTGGACCGCTTCCTCAAATGGCAGAAAGACCCGAGATAATGATCCAAGCTGTCCACCTTGTCGCCGTAGTCATTGTGGAGGCTGCAAAGGTGGTCCTCCTTGTATTCCATGTAAAGGACGACATTTGACTGCGAGGCAATGCCAAGGTTTAGACAATTCAAAAGGCTTTTTCGGGGGCAAAGACATTGGATGGAAGCTTGGCAAGAAGGATAGAGAAGACGATTCTCGACAAGATGGCGCTGGAGCTGGAGGTATCATAACTTGATCTTGCAAATCTTGCATATGCACTAAGTGGATGATGGCACAAGATGGTGGTTTCTTTGATTTTGGGGAGAACTGGGGTTAGTGGGATGCGCAGTGGCATCATAAATCCATCGGTTTGGAGCTTTTAATACGCATAGCCGCACAGAGGGGTGAGAGGTAGTTGATTGCCTTTTTTGAATGCAGCCTGACTTTCGCCATGACTGACACAAGACGTGAAGATCAGATAAAATATGTTTCTTTTGCATTTCTAGACTCCCAGTGGGTTTTCTGTATGCAGTTCAACCTAGATCGCTTAGCTCAGTTACGAAATTCCAGTCCGAACCGGATTTCTACTCTGACTGAATCACCTGATCCTCAAAGCACGACAACATCTCAACACTTGACAATAATGCCAGACATGGACCAGCTTACGGTGTCCAGTTAGAAGCAATTGATCAAAATAATGAGTTGCGGTCTTTCATAGTGGCTGCCACTTCTTCTGGATGTTGTTGAAAGACTTTGTGGTGATGATGGATAAGGCCCAACAGAACAGATTTCTTTGGCGACTTTTGTGGCAAAAAGGATTAGGATGGATCTCTACATGGAGCTCATACATTGATGGTTGCTTTTGTAAGAAATCTTTCGAGTTGCGCTTGCACTTGCGCGAATCCCATTCAAGAACACAACGCGCCTTCCACTCTTCTTTCAATTTAGTATTTACCTATCACTTTTCTATGCTAGCATTCGAAACGCCTTTGCCTTGTCTCCTTCCTCGCAACTCGTTACTTCATCCAATTTCGCCCCCGAAATCAACCGTTAATCGCCAGTCATCTCATGCTGAAAAGACTGTTTGTCAGAATACTGAGAATCTGGCCCAGATGAAGTGCTGCTTTTGCGCTATAACTGCGCAGTAATCAGCCGATATGCATGCCATACATCAAAGGTGAGAGGAGACGGGAAAATGTAGGAGTTTTCCGCCGTAGTCCCAATTCGCTCATGCGCGCAAGAATAACGCTAAATTTCAGGTGGCACAAGGGAGTGGCAAAGCCATCAAGAATGCCGACAATCATACCCAGGATGAGGAGAACTCAGAAACAAATTGAGTATAAATCTAAATGAGGACGAGTACTACACTAACAAAGAGAAATCCTCCTCACCGAAGTCAGATTACTTCAGCCTAGAATGGAGAAAGATCGATTAAGCAGTGGGAGTTAGGAACGAACGAGAACTAGTGTAATACATTTAACTTATCTAGAGACCAAGGCCCTTTATACAAAATCCGAGGGCTCAAGAAGCTACTAGATTAAGAATCTTATTACATCTCCGTGTCTTGGCAGATTCAAGTATACATAAGTAGCTAGATTGTAAGATTAGCTTTTGAGAATTTGAGTCTAAGACATGAAGTATTTTTCGATCTAAATCTAAGTAGTGTGAGATAGCAATAACGAGCTTCAACCAAATTTGAGGCAATCGATAAGGTAGCGTACATGTAACGCAGAATGACCTCTTGGAGAGCATTGTAAGCTGAACACCATTTAAGTTAGACTCAACCTTTTTTTTCGCTGGTTTGGTTTTAATGTTTGGACGTGAGCAGCTGCCATTACAACACATATGATGACAAGAAGCATGTAAATGAATGTTATATTTGAAGTCCAAAAACTAGACTATACATCTCAACTCCAAAATTGCGTGAGGCGAGGTCACGCTCTCGTCAGCTAAGCAGAGTCTAAGAATTAAGATTGCGTCCCCACATCAAGTCTCCTGCTTTCCTTCAGTAAATTCGCACAAGCTCAGACTCCCTTCATCTCATCATTGCATGGATTGAACTTCCTTGTAAGTAGCCCAGACTCATACGCCCAAGCATCCGAGGTAGCATTCTGAGATAGTTCGGTTACAAGCTCTGCCCTTCTCCCATGAGTCTTCCGTCCAACACCAGTTAGCTTTACACGTCGAATCACCGGTTCTTCACCAGTATTACTGGCTCTGGATTTCGTGAATATGTAGATCAATGCCAGACACACGACGATACACGTCCCATCCAATACTGTTGCTCCCTGTAGGAGCGAGGCAGACAGCACCACCGCAACTTGCAGGTATGGCCCCGCTCCCCGTAGCCACGATGGCCTTTGATCGACATTCGATCCTGTAGTAACGATTTTGAGTAAATTCTGCGGCCCGGATAGGACAGCTCACCGGTCGTTGGAGGCTAGAAGCAAGATCTGCGCTTGCTGTGTGTCTTTGGTGTAGCCTGCCCAAGGGTTCTGACTCTGCAATGCGAGATGCAGATTCGCGAGGAGGATCGCATGGTAGAGGACGAGCAAGAAACCGCCAGCGAAGTACGAGATTGATGAGGCTGTGATAATAATTACCAATGCCACAAGCGTAATGAGCAATCCAATGATAGGATGAAAGTTATCCTTGCTTGCAAATCTTCGAGTTCCACTACCATCTTCAATTCTCATGGCTTTCGAATCGTGCATCTCAATCAATCATGTCGACCTCCGCCACTAGGCTGAGTCCTGAGGAAAAGCTTATTGATGGACCAGATATGCTCACTCTCTATCTTAACTCCACAATCAAATTATTCCAGGAATCGCAATGTTTACCCCTCCCGGATCCGCTTCAGCTTAGCGATCAAGAGAAGCTGGTAACCTTCCTTTACCTCTTCTACAACGTACATGCGCATGCGCGGTACTGTTTTCAGTGCGATGAAATGCAAAGCATTGATGCAACGGCCATAAACCAGCCCATAGCCCCAGTAATCGGCTCGCCAGAACTTCACTTTGTCTTCACCGAACTTACACTTCGCTTATTGAACTCATCGAAGCCCTCGAGGCGCGCGGTTCATGATATCAGACCTCTGGCTAGCGAGAGTATGCTTTTCGCGACTTTCTATGCGCTTTATAGCACCTTCTTACGATATCCACTTCATCTGCGTCCAGTCGGGTCTGGGAACACTACTGCAGGTGCAAGAGAAGCCGTCCTTGGCTGGTCCAATTATGCCCGCTCCAGTCTGCCATTAGCTGAGACGGTAGTCTCTTTACAAGCACGTTCCGGAGGCTTCTACAACGCTACTACTATCTGCTTATATCGTTCATTTGTGTTGCACGCCCTAACTGTGTCTCCTGGCCAGGGACAGTTAGAATGGTTGGCTCTTGTATGCGACACGTTTGCTGTAAACATGGATAGTGAGGAGAATCTTGTGTGGTACAAAATAGTCTCAGACCATTCATCCGGAGCGTTGCCTGGGTCACAATCTTTAGTTATTAACGAGATAATAATGACGGAATTCACCATCGAGCGACCAAACGAGCTCTTTGAGTTGCTAACTCAAGCATTCGCTGCAGGTCCTGCAACCGATGTCACATACGCTATACGTCGCCGCCTAGCTCTCAAAAGAGTTGATGGGCAAGGCGTACCACGGAGCTCCCAACCTGCGGCTATGGCTCGGACTATGATACGTCAGATCAAAAAGGCTATAAGGACTGTGGATGTAGATGAGAGAAAGCGAGTCTATGAGATATGGGTGAGGAGCGAGTGGGACGCACCGTCTATATTGTTCACTACGGACGAGATCCGAGAAATCCTGATGCACCTTGACGACCCATTCATTATGAAGTTCACTTCGGACTCCGTGCTTCGATATCTTGTCGTCAAGTATAGAGGGTTAAAGGCCGTTTGAGCCCGCGCTCGCAACCTGGTTCACACAGCATGCAGGTCAGTCGATCGTGAACTCCCAGCAATGGATCCTGCAGTAAATATCCCAGAGGAAGCCACTCGCCTCTACGCAAAGCTTGAACATCTCAGGTCCGAGTTATTGGAAGTCGCCATAGAAATGGCGAGAGTGAGTTCTGAGAACCCTATGAAAGGCCAAATATTGGATGGTCTCCGCTTGGTGGGAACGTCTGACACAGCAGTTCTCCAGCCAAGCCGCCTCTGGGACCTCGTATTCAACACGACGATCGAGTCCACATATACAACCCTCCCATGGATCGCCGTCTCGCATAGCTGGTCTCAGGCCGACGGCAGTTGTTTCACCTCTATCAACAACCGGGCAAACATTATTCCGTGGGCAACTCTTGCTGACCTCAACAATATCCGCGACGCAATGATGGCAACCGGGCTAACGATGGGCTGGATGGACAAGATCTGCTTGCGTCAGCGGGGAACAGAAGGATTTGATGGTGCTTTAAGACAATTGGAGTGGACAACAGACATCCCATTAATTGATGTGGCGTACCGACATGCTGCAAAGATATTGGTATATCTTGACGGAGCGGGGAGGGAGATCAACTACAGAACAACATTCCGAGAAAAGAGTAGCTGGCTGTACAGAAAATGGACGGCTCAGGAGACCCCAAGCGGTGTTGAGTTAGTACTAGGGTCTGGAAGAAAATTCTTGGAAGGTGACTTTTTCGACATTTGCAAAGGAGAGCTGATGGAATAATGGCATGGGAGAAATCATCAGGATGGAACTGGCACCACAAAAGGGCTTGAAGGGTGCGAGAGCTGCGTAAGCGTCATAAAGCGATTGCGTTCCGTACAAGAATTACGGAACTTGAAGTCGGATGCTCAAGAACTAGAAAAGTTGCGCCACGTCTGGGAAGTCATGCAAGGCAGATCGGCCGGCTGCCCTGCTGACCATGTTTTATCCCTTGTTTCCATACTTGGGCTATCGGAGAGGCCGAGATATGACTCAAGGTATAATTTACCACAGGCTGTGAGCCTTCTCAAGGAGCATCTACCTACAACTTCTCGACAGATACTGGAACAAGATGAGTGCGCCTCCTGGTTCGACGGAATGTTCTCGACATTTTCGAGCTCGTCTCTCGTCGTACCTTCTTGTTGGGGCGGTGACAATAGACTGGCTGCTTTCTCCATCAAACCCACAGCAACTGAAGACGTTAATAAGTTGGAGTTTGCTTTACGTGGTATACTTTCTCGGGTAAAGAAGGTTTTTCTAATAAGAGAAGGAGATGTTAGCGCTGTGCAAGACATTTCATCCGATCAGAACGAAACGACCTGCACTTGCCTACGAGTCAATAAGCCCCTGTATCTTGACAATCGCGACATTTACGCAGACTTCTTCGTGTGGCATGGCTACGAGGCATGTTGCGCCGCAGTCGTACCAAACGACCGTGCAACCACAGATGGAGATCTCGCTGCCCTTCGTAACGCAACTCATCTACTCCTAGGCGAGAACCAATTGATTTGTGCACCTTTGAAAATCTCTGACTCCGATATGGAGAACATAGAAAAGTATGAACTCTTGCTTAGCAGCGCAGATTCAGTGGCTATACTTGACTCCGCACTAACGTGGACCATCGTTAGCAAAGGCCAACAAAGCAGAACCTGCATTATAAAAGCAAAATGATTATAGAGAAAAATCGACTGTCGAACTTTTTACCCTTAAATCACGAGGGTTTGAAGGAGAGTATGAAGCGATTGGATGAGGGTGAGATGAGGTATATAGAGGCGTCCTTTTCACCGATTTGGCGCAATGAGGCCGAACATCGCGATTTGTTTCCAATTTATTCTTATTAAATTACCCGATATGACTATTCACTTCATCTTATCATCAAAAGAATCGCACAACCTTTCTTTTGCCACCAAAACGGAAGATGCTATCCGCCCCCTTTTTGCCTCGCTAAAACTAGCGGGGTTCGGCTGCCCGCACCAAACCCATAGAGCCTGAACTTAAACCATCAACAACATCACAATATTCATCAAATACAACCTCATCTCCCTCTGCATCTCTTTTCATCAATTTAACTTCCAGCAATGGCACCTCTCAACGTCCCTCATGGGCTACGGTTTCTCCACAAAAAGCTTTTATCTCTTATTCACCCTCCTACACCCCGGTCTAAAAGTTTACGCATTTTTTTAATTAGCTATTGCACTAAGTAGTAAAAAAGGAATAGAGAAAGGAAAATAATGCATTGGAAATATTGTTAAACAATAGAAAAGTTTTTAAATAATAAAAGAATTAATTTAGTAGTTGTTTATACGTATTATAATACGTATGCTGAGTTTGCTAAGAAATTGTTTTTAGTTAAAAAAATATAATATTTCTTTAAAATTTTACGATATATGGGGAATTGTTAATAAAGTGAAAGTCGTAGTCGAGAAACCCTTTACAATTCCAACGGAAGCAAATAGTGTCTTAAAGATAGCCAGAAAAAAAAAGAGAAAAAAAAGCGCTAAAATATTCACGGATTTTTAAAGTAACCTTCTCCTTTCCTCTTTTCTTTGCGTAGTCTTACAACTAATATGATAGACTAATGCTACGATTTCGATTTCTTCACCTTCCACTACTTCGCTTTAAACTTTGCATTCGGCCTAATCATCGAATGCGAAATTTATTACGATACTGGCTTTCCCTCCCAAATCTCGTCCTAGACTTCCCTCTCTTGGTTCCCGGGCCAAGGCATGCTCTTCGGTCTCGACTCCTACACTGTCGACTAAGCCCTCGTTCTCTTTGGTCCCTAAATCCGTGACGAGTTTCTATCGTTCGCTCAGAGGGGAGCAAGGTGAGCCGGCTGAGGAGAGGGTGAGGCGAGGGTGGTTAGCGCCCGAGTAGAGGCGGCGAGCTGACTAACCGACCTTGGGACGACGGGAACAAAAGTTGTGTTCAACTACCACAGTAGTCTCACGAGTCTTCCGATCTAAATCACAATAGTGTGATATTGTGAGGACGAGCCGGAAAAGAAAGTACGAGTTCATCCACGGGTTGACGTACATGTAAGTCAGTCTTTACAGAATCTTCTAGAGTGGATTTCATTTCCTATCTAGCATCCACCAACTTTCGATCTAAATCCTAAATTCCTAATCGCGTGATTATTTCGTGACGAGGCTGGCAACTGAACTCGAGTCCGTCAATAAGGTAACCCAGCCGCGTATAACAATAATCGCCAGACTCTTTCCGACAAACAAAAACACCAATACAACACAACAGAACACATCACAACGACCATGGCGTCACACAAGACAAGAGCAGAACGCGCCTACACTCAATTCCTCTACAACCAAGAGCACTACGAAGACAACCCCCACTGGCCAGCTTGGCATGAACTTGCGCCCGTCGATCTGTTGTCTTGGCAAACCGCATTCCCAGAATGCTACAAGTATGGAGGTATGGAGACCGACCCATTATTGCTTGAGATGTACTAAGTTCTCTTTAGAATCAAAGGTGGTGGTTCCTGGTTGGCCGCGTCTTGCTAAGAATGGAGAGCGGGGTACGTCAAAACCGAAATCTTCCATTGTTTTCACTTACTCGACTTTGGCTGAGCTGAAACTCTGTCACATTGGAAGTACCTGTACTAACTAAATGTCAGATCTTAGCCCTGAATATCCTGGTGTTGCAGGTTGGCAGGCAACTTCAGCTTCTGATAATTTCTGAACTTTTACCAGTGTTTAGCAAGAAATGAAAACGGACTCTGCACTTAGTTGAATTCTAAGTCTACAAAATATTTGGCGCAATCAAGATTCCACTAGTGTACATGGACCCGCTTATCTCGCTCCCCCACTATATGAAATACCCCTGAGCACCCCCTGAGAACACAAAAACGTCACGTGACACAAACTTCATCTTGACTGAACCATCACCACCAAGCATGTCTAAAGCCAAGGAGCATGATTCTGACGAGAGTGATGGTATATGGTGTACGCCTGTTGATGTGTGGATGAGACTAATTTTCTTTAGGGGAGTTTGTTGATGCGAATGAATGGCAAGATGGCGATGAGGATGGTATGTGGATGCTCTTTGTTACTGCTATTGTGTTTGACTAACGCTTTTATAGAGGATGATGGTATGGAGAGTATGCGCTTCTTTCTTTTGAGTTGCGGGTGTTTGCGCAAACCCTTTCCTTTGGGTATAGGAGTTGCTTTTGAGCGATTGAGCAATAGTGATAAAGAGTATTGGCTAATGGTCTGGAACTACAGTCGTAGGACCTCCTGCTGGACTTCTTAGAGGCACCGCTGCCGCATTCCCATCTTTGACCTCTACCTCGAACTCCGCAACCCAAGGTTCTCGCGTTCCCCTCGCATCCGTTACTCAAGCCGATTCCGACTCCGATTCCAGCTCTGACTCTGAAGCCGAAGCCCATCCTCCCTGCCCACGATGCGTGAGAGCTAGACGCCTCGGAAAATTCCCCTGCGTCGGTGGTCCACCTTGTCAACCATGTGTTGGCAGTGGTTTTGATACGGCTGATCAATGCCTAGAGCCTGAGCCTAAGGACGGGCGCACAGCAGCCGGTCGAGGCACTGGTTGGAGACCACCACAGGTAGGAAAGGGTCGCTTTTGTGCAAAGAACCAGAAGAAATACAAGGACAGTCGTAGCAAGGTCAAGGGTAAGAAGACCAAACCTCGATTCCCAGAACCGAAGTCTACTAAGCCGCAACCTACTATGAGAAAGCACCGACGTGGTGGAGGTGGCGGTCGTGGAGGAAGAGGAGGCTCGGGAATTGCGGTCTAGGGACTTGGATATTGGGGCATCATGAGTGGGTGAGCACATACTTTGTCCTCCATATTGCGTTGGTAAGAAGCTCGATCTTAAATCATGAAGAATAACATGGAAAGAGCTAACGAAATATCCTAGCTTTGCAGTGAGATAAGAGCGATTTTGGGACGCAGATTGCTTTCATTCTTGCACTAGTAAGAAACTCATTCTCAACAATTGCTTGACACTAACATAAAACAGAGCAAAATCGATGATTTGGTTCGTTCGGCGAGAGAAAGTTATTTGGCTGTCTTTTGGAGAGCGATTGGGTATTGTTACGCCTTTCGCAGTCCTTATGACGCCCTCTTCCTAGCAGAAAATGATGACACACAAGCCCACCCGGTCCAAGATCTCATTGATACTTGACACATCGTATTCGGGGACCTTCCGGCTCACAGCCATGCTGCAACGTCCAGCATGATATTTCTTTCTTTGCGGTAAGATTGCCTATATCACAATTGCTATCGCGGTCAGACCTTTCGTAAATCAAGGACGCAAAGTCTAGACACGTTGCCAAGTGGAACGAGTAGGGTAATGCTGCGCTTGCAACTCGCCGAAAGAGAAAAGCACAAGCGATGAGTAGTCAGATTGTTGGTCCAGGAAAATGGTAATTGCGGTCATTGGCCTCGGGACCGAGGGCGTGTCAGAAAGACAAGAATATGTGCGAGTAAAATTGCACTTGCAGCATTCAGTTGCCGAATGCATGAAGTGACCTCGTGGCAAGTGGGTCCCGGATCACCAATGTCACAGATCTAGTTCTGCGACCATGCTGAAACCATCACGTGCACTGGCACGTGATCGTACTCCTGTATATAAGCTCGGTTCAGAGCTCTTTCGAGCTCTTCGCCTTAGTATTCTAAGAATGGATCACCTCTTGCATCTCAACCTGATCTGGTCCGTCACATTACCCACAGGGAAGCAGAAGACTGGGATCAGAGAAATCTTCTCGAAGGCATGGGGTGGGACTGATATGAAAATTGAGGGGAAGGACACGCATTCGGACCTGAAATCTGCTTTTTAATTTGCATTGCCGTTGGAAGCCCTCCGTATCTAGTTGATGCCAAGATATTGCGACGGGATGATGAAGGAAATGGGTGACTATAGTAGAATTTCCCATGTGCTATAGAAGGACAAAGCATTCTGGAACACTGCCACTCCTGGTCCTGATTGATCATTGGATTTATGCTTTGACAAACAAATCTGCCTCGGATGACGTTCCCACTGGTTGGAGGCACAGAAGTTCTGAAACCATCGTTCATGCAAGCTGTCCGCAGTTCATTGCGTTGCACTGCAGTAATAGGAGGTTGACATCAGTTATCTGTCACTTGAGATAGGGGCAAGCGAATTGACAACGAGGAGCATTCCCACATCTCAGTGCAGGAAGCAATATGTGTCAACGGCAGAGAAATGGCAGGCATCAGAGAAGGAAGCAGGACTCGTGATGGTCGATAAGGAAGGTCTCGGCCAAGGAGAAACAACGATACGGGTAAGGCTGAGGTGCGGCTGCGGCTTTGAAAATAATATTCTTCTTTGTATACGCAGGAACAAAAGAAAAGAAGAAAATGGTTGGGGCAACGACCCCTAACTACACGACGTGCAGCGAGCAGCAGATGGGAGGAAGATCATACGGCCCCCACAAAGAGCCAGGGCAGCTACCAAAGACCCACCAAACAGACTCCAGCTTTCCCCGCCACAAGCTGCAAATTCCCTCTCGACCTTCCCTAAACCTGCGCCTACGGAAAAACCTCAGCCAACCTTACTCCAACCGCATCTGCTTCTGCTTCTGGTGCTTCACCGCAGGATTTAATGGAGGGATGTGCACATGCGCACATGCACACATGCACACACGTCCATTCAGCACCGTGCAGCAATAGCTCAGCACCACACAGCACAGCACCCACACCGCAAACCGCATCATCCATTCATCCGGATTCCGGGGCTGTGCCAAGGCCCAGTCGACATCTGATGCTTTCCTCCAATCCATCACTTGCCCATCTTGATTTTCCCCTGCGCATGGAAATCGTATTTGACCACGCCCCAAGCCACTGAGGACATTGAGGTCGAATGATGCGAACACTGGAGCGCCAGGAGCTTGATCTTCCGGGATGTCGGTATGGATCTCCGACAGCAACAACAACGGCGTGGTCTCTTATGCACTAGAAAGGTATATGAGGGGCTTCCATCGTGTGGCTGCCAATGAAATATACAACTTGGCCTCGCTTGTCACTGGGTGCATGCCATGAACCCGGCCTCAGCAAGGGCCCTCAGCTGTCAAACTGCTCGCAACTGGTGGACTCATGGGAAACCTTCTGGGGATCCTGTTGAACGGTCCTGAATGTCAGGATGTCAGTGGAGGCGCCTGCACAAAGGGCTTGGAGAATGACCGAGGAGAGTCTAGTTCCAGGCCAGAATGGCACAGAATGGACACACTCTGGCTCCCGTCAATGGGACCCTCCAGCTCATCCCCAGCCCGCCAAGCGTCCAACCCGTCCTCACGTGAGTGATCCTTGCCTCACTTCATCTATTCCAGCTCTACGACTGGCTCTCTTGCGTCTGTGATCCCTGACTTATTATCCTTCTCTGGTAACCACTTTGGAGTGTCTGGGGGAGAGGGGGAATCGTCCACCCAACATGCCCAGGTGGGTTCCGGAAGCGTCACATCATGTAGGAGTCTATTTGCTGGTAACCATCTAGATTCACATATCGCTGGACTTTTAATTTAGCCAGATTAGGTCCCATGCGCACTATCACACCGTCTACATTACCCATAAAGCAACGAAGCGCAATTCAATCGTGGCCGTGTCTGTTCCTTTCCAAGGTTGAACATTCCATCGTCATGGGCAATACCTAAAGCAGATGCTCGACAGCGGCGTACGGAGGGATCCTTACTGTGAGCAGAGAAACACGGGGCCGGCCAAATAACATGCAATCAGGCCTTCTAAGTCGTCCGAAGCTACTCTCTCTTAAGCAAATGCCAGAATCTCCCGACCAACGTTCTTCCCAAACCAGCTCGTTTACAATCTCTTGCTCACTACGCATCACCTCTGATGCAGAACCTACACTTGCTCGACGACAAGAACGATGGCATTGAGGCACCCGTATCCCAACGTTTATAAGTTCTTCAACCAATTCGCCGCCCCAGATCAGGCCTCGCCCGAGCAGTCGTCCAGGAGTCAAGGGCTTCGAAAGAGTGGGCCGAGGTCGAAGACCGGTTGTCAGACGTGCAAGTAGGTAACTTTTTCATTTCGTGCCGCCGACCGTTTGAGAGACCTCAGAATGCTCTATCAATCAGCTTCCTCTGTTTGTTTCAACTAATCGTATACAGACAACGACGAGTGAAATGCGACGAAACAAAACCAGGGTGCGTGCGATGTCAAAATCTCGGTCGGGAGTGTGGAGGATACGCACCTGAAGCGCTTGACGATTCATCCAAAAATGTCGCGCCCGTTCCGATCCATCCACGACCGATGTCTGTAATGCAATATGCACCATCCGTCGCAATTCCAGGAACTCCAGACGAACGACGGTACTTCCAACGGTTTTGTGATAAGACTGCAGCGGAAATATGTGGGTCTTTCGACCCCACATTCTGGACTGAAAAGGTCCTCCAGCTGTGTCATACGGATGCCCCCATAAGATATGTCACGATAGCTTTAGGAGCACTTGCGAAGTCTCTGGAGGTCACATCGTTTCCGACACGACTTTCGCTTTCGGGTTTCCCACAGATTGATCATCAACATCTCGATGAGCATCACAAGTTTTCCCTGAGGTTATACAGCAGATCGATTGCCACTTTACGAGCTATTCTTTCCGATGGACGCCGTCACCTGAGGACATCGCTCACTTGTTGTGTGCTATATATGAGCTTCGAAGCCCTCCAAGGATGTTACGAAGGCGCCTTGACACATCTTCGAGGTGGATCGAGACTTCTTGCAGACTGGAGAACAGCACGGCGAGGACAAAGCTCCAGATTATCACAGGATTCTCTGTCTGAGATTCAGGATGGGCTCGTCGACGATCTCGGAAGGATGTTTGCGCGGCTCGATGTCCAAGGATTATTTGTTCCCCCACCCTTCCCCATGCCGGAATCGGACTGGGAAGATGTTGTCGTAGCAGAATCATTCGACAGCGTGCAGGAGGCACGAGAATCGTTTGACTTCTTGATGCAAGGAATAGGACAATTCTATCGGAAATCAGTCGCTCACTCGTACCAACATCCAGAAAAGCTCACCTCGCCATTTTGGCTTCACCAACACAACCATTACTCCACACAACTAGACCAATGGCGGACATCATTCCAGGTCATTTTCGCACAAGAAGTTCGAGCAGGAGACATTATGGCCAATTCATCTGACATGCTGAGTATATACTTCAACGTCGCTACAGTCCTTCTCGCTTCTAGCGTGGAACACACTGAACTCCTCTACGACGAATACAACGAACTATTCGCCGAAATCGTAACAAAAGCACAACAACTCATCCAGAGTTCTGAAGACCCCAGCAATTCTTCTCGCTTCACTCTAGACATGGGCACCATTCTCCCTCTCATGGTCACAGCAACAAAATGTCGAGACAGACGAATACGACGACAAGCCATAACACTACTATGGTCGAAAGCCCGACGAGAGGGTCTCTGCTACGATACTATCACCGTAGCACGTCTCTGTGCCTGGCTCTCGAGTATCGAAGGGGACGGGATCCAAGATGATGCGGAGCCCATTCCCGAAGCACGACGATATACGATTAGTTATATGCATCTCAGTTCCGAGGAACGGTGGTTGGCGGTACAGCTCACTTCTGCTATGACAAATGATAGTGGAAATCATACTTATAGGGAAACGACATTTTCTTGGTAAATGAAGTAAAGGAAAGCATTCAAGCGACAGGAGTTCAAGGATGGCGCTGATGGGGCATGGGGCATGGTGAAAAGTGGTACGGCGAATGGCAAAGGCACACATCCCGAGTGGCTTAATGCTGGTTCATATACCTCGGAGAGAACACATACAAATGTGAAATGATGCATCGGGGCACGTTTCCATAGGCGTTGCTAGGTACGAGTAATGTCATAATGCGGTTGTGGTGAGATATCCATCTTCGCAGAGGTGATTTGTCAAACCAACTTTATTGTTGCAAGTACTTCTCGCATATCTTTGTTCTGGTGTGTGTCAAGCAGGAAGGAGGAGTTGCAGATATCTGAGCACATATACCCCGCAGTGTATGAGGGATTGGGTTTCGTGGCGTCAGACTTGTAAAAGTAGGATAATGACGAGATATGAACCTCCGGACGCAAAAGACGTCTTGAAATACAAAAGTTTCTTTGATTTGGCGCATCCTATGCTGAAGAATGAGTGTTCAAACCAAGCTTGGACTTTTGAAGAGGACCGGCACGTGATAGTGTACCCCGCCTGTTCACATTCGGCCTAGTTGCTATCGACTCGCTAATTGTTTGCCGCACACAAGATATCATCATTTTTTTATGACTTCGAAATCTTGACCGACATCCTCGCCGCCGCCAACTTCACGAATTGACCATTACACACCCGATCAATTCGAATAATTATGGCTGACGCACCCAGAGGCGGAGCTGCTGCTCGCGGAGGTGGATTTGGATCCCGAGGCGATCGTGGAGGAGATCGTGGACGTGGACGTGGAAGACGTGGACCTCGTCGTGGTGCCAACAAGAACGAGGAGAAGGAATGGCAACCAGTCACCAAGCTCGGCCGTCTTGTAAAGGATGGAAAGATTAAGTCGATGGAAGAGATCTACTTGCACTCTCTGCCCATCAAGGAGTACCAAATCGTGGACTTCTTCCTCCCAAAGCTCAAGGATGAGGTTATGAAGGTATGCGATAATCTACGCGCCATGGCAGATCTTGAGAATATGGGAAGCTGACAATACTTTTCCCTATAGATCAAGCCTGTCCAGAAGCAAACTCGTGCCGGTCAACGTACTCGATTCAAGGCTATCGTCGTTATCGGTGATTCTGAGGGACACGTTGGTCTCGGTATCAAGACCTCCAAGGAAGTCGCAACTGCTATCCGTGCCGCCATCATCATCGCAAAGCTGAGCGTTCTGCCAATCCGAAGAGGTTACTGGGGTACAAACTTGGGTCTTCCTCACTCCCTGCCAACCAAGGAAAGCGGCAAGTGTGGTTCAGTCTCTGTTCGTGTAAGTGTTTGCGAAATCCTAGGTCAATCTGCAATAACTGACTTGCGCAGCTCATTCCTGCTCCTCGTGGTACTGGTCTCGTCGCCTCCCCAGCCGTCAAGCGTCTTCTCCAACTTGCCGGTGTCGACGACATCTACACCTCGTCTTCCGGTTCCACCAAGACACTCGAGAACACACTCAAAGCTACCTTCGTGGCTGTCGGCAACACATACGGATACTTGACCCCCAACCTGTGGAAGGAGACCAAGCTTATCCGAAGTCCTTTGGAGGAGTTTGGTGATGTTCTCCGCGCTGGCAAGAAATACTAGATGGTGGGATCTGTATTCGGCTTGGGTCGAATGATCTTTTATTTGCGAATGAAACGGGTGTTGCATCGGGATGGAGCTGGGTTCATAGCTACGTCTCAATGAAAGAACAGCTTTTCTATTGGTTTGGCCATCTCGAGTTGTGAGCGCATACAGTAGGAGCATTGGACTTGTGGTCAATGGTGATGAAAGCAGGTATATTCTCACGAGGAAGGAGCATCAGAAGGTTGCAAGCGCAGAACCTTCTTTCCCCAAATATGCTCCTCCATCAACGTTGTCCATCTTTCTTTTGGATCTTCACAATCTCCACAATCGCTCTTCTTGCTCACGCCCATTTTGAACATTCGTTTTCTATACCATGCAGTTCTTGCGCCGCTTTGGCACTCCCTTGGTGACGATCAGCCTGTTGATCGGGCTATCTGTGCTCACTGTGGTGTCTGTAGGGGAAGGATTGAAGCTGTTTGTCGTTAGAAGAGATGAATTCAAGCTGCGAAGGAGAGATGGTTCGACGATCACATTGAACATGCCTTGGAAGTAAGTCCCGTCTTCTACGGCGTGGAGACGGGAATTGACCACATGACAGTCCACCAAAGATCAAAACCGACGTAAAGGCAATAAATCCAGCTGTGGGAGGGATGTTGAATGCGGTCGAAGCCGTTGCGTCTGCTCTCCTTGGCGACGGAACCGATATGGCAGCCAATGCCCAAGCACAAGCATCGATTGTCACAGCTACAATAATCCCAATCGCACAAAGCGTTGCATCGACAGCCCTTGGGGGAGGCACGGCACAAGTTCCCGCCGCTGTTGCGGATGTCACAAGCGCCATAAATCAAGCAACTGGCGTTGTGGGTGGTATCGTCAGCGCTGCTAATAGCATTGTAGCAAGCATGGTTGCTGGAGCTGTAAGTGCATCAAATATCGGAATACTCTCGACATCCGTACCTCTGTCAGCCACCAAATCTGCTTCGGGAGGATTATCGTCGCCTTTCTCAACCAACAGCTCACAGCATGGGTTATGCTCGACTTGCAACAGCTCTCCCTCAAGCACTGCACTGCCTCTCAACATAACGTCTGCTCCTCTCCTTTCTTCGATGACATCGCAATCAGTGTTACCGATGGCACCCTCTTGCACGTCCATGCCAAGTTGCACATCTTGTCCAGCTGCCTATACAGAAACATGCACTGTTACCGAAACTTGGCATAGCACTCACTATGCTGAAACAGCCACACTTTACAGTTTTGTTGCGGCGTTCACAGTCACTTGTACTGAGACTGTCAGGTTGGTGACGGATATTTGAAACACTTACTCCCCAACTGACGCTTCTGTAGTGTCTGCCCCTCACTGTCTGCTTACCTGCCACCAGCGAACGCAATACTGCCTACCCAGCCACCCCTAATTGCATGCGCCAATGGGGCTCTAGCCAAACGGCAAGAGGACTGCACGTCAATACAGACTTCTGTTTCTCCGACCAGTGCTTCTCCCTCTAGTTCATACCTTGCAGATAGTCAGACTTCGTCTCACCCCTGCCCGAATGCTGGATATTCTTGCTCCGAGTGTCCAGGTGGATGGTTTTGTCCGCCATCACAAACAGCACCACAGAGTGCGCCTTGTGGTTTTGGGTGGGCATGTGGAGCTTGTAGCGGGGGATGGTTTTGTATACCCAATCCGACAGCAAGTGGAGGTGCTGGAGCTGTGAACTCCGTTGCCGGTCTTCTTTCAAGCGTTTCAGTGTGAGTTCAGGACTTCTATTTCAAGGGTCTAGTCTAACAAGAACCATAGTTCCCTGACCCAAGATGTTCCCTCTACTATGGCAAGCTTTACAGCACAGCCTCCCAGTTTTTTGTCTACTCTTCCAACAGCACTGGCGACAACAACAGGGCCTGGAACAGTAACATGTATTGATGGATCAGTCGTGCAGAGACCACAAGACTGCTTGAATGGAATTTCTGAAGCAACATCTTCGCTTGGAGCATTCGTTACTTCTCTCAGCCCAACTCTTAGTCAAGCAACCAACCTCGCTGGAAGTGCAGTTGGCGGTGCGGAAACCGCACTCAACCCTGCGTTGGCCAATGTTAATTCTGCTCTTGCACAAGTCAGCGGTTTAAGTGGTGGACTTCTCAGCACAATTATGGCGAATCTAGCCTCTGCACTTGGTGCCGCCAATACTCTTGGCAGTAATGCTCAGCCTACAGCAGCTTCACTTGTTGGGAATGCAGGAATTTTACTCTCGAGTGTCAACACTTTGGAAGGGAATGACATCTCGCAGGCCACAGCTTTGGCAAACACTCTTGCCGGTAATGTCATTGCTACCGGTGTATCTGTTGTTGGAAATGGGGCGAATAACGCGGCGTCTGCTATTAACGTCCTCGCCGGTAATGCTATCCCTACCGCTACAGCCGCCATTGGTAACGTAGTTGGCAACCTCCCAGGACTGATCAGAGATGTAAAGGAAGGAGGAAACACCATCGGTCACATCACAACAATCTTGAACGGTCAATCTACGATCCTACCAATCGTCGTCACCATCCTCAATGGAGAGCCTACTGTAGTGCCTGTGGTTAACATGGTGGTGAATGGCGCCTCAACCAACTTGCCAGTATTGAACGGAGCGTCAGGCCAATCAGCACGTCTTGTAGGAAGAGCAAGACCAAAACAGAATAAATTGGAGACAGCAAGCTATGAGGTGTGGTTGGAAGAAGGGGACGGCAATTTGGCCTGAGGTGTTTGATGAGTATTGTTGAGACATGGGAAAGGAGAGAAGGAAACACAATCAACATGTTCCTGTTTTTGGTAGTCATAAGAAGAAGTACATTGATTTATGATAATGTGTTGTATGAGAAAATGTGTCCAGATGATCTGGGGTTGCTTTTGAGGGCCTAGGGGACAACTTGTCAGATACTTTGACCCCGTGAACACACTTTGTAGGCCTAAAGCACACAACGTCGCCAAGCTACAGCGTCCCACGCTCCAAGTGCGCCATAATTCAGGACTCACGGAAGAATGGTTCGCTTGGGGCACACCACGATGTAGAGAAGTCTGCTTTGAGTTGCAACTTACGAGATAACACTTGCAACAGAAGAACATAATTCCCCAGTAGTCAGTCACTCAAGAACATGTAAAGGAGTCAATATCATCTGCCTTTCCTAACCTCAGGTGCTGGGACATGCTCAGGATTCGTCGGCCAGACCAGGAAACGATGAAAAGACATTCTCTCACAGCACAGTGTCGACATGCATCAGACATAATGGAGAAAATTATGAAATACAATCGTGCGTAGTTCTATCTTTTCAGGTTACGCAACCAGAAGATTGCATCTTCAACGTAGTTCACACCTATCTACCCTTCATCCCTCTCCCGCCCTTCACCATCCGTTCCCACAATAGCTTCCTAGCATGAAAATCATCGTCATCATTGATGTTTTCTTCATCTACATACAGTAATCAGTTTCAAATCATCTGAATCAAGACCAACATTAACTTACAGAACTTTTTATCAGCGACTTGGAGCTGCAGAAATGTATCCACGAGATCGGCGTTGTCGCCAAAGAAGTGAAGATGGTCTTCCATCCTCCACGCGGGCGAACAGGGAGGTGCAGATCTGCGGTATACCAGGCTATAGCCGGTAGTCATCGCTTCGTACATGACTTTTTGCCTTTCTCTGCGTCGATCGATACAAGCTACATGTTGTCAGAATAGCCATGAAAATTCCGGGTATTGAGGTGTCTTACCGTCGTAGAGAATGAGTTTGTAGCGCTTCATCATGGTCCGGTATAGCAGTGCCAACCGCCAGAGACAAAGACCTACGATAACTACATCTTCCGGCGGCTTTTTGATAGCTTCGTCGAAGAACTTGAGGATCTCATTCTCGGTTTCTTCCATGGCTCTAGCAGCGATGGAGCGTAGCTGGCCTCTTGCAATAGGTGATAGCATTGGGTCGATGCTGGGATCGGACATCTCGAAGAGAGGCGAGTTGTTCATGGTCAAGTCTGCTGGAGAAACCACGGGATGCGTGCCATACAGCCAGAGGCTTAAGCTTATCATGCGAATAGTCAGATCCACGAGTTTATGCTTATTTGGTTAACATGTCAGTCGGTACTTTGCTCGGAACTGGACTTACAAATGGTAGGAGCGGCCTGACATCGCAGTAATCGAAAAGAAATTTGTCCCGAATGGAAGGCTCAAAGTCTGGGATCTGTTCAGAGAATTCTTTCATCAGATTCCTCCCCCATTTATCGAGTCCTGTTGCTGATGGCAAGGTGTCATCCTCTATCCTGTAGGAAGACATCCTTCCTGAGCTCTCTTCCCATCTCGTCTTGCGTCCAAAGCCATGTCCGATAAATTCGCAATCTTGAACGTCCAACGAGAGGTTTACATCTGTTGGGAAATAGGCGCAATTTGTGCCCTTTGTCCGAATGCAGTGTCCAATCAAGATTGTGCGTTTCCATGCATCTGGTTTTAAGGGTATATTATACTTCCGTGTCGCTACATCATACAAGTCTCGACAATCGTCAGCTGAGCGCTCACTAGTATTGAGTGACGAGAAGACGAACCATCGATTCCTTTGCGGTAAGTCTGCAAGTTGACTCGAATACATATACCAGTTGCTAATTCCTCACTTTCCAGCAAGTGTTGGCGACTTCTAAGCAAACTTTGACAACTCTCGCATGGTTTCCCGGGAACAGAAGAACACTGGGCCTAGTTAGTCAAATCATCTCTTGGTTATATGGAACACTCATAATGACAGGCATGCGGCGTCGACGAAAAACTCACGTAGAGATGACTTACTTTGGTTTTGTTCAAATGACGACAAATAAGACAAGCTCCTACATCTCGCACAGCTTTCGCTTCTTCCCTGCCTTTTGGTGTCAGAATTCGCCGATTACTTGTCTTTTGAGAAGTAGAGAGATCAAGTTGAATGCTCCAAGGCGCGGTGAGATCCTTCTGTTTGGGTGGCGCGGGTAGAATGAGAGGTGCCATTCGAGGCACGAAACTATCCGAAGCTGGTACAGAAGCTGGCAACACAGCGTCTTGAAGATCCTCACTCTGCTTAGGATGGCCCACCTCTTGAAGACCTTTTGTCAGTGCAGATATCCTTGGTAGATTATGTGAAGTTCCAGGCCAATCACCTCTCGAAGAGCTTTGTGGTGTATAAACAACTGGCTGCAAAGAGCCTGAACCATGCCCGCTTAGTTCGGAGGTATCTGTCGATATGCTATGCCGTTGGTGTCGTTCTGGTAAGTTAGTAGATCCGCTGTACCAGCCAACATCGTGCTTTCCTTCACTGGTACTCAGGCTTGAAGGGGGAGTCTGAAAGTAGTTCTCGGAACTTGAGCTCGTTTGAGAACCCCAATGATACAGGTGTTGTCTTCTCCTTGCCATTGTCATTGCCAAATCAGTACTCGGCCTTGGCTCGACTTCAAGTACTGACGGTGGGTCAAGAAATTGGGTAGATGGAGGTGCCACACTGGAAGGAGAATCAATAGTTATCTCAGGCGGAAGCATTGTCAAGTTTCTGGATTTTGTTACCCAGTCCGAGATGGTATTTGCAATGGGTAGGTCACTTTGGTCTAGTCCAGTCGGGGGTGACGCACCTCTAGTAAGACTATTCGTGTTGTACTCTATCTGACCGAGTTGAGAACGAGGGTGGGCCTCAGCATGAGGTAGATTATCATCACGTTCCAGTGGTCGGAATGTATAGTTCAATCTTGGTGCTTCGAACTGATTCTCGAAGAACGACGCGTTGCCAAAGTACGAATCGTGACGGGAGCATGGATCTTGAAGGCTGTCTTGAGGCCAAGAAGTAATGCCTCCAATTGCGAAGTCCTCATTTCGATCGAAATGACATCTAACAGGAGGTTGTATTGGAATTACGGGTGGCTCGAAATAGGTGGCGCCAGATCTCGGTTGAGAACCAAGATCCATAGTGAACATGGTTCCAGGAGTCCTTGGGAGATAATCATATTCAATTCCATCACGTGCTCGTTTTCTCTTTCCTGGAGTGTTGATGGCCGACGACATACTGAGCCCGTCCTAGAATCACACACAGGGTTCGAGAATCATGAGAACTTCGGGAAGGAACGGTGGCGCTTTCGGCTCCGCTACTCTGTGGGAACAGAGAGATATATGTCCGCGCAGCGGAGTAGGTTGGATGAAAATCGACCCCAATCCCCGTTGCTCCATCTCCGTCGTATCGTAGGTATTCTGCATATATGTATAATGCAGGATGGTCGTGTTCCATATGCAAAGACTCATACTTCAGCAAGGCTGACGATCCTGCAAAGTTAAAATGCCCTTTTCTGCAAGGCTTCGTTTAACGAACCACAACTGCGTCCAAGTCGATGCGTTGGCTGCTGTGCCGTTAGTACATATTTTGATTGACGAATAGAAACATTCCGGTGAGTAGGTAGCCAATGACCAGATAACAGCGAGGCCAACTGCATTGACGAGATGCCTATGAAGTGTGTCTAGCCCATGAGGCTCTTGTAGAGGATCGTGTTTCTTGACCAGAAGTATTATGTACCTTATCGGATGCGGATGCACACAATATATTCATCAACGTTCATTCGTAGAGGTTTGGAAAGCTCGGAGAAAAGAATTGTTCTTTTTCAGTCCTGATCCGTGCGGGCCACGAATGCCCCCTTTTCATACTCGGTGAGGAAGACAAGACGGGAACCTTTCGGTCCGGAAATAAGGTTTGGCCAACCACGTCGGATCGGTGTGAAATTCGGGAGCCTAGAAGCATTCTAAGCATCTGGAATGAATCCTTGTGAAACTATAATATAGAAGTATCGCCGTAGTGGGAAGGTTTCCTTGCTGTACAATTTGATGGAGAATATGATGAAAAATGTGATGGATCTGTTGAAGCTTCACCGAAACGATTTTAGTGGATGCGCGAGATGCTGTCAATATTTGTTGTTCCAGCAGGTCTGTCCTGGTGGATGAGGACTAGGACAATAGAATCGTGGCCTATATATTGGGCCATTTATTCGTAATGTGTTCCGATCTTCGAACACGTTGATCTCGTGTTCGATTAGCTGCCATACTGCTGTTCGCCATATCAGTTCCTGCGAGATAAGAGAGAAGAACGCTGCGATGTCATCAGACATGAACCCAAGGGAGGAGGTAACATATACGGACCTTGTTAATGTTAATGGTATGTAACTTTCACATCATCAGTTCAGGAATGAAACACTGATTCGTGTGTAGGGAGATTTGGGACCGCATTTTGGCAGGACGCTGAAAACAGTGCGGGAGAGAGTGCCACTGAGCAATCATCTCACGATGACGAGACATGGTCGACAACAGCCGACACAAGCTCGAGGAACGAAGAAGAATTGGAGGAGACGCAGCAATTGAATATCGAGACAGCAAGTAATTTGAGACAGAAGAAGAAAGAGAAGAAGCAGAAGCGATGACCGTTTCTCGAGGAAAGTCCGAGATTGCGATCGGTGGGAGGAAAGAGCAACTGGGCTTCCAGCAACTACCCTCACTCAAAACTACCAAATTGTATGAAACAAAGAGTACCAATATCGAGACAGCCAAAAATTGAACAAACATTGAATAAACAAAAATCCAAGACCCAAACCTCCAAAAGATCCTCAACTCGCCAAATCCAAAGCCCCCACACACGTGCAAAAGCCCACACCCCCACATCACCTGTCTCTTCTGCCCACTCACAAAAACTAGCAATAATCCAAATAACAACTTCTCACCCAATTCTATAAATAGAAACAAGCAAACAAGGCGCTTTGGCGGAGTGGTTATCGCGCTAGCCTAGAAAGCTAGTTCCTTCGGGAGCAAGAGTTCGAATCTCTTAGGCGTCGTTGAAATCTTCTTTTTTGTCTTTGGAAAGTATTGGTACTACTCAAGTATTGAGGGCTAAGGGTGCACTTGCTGTTGCAGAAGCTTTGCTTTAGCCAATTGGCTTTTGGTGTTGAGCTCTTCAAGCGAGAGGTTGGTTAGGCGAGAGCCTCATTGAGAGGCTTTTGGTCTTGCTTGGTATTACAAGGTGGGCAAGTAAGTAACTCAACGAGTTGAGTAAAGCCTTTTGAGTCTTTGGTATTTAGGTGGAGAAAGAGAATATGCAAAGCAGTGTTGTTATGCTTTGTGGCATGAAGTTGTTTTTGGCTCTTGTATTGGCTGTTGTATATATAATTTGACAAAGAAAGAATTGAAATCACTCACCTTTCTCTATTGTAACTCAACGTATCACTTCATCATTTAACTTTCAATTCAACTATCCTTTGCTCTTCAAGACACCGTCTCTACAGCCACAACCCCATCCTTCTCAACCTCAATATCAACCTCCGCTATAGGAGCCCCATGACTATAATTCCCCTCTCTCATCCTCTCTCTCTGCACCTGACCATCCATCTGATCCGCCAAAAACGACAACGCCCGCCCCGCCTCTCCAAAATCCTCCAAACCACGCTTCTCCTCATCTCCAACCGGAAACGAAATCAACCCCTGCTGGAAAAGATACCCACCTACGACACCCAACCCCGCAATCAGTCCTCCAATAGCATACAGATACCCCCACCGCGAATCCTGCGTCCCCTCCCCAGGCGTCTTCCCTCCATGCTGCCGCATCCTCGTATTCCTCCTCAACTGCCCAACAACCGGTATCGAATCCGCCATCCTCGCCACAAACGCACTCCCAACCGCCGCCGCACCCCTATTCTCTGGCGCTCTCCACGGTAAATGTCCTCGTCCCCTCAATCTCCGCAATCTAACATCCAACTCCGAATCCCCCAGCTTCGTCAAAAACGCATCGTTCAAACTAACATTCTTGCTAAACACCGTATCCCGCATACCCTCCGTCCACTCACACAGCGCTGGGAACTTCGCTTTCATGGTTTTCGCCAGCCACGGCTGAGGAAGGTCAGGGATGAGTATCAAGCACAGATATCCCAACGCCAGACAATCCAGACTCGAGAATTGCGCATCCGAAACAAAGAACTGCTTCCTACCTCTCAGCCTCTGCAACGGCTCCAGGAAATCCGTAGCCAGGGCATCGAGTCTGATCCTTGCATTCGCTTCCGGTGACGCAGCTAGCAGGCTCGACACCGTGTTCTTCGGCCTCCGCAGACTATCCGGTATAAAAGACAGTTCCTGCGAGAGCTGCTGTCCATCCTCAACATCAATATCCAGCCCTGCCAGCCTTAAATGCTCTGTCCTCGCTTTGGCAGCCGCTCGGAGCGCAGGCGGGGTCAGATACGGTAGGGGGAACGATTGAATGGTGTTAAACAGCGGTCTCGTTACGGCGCTGTAGTTCTGCGAGGATACGTAGAGCGAGAGGTCGAGGAGGGGTTGGCCGTGGGATTCTACGAATGAGGAGAACCTGTTATATATATATCAGCCACCTATTCATTTCGCTGCTGCTGAGAAAGAGGGGAAATACGCACGCGATGCAATCCGCGCCCTCTTGTTCTGGGAGCCCGGCGTCGAGGACCCATTCCCCGGCTGAGAGTTGCGCGATGTAGTGGAATATGTTGCGGAAGCCTCCGATCCATATCTCTGCGTTTCGGAGGGCGGGAAGTTCATCTATATTTTTGATCAATCGAGGGGCATGACAGAGAGAGGAGGTGAGGTGTACTGGTTGGGCTCAGTCCTGGATCACTACTTGCTATCAGCTGCCACTTGCCGCGGGGAACAGCTTGTTGGAGGTAAGCTATTGCAGCTAAGCAATGCGCGTCGAGGGATGGGAGACCGAATGCCGGGCCCCAAACGTGTAATTCGAGCATAGTAGTGGATGTGAGATGTAAAGCAGCTTCAGATATCCCGACGTTGTATTGGCACGCTGTGTTTCACTTGCACAGCACATATGTGGTGAAGCGTTGCATTGCATCGCATCGCAAATTGACACGAGCGAACCCAAAACGCGAGAATCTCGTCATCACGTGGTTCCCCTTCATCTTCCCCCACACAACACACGGCCCTCCCTCCCGCACTTATCCGTGCCGTGTTCCTACATACGGTTCAGACCTCGTGGCCTCCCTCCTGCTTGACCGCTGCTACCCATCCATCACCGTTTCCCAATATCCTGTTTCCATCTCGTCGGGTCCACGAACCCACCACTGATGTCTGAGTATCGATATGCAGGAGCTGGATGCACGACATTCATTATCTTTGGACATGTGAAGGAAGGGAAAGCTCAGGCACGCTCAATTCATCTAGGGCATTCTTTCTTCTTTCTGGTACACCGCCTTCATATCTATGATCTCCAACATCTAGACAATGTTCCCTAGATCCAAATTCCGCATCCCGTTATCCGGATTCCCATTTCCCATCTACTTGCTTCCTCCCTTCTTCCGTACCACATCCACACATACATTCCCCAGACCTCAGCCGCTCCACCTCCTGACGATCCCCACTCCTTCCTTCGTTCGTGGGTAACACAGATGGCATTCCTCCAGCGAAGATCACTCCCCAAAATCCTTCCCCTCGCCCTTCAAAACATCTTCCTCCCGATCACCGAGGGGAAATCGAGATCCATGATGTAGCAGTAGCAGACAATAATTCCTTTTTACGGCATCCCCGCTCGCAATTCAGCTGATTTGGAATCCTGTACCAACCAACCTAGTATGAGTATGATGAACTAACTCGCTCTCGCTCTCCCTCAAAGCCACATAATCCTACCTACCATTCCTACCTACCGATACTATTTTGAAAAACACGGCACGATAGGAGAAGGGAAATCGCTTTGCCGGATAATCCTCGGTCCCCAAACACAATACTCACTTCATCTCCATCTATCCATCTATCTATCCCATACCCAGAACGGAGCTCGCAACCCCGTCTCCGTTCACCGTGCCATATGGTATTCAGCAATCCCATGATCGCTGTTGGGAACGTGGGACATCATCGACATCCCACGCTCGAACTCTGGTACCCGTTATTCCCGACCCGTGGAATGGAGAGAGCAAATTATCATTCTGGAAATATAGACCAGGGGAGGTATGTGATGAGACCTGGATGTGATGTGCCATGTAGTCAGCTGAGCGCTTGTGAGACTTGAGCGAGGTAGGGAGGGAATGCGGAGAAGCTGGAAGGATTCTATAATGGCATGGCATGGCCTGGCGTATAGGGCGCTTAACTCGTAAGAAAATAGAGAGGAATGGAGGGGTTGCTGCTGCTAAAGATTTCCGAAAGGGGAACGAAGAACCCTCCTCGTGGATGTTTCACTACACATTTTCATTTTCTTGGTGAAGTAGATAGGTATCTGAGGAACCAAACAACATTATATTAAAAAATACCCTAATTTCTCTCTCAGCTTTCTTTCCTAGCTGTGCAGTGCATGCCCTATATCCCATGCCCTGCATTCCTAGCCCAAACAAGAAAATGCCCATCCTAGACATCCATCCATCCATCCCAATGCAGCAGCAGGAAAACGCCCAACACAATGGTGATACAAATTCCAAAAGCTGGGTATTGATTCGCGCCGAAAAGCATATCCCAGATGATAGTGTTGGTACAGAGAGATAAAAGAAATGTCGTCGTCGTAGATTAGATAGAGGATAGATGCAATCGAGCCTGCTCGGCACCGAGGGAAGGTGGAAATCGTTTGGTTGAGAGTGAGAGAGAAGAAGGCTGAAGATAGATGCGGAGATAGGAAGATGGCGGCGGCGCAGCAGCTGCAGGTTCAAGAATAGACAGACGGTGATAGGGAACCGCGAAGCCGGATCGTATCGTATCGTGGAATTTAGGCATTTACCAAGAATTGGTGGTGGTGAGGATGCATGTGCATGTCAGCACAGGGCTGGATGGATTGATGGCGGCCGTCTTTCATCAAGGCTGCATGATTTGTGTGTATGAATCATCGTTCGTTCGTTCGTTGATTGTGGGATTGTTGCCTTGTGATTGATGATGGTAGTGTATTCGTTAACTCATCGTTTGGAGATTGCTTCGCAAACGAGATGCCTATGTGGGTTTTGGTGCCGAGTCCGAGAGACTGAGGTGGTGGTTGGTTTCTTTTCGAAGGTAGTGAGAGGAGGCTCTACTTTGGTAGAGGAGGGAGAGGGCGGCTTGGTGGTGGGCCGGGGCAGGGAGGGAGTTGAGAAGGTCGGTGGGCTGGCATGTTGATGTTGGTGTTGGTGGAGTGAGAAGTGAGGGTGATCGCTTGAAGCTTGCTGAAGCTTAGGAAGGACGACGATGAGGTAGATGTATATATGTGGTAGTGAGGACGGCTTGGTAGTGTCGAGTGGTTGCTTGTTTCCCTGATATAAGAAATGTTTCTTTAGGGTGATGACGTTCAGGAGTTGGAGACGGCAGAGCGTATGGTATGAGAAAGTGGAGTGAAACTTGTTTGCTGGAGGATGTTGGATGTTGGATGTTGGATGTTGGAGATGATTGATCCTCTTGTTCTTATTCCAGAGCCGTGTCCCTCAATGGGGGTTCTGGCAGGTTTATGTATGATCTGGGGAAATTTGGGACCATTATGGTGAGTAATAATGTTCGGATCGGCACCAGCGAGGGCTCACGAACTAGGTTTGAGCTGGGCTCACCGAGCCTACGCAAGAACGCCCAAAATGAAACACGATAGCGTGGGAGGCCTGTAATGCAGCAGCCTGCACAGGCAGGTTAGTGTTTTGGCGCCGAAATAAGGGACGACCAGGTGTCTGGCACGGGTGGGCTTGGAGGTGGAGCGGGCGCCAACGGAGTGCAGACTTGCTGCAGGGCAGGGCAGGGCAGGGTAGGGCATAGGCCTGAGGGTTAGGTCAGGTCAGGTCAGGTCAGGTCAGGTCAGGTCAGGTCAGGTCAGTTCAGTTCGGTTGCGTCAGGTTAGGGAAGAAAACTCTGGTGTTCAAGACAGGGGAATAAGGGAGGCGAGTGAGCGAGTGAGAAGTCTGATTGAGAATTTGAATTTGTAGAACAAGGACAAGGACGCCACAGCCAAGGAAGGAGAAGACTCAGAAAATCAGTGCTGGCAGGGGGTCTTTGAACATCATGAGCAGTGCACATCTTACAGTACATCTTTTGGTTATTCCACTGACCAAGACCCGAGTTGGCATGGCATGGAACACCAAGAACAGGGCGACGACCACCAGACAGGGGCTTCGCGTGCTAAAGATATGGTGGAGTCAGCTTGAGCGATCCCAGCACTGTGGGCAGCAGACAGACAGGCCAGGGCAGGCAGTCAGCTGGCAGAATTCTGCTGCTGAAAATAGTCTAGTGCTGGCAGAAAAACAGAAAAAGGTCATGGCAGTGCTAGGCTGATCAATATTTATTTATTTATTGTATTTCTGATTATTATTGCATCTGCATCTGCATCTGCAAATTGGCATTGCGTTATTCTCGTCGTCCGAGATCCTGAGCCCTGAACAATATTTCGTTTCCAAGGAAGCCACTTTGCGAGTAATGTGCACATCGGTATTAATAGTGACTAACTATTGCCAGCCTTATCGAAATATACCTCCAGCATTATGATTATTGTATGACTATCGTGACGGACATCAATCCATGCATGCTGACCATGATCGTGTATGACGGCAGGCCTCGTGTGAGACGACATCATATGATGTATCGCTTTTGAGCCAAATACGATGCCCAGGAACGGACAACGGATACCATGTGGGGGTTTGGTGATGGATGGGTGAATAGGATAGGAATTGGTGCTGTGATTCCAACCTTTGATATCAACTCGTGAAGCCAAGAGAGGAATGCCGAGTCTCCCGCAGGACCGAACGTAACCACCAAGAAGCTTCGGTGCATCGAACACGTACGAGTACGGAGTTGACGGCTTTCAGGAAACCCCACTAGGTGTTTTCTCTACTCAGGCTAATTCCCACACTAGGTGACACTCGAATGTTTTCGTTCCTGGCTTGGACTTTTTCTCGGGTCGCAAATGTGTAACTATCGATCGATCAGATCGTTCCGGAAATTTCTGGTGGTGCGCATTGACACTTCATGATTGTTCCTGCTTGCTACGGGTCCGCAATGTGATCTTCCACTTGTTTGTCATACCGTGACTTTAGCTCGAGCGCAGCAACCAAACTCCCGTAAAATATGAATGCCATTGACAAAAGTTACGAATGCCCTCGTACGCGGCCTTGGCATTAGCGGAAGTAGTGGATGTGAAGCTGCATACGAAAGGCTGCTTCCACCCCGAGGGACATGAACAGCGGGCGTCTGCATGGCATTCGCAATAATGTATGTTCCCGCTTCCACCTTCTCTGCACAGAGAGTTACATTGTACAACACAATTGCAGCCATTCGAGGACCCGAAACCACGCGAATCTGGACTTACGAGAAGAGACACAGAGAGACAGCTGTCTCCCGGTATCTTGGGAACAGAGAGCCGGATCAGGAGGTGGTCTGAGCAAGTTTACCAAGTTTCTCGAATAGTGTCGCAAAGAAATAAGCACTTATCCCCGAATCTGAATGCCATGGCCTGGTCTGGTCTGGTCTGGTCTGCCATGGCATGGCATGGCAGGATGCGTCACAAGATCTCACCCAAATTGACTAAATTGACTTTCTCAGCCGTGCATCAAATGATTTCCACACCACCGCACCGCACCCGTCGTGCGTGAACCAGCACACCGGTGATGCCGGTCCTTCTCCGCAAAATGCCCAACTCCCAAGAGACATGTTTACTTTTGGGGACTCGAACACCAGATCCCAGATCTGCCAACGATGGAAAAAGCAAGCAGGAGGCGCTCATTGTTCCCTCCCGCTCCTCATCAGATCGATCAGACGGCGAACGGGTTCCCGTCGGTGAGTTTCTCTTTGCTCTCAGTCAGCATGAGCATCGCAAAGATCTCAAGGAGGTGAAAGCCCGATGATACAAGGCTGAGGCTCATCTGACGCTGCAGCAGCACTGCACTGCGCACTGCACCACCGCGGGCCCCTGCATTCTGCTCATCGCGGACCCCCTGGCCTCACATCATCCATCTTTTGCTTCACTCTCATCTCATCTCATCTCCATCTTCTCAGACAGGACCGGACAGGACACTTCGCAACTCTGTCTAAGAGGTCTTCAGGCCTTGAACCGAACAGATCATCATGCCCTGAACGTTTTCGTTCCTGTTCCTGAAGCCCTGACGATCGCGATCCACCGTCCTTCCCGTCCCTGTTTCCCACATGGAAGTTCTTGAAATGGTGGTGGTCAGCAACCCCTCTCTCTGCCCCTTTCAAGAAAAAAGAACAGTACCGGAACGGATCATCGGAACAACCTCTTTCTTTCTTTTTCTCAATCGAGAGGGCAGAAATTCATTCGGACCGTGGAGCCAGCCCACCACCCATCTGCATGCATGCAAGCAACCATCATGAACGAACAATAGGGTGTGCATGGTGCTCGTACAGAACTTTCTTTTGACCCGAGGCACAGAGGCAAGGGAAACAAACAGTCATGATGCCATTTGATTCACCAATCCACATGCCATTCCCACACTTCCGGTAACCCATCCATCTCAACGTTGATTCATTCTTGGTGCCCGACCATCACGCCGAATAGGAGGCCTCACCGCCTTGCACCACTTCCTGGTAAATGCCCATCCATACCATAGGGTGCATTCTGTCTTGTCGCAAAGAGCAATGGCGGTGACATGATGCAAAAAAATGGTTCTCCACCTGCGTCACCAACTTTTTGATCATCAAGGAAGATTCAATCCGCTTGTTCCAAGTCCCATGTCAAAAAACTTCTTTGGGTCGGGTAGGGCATATCCAGGGGAAAGGAGAGGAGAGGAGACCAGCTGGCCCAAAGGCGGTGAACGAGCCTTGGCCAACGAAACGGTCGACGATGTCCGACCTATAAACCGCCGTCGGCTGCACTAGTGAATAGTATATCCCCAAGCTGGGAACTCCCTGGACCGGTACATTGGATTGGGACCAGCCTTGTCGAGCTGATTAATTTACTATCGGAGCGTTTACTTGATTGATAAACTATCGTCTTTACCTTCAAAGCCCTGAGATCTAGAAGCTGAACTTGTTCAGGTAGAAATGAGAACGTTAAACGATGGTTTGTTTCGGACTCTCTTACCTAGATAGACGAACGTTTGTTCGTTCAGCTCGGGTGAAGCTTCGCGACGACGGCGATGCCGGATCGGACCTCGATGATATACGAGAGCAGCCGTGTCCGCAAACTTAACTCTCGAGTCCACGGCCGTTCACGTTACTTCGCTGACGCACAAACTTAAGCCCAGAAATACGAAGGTGTAAACACGACGCTTCTTCCCATCGTTGTTTCAAAACATCCGTTCGTTCGTGTTGTCCGTCCTTTAGAACAACACCACCGGCCGAAGCATTCAGTCCAGCGCCACGAAACAACGCGCACCTTGTGTCTCCGAATAGAAACAAAACAACGTCCCTCAAATCTCGACAACATAACCCTGAATAAAGAACCTCAAACCTCAAATCTCTCTCAACAAACCCTGTCTGTTCCCTCAGCCCTCCCAAATCCACAACTCCAAATTTCCATCTCCTCCATACCTATCTCCAGCAAGGACCCTCCCTGCCGTCTCACCTTCTAGAAGCAATTTCGAAGCCTCCCTCCCTCCCTTCCTTCCTTCCATCTCGCTTGCGCACGCATGCACGCACACATCAATCCCCATCCATCTCCAGAAATAAATAGGTAACCATGCATGCGACTTCAAATCTGCCCCTTCCCCTTTTGCGGCGAATAAGGGGTACAGTAGAGATCTGTCCTCTTTCTCGAAAAAGATTGTTATGGAGATCACCTACATACCTCAAACTCGCGCAAAACCAGGGAAAGCGATCCGACGAAGCCAGCTCAGGGAAGCAGATCTGAAACGCGTTTCAGATTGGTGCAGAGCATGCAGAGCACCATCTGATCGTTGATGTCACGGGGGATCCTATCGCGATATTCTAGAAGGTAGAGTGAGTGATGTGATCGCCTTTGCGAGAGAGAGACATGTCTTGAAAATATGGTCGTGGTCCAGGGCAGCGGAAGGGCGTTACCGTTACACCTTCCTTTGCCATTCCGTTCAAGACATTATTCCAATTACCTCCTTCCTCCCTCCCTCCCTACTCCCCGTTCCCGCTCCCGATGTCGTAGCTTTTTGATCTCACTCTTATTTCCCCGGTGAACTCTATGCAGCTCGCCTGCAAACTCTCAACAATTAAACAAGATTACAAAGTCCAGACTCAAACCTCCGAATCCGAACTATATACTTTTTTCGGACCACAGCTTGGCTGGAAAGGATGAGAACTAAGCTCCTTCCAAAGATTCCAGACCCAAAGGACCCCTGATCAGCCAACCTCCCAACTACCGTTCTCATCTAACCCAACCCAACTTAACTCTAACCCAACGCAACGAACTAATCTCCCAACTCCCGCAACACCACGAGTCCCGGTCCCGACACAGAGGTACTCCTATCCGTCCACATGCCATCTATCCAGCTTTAAAAAAATCCTCCTCATCAAAATTTTTTTTTTCTTCCGTATCGAAATTTGAATGAAATAAATGCCCAAGCTTCCTCGCCTCCCTAACTCCGGTACATAGCCCACGTGTCGCAGGGATTAATTTCAAAAAAAGCGCGAAGACAAGGCAAGCCATCAGGGGCAAGGACCAGGTCCCCTTTCCCTTCCATTTCTTTCTCACCGCCATGAAAGGGAGGGAGGGAAATCAGATGATGTAATCTTTCCTGCTGACCTGTCCTGTTTTCCGGTCTCTCCTTTTGGTGCGAGAGTGGATGATGACCGGAGAATTACTCAGTGCTTTTCCATTTCCATCTAAAAATTAGAAGATGAAGCCTCGGCATTTCCCCCGTCGCCTATTTTATCCTTATCCTTTCACGATAATCTCTTGATAGCTAGACAAACAGACAGCCGTCATTTCGGGGATTTTAATCAAACGACGGCGGACACACGCGAAGGAAAACTTTTTCAGACGCGTCAAACGAGTAATGACGGATGTATATCTGGTGCAACTATTCCTAGATCTCTAAAGGGAAGAGAAGAGAAGAATAGATCTTCATAACGAGCAGGGCATTCAAAATTGCATTTCCCTGGCCTTGCCTTGCCTTGCCTTTCCCCTGAAGGCGGTGAGATGGGGTGGACATATGCATGCATGCAGTTCGGCTCCTGAAGCAGGCAAAGGCAAGGAAGACAAGGCTGACGTGAGGTGAGGTGAGGGAATTGTGCAAACAGACAAGCAAGCAAGCACTCAGCCTCCTAGGAATTGAATCAGGCTGAATCTCAGGAACTCCAAAAATAAGGAAAATATACCAATTCGAGAGAGGTGGGCATATTTTTGTTTCGTTTCGTTACGCGCTGGCATTCTGGTCACGGATAGATAATTTTGGTCAACAAGGAATCCTGGGTTATAGTTGAAGGGAAAGCAAAAAGAGTTTATTCTGGTGATGGTAACACGAGATGGATGAGTGCATGCGTGCGTCTGTCCGAGTCCCGAAATCGCCGACTTTTTCTCTTCAAGCAACCACGGGAAACTCGGTGCTTTCAAACGTAGCCTTGGCCCTTCCTTCTTTCCTTCCATCTTCCAATGGGAGAGGAGGGGAACGGCTGCACGGCTGAGGATGGCATGTCTGTTCACACATCTGATTGCGTTGAAGCGCCCCGCTTTGACGTCGAGGAGGGGAAGGCATGTTTCACGAGACGCTGAGCCGCCTCATCGCCTTCTTGATGATCACTCACGCTCGATACCGATACGCGACGCAGCAGACGTCTAAGAAGAGAGATGCCTGTCACTCGTGATATCATGCTTTCGGGGTAAGTAGCCTATTTGCGGGCGACGGGCGAGGTTGCGTTCACGAGGTTTGGTTCTATGTGGGGATGGTTGTTTGAGCGACATTTCGAAACATGAAGCCTCCACTATTGATCGACTGCCAGAGCTGCAGATGGACGGGAGGACCGAAGGGGAGCAACATCACGCGTGCCTCGAATGCTTGCACCATGCTCCGTCGCAAGATGTAGATTGAGTGATCGTCGAGCCATAAAACATGCTGATCTCAGATGGCTATTTTGGAAAGATGCCATGGTGAACTCGATAGTGGGATGTTGAGACCCCTCGACGCGTGTTCCCCACCTTTGATATCACCTCATCATAGCCATAGCCATAGCATGTCTCAGGCAGACCACGCCGAGATCTATTCTCCCGCATCTTCATCTTCAAGACACTTCGTCGTCTTGGGGCGGCATTTGTGTTGACGTGATCCAATTCTCCATGGTGGCTTGTCCATTGCCTAGGGATGCGGGTCCCTTTCCCTTCTTGTCTTTCCGTTTGACCACCAAGCAGAGGACGCGGCCGTAGATCGCAAACCCATCATACGTTGTATCCATTGCCATTTTCTTCTTGTCATCTCCGTCCTCGGCAGATATTTCCTCTTGGCCATCTCTCCGCCGTTTCGTCGAGGGCTCAGAGCCTAGAGAGACTGTAGAGGTTGAGTCATTTGTTGTAGCTCTTGGCCGTTTGGATCTTCGTTGCCCAGCATCTTCGTCAACAAACAAGCCATCACTGTCTGATCCCTCGTCTTCTGCAGCCGGCAAATCCTCTAGGTTAGGCTCATCCTCATCACTATCCTCCCTCCTAATGATCGGTGCATCTTCAACTTCGATCGCCGTATCGTTCGTGTCCCCTGTAAGCTTGGAAGAATTTGACTGCAAGGTCTTCTTGCCTTTGTCGCGGAAATGCTTCTGCTTCGAAAGGAGAGAGTGCCGCGTACTCGTTTCGGTCAAGAAGATAGAGACCTCGAAATCCTCTGTTAAGATCAGTAATAGCTTGTATGACAAGTAGCATCTGCGTACCTTCAACGACGACATCTTTTACTCCTTTCTTCTTGCCGCTTTTCTTGCTGCGCTCATTCTCTTCACGGAGCTTGGGCAGAACTAGAGGTCGAACACTCTCAATGACGTGAGGCAGAATGGGATTCCTAGAGTTGAGTAGCCAGCTCTCTGCTAATGCAGGATTATCAAGGTAAATCCGACATTCTAGGACCGAATATTTCGTGATTCTTAGATATCTGCGAATGGGCGCCATGGCTGGGACATCGAAATATTTAAATCATGATGTTGTGTGGTGGAAGAGCAACGTTTGTTTAGAAAGGTCGCAGCCTTGCGGGCGAGGTTGCGGCTGGAAAAAGTCGGGTCATTTCGCCTCAACATCGTCATGCACAAATATCCAGTGTGCCTCAGAACTCTATTTCCCTATTTCCTACTCCTATCTGCATAGGCTACGAATTCATGTATATCTCATTCCGTCAGTGACAATCTTCCGGTGGAGTTCCGCATTACACAATGGCGGCAAGTGTCGCTCTCCCGGTTCGCCGGAGATTCTCTCCTCAACAGAGCTTCCCGAGGCATATGAAAAGTCTATACACAGAATAAACAACTTTGAATTATCGCCTTCACATGTCTTCATTTTCAATGCTCTTTCTCATCACATGAAAGCTTATTCACATATTTGTTGATTAGAAGAGGGAGGAGCTGTGACCCATCCAATCTCAGCGAGCGGGTACCGGGAGGAATCGGACCTCAGATCCTCCTTTGTAAGACCCAGTAAGAAAGTCAAAGTTTGCGAGTCATCAAGCTGGATTTTCCATAAATTCGTCAACAGAGCGTTTTCTTGTCCTTCTTGGTGTCAGATATGAATTCTATTGTAAAGTCTTCGGCAAGAAATTCACGTGCTTTGGGAAAGAATACTGCGTTCAAGCAGATTCTACGCAGGGGTGTATCAACACAAGAGCTTGATGCTACAAAGGGAGGCAAGTTAGCGAATTCCTGTAAGTGTGGATCCATTCTAACCATGCTTCAGATCGTGAGCGAGTAGTCATTTTAGGATCTGGGTCAGTGTCCCGCCTCAATATCATTCTCTCTGCTCACAAAACACAGCTGGTCCGGGTTCGTCCTGTCACGGGAGCTCGACAAGAAGAAATTCCAGACAGTGGTTGTATCACCAAGATCTTACTTCGTCTTTACTCCTCTCCTTGCCTCAACAGCAGTCGGTACACTTGAATTCCGTACCACTCTTGAGTCAGTCAGAGCGAGAGGTAAGGGTGTTGAATTCTTCCAAGGATGGGCGGATGATGTGAACTTCAACGAGAAGAGACTTCAAATTGAAGATGCAACAGTTCGAAGACCGTTGCATGAATCCGGAAGGAATTATCATGCTGCAAGCTTGACAGAAGCTGATCAAGCTCACCGGGTCAAGAAGAAAGGCCAGACATTCGACTTGAGTTATGACAAGCTTGTAATTGCAGTCGGATGTTACAGTCAGACTTTTGGAACTCCTGGGGTCAGGGAGAATGCGTTCTTCTTAAAGGATGTAGTCGATGCCAGGAAGATCAGAAAGAGAATTCTTGAATGTAAATTAGCGAACACCCCTTTGCGGCATTGACTAACCTCGACATCAGGCTTTGAAACTGCAGCATTACCAACTACACCTGATAAGCTACGAGATCAGCTTCTCAACTTTGCCGTTGTTGGAGGGGGCCGTAAGATTTTTCCCTCACTAATTCAGACTGTCACTGACATTGTCTAGCCACCGGAGTTGAATTCGCAGCCGAGCTTTTCGACCTCTGCCACGAAGACCTACGAAAACTCTACCCAAACCTGATCCCCCACGTCAAAATCTCAATCTACGACGTTGCCCCCAAGATCCTCCCCATGTTCGACAAAGGCCTGGCCGAATACGCTCTAAACCTCTTCAAACGCGACGGCATCCAAGTTAAAACAGAACACCACATCCAATCCCTGCAACCTGGTCTTCCAGGATCCGTCGACCCAGATGCTGACGGCGGATGCTTCACCCTGAAAACGCAAGAAGACGGTGAGATTGGCGTCGGAATGTGCGTCTGGTCCACAGGTCTCATGATGAATCCCTTTATTCAGAAAGCCTTGAACGATGTGCACAAATACCCCTCTTCCTCCGCTTCCCTCTCAACCGAAGTCTCTACTCCCGAAAGCAAGAAATGGTCTTTGAAGCGGCACCCCAAAACCGGTGGTTTGATGGTCGACGATCGATTTCGCGTCAAACTCATTCCAAGGAATGGATCCGCCCCAACAGAAAATACCCCCGAGGCTACGATGCAAGACGTCTTCGCTCTCGGCGACGTCGCTGTGCTAGAGAAAAGTCAGCTACCAGCCACGGCCCAGGTCGCGAACCAGGAAGCGAAGTGGCTAGGGAAGAGGTTCAATAAGGGAGATATGGAGAAAGATGGGTTTAATTTCAAGAATCTCGGCGTTATGACGTATCTTGGGAACATGAAGGCTATAATGCAGGCTGAAGGTGGGACTGAGGTTAAAGGGTATGTTGAGCTGTGCTTAGATCGGTGTTTATGCTAATGAGGGTGTAGGCGAATGGCGTGGATTATCTGGAGAGGAGCGTATCTGACGCAGACTGTGAGTTGGAGGAACAAATTGTTGATTCCTATTTATTGGTGAGTCTTTGTGGTGGACTTGATGTTAGGACGACGCTGATGAATTTTCAGGTCCATTAACTGGATTTTTGGGCGCGATATATCGCGGTTTTAAGTTCGGTCTTGGTGTCAGTACTTATTGCTCTAGAATGTTTGTTGTAACAACACTTCTTATACATTCTTCTTTCATGCTGTGCAAAAGTCTGGAGCGATATAAGGCGACGATCACTTCATATTCACCATTATCCAATCTGAAATGTTGTTCTGCTATTTGTACTCTCCAACATTCTTACCTCAGACAGTCTCGTTACGGTAATATTATATATCATATTCACCTAGAAAAAAGTGAAAGCTTCACAGCAAGAAAAGCACTGTCCTCATCTCACAATCTTTCGTCCGAGAAAGTCCTCGGACAAAAAGCAAGGGTTCTTGGAGTCAGTGAGCCACCACGAATGTTTGTGGTAGTTTGAGCACGAGATTCTAATAGTCGGGTCGAAGAGAAGCACTTTATGATGTTATAAACCAAGTTTATATTATGCTAAACATTTTAAGTATGAAATTAAGTATGACGAAGACTTTGGAAGCTATAAAATAAGATCTGATGATGCTAAAAATTTTAAGCTCGAAAGTTGACTCAAAGCTCAAGACTTTTGATGGGCATGCATGAAAGTTTTATCATATGGCTATTTTAAGTTCGAAAGTTACTACAAAGCTGAGGCCTTCGGTATGTTATAATCAAAATTTCCATAAACTAGACATGTCAACCTAATTTTCCAAACCTTTCGACGCCTCTGATATAACTATATGTCAACGGATCATTTTCCGGAGAGTTGTACCAACTCTCCAAATACTTCCTATCTTTGGGTCCTGAACCCTTTCCAAACAATCCTCCATAAGTATGGGAACGTAAAAGCTTAAGATTTGCCTGCCCCAGCCTTCGATGATCTTTTCCCTCTGGATCCTCATAATGATCCGCAATATCAGCCTTTTGTGGCGCCGCTCCAACACCCCTCTCCCTCAACCGCCATTTATTCTCATCGATCGTCCGACCATCACCGAGATTCCGCCACACCGTGATACCAAGTATCATCCCGTCACTGGCTCCCTGGCGCGTCCATTCGAACAAGTATTCCGTATGGCAGAAAGCGCAATCGCCAGGCTTGCGCCAGTCGAACTGCCAATCTGCCTTCTTACCTTCGTCCGGCGGAGCAAGCATGGTGAGAAAAACCTCGTCTCGTACCTCCTTGACGAGACTGTCCGCGTGTTGACTTACTGTCATCCCGCGTCGCGAGGATCCGTTGTGGCCGCACAGGGTACTAAGCAAGATTTTGAACAGTACGTTCATGTAGTCTCCTGAGTAGTCGAAACCCTTGGGGTTCGTACCGATCCACGTCTGGCAGCGATGGAGCAACTCGTTCTTAATCACCTTAGTATCAGCGGACGTCACGACCGTGAACCCAAACAGATCATGGTGTCCGACTTCCAGATGGCGGAAGTGCTCCGTTGCCATGTCTGGGTCTCCTAGGCGGTATCTCTTCATAGCTAGGAAAACGTCATCGAACGCAACTCGATACACAGACACGATGCTGAAGATGAAGTGCGAGACGGAGCAGTGCGTGTGTTGCACGTCTCTGAACATATTCTTCCTAAACAGTTCCCTGGCTCGAAGTCTCTCAGGGTCGCCTGTTTTGCGGAGCGTGTGCCAGTCGTATACGGTGCCGCACTCCCAGCACACGCCGATGTCAGGTTCATTCTCTGTGAGCAGGGCGAGGAACTTGGCTCGTTCTCGGGCTGGGCCGCGTCGGCATTCTGCGTATATTCTTTGCAGGGTCAGATATTCGGAAAGCTTCTTGTTGCAGAATGCGAGGCAGATTGCTGAGGCTACGTCGAGTTTGCTGATGATTGCGTCGAGTACTTCGGGAGGAAAGTCGAAGAGAGGTGTCGTTTTCCGGTCTTCTGGCGTGGAGTCTGTGAATTCTAGGATGGAATTGAGAGCTTGGGGTTCGGTGACAGGTATTGTGTCTTTCTTTCTGCGCTGCAGAAGCGACAGTAATGTGGATATTGCCATTGTTGATTCGGTTGAGATGCTTTTGAGAAGCTCTCTTGAGGACACATGCTTCTGGTTATGTTTAAATCTGGACCCGTAAGTTCCCTTACGAAATATTGCAGTTTCCGAATTTTATGAAACGTCATGTTCGAGATCGTGGGGGGATTTTCATAGACCGTCTTGTAGGGCTGAATTAGTTGTCGTTCGTGTGGGGTTAGTACAGCTCTAAGGAGCCATTTTGCCAGAAACAGTTACCATCCTCGGAAATACGCACCGTATGCTTCGTCATTGCCGATGGGTTGCATCGACGTCAATTCAGACATTGAAACGACATGTCTCTGAAAACTCCATTGGCTAAGCTTGGACAGAGATGCCCCCGCAACCTGCAGAAGCCCATATCCTTTCTGTATACCATTAATGGCTTGAGATTTCTTTCGAACATCATGAAGATGAGCGTTCCCATTGTTCAAGTCTTCAGTCGCAAGTAACTTCAATTTCCAGTTAGGAGAACGAAGTTGGCGTGTCAGGCAAAGTCGCTGTTGCGTGGATCTTCAGACTCTCAATTCCATCATATGCTTGACACTACTCTAGCATGCTCATACTTCATCCTCCTCCACATAGCTTAGAAGTGATATATTCCCTCATACTATCCTGATGACCAATGCCCACAATGTCCATAATGTCCATAAAGTTCATAGCGCCCCTAAACCCCTATCCATATCCCCACATTCAAAGTCCCAAAACCATCCACTCCTTCACCCCAACATCGAGACCACTTCCTCTGCACTTCTCATCAGTTCAGGCAGGGTACTAAGCCTGTCCTCGACTTGATGGACGATCTCTATACTCAAACTCCACGTACCCCTCTCTCCTCTTCTTCGCCATCATAACACCGGCATAAGCTAGCGCGCCCCAAAACGGACCCCTATGAACGATCAGCTTAATTCCCACCCGTCACCCATGGAAAAAGGATACTCACACAAAGATCCCCAGCCTCCAAGCTGTACCCCACACACCCGGTTGCCCTTCCCCAGGGAACGTCGTCCCCGAAACAAGAATCACAACCACGAAAAACAGAAAATACACCGATTTCGCAACCTGGATCTTCAAGAAGCGAGCAGCTGACAGCTGCGCAAGGCTAGATGCCCAGGAGAATTCGTAGAAAATCGTGAACAGGATTGCCAGTTGGGAGAAGAACATAATGATGAGCGTCGCCGTGCTATTGTCTCCTTGTTAGCGAGGAAAGGGGACCATGGGATAGGGAATGTACAGGAGCCATGGTAATTTCTTGTGTCCACCGCTAGCGCCTACAACGACGGTCAGGATTGCGGTCCAGAACTGGAGGAAGAGGATGATGAGGAGTTGTGCGATCCAGAGGAGCAGGAGGAGAGGTTTGCTCCATCTTGGGTTTGTGAGGGGGGTGTCGAGTGTTATGGGCATTGTTGCAGTTTTGCGAGATAGAGATTATAGAGTAGAAATTCAATAATGTGAATAGTGAGTGATCAGTGTGAGGAATGAGGATATATAAGAATGGCACTTAGAGATAACTTTGGTGGGCAAGGTTCTCGTCTCGTATTACCGCCCAAGATTGCGGCACAGTGAGTGACAGCCTTGACGATACGAACAAAAGCTGGGGTTCAGGGGAGGGTAAATTCCACCCTGGAATATTGACTTATTCTCATTCGGTGAGTCAATGCATTGAGCGAGGAAGCAAATCGTAAGGCTGAGAGTGTTCGTACACGGTGAGAGGATATGAACGAGAACAAGTTGAGATTGGGTATTCGACCTTCCTGACCCACGCCCTAATGTTACATACACTATGGCACACTTACTAGTTCCTCGCATCGTTCGCATAGTTCGTCTTCGATTGGAGCGACGTATCTCCAGCATCTCGGACATTTTTTCTCCTTGGGTGGCAGCACCCAAGCTGTAGCCTTCCCTCCTGGAACGTCGAAGGTAGTGGAGTACTTCCATGGTCCGTCGACAGGACCATTTATTTCAACAGAAGATACGACGAAGATACTTTCAAGCTCATCCGCATAACGCTCGAAAATTTGCTGCGGGGTTTTCACATCCTTCTCTTCCACTGGAAACTCCAATACCACTGAACATTCTAGCGAGGAACCGATTTTCTTATTCGCCCTTGCTTCCTCCTGAGATGCCTTGATGGCTGCATTTGCATTTAGTAGCCAAGAGAGATCCAAGATCAGTGTCTCCGATTTTGATATGCATTCAGAAGTAATAATAGGTTCATCCAGAGTGCGGTGGAAGGGGTGAATTTGAACTTCTTCTTTCATCCACTCCGGTCGATGATCCCAAGCTTCCTCGACTAAATTTGGAGTGATCGGTGTCAACATACGAAGAAGGCCGTGGAATATTTGTTCCAAGACTCCTCCACCATCTCCACAGTAAAGTCTATCTTTCATTGCTTCTAGGTAGAATGCAGAGAGGTTAGTGCTGATCCATTTGTTGATGGCGTTCACGCCCTTGTAGAACTCGAAATTATCGTAAGCAGTTGCGACCTCCTTCATCACAGCATCGAGCTGAACTAAAGCGATCTGATCGAGCTTCGTGATAGGCGCAGTCCTTGCTGAGGGGTGCATTGATCCTAAAAGCATTTTGATAGTCATTCGATATTTCAGTAGGGCATTGTGGTTGAATTGTAGGACAGGTTGACCGATAACCACATCGCGAGTATAGTCACTGCTGGCAACCCACAAGCGGAGGGCGTCTGGGCCAAGAGACTGCGAGACGGGCCCGGTCCCCTTCTTCTTGAGCTTGGCCTGTACAAAGTTAGTGACATAATGTTTGGGAACTGCAGATATACACACAGGTGGAAGTAATGTTCCATCAATAATTTCCCTTGGAGCAATAACATTGCCGATAGACTTGGACATCTTCTTCCCTTCTTGGTCGAGTGTGAAGCCATGAGTGATCAAGGTCTTGAATGGTGGGCCCACCTTACCAGACGCACTTGTGTATGTCAACAGACTTGACTGGAACCATCCTCGATGCTGATCGGTCCCTTCGAGATAGACATCTGCTTGTTGATCGGTCTGAGTCCACGATGTACCGCTGTCAAACCACACATCCATGGTGTCTTTCCCCCGGCTATAATTGCCCTCAAGTCCAGGGACAATCCAAGCAGAATCATCTGACGCATCTGTCCACCAAGCATCGATGCCTCTCTCTTCGATGACTGAGATAATATGTGCTACACTAGCATCTGTGAGTACAGCTACACCGTCCTCATCATAAAGCGCAGGAATCGGCACACCCCATGCCCGTTGTCTCGAGATACACCATTCGCTTCGTCCTGTTACAAAGCTCTCTAATCTTGCTTGTCCGGCTTGAGGAATGAATTTGACTTTTCGTAAATTCTGTAATGCATCACCCTTAACATGCCCAACATCCGCGAACCACTGTTCCGTAGCCCTGATGATGACTGGTAGTTTGGTTCTCCAGTCATAAGGATACTTGTGCTTGTACTTGTGTGAAAACAGAATCTTGTCTCCCATGTATTTCAGAATTTCAGCGCTACCTCCCTCCAATACCGACTTGCCCAGGAAAGCATTAGGATTGTCTGGGACAGCAGCAGATGTAAAACGTCCTAGATCATCGACGGGAGCAACAGCTTTGATCTCATGTCGAGTGCAAAGCTCATAGTCGTCCATACCATGACCTGGTGCGAGATGCACAAGCCCTGAACCAGACTCGGCGGAGACGAAATCTGCATGAAGAACCGGTTGCGGCTCCTGTTCTTTACCACAGAGGACATTGACGTATTCCGAGCCAATGAGCTCTTCGCCAAGGATGCCTGTCTTCAATACTTCGAAAGATCTATCTTCAGCTGGAGCAGACTCGGGGATCGTGGTGTTGGACAGCAGTTCCTCTAGCTGTGCGAGGCGCGAACTGGCAATAAGTAAATAGAATTGCTCATGCTTGACGACCGAGTATTCAAGCTCGGAATGAACCGCAATGGCTCGATTCGCAGGCAGAGTCCATGGAGTAGTTGTCCAGATAACAGCATCCAAATCTTTTCCTTCAGGAAGTAAAGCCTGGATACTTTCCGGGATCTTCACCATGGGAAACCTGACATATGCTGCCGTCGAGACATGATCCTCGTTATACTCCAACTCTGCTTCCGCAAGAGCTGTTTTTGAAGACGGTGACCAGTACACCGGTTTGTACCTCCGGAAGATAAGTCCCCGCTTCACCATCTCTTGAAAAACGCCCAATTGCTTGATCTCGAAGGACTTGTCCATGGTCTTCCAGGCCTTGTCCCAATCCGCCATCACGCCCCATTCTCGGAAGCCTTTCATTTGTTCCTTTACTGTCTTCGTTGCCAGTGATCGAGCTGCTCGTCGAACGCCAATGGCGTCGAGAGCTGTGTCTCCATCTTTGGCATTCTCTCGCTGCTTCTCTAAGGCTTTGATCTCGATGGGGAGGCCATGGCAATCCCAACCTGGAACGTAGACGACTCTCCGACCTATTGAATCTTTCAGCCACTGCTTCTTTCAAATCACAAGGCACGTAGCACCAAAAGCTCGGCATACCTAGCTGAACCTTTACTCTACAAACGATATCCTTCAAAATCTTATTCAGCGCATGACCAATATGCAAACTGCCATTGGCATAAGGTGGCCCATCATGCAACACAAACGGCTTCTGGGCAGAGCGCTCACGGCTCTGCCACTCGTAGAGGTCATCGGAACATCGTTTTAGGTATTTGGACTGATCTGCTAATTGAGGTCGAGGCCTGTGATTGTGTCAGCTACAATCCGTCGAAAGGGGTGGTAAAGAAGAGGCTTACGGGAAGGAAGATCTTGGTAATCGTAATGTCGAAGACCAGGACTTCGTTGGGGGACGTACTGGCATGGTCTCAGGTCCGCGGTCATTTACATTTTTATTTTCGGGGTCATTTTTGGGAGACGCGTCTTGAATGCCTCAGGCATAACAGCTCATTTTCGGGTAATCCTTGTGAGGCAAACATGGCGGGGTCATTCTCGAGATCTTGTAGCTGAATTTGATTTATGGTACTTCAAGATGTAACAATTCTGCTATAGGGTCACTGGATGCTTCTTCCTGCACTATATGGTATCCTAATTCTAGACGTCATAACCCCCCAAACAAGCAAATGCCAGCCATTAACACCTGTACCATGCTAATAAATCTACTCCAACCCCAAATGCATATCAGAAAACCGTGACTCCGCTCACAATTCCATTCTTCAACACCTCAAACACCAAGCCCGGAAATCCAAAAAGTGTCGTATTCCCCAGACCTCTCGTATCTTCCGTCCCAACCGGGTCGGATCTCTTGCCCCCAACACTATCTTCCCACCCACCTAGCAACTCACAGCTGCTACCGGGACTGTCGCCCCAATCACGATTCAGTACCATACCGCGCTGACGAGCTCTTGCTTCCTCTGCATTTTTGTAAATGCTCTTCCATTCGTCGTGTAACCTTTGTTCCACATCTTTGAACGGCGATTCCGAGTTAATGGTGTCTTGACCCTTCTTTGGTTTTAGGTATTGAATCTCCCATCGACATCGTCTGTGTCGGTTGAATGGATATGAGCCTGGCACATTACCATGAAGAATTACCTTCGTAGCTACTAAATGAGTTGACGTTTCTGCTTGTATAATGTTTTCGGTCTCATCGACTACCGATCGTTTTGATGGTGGACTCTGGGACGGGGTAACAGGCGTAGAAAGCAATATGTCGAAGCCATGATAGAAATAGTTGTAGAAACATTCTCCTGATACATTACCAGCGACTTCGCCTTCTTCATTCTCGTCGTCCGAGTCATCTGTGGCTGTATGTGCAGAAGATTGATCGGTATCGGTAGAGTCATCCCTGACCTCACTACCGTCTCGTGCGTGTGTCCGTGAAGCAGGTCGAGCCTTGTGTATGGACATGCGTTGATCGTTCTTGCGGTATATCGCATCAGGCGGGCCAAGTATTGACACCAGCTCCTGCGGTGAAGTCAATCCGAGTTTGATCCAGAATGGTGGAACGCCGTCTGGTCGAATAAGTTCTATCTGCCCTGCACCGTGTATTCTTACTAGCCGTACTTCATCCGGGACGGGTTCTCGACCCTTCATTAATGTAGTGAATATGTCTCGGGGGTCCATGGTCTGTACGAACAGTCGCTCTCGTGCATCTGGCCATGATTCTCCTTTGAAGATTGCCATGGAAGACGCAGGTTGACTATTGGCAGAGGATAATAGCGACACGAAATCTTGCCTGGGAGACCATGATGAGCTGCGCAGTGGGAATGAAAACGCTATTCCTGGATATGAGAGCACATAGAGGCCCATGCCCGTCTCATCCCCAATCTCCGGCTCGATATACTCTCCAGGGAATGTAGGTCCAAGAAGTCGATTGTAAATATGCCGGAATGTAGGACCGGACAAACTCTCTGGCTGAGCGGCTACTGCTTGCGTCGCTGTGGGCGGTCGTAAAACATCTTTGTCCTTGTATGTGAGGTGGCTTTTCGTGAAGTCCAATACCTCAATCAGACGTAATCGTTGCTCGGGTCCATCGAATCGTAGTCGGATACCATTTGTTGGCAGATTCAATATGACAGGCTCCTCAACTGGAGAAGACTGTTCAAATACTAAGTCAAGCTTTGGAAATCGTTGTGGTTCGGCTTTCAGTCGTGTGAGGATGTCGTGAAGTGAAGCTCCCAGCACTGATGCATCTTTTAGCCAAGGCACCACGGGTTCTAAGATGCTTACCTATAAACCCAAGAGCTTGTCCTGGGAATATCTGGGCAGTAAATAGTGACATGATGATTACATTTGCAAAAGAGGCAGACTCCTCCTCTGTTCTGCGAGGTATGGGAGTGCTGGGGTTGGGGCTTGATGAGGTCAGGCTGCTGAAGAGCCGCCGCGCAAGTTGGAGGGGCATGGTTGCTGGGCCAATGCACCAGAACGGCTCCGCTGGAAATTCGTACCGGGAAGCAGCGAAGGGATCAACAACTTCAACGATACCGATTTCTCTCGAAAACAAATGCGCTTCCTGCTTTATCATTAATGACTGCGAAACTTTGGGGGATTTGACACGACTTTATACAAAGTCAACACTTTTTAGGCGACACGTGTATTCAATCGATACAACGCGTATGAGTTGTCGCACTCCACCAAAACTTAACAATCAATCAACAACATCTCTACAATCGCATGGCAGGAGGACTCCCACGGCCGGCTGTGCCATTAAGAAAGACAAGCATGCGCCCACCACCAAGACCTTCGGTCGCTGCGGCTAGATCACACTCAGTAGCACCTTCATCTCGACATGATCGATCAGGCGCAATATCACCAGCAGAATCTGTGGTGTCGGTAGCCACAACAGCAGGAGGAACGAAGAGAAAAGAACGAGACTTCGAGCACGATGACGAGGAGACGAATATCAATGTCGTGGTGCGATGCAGAGGAAGGAATGAGCGCGAAGTTCGGGAGAATAGTGGCGTGGTATTGTCAACAGAAGGAGTAAAAGTAAAGAGTCTGGAGCTTTCCATGGGACCAAGCGCGCTCAGCAACAAGACATACCACTTTGACAAGGTCTTTTCATCGGCTGCAGATCAAGCGATGATATATGATGACGTTGTCACACCAATGCTGGACGAGGTAGGAAGAGTAACTCTCTTGCTAGAAATGTTGTATTGACATTTATAGATGCTCGCTGGATACAACTGCACAATCTTTGCATATGGGCAAACGGGGACTGGAAAAACATATACGATGTCTGGTGACATGAATGATACCTTTGGAATACTTTCAGATGCAGCAGGCATAATACCCAGGGTATTGCACTCGCTATTCCGAAAACTCGATATCGATGATGCAGAATCATCTGTGAAGTGCTCTTTCATCGAGCTCTACAACGAAGAGCTTCGCGATTTGATATCTCCAGACGACAATGCCAAACTCAAGATCTACGATGAGAAGAATACAAAGGGTCATGCCACTACTATTGTCCAAGGCATGGAAGAGTGCCATATCAAAACCGCCACCGACGGTGTTAAATTATTACAGCATGGAAGTCACAAGCGTCAAGTTGCTGCGACGAAATGCAATGACCTCAGTAGTCGAAGTCACACAGTTTTCACGGTCACAGCCTACATCAAGAGGACTGCAGAGAATGGTGAAGACTATGTTAGTGCTGGAAAGCTCAATCTTGTGGATTTGGCAGGCAGCGAAAATATCCAGCGAAGTGGAGCAGAAAACAAACGAGCTGCTGAAGCTGGGCTGATCAATCGAAGTTTATTGACGCTTGGCCGTGTCATCAACGCTCTTGTTGATCGAAGTATGCACATTCCATATCGAGAATCGAAACTCACTCGACTGCTTCAAGACTCGCTTGGTGGCAGAACGAAGACATGCATCATTGCAACCGTGTCTCCAGCGAAGAGCAATCTTGAGGAGACGATCTCGACACTAGACTACGCATTCAGAGCAAAGAACATTCGCAATAAGCCTCAAATGAACCAGATGATAAATAAGAAGACTTTACTGAAGGAATTCACATTCGAGATTGAGAGACTGAAGAGCGAACTCATTGCAACCCGGCAACGAAATGGTGTCTATCTCACAAACGAAAACTATGAAGAGATGACCTTGGAAAGTGAGTCTCGGAGGATTCTCAGTGAGGAGCAGGCAGCCAAAATAGAGACCATGGAGATCAATCTGCGGAACAAGGTCCAAGAGTTGTATTCTCTGACGTCCAATTTCATGATCCTTAAGAAGGATAACGAGAGCACGAAAACCGTCCTTGATGAGACAAAAGGTGTTCTTGAGCAGACCGAGTTCGTTCTCACCAACACGCGACAAAACTTGGCTGAGGAGAACATGCTACGAAGAGCACATCAACAGACTGAGGAGCAGCTTGTGGAAGTTGGAGATCAACTTCTTTCGACTATTGGCAAGACCGTCAACGATGTTAGTGGACTTCATGCAAAGAATAAGAGGAAATCCGACTTGCAGTCTTTGAATCGGAATACTTGGGGACTCTCGCAAGCTCAGGTAGCCGAAGTGACGAGCTTAGTTGAAAGCCGTGTTGATCAATTCCGTTCTCAGCAACAAGAACTGATGGAAGCTGTCTCTGAACGGATGCAGTCATTTGTTGCTGGTGAACTTGGTAAACTGGCTTCCACCCAGGCATTCCTCGATGAGAACGTTTCTGCTTTTGAAGGATCCGAGAAGGAAGTTTCTGAGCAGACTGTCACGGCCAAGAAAGAAATGGATGCTGTGCTCGAGGAAATCAAGACCCTACGGGAGGATGTTAAAACTCGAGTTGGAGAAGGACTCCAAGGACTCTCGGCAGCAGCAGAGCGCATATCGGCGGAAGTGATCAGTGAATTGGGAGCTTTCCACACTCAGGTAAGGCTCAAGACGCAAGAACGACCTATTCGTACTAACAATTTCAGCTCCACACTTCTTACAGCTCACTAGGCCGAGACTTCAAGACACTTTTTGAAGACCTTCTCAAGCATGTCAACGCACAGAAGGCTGAAGCAGATTCTTTACGCCAGCAGCTGAATACTGCCAGTGAGCTTGCTATGCAATCGAATGTTGCTGCTTCTAGTCGATTGGACGAAGTTCTTCGAGAAGAACGTGAGCAAGCAGCAGCAGACCGTCAAAATCTATTGTTGCAAATCACAAATTTGGTCAACACCCAAGGTGAGGCTCAAGACGCACGTCTAGGATCCAAAATCGAAGAAGTCCGCAAAGACGTACTGGCTTCGAAGGATAGCTTCGAGACATCTCGAATTCAGTACAACGAGGGTATGGATGCATGGAATGAGAAAGAAGGAACACTTGTTGAAGAGGTACTCCGATCACGCGAGACTTTGAAGAGCAAGTTGAAGGAGGACTGGGTGGTGAGATATATTGCTTTGTCCATACCATGCAGATCGTTGACTGACAATTTTACAGGCTGCTAACAAGCACAACTCATCTCTTCAACTGACCACAAAATCGGTTCATGCAGAGACAGTTCGAATTGTGGACGAGCAGATGAAAGATATTGACATCCAAATGCGTGCCCTCGACGATTTTGTAACGCGTGCTCAATCTCAAAATGGCCAGCATCACGATAGTCACGTCCAATCACTCCAGAGTCTTTCGAGCACTGTCAAATCCTCATATAACAACATCGGCTCGCACTTCACGTCGACATATGAACGAGTCCGTGACCTCGGAGAGGAGATGTCGACCAAGACATCTCTACTCCAAGAGAACCTCACACCTCTCGACTCTGTCCTTCGCGAGCCTCTCACCCAGCTGCGAGAGAATATTGCCTCTACCATGCTCGCAGAATATCAACCTACTGGCGAAACACCTCAGAAGACTCAATACTCCTATCCGACCAATCTGCCCAGAACAGATGCACACGAGAATTTACTAGCTGCAATGCGCAAACCAGCAAGTCCGAGAAAGAGCCCAAGTAAAAGCATGAGTTGCATGGTCCCAGTCGTTTTCAACGATGCCGAACAACCTGCTCGCCGCCTATTCTCTCAATCTCTCGGCCCCGGAACTCTTCGCGCATCACCACTTGAAGAACAAAGACCAACAACAAGCGGAAGCACTGGCCTGAGAGAGGTAGACGCCAACGCAAACACCGGATCCAACTCAAGCCCAGCAGATATCGAGATGACTGGAACGCAAGTGCCACTATTCAAACGCAGTATATCAGCGACGGGTGGTGGAAAGCTGCCAGTGTTGAAGCACAAGAAGAGCGTCGTTGCATTGGAAGGAAGAGAGAACGTGAACCCGAATGTCGCGGCATTACAACAGGTTCAGAGCACGGGGAGGAGAAGAAGTCCGCGGATTACGACGAATGGACAATCGTAGAATATGGACGAGGAGAGGTATTGCTGGATTGATTGTATGATTTACGTTCTTATTCACGACGGCGGAGTTGCGGCGCCAGGTCATGGTTACGATCATGGCTGTTTTCTGGCGTTGGCTGGTTGTGTTTGTGTATTGCTTGGAATTGAATGAGTAGAGAGTGTGTTATTGTATAGCGTTAATGAATCGTCCGATTATTTCCCCATCACATCACCTCAACTCCTTCCCTTTCTTCACTTCACATCACCTGCTCATCCCTCCCCCATTCGGTCCCACCTAATCAAGAACTCCGCGCCCCGCAAAGCGGCACAGCAAAAGCAGAAATTACTCTGAGACCTGGAGACGGAGTGTGAGACATACATAATGTGGGGCTCGCAGTCTGTTTTATAATTTCTTTTTCTTCAGAGTCGCTCGGTCCTCACGGCTCATTTCCAATACGCCACCCCTCGTTCGTGAGGAAAGATTGAGGCGTTGCAACGCCACGTGGAATTTTTCGAAAGAGGTCTGGAATGGATGAGGTGTGGTGTGGTGGTGGCCTAGGCTTTTGATGTCTGTTTGTATAGGTCTAGCTCGAAGAGGGTATTGGGATTTTTTTTTCTTTTTTCTTTTTTCTTTTTCCCCCCCCCTTTTCTCCAGCTTTAGGGATGCGATGGGCTGGGAGATGATTGATTTTGTGTAATGGAGGTTGACGTCTAGAAGAGCAAATCTAAATTGCGAATAGGAGCAGAGCGGAGAAAAAGCTCCTGTATCGAATTTTCACTAGGCTTAATAATGAAACTTAAATGGCGATTAAGTTGTTCTAATTCCTAGGTAAGCAAGTGTGTTTGTGTGTGGAAGCTCCTGTATCGTATTTCCACTACGCTTAATAATGAAACTTAAATGGCGATTAGGTTGTTCTAATTGCGAAGCAAGTGTGTGTGGATGGGTGGGAAAGGGGTTATGTCCGGGTCCGCGGTATCGATATGCCCGAAACTAGAATAGTAGGAGGGGACATGATGAATGGATCGCTGTTACAATATAATTTTCTTTTTTTTTTTCACCAAAACTTTTTTTCTTACTAAACTAACGGCACGTGATAGATACAAAGCCATTGTTTAAAGCTCTCAAAGCTATTAAAATTATCAAGATAATCTTTGACAAGGTTTCGGACAAGTAGGGACGCGGTACCCCTCTTGTGATGTTTCCTATGTCATGGACTTTCGTTTTCGCCACTTTGAACTCTCTTTCTTTGCTGGATATCATTCCCTGGCCGAAGGTAAGGAGAGTGGGATGGAAGGAGGTCGGATGATCGTTATCAGATCAGCGTGGGATGAGATATACAGCACGTGAAAACCCCAAACTTTGTTCCCCCATTCTTTGTCTTCCTGCAAGGAGGAGGGAGGATATACCCGTTGAAGTGAACGAACGAGTAAGTACAGGACCCTTGGCTCCGAGAACTTGGATCGAGGTGGGAGGACCGAACCTTATTCTGGTGTTGCGTGGGATGTATGGAGTGAAGTAATTGTAGCGGTAAAGGCGATCGTGGATAAAGAGATAGCAGAATTGTAGTCACCTGGTCTTTTGCATGTAGGGCTCGAGTAAGGTGAGCGGTGAAACGTCGGGATAGAGTTCTTGGTATGAGGGTGACGGTGGTGTGAAGTTAAGCTTCCGAATGCGATCACATGTGAAAAAGATGAGGTAAATAGAGCGGTGAGGTGAAACGAACCTTCACTCTGTTGGTGTGAGCGAGTTTGGGTCCATAGAAGTGAGGGTATTGATACTTACTCATTTCACCGTGTACAGGCAAGTTGACGTGTTACCAAACAGGGAGAAGAGATCCTGCGGCTTGACGCACGTCATCTGCACGCAGGACGGGAGGCAGGAAGGGAGCGAGCAAAAAAGCGGGTAGAAGAGGATAGATGGATCGGCATCGTGGGGGAGATGTGAGGTTGAGTGAGTGACAGGCAATTAATGATGATGATGAAGGGTCTGCAATGGTGCCCAATGGTTAGGAGAAAGTTGGTCACGAGATACGTAAGGTACAAAGCTTCTAGAAGAGTATTCTAGAAAAAAGGTAGAACCGGATTGTGAAATCTTGAAACTAGATGTTGCGCATAACTCGGATAGTAGGCAAATATTGAGATGAAAATGAGGATAGGGCGGTAAAGAGAAACAAGAATTCAATCCACTTGAAGCAAAAAGAGAGTTCAACCTTATGTACGACTTTATGCTGATGCGACTCTCCACTTGTCAATGCTCAAGAATAATACTCAGGGACGAGAGTAAGTCTGACATCCAGCTAACTTTCAGCCATGCGCCGGTACATGGCTGAAGTTCGGGAGACGGGAGAGAAGGTTTGGGCTGGCATGATAGCCCAGGATCCTCGACGGTCAAGAGGAGCAGCGGAATTAAGTGTGCTGTGTTTGGTTGATGTGTTCTTGAGACGGGAACTAGGAAAGTTTAAAAGATGGGGTCTCGGGCTACGGATGGCCCGAAGGAGAGATTGTGTGTGCTGAGGCAAAGTACCTTGCAGGCGCAGTTGTGGTTTGGGTCACTGGACTCAAGGAATCAGGGAGGGGATATGATAGTCCTACCCGATCAGAATACAGTGACTTGCAATCGGGATCGGGATGCGCATGCGTTGCTTTACTTCACTCCGTGCTCGGGTCTGGTGGGGGTTAGCTCGTTGCAACCTTGCATGCCTTGCGAACGACGGTTTGCGATGCGGGGTGATTGTGATGTTCAGGCTCGTTTTAGATATTGGGCTTTGGTTCGGGATTCGGTGCGCCTTCGGGGACAGAGGACGATTGAGTGCACAGCTATGATTGAAAGGACGGGGTTTGAACATATGAGAATAGAAGGTGTTCGTAATGTTGACACTCAAAATCATACGATGATTGCCTTTCGAGGGTCCTGGGGAAGTGGGTAATGGGAAACGCGAAACAGGGTACTGTATCGAGAGTGCCGGCTCAGTGGAGATTATGCTTCGGCATTGAGAACCGTCGTCTGGGGGACACGAACATCGTATGAAGAAACCGTTCGTCGTGAATCCTCGCCAGGATGAAGAACGAGGGACGCGAGTCAGGTTGATATTCATCGATCAACATATAGCGCGAGTCGCCCGCAAGACCATGTCTGTGGTTCAGATTAAGGTTCATCATGGCTGTGCGTTGCTCTCGTGTCGAGATCTAGCTCTAACAACCAAGTAGGTATATTTGAGGGTGCATCAGAGACGGGATAATTATAATGTTGATCATGAGGATCGAAATGCGTTTGAAGTGAAGAAGGCTGGGAGTGAGCGCCTGAGAATTGCAAGAAGTTGATTGCGGGGTAGAAGGGAGGGCATTGAAGGATAGGTATAGGTAGTCAGAACTAAGCCAGATTGCACAGTTTTCTCGTCGGATGGGGTCATCGAAGCGCGAGGACGGTGTGTGGTAATGGAATATGGAAAGAGCTTCCTTGTAAACAGATCTGGCAGGCTGGTTGGAATTCTCAAGTAGGACCGAAGGGATAGCTGAAGCGAGAAGCCACACTTGACTTGAGTGTTCCTCCCCTTTTCGCTCGTTTGCTCGCTCGCTCGTGGTCCCGCTTTGGGGTTGGACTCTATTGAAAGAAAATCACCCATACCAAACAGTCCATCCACACTATCAAATCCATCAAAGTCGATAGTCGCAATAATACTGTTTTCTTATCGTTATCGAGCCGACGACCGTTCCCACTTGCGCACCAAGATTGCTGCATATTTTACTCACTCACACTATCAGTTTCCTAATGACGGTCTTGGCATTGGACGGCCTGCTTTTTGTCTTTGCTGGTTGCTGGTTGCTGTTCCCTCAACACTTATTGGCGATTTCGACGAAGGCTGACACCGGCCCATCGGAAACGGTAGCCTCGAGGCGAGCACGTCGGCACGGTGGCCCAATCCCCGAAGCCCAATACTTAACATCGGGGCCTGAGCCACATGCAGTTCGGGATATTGAGGAGCTGTCTCTCGTCCCATTCGCCCATCTGTGGCGGTGTGCACAGACATGGATTTTCGATAAACTTTCTGGACATTCGATAAACTCGATGAGCAACCAATAATCGTCGGAAACTTCATTCCTCCCGGAAATGAAGTTGCTGCTCCTAAGTATTGAAAATACGCAGCAGGTGAACTCTAAAATTCGTGCCTACGATCCCACCAACGGAGACTTTCCGCAAGCCGTCGTTGGTCTCACCCCCTATCAAGGAGCTTCTCGGATAAGAGCTTATGCGGTGGAGCCCCTCCGTTCCGCTCTGTATGCGGCTCTTCCATCAACCTTTGTTGAGCGTTGAGCAAGATCGGGTTCTGATGGGACGCAAAAATTTCTTCGCCATGAATTTTCAGCGAGGACGTGGCATAAAGATCGCCTCCATTCCTCCATTGTCCCAGGCCATGTCTCTTCTTTCAACCCATCGTCGGCCCTCCCGAGACCTCGAGATCGAATGGCCAGAAACAAGGCACTTGCTTTGATATCTTGTGTCGGCTTGTTCGCGATCTGCACGCTCTGCCAGAACACCCTCACATCGCGCGTTAAGCGCCTACACCAATTATGGGGCAGCGGCGGCAATTCTGTTAGACTCGTGTCGAAGTTAGTAAGCACGACGGTGGTGGTTTGACTTCGGCAGCCGGCCGAGTGAACAGGGATGAATCAGATACACACGACTTCTTGACATCAGGACCAGCATCTTAGTTTGTACCGGTTTCGACGAAGAGGGTGTGGAATGCTGTTCATCTGGGAATGACATACGCCCGGGATCTGACGGTGAGGCATGAAGTGATGGGGTTGGTCAGAAAAGACGGTGACTCTCACGGGATGAAAGTATATCCTTCGCAGATGGGGGGTTGCCCATGCATGCAGGTGGCATTGACGTGTTTCTACAACAACAACACAGCTTCAGATGAAACTGCCCAATCTATTCATCGGCTCTCTCTTGGCGCTACTGGTCGAACTGTCTCGCGCCCAGGACCTGAGTAGAGGAGTGATTCGCAAAGAAGGTTGGCAACGGCTATCAAGGGCTGAGATGCCTGCGTCTGGCAATTCGACAATATCCTGGGTCGAAACAGCACGCACGCACGCACGCACTGCCAACTTTTCGTTAGATGCCTCATTCTGGAATATGCAAACTCTCTTCAGATTCGAAACAACTGCTGGCTCTTCTACGGGTGTTCGATCACCGGGTTTCGCTTCGAAATTGAACCTTATTGCTGCGATTCTCAAGTTTGATCCATCCCGCTCTCCTCTAACGACAGCTCTTGATGCCGAGTAAGAATGCTCAGCATGGCAAGTGATGCAAGTCGTGTTTGAGGTTTCAGGCCTGAATCCACGTGGTGCAAGCCTAAACTAAGTTTACTTTCCCTCAGATCCTTCTCGAAACATTCGAAGAACAATGCGAATCGTCAAGACATCCCGGGCGAAAGTATCGAGGTAGGAAGTGACCCACGAGTAAGGCTCGCTCGTCACAATGCGCTGGAGGCATGTTCAAGAGGGGTGATTTCCTGGATGCCAGCAGAGCAATTACCACGACCATGAAAATGATTGGTGCTGCATGGCGATGCCAATATGGATGTCTGGCATGATTCTGCAGGTGTTCTTCATACGTGGAACATCGCGTCTTCACCCGGTCGATGGCAGATAGTCCCTGGGGCTGCCATCCATCCACATGCAATATCAAGACTGGTTCCATTTCTCCATCGTTGTCGTCAGAACAGGATGATTCTGCCCCCTGACGAGACTCACCGTCCCCTCCCCCCTCTTGTTCACCGTCTTCCAACACGAGACTCTGGCACCCTCATTGGACAGGTGAGGCGTCGAAATGGGGGGGCAAGATCTCCCGCCTTGCCTTTCTTGCGTCGCTCGCTTGCCCCTGCGACTTCTCTAGCGCAAACTCTAAATTGGTGCAGAACGACCACAGGACGGTATGGATGGATGCCCTCAGCCAATGAGCGGGCCGACGATGGGGAAACGTCGGAAATTTGACAGCCATAACTGTTGGTTCCGGATTCTTGGGCTGCGGCGGGAAAAAGTGTTTCTGAGATTTGTTTTTTCTCTCCATCATCCAGGATGATTTATACGGCTCGACGCGCAACGCTTTGCCGCACCTGCTGCTGGGTGTGGCTTATGCAAGATGCCCCTCCTTCTGGCCTGCTTACCCCAGAATGGAAGGGTGCGCTATCCGACAATAAATAGCGTCGATGGAAATGAGGGATCGGGTCGGGGAAGGAGAGCACAGAGGAAAAGAGACAGGTCGTATTCGGAGTGATAGTGATGGCGAGCTGGAGAGCGTTATGCAGGTGCAGGTGCAGGATCAAGCCTCACTAGGACTCTGGGAGACACTTCGCATCGTGAGAGAGAGAGAGAAAGCAGATTATGATGCACCCTATGCGCACGTTTGAATATGCTGCGCTCGCTCGCATTGCTGTATCCACCATCACTGGCCTCCTTACCGAGTAGAGTATATCCAGTATATCCTCCGTTCTGGATCAGAGGAAGTGGGCCCATACCAGTTGGCCAGCTCCGTACTGTAATAGACGACGCTTCACGATGCGCGGCGTTTGCCTTGCTTGCTTGCCTCGTCTTCCTCGTTCTTGCTGAGGGCCTCACTTTCTCTACCGTACCCAATGTCCATCTCCATCTCTTCCTTACCCCCCTTTTCCCTGCTCCAACCTCCGTGCACTCAACTCTTCACTACTGCAACGGCTCAGCACCACACACAGGGCCAGCGCTCGCCATCGACGATTTCAGCCCTCTCCCGCTAGAGTCCACCAAACCACATGGCATGGCATGGTCACCGAGGGTCACCGCATCTCGAGCGCACATCCTGGCGAACGACGGCATCCCATCCTTGATCTTCTTTTTATTCCCCTTAGTCCATGTCTGGCTGCCATTGCTCTAATCCCCTTGCAGCTTAGATATTTTCCCGTTCCGGCCTGGGACCCATCCCGGAGCTTGTCACCGACGCCGATGACCGCCAGAATCACCGCCAAGACCAACACCAAAACCAAAACCAAAACCAAAACCGCCCTCTCCCACCCGCCATTAACTCCCAGTCAGTTTGCATTACATGCCACTGCACTGTTCTGTCTGTATGATTGATTGCTCTGCACAGTTGTTGTTGTTGCTGCTACTGCGACTGCGACTGCTACTGCTACTGCTGCTGCTGACTTTCATCCTGGCCCCTGGAACCTGGTTGGTTCTCCTCGACCCTCGTCGTTGCCCCCCCCCCCCCAATGCTGGGCTGCTGATCTTCCCGAGGATTCACCACCCAAATCGTGCCTTTCCTTCTCCGTCCGACCCAAGCTCGACCACACCCAAGTGCGATTCCGTCAACATTACTCTGGGTCCATGATTCATGTTCCGACATGTGCAAACCTCACCGTGTGCCACTTCATACAAGATCAAAGCGATAGAACCCCGTCGTCCCCCCAGAGATATATATCCACACTTCACGAGATTCTTCTGCCGGCCCCGCAACGCTTATCGAGAAGCCTCATCACGCGCCTTTCCTTGCCCCATATTTCACTCCCTTTCCTCATAGCACGTCCCTCTTCACGATCACCACAGACACCCGTGTCAACAGTCAACATCCACCGCCAACATCCAGCTCCGCTGTGTCATGATTCAGTAACTATCATAACCAGTACGCCCACCAAGACAATGACAAGCACCAGTTCCAACAGTCCAATGCCCTTGGAGGAGGAGCCCAGAAAGAAAGGTATGGCATTCTCGTCTTGTGGTTCTACATGGCACATTCTGACTAGCGCAGGCTCTCGCGGAGGAAAGAGATCAGTTACACATCTGAGCAAAGCCCAATTAGCACGAAAGCGCGCCAATGATCGCGAGGCGCAACGAAACATCCGTCAGCGGACGAAGGAGCACATTGAGAACTTGGAGAGGAAAGTCAAAGAGTTAGAGCAAGGCAGTCGCTCAGGGAGCATGGAAAGGGTATTGAAGCGGAACAAGGAGTTGGAAGACGAGGTTGAGAAGCTGCGAGCTCAGATCTCCACTTCCCATACATCGACTCCTCCTTCGCAGACGATATCAGATATACCAGAAGAGTTGTTGATACCGCAAAAGGTGACGTTGGATTGGATGCCGGAGTCGGCCTCGTGCACATGGCCTCAGTCAGTTCCTCCTACCATTCCGGCCCTAGACAATACGAATGCTGAGATCCCAGTGTCGAGTGTGACGTACCCATCCACGGAGGAGGCCACGGCGGCGGGCACGGCGGTGCCGGCTCATATGTACCCTCCTACGAATTCAACAATGGCGTACGACGAAGAAGCATCGCAGACATTATACACGCCCAGTGCGATTCCTATCTGGGAGGATCCCATAGTTTTTGGCCAGCCCGAAACGAGCACGAGTCTTACGAAACCGGTTCCGCAATGGGCTCCCTTTCACCCAGCTTTCAACCAGCCCTCTCGGTTTTCAGACCTCCAACGGTCGTGAGTACTTGATTTATTGATTGTCTGTTCCCTAGATACCACATTTCTAGCCTTCGATTTTATGTTACAGAATATGTATACTGACTTTTACAGTGGTTTCAATGACTTGATGAGTCATCCTTCGTACAACACCAGCTTCAGTAATTCGACATGCTGGCAAAATCAGCCATCAATATACGCGTGGCAGATTTCCACCAAGCTGAAGACCCCAGTCACGTATGTTGACCAATTGATGATGAGTGTGATTCATTCTCAACGCCACCTGGCCATCACCGCGGAAATCACCGGCGAGGAACTCATTGGACCAAACTTCCCATCCGTCCACCTTCTCTTCAACCAACCCGGTCCTGTCGAGAAAAGGCCCTCAAACCTCACCGAAGTCATGGAACGCTACTCTGCCGTTCTCTCAAATCGTGGCTTCGCTCTCATTCCCGAGAAACTTGCCTCCTTCATGTGCATGTACCGTTTCGTACAATGGCAAATCTCCCCAAACTACCAAACCTACCAACGCCTCCACGAATGGCAAGCTCCCCGTCCCTCTCAACTCATGGTCCCGCATCCTGCCTGGATGGACCTCCCTCCCTGGGGCAAATTCCGTGAGAAAGTCATCGAGAATCAAGGAAAGTACGACAACGTTGAGTTCCAGAACGACTACGCGTCGAACCTCTCGGTTAACTTTCCGCATGACCCTATGAAGGCGTTGATTTTTGAGAATGGGCAGATTATCATCTCGCCGGCGCTGGATCGGCATCTGAGTGATATTTCGCACATGTCGATGAAGAAGCCGTTTGCGGATAAGTACCCTGAGTTTAAGGATGTTTGTCGATTTGATGAGGTTTAAACATTTTGGGCTTTATGATTTTATCTTCTTTGCACACAATAATTCTTCACTGTCGTTGCAATATTTTATGGGTATAGGCGTTTCTTCCTCTTTTTTTTTCTATATAGTATATATCTTGGGTTGGTGCGTTTGACTTGCATTTCTTTGGTGGTGGCAGGCAGGCAGGTAGCATTCTTGATTTTTGTTACTGGGAAGGATGGGATGGGATAGGATAGGATCTGACTGGCTGGTGTTAACCGGCATACGCTCTTTCGAGAGTGCACTCGTTGGCGTTTTGGGGAGGAAATGGTATATATCATGTTTTGTACGGGTATTTTGAGGAGGGAGGGGATTCGATTTAGATTTGTGTTTATATATACGGACCCTTATATGCATTGGGGTTAGGGGGAAGGCCAAAGGAGGTGGAGGAAAGATTGGATGTGAAAAGAAACATGAAATCAGAAATGAAAAATATGAATATATACGAATACAAATGAATACATACGAATACACCCCCCAATCTCTTTCTTACACACAGAAAACATCTGCCCTTCTTCACAATGATGCTTCACGATACCTCACTTTCCTCTCATGCCCCTCTCACCTCTCCATCTTATTTACTATCTCACCTTATCAAAAGCCGGAAAATACCCACCCTCCTTTTCCGGCCCCAAATGGACCAGGCTCACGGAAACAAAAGAATCGGATATCCCCTTTCTCCGCCCTGCTTTCCCCCCCGACTCCCACTCCTAGCACCCAGCTTTACCCAGCTTTACCTACCTACCTAGGTATATTGTGACGTGACCTGCTAACAGCACCTCTGGCACGAGAAAATATCGGGTAGATGCTGGCTAGGATGGGGATTAGAGTTCGTGGGGGAATAAGGTTTCGATTTTGGTTTTGGTTTTGTCGGTTTTGTCGGTTTTTCTTGGAGGGGAGAGGGGGTGTGGTGGTCACGGGGATGGTGCGAGGGGTGGGATATATCCAGATCTGAGGTTGGCCGATCGGGATGAGATGGGGATGGGGATGGGGGGTGGAGATGGGGATGGGTGGGGGTTTGGCCGATGGAAAGCGGTGTGATGGGTATTGGGTGCGATGGCCGTGGGGTTCGGAGATTGGATATTGGATATTGGAAGTCGGGAGTTTTGGGAAGAAGGGGTAGGTGAACGCGAGGAGGGAGGTGGGAGGGAAGGGAAAGAGGGAAAGAGAAGAGAAGAGAAAGGCGGAGGAGCGATGGAGGAAGGAGAGGGGAAGGAGGGGAAGGGAGGTATGTGAATGTTATTTGATGCTCGTTTTCTTCATTTTTTTTTTTTTGTAAGAGGCTGTGGGAGAGAGAGCTTCTGATTTGTGGGATGGACATGAGTATACAGTACGTTTTATTTAAATAGATATAGAGTTTTTTTTCTTCGTTATGAGTAAGTGTATATATACATCTGAGTATAGATATGTACTTACTGGATTATAGTTCCTTGCCAAAATTGCTTAGTGGAAAGTTATGAATAGAAGTAGATAAAAACTTTCTGCAATTCCTGCTGGGTTTGAAAATTTGAGTCGTTCGAAGGGATGGTGGTTTAAAGATTGGGGTGTAAGGCTTATTGTACGGAGGTACAGTACATTGGCAGGAATACAGTGTCCCTACTTCCCTGATTATATGTTAATTTCTTGCTACTCGATTATTTTATTTTAACTTGGGTTGAAGAGGAGAGGAGTTATGTTGTTTTGAAGGACTGAATTATTGATGGGCCTTCAGTCTTGGTACATATTCTGCTTGTGCATTTTTTCGAGTCGAAGCTAGTAGCATGCCTCTGTATTTCTCGCAAGCTGACATACGCACAGTACATTAAATAGCAAGAAGAATTTTATCTCATTGTATCAATACTTGACAATAATTCTAATAAACCCAAACCCTCTTTGAAGCAGTGCTTCAGAACAAGTTTTTTTTCACGGAAAAGCGCAGAAAGTTCGTGTAGTAAAAGTTTCTGGGATCAAAGATGTTCTTGGGCAAGCTTTCGGGCACTTGCTTTTCTATCTAGTTCCTGTAGCTTGGAGTCCCTCTTGTGCTTCGCAAAGCATCCCTTTTCAAAGTAAGGTATACGGGCTAGGGTATGTTGCGGGATGTCTCCTTATAGTAGGGGCGGTGGAAAGGCTTCAAAGACGGAACGGAATCTTGCAGATAACATGGACTAAATTGAGAGTAGAAGTTGCTCCGGGTCTTTGTCCCGTCTTTAAATCAACGAGATAGTACTCAAAAATGAAAAATCCCAACAAAGCCTCTGAAAGTTTGTCCAGATTCTTTTCGTGGGTACTGAAGTATCTCTGTTACTGTGATGGGGAACCGCGGTGCTACAAATCTATCTAGACCTCACCTTATTTCAAGCTCCTTCATCAAGTTGACGTCTTGAAGAGATCTTGATGTCGCTGAATTCCGTACCTGCGCATTCAACACCAAGATACACAACATCAAAGCTTCATCATGTCGGAATCAGGATGTCTAGAGTGCCATTTATGGTAGCAAGCTAACTGGATACAGAGACATTGAAGCAACTTCCAATGGGACTGCGAGAGAGAATCTACACAGACGTTCTCCGTCTTCCGGAACAAATCCCTCGCCAAATGCACCCAGTACGCAACCAAACTACGTCAACACGTACCTCGAAATATATCCAGAACGAATCGCAGGACCTCCTCTTCAACGTCAACAGTTTTGAGATTCGAATCATCGGAGAAAATCTTCGTTGGCAACAGCTGAACCATCGTGGCATGCAGAACATTGGAGAATATTGTCCTCACAAGCAGCCTCCAACAGCATTCTACTCCCACAAGAAGGCCCGAGAGACGAGAAATCTCCAACATTTCATACTTATCCGTGAATTCGAAACCGCCGAAGAAGAATTTTTGGCTGCTGCAAAGGTCGTCATCCAGGTTCTCAGCGAGTGTGAAGTGATAAAGAACTTGCACATCCATATCAAGGAGCAAAGGAGACCGTCGGAACTCACGAAGCAGCTGCTGGGCATGTTTCGCGAATTAAGGGGTTGTGAAAATGTCTTCCTGGATGTTTGTAGCACAGGGTGGAGACTCCGACCCAAGTATGCTGCAGACATCGCTTTGGATATGGAATTGGCAAAGGGCGAAATTTCGGAGGGGATATTTCATGACTGTCACCTGTACGAAGATCGGGACCTGTTTGAATACTTCGACGGAGAGGACGAGGAGGATAGCGAATCTGGTTATGATGGCTACGAGAATGCCTGTTCTGATATGGTAGATGCTGGAACGCTATATGATGTTCATTTTGGGGGCGGTAGCCCGATTAGGACGCGGTCGTGTACAGATTGCTTGGCTGATTGAGCACATCATGGAGTTCCAACGGGTTTATCGACATAATAAGTGAACTGCAGCATCACCTCAGCCACGACTTTTCAATCCAAGACTCCTCAGCAGTATCTTCCTAAATCCGTGGAATGATTCATGCCGAGACTCATCCAACGTTGAGCGAATTCACACCATCTGACTCTCACAAGTGTCAGGACCCCCGCTTTGGGTATCCAAGAGTCGGTGTCGCTCCTCGGCTAGGATGAGAGCTGAGGATGCATTGGCGTATCTCATTACTATATGAACCCGAAGTCTAGTCTCCCTCAAGTGGAGGAAAGGCTGTCCTAGATCTCGTGGAGGCAATATTTCCGCTCTTCTGCTCCGCGTCTTCACTTCATATCAAGGTATCCGCCCTTGACTGGATTAGTGATGCAAGGGGCGAACGAGTCGTATCAGCGACGGAATCAGGAACGGAAGCTTCGAGTTATGCGCTTTTGTTCAAGACGTGGCAGTCAAAACGTAAAATACTAGAGATGCAGAACTCCCTCCCATTCGAAGCTGGTTCGGAAGACTCAATCGACAAGGCTTCAGCTGAAGAGACCAGCTTTTCTCCAACTACAGCCTCAGTAGATCTATGTCAAGAAGGATAATTCATGCTGACATCAGTCGGCAACCCCATCAGATCTTCCGACGCCCATGGATCAGGTGCAAAGCTCCACATGTCGTCCATGTCCCAATTAAAGCTGGTCTGCGAAAGTAGCGGATCGTATATTGTCGGATCGTAGTCGAACTGACTCGGTGGGGCTTGGATAAATGGCGCGAAGTCGAGGGGGCTGTCGCCAGTAGATGCCTGAGAGTGCTTACCACTGGTGGTGCTTTCTTGGTCTTCTTGGAGAATTTGCTGACCGCTGGATATTGTGGAAGGTATGTCGGTCTCGGGGTGTGTTATTGGTGTCGTGGTTTGTGTGTTGAAGTTGGAGAATAGAGACCTATCCGATCCCTGAGATGGTGAGATGAAATCTGGTTGCACAAGGTCATCGCTTTCAGGTATCCTCTTCATCCTCCGACTCGATTGTGGGGGTACTCTTGCCACGACACGTGTGGCGATACTGTAGAGCTCTTTGCACATACTTATCGTCGGAGTAGCGGCGAACGAGGTCCCTGGCTGAACAGAATGATCGATGAACGAAATAATCAAATTCATCAAACCAATGTCTGAAGTCGCATGTTGATCATGTGGGTTTGAGAGGATATTCGCGAAAAGAACGAGGCTCGCGCTGAGTGGGTAATAAAGTGCTAACCTACGGTCCAGGTCAGCATGATTAGCTTGAAAAGCAGAAGCATTACGAACCACATCAGATGTTGATTATGCATAGTGTTGCTGCTGAAAGTATCCAGTAGTCGAATTGTTCTTCGTGCTGCAGCAAGACATAGCAACTGGCTGGCATAGATTCTGGGATTCAGTACCGAGCGCGGGTCGTGGTCCGCTATACCCGCAGGTTTGCCATCTCTGGATGAGTCTGGAAGTCCTGGACATCGGTGTAGCAGTATTACAGCGTCCAAATATGTGAAGTGTATCATGACCACGGAGACGTATTGCTCATCTGAGCACTCGATTGGATGCTCTGGTCGAATATCAATTGGTATTGAATCTCGCCAGCGCTGAAGATGATTATCCAGTTTGCCAAGAATTTTCATGCGATCCACTTCTGACTTGGTTTGTCCACTAGCCGAATATAACTCCGTGTATATACGACTTCCGATGATAGCTAATCTGACCTGATCCTGAAAAATGTCATAAACTTTCGCTCCAGTGGGGGACTGTATTAATCCAGGCTTCTTGGGCGGTAAATCAACGGCAATATCATCATCATTTATGACAGATGGTCGGCCTAGATTATGGCTACATGCTTTCTCCAATAGATAGAACACCCAGAAGACATTCCGTCGTTGTTCAATCTCCTCGGGAGCAAGGCCGGTGCCACTTGAATTACGGTGTAGGCCCAAAGTATTTACTAGACATCCGACTGCAGAGGTCATAGCGTAGGCTGGTTGGGGATTAGGGCTCGAGGTTGCGATAAACAGCTATCATGTGTTAGTATACTCACGGCTATCACGTATTCCCGGGACTTGCCATGATGGTCAGGGCTTGCATTGCCATTAGATTGGCCTCTTTGAAAAATAAGTCGTGGAAACAGGAGCTCGCATTACGGAAATATTCGACACCAGTCTCCTGAGCGACTGATGTATAATCGACGAGGCAGCTCCTTCTTATGTGCGCCTCTTGCTGAAGTTTTGTTCTACTGCTACCTAAACATAATACTCCATTGAACAATGCGTACCACGCGCTGCTTGTTGGAGGATTTGCAGAGTATTGTTGTTGGAAGTAAGAATTGAACACCGTCCGATTTAGGATCGGGAAGAAGTTATTGAAAGTTATGAAGAAGCCTAGTCAGAGTATAAGCTCTAGATCACACTGGATTAATCTCAACCTCCCACTTACAGTTAACATATTGTAAAGCAACATCCTTCGAGGGAAGTGGTGAGTGCTGCGACCGCGGTGTGGGGTACCAGAGATCTGCATCGCCGCGACCCCAGTCTCTGTAATCAGAGTTCGACAATTTGTCAAAGAGCTGAGCTAGCTCATTTTTATCACCTACTTTTTCTGAGATCCAACGAAGTCCTCGTGGAGCAAAAATTGAAAATCCAGAGGCCAAGCCTAGAAAGAAAGGACAAGATGAGTATGCGGACATGTCTAAGGGGGTTCACCACATACCGATGAAGTTTGGAGACCCTCTCGCATCAATAACTAGGTTCGAGAGGTGGTTGGACAGCTCCGCCTGGCTTTCAATCCTTTCAGATGAACTCTTCTCTTCTTCTTTCTCCTCTTCCTTCCATTCTACTGGCTCTGTTGTCGCATGTAACCGAGAAGTAATTAGAGCAGACTCCATGCGTTTGATTCGGTCTTCCATTTCACTGAAGTATGCCTCTCCCTTGCTTTTGTCAAAATCAGCCTCCACCCAACTATATATGCAACTAGACTTTTCAGTACTTGGTCACTCTTCGCCTCTTTCTCTCCACCGGCGTCGTAGTACAGGGTAGTTGTCGAGCAATGCATCGCGAGCAACTTCCATCGTCCGTTCTTTGGCATTTTATCTGCAAATCGGTTAGCATTTGCGGATAGGATGAAAGTCTAGCGACAGATTCCACGCTGGAGGACATGCCTTCATTTGCTTGCACGAGTCACACGACGTTCGGTGATTTCGCGACCATGAAAGAGGCTTCGAGGGAGTAGTTGTAGTAGTCGCCATCTCGTGAGTCGAGATGACGTTTTCCTCGGGGTCGTTCATCTTCGGTCAGGGTGACGGCGCTCAGCAAAGGTAGCTTCTTTGAGGGAGGACTTTGAAATGCACAAAGTGCCGCGCAAGGTGGGACATTGAGAGCACAGAGAAGTTTGAGGCATAGGGAGGAAGAGCGAGGCTGTGCCTCACAGATTGCCTAGACTTAGATGACTAATCTAATTATCCTAGCCTTGTGGGTTACGTCAGCCAACTTCAGCCAACTTCACAACTTATCAGGATAATTTTAGTCGAAATAAAATATGGCAACTCATTGTACGTCGTCTCATAGCAATTGTTGCTGTAAGTTTGTTGCACTTCCATTTACAGTCTTTCAGTGCATCCGTGCGGCTCAAGGTTGACGCTCAGTGACTGTATCTCCATTGCCTTGAAATCTACCCTCTTACTTGGATCGTAGGTTTTGTAAAGGGAAGAATAATAGATGAATGCGTGTGAATATATCTATGTTGTCCAATTTCAAGATGGGTGGTATCATGGGGTGAACGCGGGGTAAGTTTCCAGGTTTCGAACGCGGGGTAGTTTTAGGGCACAATGACAATGCTTAATAAACAGCCAGAATCTCCGTCTCTTTGGTAGTGAAAATATTATACTTCATATCTATGATACAAACAGAATATATTACAGTATTAGTGCCAGACTTTACTTCATTTAATTGCGCTCTTCTCCTTGACACCCACTCTCTTCCCAATCCATTCGCTTTTGTGTCCCTTTTCCAAATCAGCAGCTATGAAATCGACACAATTTTCGAGCACGGCAAAATAACTCTGCCCTTGGACCATAACATTCAGATAATTCCCTATCAACGGCACCCATCGAAACTTTTGAGTCCACGCTGGCGGAGCGTTAGCTCTGGCCACGAGATTGTCGGCAGAAGTATCCGCAGCAGGAGGAAATTGAGCAGTGTCGTATTTAGGATTCATTTGGGATGCAGCGAAGAGCGACCAAGCGAGGTCATCAGCCGCATATGATTTGATGAGCTGATAGTTTCCTCTGTGAGCAGGGAAGAGAGGCATGCTAGAGAACCGCGTTAGATTCCAGAAAGTTTACATGTCCGTCTGCACACTAAAAAACTTACTAATCGAGGAGGATATGCGGTTTCTTTGGACTATCCAGAATGCCAAATCCACTCATGAGCCAACACCTAATAGGCCCAGTGCCACGCTCTCGTCCGGCGTCCACAATAGCCTTCACGACAGCCGTAAAGATGGCTGGAAACTCACCCTGAGAAGAGAAACTTGTGGTTGCCGGCAAGCCAGCAGCATTGACAACAGCATCGCAGTTATTGGAGAGGATCGCAGCTTTAATGGCCTCGCTATCGCTCGCAGAACCGACGACAACGGAAGTGATTTTTGATTTGGCTTCAGGGGAGATTTTGGTTGGCGAGCGGACATAAGCGATTACTTGGTGATTATGCGCAAGGAGGGCAGGGAGCAAACGAGAGCCAACGTTGCCAGTAACGCCTAGGAGGAGGACTTTCATCCTGATTGAGAGGGGGGATAATGTACGAGAGAGGCGGTGATGAATTGAGAGAATAGGATGAATTGTGAAATTAGTAATAGCAGATGATTGATATTGAGTATTTTCCTTAATAACCAACTGAGCAGGCAATACTTATATGGATTCGATGGTTTAAGGGGGGCTGTTCGCTTATTTACACGCTAGGTAGTTCGGATGCTTACGATCTCCGAAAGTTCCTTATTAGTGATTATTCTCGCTTAGAGACGGACATCCGCCCATCACAACACGCCGTGCTGTACCGCAAATGTGCCATACGTGCCCGACTTATCTCGGTAGCAACGGTACCGTACCAATAATTTCGGTAGCAATTCGATTACACTGGATCCTAGTCTCCTTTGACAACCCGAGATGTCGAGACTTAAAAGGGTTGAAATACGATGTCTACTACTGGACATCATGTCCTTTTGCAATTGACTTGCTAACAATTTGGCGTCATCATGAGCAATTCGGCCACAGTAGGCGCCAAATGGGCCAATACTCCATATTCCTTTATTGAAACACCGAAGCATAAGGAAAGAAAGGTGGCAGTTACTTGAGCTTATGCGAGACTGGTATCACATTTACTGACTGCTATAGACTGGGTATACGAATCCTTATATGGAGACGGCTAGTGAGATGTGTGTAGTTCACAACGCCCTCCTCCGTGGCCTCAACAGCATATATATCCAGGGACCAAATGTTCACCCTTCAGATTGCATGGATTTCATTGGTTATAGTTTGTGTTGGCATTCTGCAATTCATGAACATCACACCAGTGAGGAAGAACAATTCTTCCCTGAAATCGAAGAAGCCGTTGGAGAGAAAGGCCTACTCGATGGTAATGTCGAACAACACAGTAAGCAAGAGTCTTCCTGAGAACTACGCATTTCCATACCGCCTCGTCTTCTTTCCAGTGGATGAACATTGCTGACATAAATGAAACTTAGAGTCCTTTCAAGCAGGTTTAGATGATTTCAAAGGCTACCTCGAAGGCCTGGCTGGCAAAGAAGCATCATTCGATGCTGCTCATCTCAACGGCATCATCGAGTCACTTGCTCCAGCACTTTGCAACCATCTTTCATCTGAGATCCAGGATCTTCTGGCGCTTAGCAAATATGGAGATAAACTTCCAATAGAGGACCTTTGGGGAAAAGAAGGGAAGCGTACTGTGGCATGTCCAGAATCCCGACATCTTGAAATTCTTCTCGCTAACCCTACCAGACTTCAATGACGAAATTCAAAGCGCTTCCATTCTTCTTCCTCAATCTCGATATTACGCATGAAGATTATCTGTGGAAGGATTGGCCTCCTGTTCCCAGTCCTGCAAGATGGGTCATCACTCATTGTCTCACATTAAAGCATCAAGGATACTGGAAGTTTGCTAGCTGCGATCAACGCGGCGTACCAAAGCCTCTTTACGCGCCTGGTCCACGTTGATGATTAGAAGTTGCTTGCTGCGAATTTGGCGTATGGGTTGTTAACTAGCGGTTTCCATACATATCGGGAGTATACGAGAACATTGTATCTCAATAATGTACGATGTAATTTCGAAGAAGCAGAAGAAGAAGATTACTCAAAGAGACACAGAACTTATCCAGATTTCCAGCACAAGATTTTGTAGCCCTGAGGGATGTTCTGCCAAATGTTTTAGAGCGCCTTCATTTTCTCTAACCACTATGTACATTCCGCACCTAGGCACTGCTTGATTCGAAATCGACTTTTACCCCTCGGCTGCGTAAGACCGCCAAGACCTCTTGATCTCCAGCCACCGCCAAACTATAATCCAGAGGACACACATCAAAGACGTTCACTTTGAAAGCTTCTAGCAATGGAAATGAAGCGAGCAGTTCTGCCAATGGTTGTATAGTTGCTCCATGATCTGCTGAACACAACTGCTGTTTCGTTCCATTACTTCCTCTCCACAGTGTTTGGATAAGGAGATCGAAAAAGTTTGCGAAAACGTTGAAACAAGTCCGTTTTGGCTTCAAGAGTTCTGGATTCGAAGAGTGTTTGCAGACAGGATAGAAGTCGATGACCAATTCCTTCACGTGATCACGAAGCCATGCCTTTTCCAACTGGGAGAGGAACGAGTCTATCGATAACTCATTGACCTCAAAATGATGCGTCTTGAGACTGATCAGCGGTAGTCTAATGAAGCTGTATGTTTCCTCGTATATTTGGCGGCTGACTAGGCGCAAGGCAAGAAAGCCCGACGCAGGTAGGCGAGTTCTCCTGGGGCAGCTGGTGTAAGTCAAGTCTCGAATCTTGACGTCCGTTTCGTCCGATCCAGATCCAAGAGCATAGAAAGATCTTCTACTGAGATTATTATGGTGACAGCCGTGTCGCGCGTGATAGTGGTACTGGAAGGCTGGTTCGCGAATTGCGAAGGAGTATTGGTAAATTTGGATTCGAATCTCGGTAGGGAGCTCCAAAAATGGGAAGATAGCTGGAGGCATGATACTTGTCTGACGAAACAATTATGGGAGAGATCAATTCCGGTATACTTTTGCAATTTCAGAATCGTGACGGGGACAGCTTTTGCTTTATAAGCGTACATTGTGGCTCAGCCACCACCAGAAGTGAATCACCAGAAGAAAGCCTTGCAGCAGCAGCCGAAAAAGTTCACCGAGACGGAAGAGCCAATAATAACTCTGACATGAGAATATCAATAAGAGAGAGAGACGGGTACATTATGATGAGAGATCACGTACGCTGCCTGATAGACTTGTTTGAATGACAAATCTGGTTCAGCACCGTAGGGCTAGTTTTGAGGAGCTGACTACAATTTTCGATTTGATCACTTAAATTGACCCCGACAATAAGAAGGCTGTAGATGTCGTCAGGAGCGACGCGCATTTAGTAGGAATGGAGGTTTCAAATTCAGTGTCTTGATACATTCTTAGTTTAATTTAGTATCCCCTCTCAGGGCGGAAAGGTGGCCCCTTGAACCTCCCTCAAAAATCCTCAGAATCGTAATCGTAATGGGAACCGTACAATTCGTCAGCTTTTGTACACTGCTCACATTCATATCCAGAGATGACGGGGCAGAATTTCAGAATCGGCGGATCGAAGTAAACTCCCTCTTTCTCTTTCATGATGATATGTTGCTTGTATGCCTTCCTCATCGACCCAATTTGAGGATAGCCGCCGTTGTTGGAGTAGTATGACTCCATCTTTGCAGATTTTCCAAATTCTGTGATACTCTCCGGACCGTCCCAACAGAATAGAGAGACATCTGTCGGAAGAGAGCGTGGTTCGGGTATTTCTTCAGGAAAAGGATGATCGGGTCTAGAGTGATCGGGACATTTCATCACAATTGTTATTGTCTCTAAGTTGGGAAAAAACTTGATGACAACTTCGGGCAGTTTGTGTTTTAATCCAAAATGGGAGTCGAAGGCAAGATGTTTGATTTTCCCCAAGGCGCCTGGTGTGAAGAGATGTACGAAGTCTCCGAATTCGCGAAAGTCGGGCGCAACTACGAAATAGAGAATATCTTTTGCAGGATCGGCTCGGTGGTAGGAGATGAAACTCGTGGTATCGGGTCTCCAGCTGAAGGTCTTCAGTGCCTCAATTCTCGACTCTCGGCAAACCTGGAGGATCACCGGTGGTGGACAGTGTACAAGCATTTTAGGCACCTGGGATTCGCCGCCTTTTGCGAGTTCAGACAAGTCGGTCCGCAGGTCATTCTTTGGCCATAAAGGTACAACACGAGAGTCTGGCATAGCTTCTTTCCTGTTCAGTATGTCAGGACTATGAAAATTTCAACATCGAAGGAGACTCTTTTGTACCAGATTTTCAGACGCAACTCAGGCGGCAATTTTGGGAATAACGTGAATCTATCGAATTGGCAATACTTGTGGCTTTGTCGTAGAATGGCATTGACCGCAGGAACAGCAGACTGGACGGACTTGAGCGCACTTGAAAGAGAAGTCTGGGAATAGGTTTCGCCTGTGTGAAGAGCTTCTGGCATTGCGGCCGTCAAGGATTCCGCAAGAACTTGCGCTTTGCGAGCTAGGTCGGCAAGCTGATGTGCTTTTCGCATGAAGACTTCGACGGACATGGATTGCTCGTTGAATGTAGACGTGGAGGCTTCAACGGAATTGACCTCATCCTGGAGATAATTAGCATGAGAATACTTGCGCAAGTCGAGCCTGCACAAAAGTAAAGATACCCTTACCTCGTTGGTGACCATGGGAGATTGCGACTATGGAATCCTCAGTATGTTGGCAAGTTCTCAACTTCTCGCTATCGCTATCGCTGTTGATTTTGCTGAAGTTGGCAGGTCAAGACGAGTCTTCGTGGAAGGCTTTTAAAGCCGCCTAGCGAGAAGAAATCACACGAAGCAATAAGAAGCTTACTCCAACTTCAATGTTTCATCTAACAAAGGATATTAAGAAGTTGCCCAGTCAATATGTGGTTCTCAAAGAGCGGTATTGAAAGGGTTGTGATCAGAAGCTCTGAATCGAAAGTACTACGATATCAGATCTATAAAAGTCACAACCATTGAGCAGTTCTAGTTGGATCTTGAACTTACAAGAGGCGTCAAACATACAGAAGACACTTGTCTTCTTCACCGAATCTATTCCCATCAGAGTTTGGTCCCACGTACACATGGAATAGGCTTTGTTGAAAGACTGATTGAGCAGACGAATCTCATGAATTCTTCTTCCGCTCACTAGTCACTGCCGGCATCGAAGCTACTAGATCATGGAACAAAGTATCCATATGCTTCCGAATCTGCTCTTCGTCCACCCCAAGGACCGTTCTTCCTTGCACCACGATCTTCCCATTCACAATTACGGTATCCACTGCTGACCCGTTGCATCCAAACACGAGATGACTCTCAAGCATTCGTCTTCGTTGCTCCACAGGCTCTTTGAGCAGCGGTGTGAACATCATGTCCTTCCTCAGGTCCAACAAGATCAAATCAGCTTTCTTACCAATCGCCAATATACCAGCGTCGATACCCAGTGCTTTTGCCCCATTGCTGGTGGCCATTCTCAAGATCTGACTCGGCTGTCCTAGCGATGCATCTTCAAGGGTTACACGCTGCATGAAGGAAGTGATTTTCATGGTCTCAAACATATCCGTCGAGTTATGGCATTCGCACGCATCAACCCCAAGGCCGATATTGATACCCTCTTTAAGCATGTCCTCAACTTTGGCAATCCCATTTCCGAGCTTTGCGTTCGAACCTGCGTTGTGTGATACTGAAGTACCAGTCTCAGCCAATAATCGAATTTCGTTGTCAGAAAGATGAACGCAGTGGGCTGCCACACAATCAGGCCCAAGGATTCCAGCTTCGTATGCCATCTCTACAGGCCGCTTGCCGAATCGCTTGATGCTATCTGCGATTTCTGTCCTGCTCTCACACAGGTGGATGTGAACTCCTATTCCTAGTTCTTTCTTCATGCGTCCAATTTCAGCAAGCAAAGGCGCATCGGATAGAGGCATCCATTCGAGCCCAAGCCAGACTCTGATGCGACCGTCTCCGAGGTTGTTGTTTCGATGGAAGGCTTGGACATTGTCAGCGACAGAATCAAGATTGTGCTCAGGAAGGGCAATATCGTTGCTGATAACAGCGCGAATGCCAGTCTGTAATGCAGCACTGGCAAGCGAGTCGAGATGGCGGTACATGTCGTTCACTGTGGTTGTTCCAGATTTCAGAGCTGTAATGTAGGAGTGCAGCGCTGCTGTTCGGCATGTCTCTGGTGTGAGAGCACGAATTGAAGGATACCAGATTCTATCTAGGTACTCCCACAGAGGTAGATCATCACCATAGCCCTTTGAATGTCAGTGTTGCTGTCTTTATAGGAGATCGCGGTGATGAGAATACAGACCTTGGCAACCGAAGTGTGGAAGTGCAAGTCGACTAGACCTGGCATTACGAGCTTATCTACACCATCAATGATTGTCGTCTGTCCGTCATAATGGTCTAGAACCGTATCCTGTGACCAAGAGTCGATGCTGAAGATTTTGTCGCCACGAATGTCGATGACTCCTGGGTAGTAGAATGTGTCTTTGTCATCGAGGGTTAGAATACTTGTATTTTGAATCACTATTCGAGTCATGCTGGATATCAGGACACGAAAGTTAGTTCTTATTGTACGTGATGTACCAGAATTCAAGTCCGAACCGGACAGTGATGAAAGTTCTCTCTAAAGTGGGATGAAAGCGCCTTCTTAACTTACGTGCGTCATACTAGCTTTCGGGAAAGACGCCTTTCGTGAAGCAATGTCTCAGAAATAAGGAAATATAAATCTCTGGAGACTAGGCAGTCTCAGTATTCAGTCATAGTGTTGTTTCACAGAGACTCTGACTGAAAATCTCCAGAGAGCTCGGCCAATCACGTGAGATGTACAAGATGTCATTATAGCTACGTTATAGAAGCTTTGTTAAGCCTCCCATATCTCACCAAAGTATTAACAATTGACAAAAGTCCAAGAAAAAAATTATATTGTATTCTGGGAAAAGACTGTTCTAGGCCGGAGAAAGAGCGCCCTCCCCAACTGGTAACAAATGAACGAAAAATAATTCAAAGAAACTCGTTCATTGTCACCCAGAGAGGTATTTGCTAGTGGAATCTCTTGCTTTTCCATCATTCGAATTCTTGATATTCCAAGGTGAGGGGTACATTGACCCCGCACTTCACGTGCCTGGTGGTAAAAGAGTTTTTCGATACTTCATACTGTGTGTAATGTTCAGATCTATCTAAACAACTCGACATACAGAGCGCTTTTCGTGCAACAACATCTTGTGGGACCATGCTATTTTGACTCATATGACAGCGGCCACTCCTGGCATCCTCGCTAAGCTCAGGGGGAAACGAGACGAACGAAAAGGATTTCAAGAATAATGGAGCAATGAAACAATTGGCGAAGGAGTAAGTGAAGCTGCTCTTACTCGGCTCAACGGTTCCGGAGAATCTATTCTGTGTGTATCCTCTGTGAATAATTATAGGTCTGGAATTGGCGGTGATAGGGCTCTGATTATCATGCAGTCCACTACGCATCTCCAACTCGAATGGAAGACAGAGTTCGACTTGCACGAATATCGAAACAAATCAAATCGAACTTCTTCAAACACCTGCATGATAATCGTTAACAGCCTGCTGAAGCGCTTGTGTGACCAAGACGGCGGAAGGTGAGGCGATGTCCCATGAACGTGAGATTTGATGGTAAATCAGTACAATTATGCTGTCAGAAATTACAACCTCTCCAAACACAATTGCGGTATGCCAATGCGAACTATACAAGGATTTCCTCAAACCACAGACTACTTATACCATCTTGATTGAAAGCTCTCAACTTGAGTTGCATTTATTCAAATATCAACACATACAATTTAGACTCAAGCATCAGCTTCCCGAGCTCCCATCCCAGCTCTCAACCCCCACATCTCACAAGTCTTTTCAGCAAGGTATGCTTCAGAGAAATACCCTCTTCACATTCACATCTTGACATGTCGGATTCTGTGGCGAATGTATTCCCAACACCCAAGTCAGAGTCGTATAATGATAACCCGTCCACAAAGTCTCGCAGACATGCCACCTGTATTGGGGTTTCGGGGCAGAACTGCCATTAGCATTGAGCAGATACTATAAATACCATCAAAATCAGCATAATCTCATCCATCAACTCGACATCCATGTACGGTGCCTGAAGCGTGATTATAAGTCTAAAAAGGACAGAGAAACAGCCCAGAGATGAAAACGGGAGAAAAGTACCTCACTTCCCGGCTCCTTAGTATCATCATAATATTCCAGAATATTCATCAAGCCCTGCTTATCAAAAGCGACCTGTGTCCCACTTTCAAAATCGATCTGCGTCAAAGCCACATTGCTGTTAAGATTCATCTCAATGTTCATCGCCTCGCTGACTCTCCCTTGAGTGTCATTAACCCCATAGAAAGGCAACCACCATGTCACGATCCCGGTGTTGAGATAAGGATCGGGATTTCCAGAACTAAAACCTGGACAGCTACCATTCTTGACGCCATTGACATAGCTGTCACAGATGTAGTAGGTCGTATTCCATTGATAACGGACGTAGTTGTCCGTGCGGTTAATGCTAGAGTCTGGACTGACGATGCAAAGACCCTCGTAGGCCGCACCATCATGACACGCTCCTAACAGGGCGCCATTGAGTGTCGTATTGCGGGATTGGATGACGAGGTTGAAGTCTGCGGATTGATTGGTTCCACTATAGGAGTACTCTCCTGTATAGTTTGCTGGAAGCTGCGCGAATACAGTGACGGCTGCGACGAGGAGAACAAAGGAAGTAATAAACATCGTGTTTTGTTGAGTGTCGGGGAGGGTTTGAGTGTTTGGAAAATGCATTATAGAGAAGGAGCTCTCGTATATAGAAAAATTAAGCATGTTGCATTGTGTTTGCTGGTATACCAGGAATGGCGTTAGCTTCTCGTTAAGCTGCAGACACGAGATAGGATAAGATGTCGTGTAACCGTACCAAGTAGTAAACTGCACCAGGTGGGGTGACACATCTTCGCCGTTCTGGGGGTGGTACCACATGACTAGATTTTTCCGTACTCAAAACCTCGTATTCGGAGTCTTAATGGTTAATTTCGACTCTTGACAACCCTCATTCTTCGAAGTAGCAGCAGCTGACTCCTGAAGCTCAACCTCTCGATCGTATTCCACCGTGGCATTCGTCTCCTCATCGTTATTATCTGCAGGAAGTATCAGATTACAAAGAATAGCAACAAATGCCGCAACAGCGAAGCCAGAAATAGCCATTACTCAGCAACTATCCCGCTTGGGTGCGAGAATAAAATAAGTGGAGAGAGGGGTCTTTGGAGGCAAGGAAACATTCACTTGTATCGACTCAAAGTCCGACACGCTCACGCAAGACTTCCATATCTCTTCCCAGCTACAACCTGCCTCCTCAATTTCCCTTCAACTGGACTCCTCCGTCCATCTTGCAACTCTAAACTCTGTCCACCTTCATGAAAGTTGAAAGTAGCAGAGATGATTTGCAAGCTGAAGGTACTAGACTCAACTTGGTGCCTACATGCTGCACTGCTCCACGGAGAGATTTCAGGCCGTGCCGCAGGTCGATTTTGGTACTTTACCACCAATAGACCAGGCAGCAGAAATAACCACAAACCAGAAATTTGAATAAAGAGAAAGAAATGAAAGGAATGCGCCTCCGAGGATCAGTGTGATAGGTAGGGATTTAACGGACGAAACATGAAAGAAACGTTTAGCTCATGGAATGGAGAGGGCTGAAATGTGAAAATGAAGCAGGTCATTCAACGACTTTTGGTATTCGCGCATCAGGTCTTTTTGATGGCAGTGAGTTCATGAGAACCTCATAGTTCTTGTTCAGCTCCATACTTGGACGCAATGATTTCCACTTCATTTACAAAAAATCCTGGTTCATCGTCCGGACATTCTTCCAATTACACCACTACTCTTCTGGTTTCTGACCTATAACAACAAGACTAATTGGGTTAATAAAACATCTCGCCATCCCTTCCCGTTGTCTCAAGTCTGGAAAGGAAACTTACTATTCATAATAAGAATGAATCTTAGTGTTCCTGTGCTCGGCCTTCGCTTTCGCTAGTAACACATCCAATTCCAATTTTGACCAACCTAGGACTCGTGTGAAGACCGCAGCGCTTAGACCTTCGATACCTCCATCTGGGCCAGCGATGTTTTCGCATTGCCACATGCCTTTTAGTACATGTTAGTCTGAAGAGATGGAGGGGAAGTACGGAGTTGCGCACCGATTTCCTTGAGCTTTTTGTCCTTTGGCCATCGGTTGTTGGGCACACTGGAGAGGGTCAGCAACTGACTTTGACGTGTGGATGAGGGCACGATAGAAAGAAGAACACTTACATGTACGTCGTCTCCGTTACACTCACAAAGCCAGCCGCCTCCATCTGCGATTTATATAATCTCGCACATTCGGCTGAACGACCCATCTTCGCCATGCCCTCACCCCACAAATTCGCCCTATCCAAACATCAGAACAGAACCACGACTCGGCCTTAGGCAAAACCTACCATTGCAGCAGCGCAGAATCCTCCGGCCACTCCCCATCATTCAGCTTGATCGGCCAGGCTGGGTCCGCCATCTCAACGAAACCCCCAGGTGCAAGATTCGCAAAAGCCTGCTCAAAGAACCGAGGATAATTGTTTAAAGAGCACATCAACATTCGACCATAGATCAAGTCAAACTTCTGTGTATAGGTCCACGGCGCTTCCAAATCATCGACTTCGAATTTGACGTTTGGTGGAATGAAAGAGGGTTGTATTGGGCTCAGGTCGACGCCTAGAACAGAACTCTCGGGATGATCGTCTGCGAAGTCTATCGCCCAGATACCTGTTCCGGTGCCGGCGTCGAGTACTCGATGGAGGACTTTCGTCTCAGGTACAGGGGCTGTAAAGAGTTTGCCATTGAACATCAACTGGAATTCGTGGTGTTGCATGTCTAGTCGATCGCTCTCGACTTCGTCGTTAGGAAGTGCATATGATCCATCCTAACAAGTAATTGCATTTCAGACATGACCCAACGTGAGTGAAGGACGCATTGAAATGAAGCATACCTTGTATGCGTGGTACGTTCTTCCATTTTCTTCGCGGTACTTCAAGACGCTGGAACCAATAGATGTAGTTGAGCTTGCAATAGAGTCTCCTTCGTAAGCAGAGTCATTCGCATAATCATCCTCTTCAGCCTCGATAGCCGTCCCCGCGGTAGCTACCGCCTCTGTCGGACTTCGAGGCGATGATGCAGGGTGAGAGGAGCGGGGTGACTCCACTGCAGCAGTAGTTGGCTGAGCTTGAGCTTCTTCGGACATGGTTGATGCGAGGTAATTCGAAAGCGGACACTTGGGTATCAAAACTATCGCAAAAAGGCAGAATGGAAGGAAGAGAGCGTGGTACCGAGGGTTCGATTTCCGTCGTCCTTGAAGTATGGGGACACACACAGGGTTACTTCTTACGTGGTACAGATGTGTATTCTTATCTGCACGTCTACAGGGTCCTTGAGCGTGGGGCTTTCAGGGTTGAGGACCCGGACCTTCCCCGCGCACCGTGTAACTGGTTCGATACTTCGGCGTTCATGCCAAATATTGCTGACAGCCGATACAGTGGAGCCTTCAGCACTCCAAAGTGAGCAGATTCTTGTCGTCCTTCCAGATGCATCGGTCCAACCCACTTCTGTTCAACCTTTCGCTTGGCGCAAACCACCAACAACATGCGGGATAGCAGGTTAAAGTTCATTAGTAGAAACTTTCCGCAGAGCCTCACTCCCACGTCGGGTGGAATTTGACAGCGGCTGGTAGAGATAATGGAGGCGTTCGCAACAAGGATGAAGGACCCGGCCTTGCATACGCGGAAACGCCAACTCCGTTGGCATCATCTCGCCCAAAGATGGGGAAACGATATTCGAGTGGGGGTTGCGTGGAGTAACCACTTGCTATTTCAAAATCTCTGGGATCATCCGCAGTACTTCGTACCTAAGAGAGCAGTCCAAATTCCTAATGATCACAAGAATCTTTGGTATCAAGTTAAAATTTTGTTCTCAGTCTTTACTCTGCAAACAGAAACTCACAATGTCGGGGCATTGGACGCCAGTGATGAATGCGACTCCACAAGAGGTCCAAGAGTCCTAGCTTCTGCAACATTTGCATTCCGCCTGGACGACCGTCAGTTCAGATCGACATGGAGTGACCTTCGCTGGAGGAAGGCAGCTTTGATGGTCGGTCATTTCATTCGTAGTTCTCGACCCTGGGCGCAGGCACGCTTGGACCCAGGGAGGAGAAGTGCTTCTGCGAAGCAATTGCGAAAGCTAGACCTGCTATGCCAGCGCTGGAGACAACGACCTTTTTGCCTGCCACGAAAGGTATGCGAGCATCTGCCATAATTCCAAACAGAGTCTTTGAACGGGGAGAGAATAGCGGTTGAACCACTCGAAGTAGTGATTAACACCAATGCCACACATATGAGGGCGTGGGGCCAAATTTCACTCCCAGTCTGCTGGCCATTTCAGAACATCTGTGTTCCCATACTCGATGTGCCGAGGGAACATGAGCTTTCGTGTTCGCGCTTGGCTCAAGACCGCACGATTCAAATACAATATACTATAGTTATGGCATGTTGAAAGGAGTCTTCAAGTTGAAGAACATTAGATGAATGGTTTGACTTGAAGTTTTGAAGTTGATGTTGAAGATCAAGAAGGTAGAGAAGAGAACTTAGCCCTTTTGCCGAGGGCGCTAGCCAGTTTGGCAGCAAAGTCATCTTCCAAGGTTGGGATTGAGATGATGCAACATAGAAAGCTTGAAATAAGATTCCAATGTCTCCTATTTTGAATCTTGTGAGCATGGAGAACAATCGGAAGAGGAAGGTGACAATGAGACGACACATTGAGATTAGTGAGAAGTCACGTGAAAGAATGATTTTGACAGTGTTTGACTTGATTATCTGATTTCCTAGCTATCTATTCCTAGCATGACTTCAAAAACATTATACTTATCAATTTCTCGTATGTCGTGTAGTAGAACCCAGATGTATCCTTCCCGCGCCCCGTTTCCCATGATCCAAGGTCATATCATCATCATGTTAAACCACTCTTTAGCAGTAAGTGATGTACAATCCCAAAGGACTTGGGTTGTAATCCTGGAAGAAATAGAGGTAGGTATCGCCAACAGCCTTTATCTCATAGGACACAGTCTCACCGGCTTGGCAAGCGAACGTAGACACAAGAGTGCTGCTTCCTTCCGTGAGAGTGAAATCACCAAGGTCACTTGATACAGACGGGGCATTGTCGTATGTGATAGTGGTGGTGGCGGCGGAGGAGAGTTGCTCGAACTCGACTTCGCCAGTGCCAGAGAATTCGTATGAGGATGTCTCGAGCTCGGATTGAAGAGGCAACAAGAAGATCAGGCTGCAAGTATCTCCGGCATAGGACTCTGGGATGTCGAAGTTGAAGATCGTGGATACGTTGGAGGAAATAGTTCCGAAGTATTGGGTGCCGTAAGCGGTATCTGGGGAGGTGGACGAGATTGGCACGATCAAGTGGGGGTATTGGTAATTCCCTGCTGTGTATGTGCCAGTCAAGGCAGTGGAGACACATGTCGAGGCTGATGAGGTCGTTGAGGTTGGGGCAGTTGTGCTTGAGTTAACCCAAATGTAGGACGAAGTTTGGGTACTGGTGTAGAGAGTGGTGGGTGCTGTCGAAACTGGGATCGAGGACGTTGACATCACGGTGCTAACGATTTCGGTGGAAGTCGTGCTCTCAGGAACCTGGGGAGTTGAGCTTGGCGTAAAGATCAAGCTTGTACTCTCGACATAAGTCGTGCTTTCCTCGACTGATGTAGAAACAGGCGTGGAAACAGGAATGCTGACAGGAGCCGTAGTCTCTGTCTGAGGGGTGGAAACAGGGATAGACGTAGCCTCGCACTCGGTAATAGTAACGGACGCTGTGATGGTAGCAAATTCCGTAGTAGAAGCTTCTTCTGTTATAGTTGCAAATTGAGTGACGGTTTTAGCCTCTCTTGTGATGGTAGCGAATTGTGTAACTATCTCAGTTCCTTCGGTGGCGGTAGCATACTGTGTGACTGTTTGAGCTTCTCCTGTTATGGTAGCATACTCTGTGATAGTAGATGCTTCAGTCACAGTGGCACCTCCCTCTGTTACGGTGGCAAACTCCGTCGTGGTGGCCTCCTGTGTAACCGTAGCAAATTCGGTGACAGTGGAACCTTCCGAAGCTTCGGTGATGGTATAGGTCTCCGTGGATGTAATGGTCGAGGCAGCGCCAGATGAGCAGGTCGAAGTCTTGGCAGCACAGCCACTTGCAGCAAGGCTGATTTCAACGCACTTTGCTTGACCGACGACGGGTGTGGTATAAATGTTCCATTCAGTGTCTGAAGCAGGGCAAGCATAGAACACAGAGCTGCCAGAGTATTCGAAAGTACCATTGCCGATGATGGAGAAACCAGACATGGGGCTCTGGTTAAGATCGCATTGGAATTGTTCGACCTCAGCTATCCACATGTCAGTATTCACTTTTTCATGAAGTGAGATCAAACTTACGAGTCAAGATACATCCATAGCCAGCAGCGTCAGTGACGGTTCCATTGGCACAGATGGTAAAATTTGTCTGAGGCAAACCTCCACCAATCCGAAGTTGGCCATCACTGAGTCGACCCACCGTTCCGGATTTTCCACCGGAAGCAGTCAAATCAAAAGTGCAGCAAGAGGCATAGGCTCCTACGGCCAAGCTGAGGGCAACGAAAGACTTCATTATAGCGAGTGTGAAGTAAACGACAGTGGATATGAATTAACGTTTGTATTGGAGCTTATGAAACACATAATGAGGGGGATGATCTTCATATACCTTTAGAACTCATCCGACAGGCGGAGAACAGAGCTATTCTAGGAGCACGATGACGTTGAAAAGACTATGAGGAATTCCCACTTCTAGCAGAGATCGTGTGATGGTTCTTCGGCTGTGCTTACCAGAGCTTTCCGAACAATAATGCGAGAGGCGTAATTCTCGTCCAAAATCAGGTATCAAATCGGCCTAAATTGGCTTTACACAAATCATGAGAATGCAGGCCCGCAGAAAGCAACGAACACGAATGACTCGAGTGCCTGGTCTTCACACTATCTTCGACGCAGGTTACCACTAGGCACAAGCACCTCGTTGCCGGGTTCGAGAGCCAACAATGGTGTGGGGACCTTGACATTTACTGGGCCACTTGACAGTAAGGCTGACACCGTAACGGTCGGGTACATCGGGCTTGGTGACCGTGAAGTCACAACGCCTCTGTACCGTGATGAGATCTCGAAACTTCGGGAGTGATGATATGATCTCCTTAACTCGGATTGAGCTGATAGACCTCTATGGTTTCCCAACTTCACTGAAATTTCGGATCATGTTGTTTCTTTTGCTTGAGTTGCGATACCTATCCGTAGCTGGAGATGGCAGAGCAAGACGTTGCCGGTTGCCGAAGATGGTTTCTCATCGAGCTTACGCAAGAGGTTGGGGCTCGAAGACAGACACCTGTGGTTGAATACGGGACAGGTGAGAGACTTAAGTACTAGTGAATGCGCCATCAGAATTTTTTTGCCGCGTTCCTTGCAGGCCGGCGTCGTAAGTTGCAAATTGGTGGTGTGGAAGACTCGGATGATTGAGATGCTGTTGCTAAGAAAAGAAACGCGCGTTCCTTTTTGGTGGGGTCTCAGCCACCCACGTGACCGAGAATGGAGTGGGAGAAACAACCTGAAAAAGTGTCGTACCAGCAGGACTCTGACACTTCAGGAAACAAGATGTTCGATTAGCTTGATGAATTTCGAGAACGCTGGATGGCTCGATGGCAGAAGGGAAGGGGATTATCACGTGATACTTCGACCTGTGATTACCTAGCTTCGAGGTAAAGGAGATCCGTTGGCCCTCACCGTTTTTGGTCTTAGACATAGGGGGATCTTAGAAAGTCACGCCTCTTTCATGTTCTCTTCAATCTGGAGCTCTCCCTCGGCCAACACCGGCAATTCATCTCAATGGCCTCTCAAGCCCTCAGCTTTCTACGTATTGTAGAACTTAGACGTTGAAAAAAGCACTTCTCACACGTGAACAGAGTCGATCGAAAAGACCTTCTCATATTGTGGTTTTCTCGAAAGACTACATCGAGCGCACACGTCCACCATACTTTTTAATAGAGTCACTCATATATGAGACAGCACTTATGAGTGGTGCATTTCGAGAACGAGGATGTGTTGAATTGTCTTGACTAGAGAAGCAGCCTGACTAGAAATTACTCATTCAAAAAAAGCGAAGAGCGAAAGAAAACAGTTTGTGGCGAGAGCAAGAGGCAAGTATCACTCGACCGACGCAGCCTCAAGACGACAAGCACTTCCTCAGACCCCACTGCATGTTCTCATCGAGGCTAATTGCGTGGGAAAAAAGGTTCTTGTTCCGCATCGCATGTTCCTAAATGTATCTAGAACAAGATAGAAGAAGTAAATGAAAGCAAGAGCACCTCGACTTGAAGTGTTCGATAACAGGCCCACTTCACATGACGCTTAAAAGGATCTTCAGAGCCACACTAGGCCCCTGATTTAGCCAATCAAACAGCAACAGAATCTTTTGTCGCATGTCGCATGTCGCATGTCGCATGTCGCATGCCGCAATTGGAAGTGTTCAAATGAATACCAGTAGAAAAGAAAGAAAGAAAGTGGGATGGAAGATGTTCTCGAATGTTTTAGTGGTTTCACCTTAAACCTCGGCCTTCCTCCGTCGCGACATTCCGACCATGATTGTGATTACTGAACAATGAACCTCAACAAAATTTGCCACGGATGACAAGTGATCAATATGTTCACAGGAATACAGAGGCCGAAATCCCTCCAAGTGCCACCAGTGCGAAGGACCTGGTTTCATGTTGCATGCAATGATCAATACTGGTACTGCAAGCAAGGCTTGCATAGCATGCCGAGACCGCAAACGCAAATGCGATAGAATCAAGCCAAGCTGCTCTCTCTGTTACCGGTACGTATCACCAAAAGAGGCCGATGGCGACCGGGAACTAAAGTCGAAGCAGTCTTGGCCGCGTTTGTCACTATGAGCCTCGTTCTCGGAGAAATGACACTTCAGTTGTGCTCAGCAGTACTCCTCTACAAGTACCGACGGTCACTCTTCTGTCGCCTCCAGAAACCCCACCACTCTGCTTGCAACCTGATGTCAACAAGGCTATCACAGGTCGACTTCTCCATGCCGTGGGTGATATCTCAGCAATTCGCGTGATAGCTGAGAACTATTTCGGAAGTGTCCATCGCTGGTTTCCAATCTTGTCCGAGGTGTCCTACTATGAGCAACTCACCTCGACCTACACCGACCCAAACGCTGAGTACAGTCTGTTGTCTTTAAGTATGGCTCTCATCACATTAATGCCATCAGAGGACGAATCATTCTCATCCCTTTATATGTTGGTCAAGAGTGCCATCGCTATTGTGGAGGCCGCGAATATTCATTCGCTGGAAGTTGTTCAGGCAAGGCTCCTTGTGACATTGTTTGAAGCCGGTCATGGTATTGAGCCTGCGGCATTTATCTCCATGGCGGCGACTACGAGGGCTGCTGTCGCGATTGGCCTGAATCAAAAAATCAATGACCCCTGCTGCCATGACGAGAATATCAATTCGAAGATTCAAGCTGGCTTGCGTGTATGGTGGGGTCTTGTCATGTTAGACCGGTACGTTCGTGCCTTTCATCCTTCCGATGTTGATGTGGACGGAGCTGAAAACGGCGCAGAAGCTACACAATCGAGCGCGGGGAGGGTTCATGTGCCACGCACCAATATGAATCTCCTCAATATCTTCCACGTGATGGCAGTGTTTGGGACAACAAGGTAAGCTCGCAGTTTGTCAAACAGCAGTAGTACTGATCTGGTTTAGATATTATCGTCCGCCAAACCATTAAATCTTTCTACACCATCCAGCATACGAGTTGGTGGATTTGCAAGGCAAGCTCAAGTGTCACATGTGCTCCATATCCTGATGATGCATCTGCATGATTCAAGAACCAGTGTTCCAGATCCCGATGAAGCCGATCAAATCGCTAGGACCCTGACAGCATTTTCAATGCTATTGCCAGAAGAAACGCCTCAACCTTGGCCAATGTACTGTGGAGCTCTTGGAATGTGCTTCAGGTCAGTAATGAATCTTTTAATGCTTAAATCTGTCTGATGTAATCCAGTGCAATGATGACACTCCACGAGTCACGCCCACGAACCTCACTCTCAGAAGAGTACCTCAACTGTGATCAGCCAGAATCTTTGCGATCCTCCCTCGAACGTATACATGGATTATGTACTCGCTTCAATGCGCGAATCGAGCAAGTCAGCGTCGATGCTATGTCTCCGTTTCCCCCATATGGGCTGATTCGAGCTGCAACCCTGAGACACCAACTATTCAAGGAAACAGGGGACTACTCTCATATCACAGCTGCAGATTCCCTGACGTTGATGGTGAAGCACTTTAGCAAGAGATGGAAACGTGCAGGTAAGAACTCGAACTAATATGAAGGCTTGATCTAAACTGCAAAGGGAAACTTCTAAACACTTTCGAGGAGAATCGGAGGTCATATGGGCTCGTCTCAACAGTCCATTGACGTCTCATCTACTCAAACCCAAACTTCCCTCTTATCAAAGACCACTCGGATCCACTTCTCCAACAGGATAGTCAGTGTAACCCTTCGGCCCAGGTGTATAGAAGGTGGTTTGATCCCACGGCGTCAACCTCAATCCCAATCTAATCTTCTCCACCAAATCTGGATTACTGATAAACCACCTGCCGAACGTAACACCATCCAATTCCTCCTTCTCAACCTCATCAAAACAATTTGTGCCATCATACTCGCCTGTTGCAAACGTCGGAGTATCCTTCAACACTTTTTCGAAATGCTTCAAGTGAATATCCTCGGGCTCGGCAGCAATTATTCCATCCTCAGATGCTTTGGCCAAAGTCGCCAGCTTCTTGTCAGAAGACAAGAAGAGATCGGCGCGAGGCTGAGTGAGGCAGACGTACGCGAGACCTCGCTTCTCGACTTCGCTCAAGACATATGTCCAGTTTGAGATTGGATCGGAAGCTAGAGGCATCATGACTGTTCCCCACGGACTGAACCTGACGGCGGTCCTTGCATGACCGATTTCAGCGGCCATTGCGTCAAGAGTCTCGAGGATGAAGCGAGCGCGGTTCTCTTCGGTGCCTCCGTAATGGTCTTTTCGCAAATTGGTCCTATCGTTGAGGAATTGGTCGAAGAGGTACCCATTTGCAGAGGACTACTCAAATGACATTAGCTTCTTCCCGACAAATAAGGGGCTCTAAGAAAGACTCACGATCTCAACACCGTCAAATCCAGCAGCGATAGCGCACTTCGCAGCATGAACATGGTCCTCAATCGTGTCCCTAATATCTTCAAGTGTCATCTCCTTCGCCGTCTCCGTCGGGACCTGACCCTTAGGCGTCAATCTATTGACGAGATTACTGTTCGTGGCCGAGGCGCTGAGAGGTTGACGACCACCTAAGGTGTGAGAGGTTCCGAATCGACCGATCTATCGCTATCAGTTAGAGTTTCTATGTCGCTGGAGTGGGAAAGGAGACGAACATGCCACAACTGACAAACCATATACCCACCCCTAGCATGCACGGCATCCGTAACAACTCTCCAGCTCCGAATGTGCTCAGGGGAATACATGCTTGGGATATTATGGAGGTTTCCGCCCTGGAATAGTTTGTTAACACATTAATGAGGAAGGGGAAGTTTCGAGGAGACGAACCATAAAGCTAGGATGCATGCCCTCTGAAATAATCAAACCTCCAAGCGTTGCTCGCTGAGCATAATACTCAGCTACGTCAGGAGAAGGAATGCCTCCTGGACAACGGACTCGTGTGAGGGGTGACATTATAACGCGGTGGGAGAGCGTCGTGTCCCCGACTTGGAGAGGAGTGAAAAGTTTGCGGTCTTGGTGGATGGAACCCATCTTGTTTGATGTGAAGTCTGTTTGTGGAGAAAGGTTGATTGAGAGGTGTGGGGAGGGAGGAATTGGATGTTATATATCCCCAGATTCTCTTCTTGAGGAAGAATTGTTGAGCTCCAACAAGTCCACGCGACATCTACACATTCTCACAGATAGAAACATGCCGTCGGTGAACGAAAACAACTCATTGAGAATAAATCTTCATTTCAATATGCGGATGTTGGAGGCTTGAGCATAGAAAACACAGCCAATGAGAGCTTGAGGATGTCCGCATATGCATCCGCTCCCGCAAGTAGCCCGCCTCCGCAACTGGGAAGTGTCGACTTTGTCTGAACCTTGAAGGGTATGAAACTTCTCGAAAGGATGTTGAAGTATACTATTTGCTGTGTCACATCTGTGCCTTAGGTAGTTAATGTTATCGAGTGAAGATATCATTTTGGAGGCACGTGGGTTCGTGTAACGTCCGAGCGTTACTCGAAACCCTTTTCAACGACGACGGGTTCGTTCATACAATCCTCAAATCCTAAACCATAATCCGCATAACAGCTCATCGACTAAGAGACACCACAATACGAAAATCTCGAACGTCTAGACTTTCATCACAATCGATCGGTATTTGCTATCCGCAGCAATGGCTTCATCGCGATCGTCTACAAAACGCAAACATGATGTCTTCGTCAAGACAGAAGACGATGGGCAAGCAGATCCTCTCCCTCCCCCGATGCCACCACCTAAGCGCACCCATGAGGATGAGCTAGGAATGCTACGCAAGATTATGGCATTACCGGAGAGCAGCGTACAATCTCTGCTTTGGCGTGCCTACAAAACAGACCTCGGTATGGAAACGGGCATAAACAAAGAGTTGGAGAAACACAGCAAAGATGAGGACCCAGAACTTGATGATATCCAAATATTTGATTATTCTGGTCTTGATATCAGTCTTGGTATCGGTCATGTTATCGTTATCGAGATTGTGGGAGAAGTTATGGCAGTTGCAGGAGGAGTGTGATGATGTTGATATGGAGGGTTTGCAAAAAGTTTATGCTCTGTTTGATGGAGAGGATGTCTCTGAAGAGGAAGAGGAAGAGGAGGACGTCGACGAAGACGATAGCGACTAGACGGCGACAGCAGTCCGAAATCCTCATATCTTTCTACAGCCAACACATTCGCGATAGTAACGGTGCTCAAGCGGAGATGAGTCCAGACGAAATCAATTTGTGCATAGTCTAGCCATGTTGGAATAAATTCAAGGTGACTTTGATGGCGTGTGTAATTGCTGTGCTTGGGCTCAGCGTATTCATCGGCGAACGCGATGAAGCAATTCCGTCAAATTCGGTATTAACTCAGTCATTCTTCACTTCATGGGCCTTCAATTTTCCAGTCAATTTGTTTGATTCTATGCTACAACGGTGCCATTTGTCTGCTGCTTGAAATACGGCGAGAAATCCTCGTTTAGCAGATGTGTAAACTGACTTGTGTTAGCATAATCTTCTTCACGGATTATCAACTTACGCCTGCACTCTGCTTCTGCATCTCCTCGTCGTTCACCATCTTCTTACACATGGCAAAGAACTCGTTCCGCTCAGTAACGGCATCCTCGTCCCATATTCGGCGGAAGTTCGCTCTCGACATCGGATCAATCATTTCCTTCCATTTTTTGATTCGCACCTCGCTATACTTGTCCAATATCGAATCATCTGCCAGACCACTCTGCATTGCTATGAGGCAGTCGTATAAACTGGTTACATCTGCAATGCCGCCTGTCAAGCCAAGCCCGCCACTATCACGGTCAGAACCAACCCATGAACAATGGCCGAAGACTCACAATGGATTGCACAAGTGTGCAGCATCTGCTATGAGGAGGAATCGACCAACTCGGAACTTCGGAGCACATCTTTGATGCAACTTATATGGACTCGCCCCCACGAGTTTGTAGTCTCCTGGCTTTGGCTTTCCAGGCAAAAGCTCCTCGTATCTCAGAGGCTGCCTTGCTAGATATTCCTCGTTGGACAGTCCCCATTTGTCACCGTATGTTACACGCCACATTCCATCGGTTGTGATTTTTGCTGCCATGTACCAATTTTCAGGGTCTATGATGAAATTTGAATCAACGTAGCCGAATTTGTGGAAGTCGTAGTATACCTGTTATGTCAGCTATTTCTGTCAAGTAATTCACTAAACTTACATTTGTCGCAATGATCTGGTATTGCAACGTCTCCCCTGGAAATTCCAAGTCACCAAATAGAGACCTCCGAATCTGGCTGTTCGCGCCATCTGCTCCGATGATATAGTCTGCCGAGAACATCTTCACTCCTTCTGGCGTCTCGACCTTCACTCTGGCTTCCTTCTCGTCTTGTTCGATACCCACGACCTTGTGCTGCATCTGCACCTCAGCATTTGGCAGCGCAGTCAAATGCTTGAATAACAGTTTCACCAATCTATCCAATGGCAATACCTGCATCGCATCTGGGTCTGTCATGTCGGTATTTAAGCCAGCAATATACGTTCCATCAAATTCACGCCAGCACACGGCATCTGGGATGAAGCCATCTTTCTTGATATCGTCCAGAACGCCTGCTCGTCGAAGTTCGCGAATTGCACTGGGCGCATAATGAGCTGCCCGAGGATTCTTGTCAAGCTCTGTTGCTCCATCGAGAAGTTGGATTTCTATGCCTTGTTTGGCGAGAAGAATGGCCATCAACAGACCCGACGGACCAGCACCGACAATGATGACCTGGGATTTATCGTTAGTTGTCGCCAGGCACCCGACTCTCTAGACTTTGTGTTTACCTTTCGAATGGGCTTTTGGTTCGCCATTGCGTAAGTTGGAACTATCTCAGAGCAGGAAATGCCAGATTCCAGATTGGTGCCACTCAGATTATCAACAGATTTTGGAGCCTACAATACATTGAAAGACATATGTTTTGTTACAATGGCAGCGAAAGCTCCAGGCCACAATCCTATTTCTCAGCCCATTTTCTCCAACGCGGGGTCAGGTACCATGTGGGGTCGTGTCTCGAATATTTGAGGCTCGCAGCCATAACCCCGACACTTCCAGGTGGGGTCGAAATGCAAAGTTTCCTCGGCCCCTCAACTCCATTTTCAGCAAGCTTACCTTGGCTGAGCTCTTAGGGTCGGAGTCGGACCTGAAGGTGCTCCGGTGCTGTGCATTTTCTGTAGTGGTGGCGGACAGGAAACGCGGGGACGTTTGATCTCGGGTTCATCCATCCGACAGCCGACACGACATTGTCACATGCAGGATGTCTCTTTGAGAGCAAGTGTATCAAAGATATACTAGTCAGTTGAGCTCGAAATTGCTGAAAATGCTATCTGTACTACACTAATGCGTCCCCAATCTCTTATTCTGCGTGTGTTCTGATGTGGAACTTCTCGAGCAAGTTGTGCCTGCACCAGTAACTCCGATACTTCTTCCCAAGCACGTACATTATTGGAATTCCTGCCATTACCCCAAATCCTGTCGCTCCAAACACATAAAATAGTTGTTGAGGTCCGGCTCTAGCCAACCAGTTGTTGATAAAATATGTGAAACCGTACAGCAAGAAGTTCTTGAATAGCATGCCCATGATGAAGATCTCGTTGCTCATGTCTCTATACGCATCAAGGGCATAGGTTGAAGTTGCAACAATAAGAGCCATGACTCCAAAGAGGACAAAAGCATGGAGAGTGGCTGCAACATATGGACTCCCGTAGACCTGGGTCACATGGCCATAGCCAAAGAGTCCTGCTCCGCTGATCAAACCCAGCCCGGCAATAAGAAGTCGATATTCTGGCTCGTAGACTCCTTTGTTCTTCTTCGTCATGAAAATGATGAGGGGATCGGTGATGGCGCCGAAGAGTAAGACTGCAACGAGACCACCAATGAATGGTCCCAAAGACAAGTATCCAATGCCACTTGGACTCATGTTGTATGGTGGGTAGCCGAAGATCTGGGCCAGAACAAACGCAATGGCAACATAAAGACCTACGAACCATCCCTGAACAACGATTATGTATGCTACTGCGATATTCATGCAGACTGCGAACGGAGCGATCAAGAGATGAACGAGTGATTCGTCCGAGTACGCTCCGTCGAAGAGCTTCATATTCTGCCAAAAAGTCTTCCTCTTCGGGATAGAAGTTCGTGTTGCGACGCTTTCGAGTTGCTGGACTTGCTCTTTCTCATGTCGATGTTCATGAGCGGCCAACTCATCGAAGTTGTCTGTTGCCAATTCTCCAATATTGTACCTCTGATCTCTGCGATACGTCGTCTCGGGCACGAAGAAGATCTGGCACAGTGTCTGCACCACCGAAAGGGCGACAAAGATATGGAACAAGTATTTCCACCCCAGATTGTTGGTGATCGGTCCACACACCACGCTAGCCAAGTTCGAGACTGCGGCGAGCAAGAAACTGACAATTGAAGTGTAGATTCCTCTCTCGTGGACAAAGAACAAGTCTCCAATGACCACCAAAAGCAGCGACTCGTATGTGCTGACCGACAATCCCTGGATGATGCGTGCAGCGAGCAGTTGTCCATAATTGTGACTCGTCGAACCAATGATGTTCCCCACCACAGCGGAAATAGCACTCAGCACAAACAGACTCCTCTTCCCATACTTCCTACTGAACGCACTAACAAACGGCGCTGTACACCCAACAACTAACACCTGGTAGCCACTCAACAACGTGATATCCGTGATGGTGACATTCAGATCCTCAGCGATGACCACCAAACTAGCATTCAGCAATGGTCCAAAGACAGCACCGTAGAGAATGGTGCCCATGCCGGTGATGAGCATAATGGTCAATTTGCGAGATTGAGACCAATTCAAAGGATCATTGGGATCATCAGATGGTTGAGGCGTGAGCACGATGTGCGAGGAGCGTCCAGTGCCATGCTTCAAGGCACCGGTCGTGGCTTCGCTGTGAGCGATGTCTTCTTCGAGGATGATTGTTCCTGGGACGCGGGGCAGGCCGCCATGGTCTTCGAGGATGAAACCGAATCCCATGATGAGCGATGAAATTTTTGTTCAGGCTGAGATGAAAGGTTAGGTCGATAGGTGAAATAAGGAGAGAGAGAAGCAAGTATCTGCACCTCGTAGATCTTTCCCCTTTTCTTGGGCCTGCTTTATACAAAGTCACATCTCACAGTATATCTTGGTACACAACCAGCCATCGACATTCATTAATTGATGTCTTCTATTCTGCGGCAGCTGATTGGTCTGCTTGCCACGGATGAGCTACTGACTTACCCCAACGTCTTTACCCCAGGTTATAGTGTTGATGTTGTCTCAGGTTGCGGTGGAGGTGATCGCGGCCCCACATCTGGGGTAGAGCTAGTGCGAGCTGTCAAGTACCAGATTTGAGTTTAGGGAGGGTCTAGATCGGCATATTTGCGAGGGCTGAGGAAAGTTCCCTGGTTTGGGGAAATGTTGGAGTTGTTGGGGTATGTTCTAGTTCTTGGCTTGGGCCATGGAGTATCAGACTGAGAAGCAGAGTTCAGTTCAGATTTGAGTTATTTGATTGTAATGAGTATCCATGCAGTACTATATCTTTATTGATGTCGTGCATGCGAAATACAAAAGCGGGATCGATATTATACTATGACATCCTCCCCGGCATTGGTTGTTTATCAATTGGATGTCCTTGGCGAGTGCCTAAAAGAATGCGGCATTTGATGGTATATACTCGGATCAACGGGCTTATCCATACTCATCTGCACCAATGCCAATGGCTTATGAACATGTTTGTCATTAATCCATGTAAGTTTGTATATGTTAATTCATTACTCGCTTATCTCACCCTCTTTTCTCATCCAACTTAATCTCAGCCGAAGCCTCACTCCAGATCTTTTCGATCATCTTTGCGTGCTTATCAGATCTGACCGTAATATCGCACTCAAATGACTGTGGGATACACATCCAGCCCGGCACCATGGCATTCAGAGGCTCTTTGACTTCTCCATTAACTTTCTTCTTCGATATATTGAATGCCCATAAGATTCGACTGATGTTCAAGAACAAGGACTTCTCTGCGACGTGAACACCGGGACAGACTCGTCGGCCGGCACCATATGAGACGTGGTCTCGGTCGTTGGGATCAGCGATGTTGATGTATGCTGCGGCTGGAAGATCATAGCCCAGATAGCGCTCCGGTTTGAACTCGTGGGGAGATTCCCAGCGGTCGGGGTCGTAGTTGATTGCCCTGCCTCTGATTACTTTCCACTATGTCAGAAAGCGAGAAAGGGACTTACCACCAATTGAGAATGACAACAGATCCTTTCGGGATGAACATGCCCTCGTACCAATCATCTTCCGTTGTCGCATGATGCATTCCAATTTTATTCGGGGGTCTCATCCTCAACAGCTCCTTGATCACTGCCCTGATATATGGCAATTTCTCCTCGTCCTCCCAAGTAGGATACCTTTCAAACCCTACTACCCTGTCCAACTCCTCTTGCGCCTTCTTCACAATCCCCTCGTCCATTGCTGCGAATAAGAGAAACGTATTCAAATACGCAGACGTGGTTTCCGACCCAGCTTCCACGAGCCCACCGCATTGATACGCCGCTTGCAAGGTATCAAGGCCCAGCTTCTCCGGATCACTCTGATAGAAATCCTTACAGAAACATTGTTTCGCTTTTCCTTCTTGCACTTCTTTCTTCAGATCGTTCCAGAGTCCCAGGTAGATCGGTGCATCGTGCTCATGGCATTTCTTCCCAAACGCTCGCCAATTTCCGAAGAATATTTGAGGGAGGTGTTGAATCGAGGGAAAGGTGTCAACCATCCACATTCCCGGACTTGCGTAATTTTGCATATTGTTCACAACTTGGTAGACCTTCTTCGCGAGCGGATTATCCCAAGTCGCGATTCGGTGCCCGTAAGTGATGGAAATGATTACACTAGCTGAGTAGCGGCGATTGTGGTCATAGAAATGCTCTGGGTCATGCAAGAGGTCGAAGAGCAGCTGTTTCGATTCCAAGTCCTGAACTGGCTGATATCCGGTCGACATGGTGATATTAAGCAAGGAATGAGCGATTTTTCGTACAGTCCTATATCGCGGGCCATACGGCATGAACAATTGCCTCCTTCCTGCAGACGCCACATCCGAGGCAAGCGGAGCAGGCGGTCTCGAGGAGTAGATGGCGGATTTTTTGTCCATGAGATCTTTCACCACTTTCGGAGAGGATAACCAGATGTAATCCGCGCCTCCAACTTTCGTGTAGAACACATCTCCATATTGTTTTGCCCACGCAGCAGCTTTTCGAGGCACGGCTTCGTTGTCGCCAAGATCAAAGTAGTTCCCGATGAAAGGAAGAGCCTTTGGACCTGGTGGGAGGTATTTCCGTCGAGAATCGGTGAGAGTATTCGGTGTGGTATAGATCCAGAATCCCACGACGAAAACGAGTGGGGCGACGATCAGTCCTGCTACCACCAGCTGCCACGGAGGTAGTTGTAGCAAGCTGTTTTCGGAAAATATACCCATTGCGTCGCCAAGAACGTCAGAAAATTCGTGAACTTCCAAAATCTCAAATGAGCCTCAAATTCTTTTACACTTCAAGGACGCGCAATCTACTGTAGGTCTCCGCATCGAATGGAGTGGAGTGCGGGGACGAAGATGATCCAGCGGGCTCGGTAGGATGGTCTATAGTGTGGCTTCTCGCTTCCCCAAAAAGGAGAGAGGGGTAAGATATGCGGGGCCCCACATGCAGCGAGGGGGTCAAGCAGCTCCAACCTCGCGTTGTTAGCTACCTTGTGCTTCTTGGCAGAATAACGGCATTTCTCCAATCGCGGGCATTGGCAAGGTCATCCTTGTTGATGGTAGTTTGGAGAAATGTTTCATGGTTGATGGAGCCGACGGGAGTGACCATTTTGGTGATGTGCTAGACCTGTTTATTTCGTCTTTCTTGTGATAAAAGTTATGTCTGTTTGAATAGTGATATTAGTGTGAGCGGCATCTGAACACCACTACCTAACACTCTCTACTCTCGTCTAGTTGTTACGTCCTAGCAACTTCAATTGGTGCCTCTACCCTTCTCGACGGCTGCTGAAGGAATGAGAGACAGGCTGCTACGATGGCATTCTCCTTTCTGCCTCTCGACGGGTCTCTGCCCGCAAAGACTATTTTCGCTTCGATTGTGTTGGTGATTATACTACAGCGAATATTCGTCAGCTATGTCGGCGGCAAGAAGTACAAACTCCCACCACGAGTACCCGGTTTGCCCGTGGTTGGCAACACGTTCCAGATACCACCAGGCAAAGGCGGATTATGGGGCATTGAGCAAGCAAAGAAATACGGAGAGATGTGAGGACGCTCCAAACATGACTTGATCTCCATTCTGATTAGAAAGTCAGGTTCACGTGTAAAATCGGCGTCAACACATGGGTATTCTTGAACTCGAGCCGAGTAGTCAACGACCTCATGGAGAAGCGTTCGATATTATACTCCTCACGTCCAAACCAGCCGATGACAGACAAGATCATGTCGGGCGGGAACCGCATCCTCCTGATGCCGTACAACGACCGGTGGCGCGCTTTGCGGAAAATCATGCATGCCATCCTCAACAAAACGAACTTGACGACGTTCCAGCCATTCCAAGATCTGGAATCTAAACATCTGATTTATGATTATCTGCATAATCCAGATAAGTGGTATAATGCCAACCAGCGATTTGCCAACTCGGTGATCTTGAGCGTGGTGTTTGGGAAGAGGATGGAGCTTGGTGATCCGAGGACGACGGAGTTGTTGGAGACTTCTTCTGAGATTCTGAATGCGATGCAGCCTGGTGCTAGTATCGCTGACGTCCTTCCTGCGCTGGAGAATTTGCCAAAGCCGTTGCAGTGGTGGAGACCAAGAGGAGAGAGAGCTTTTCAGAAGTGCTTGAAGTGAGTTTTGGCACCGAAATTGATGAAGCCATGCTAATGTGAAACAAGAGTATATCGAAGAGAAGTCGCTGAGCTGAAAGAAAAAGAGAAGAAAGGCACTGCTCGCGAATGCTTCGCAACTGAATTCCTCAGCAGTCCAGAAACCGCTAAAATCGCCGAAGAACAAAGACTCTTCGCCCTCGGTTCTCTTCTCGAAGCAGGTAGTGACACCTCCAGAATGGCAATTAGCATCCTGCTCTCCGCAGCAGCAACCGACAAGCGCTGGGTAATCACCGCCCAGAAAGCCCTCGACTCCGTCTGTGGACCCAACGCTGAGCGCCTTCCGACTTTCGACGACAAGCCGAACCTTAAGTATATCACTGCATGTGTGAAAGAGGCTTTTCGATGGAGACCATTTGCCGAGATTGGGTTGCCGCATATGCTGACGCAGGACGATGAGTACGAAGGGTACAAGTTCCCTGCGGGGACTCTGTTTACGTGGAATGCGTTGCATATTGCGTTGAATGATGAGGAGTATGAGGATGCGCATCGGTTTTGGCCGGAGAGGTTTTTGAATGCGGATTTGAATAGTGTTTTGAAGGGGCATTGGAGTTTTGGTCCTGGTATGTATTTCCTGGCTTTCCCTGATGAGATTCCTGTTTGGCGGATAATACGCTAGCTGCGTTAATTGGCTGAGAATCTTTAATAAGTGATAGGAACGGCTTATTGAAGAATTAAATATCAGATATATGCTGACAATTTCCATCCACAGGAAGGAGAGTATGCTCCGGATACAACGTTGGAGAATCAAACGTCTGGATTGCACTTGCAAGGTTACTATACTGTTTTGAATTTGAACAAATTCCAGTGAGCACCCTTGCGATACTCGACACCGCCAATACTAACTCAATGAAGGGCCAACCAATCGATACACTGGCCATCGACTGGCTGGAGCACCGATGGGCACCATTTCCTGTTTCCATAAAAGTCAGGAGCCCAGCACACGCAGCTTTGGTGGATCGGGAAGGGAAGATTGCGGTCGAGACGAAGTATTGAGTTGGAAATTTGATGTGAAGTTCTGAAGGGCGAAGAATGTTACCGGCTGGAAAACTTGGTGCTCTTTTGATGGAGATGGAGAAGTGGGCGTTTGAGCTAGCCGTTGTAATTGGGACGAGACTTCAACAGGCTGTACTTTTCAAATGAAAGCGATTCCCGACTGAAGAGCAAGCTGCCAGATTCAAATTCTGCGGGAATATGCAGTGAGATTTAGTATGCACGCATCGTCTGATACTTCTGACTGCGAAAGGCTTTTTAACGGCCGATATAACACAAGATGTCGGCGTCCCGTTATCAAGCATAAAAAACCTGGTGATTTCGGGGCCTCAAATCGAGCTCCCGGGAGATAAGATTCGTCTCGGTCGCCAATGGGCCGGGATGCCTGAAAACTGTAAGTTTCTGATACGGATTGGAGCAATCTTATGGTCAATGGTGGTCTGATTGGAGCGCGATGTGATGTCGGCAGCGGAATGACTAAATGCCCTAGTCCCAATGAAGGCAATCCCAACGTCGAGAAGCTTGTGAGCCAATAAGAGTCACGGTGGTAAGCGGGTAGCCCCATTTTTCACTTTGTACCGTTTAAGCTTGATGTCGTTTTCATCCGATAAAATTTCATCAGATATACTTGAACAAATCCAAACATTGTCTCTCTCTCTCATCACTCTTCTTCAAAGATCTTCTTTCTTCTCATTAATTTGCTCCTGATGAGTGTATGAGGAGGCACAGACAATGGCAGCTTCCGATCTTCCCATCGCGCCGGCTGCTGAGACGCCACCAGCCTGGAGCCCAGGAGAGCATAACTCTCGGCCTGTTGAAGGGCGAAAAGCTGAAATTGTTGAAGATGAGGAAGACGTTCTGCTGGTAAATATCCGAGGCTGAAAGACATGATCAACGTCAGCTGACTGGAGTGCTAACCAGGAAAGCATTGGATATAAACCAGTAACTGCACCCTCAATCGACCCATTCATCAGTGATGTTGATTTTATCAGGTCCTTCATAGAACATACGGAATAATTGAAAACTTCTCAACGACCTTCGGTGATATGCCCCTGACCAAGCGAAAGGAATTCAACTGAGATTATCCAGCGGCCCTATACTTCGTGGGAGGGGTACGAGTGACCTTCAGTACTGGAATTGCCGCTGGTGGGAACTTGGCATATTGGTGTGACCTCTCTGGAACCTTTTAATGTCAAATGCTGAACAAAATTCCAGGACGAGTTACCTGGTCACGTGTGTGTTCACATTCATCACTGCTGCCGTGATTGCAGAGATCTGTTCATCACTACCGTCAGCGGGTTCAATCTATCTCTGGGCAGCAGAAGCCGGTGGCCCGAAGTATGGTCGCCTATTTGGTTTTGTCGTAGCTTGGTGGAGTACTACTGCTTGGACGACTTTTTGTGCTAGTAAGAATCTCCGTGTCCCACTTTCAGAGGCTTCCCACTAATCGGAAATTCCAAGGCAATTCTCAAGCAGCTGTGAACTATATGCTATCGGTAAGATGCCTCGGCGTACGATGTTCTCACTACTAACCTTTGGCAGGAAATCACAGTCTTCAACCTGAACTTCCCTTCAGACGCTAGCAGCGTCAAGTTTCGAGCAGTGCAATGGATCTGCACCGAAATTCTCCTCGCTCTCGCAGTACTTGTGAACTTCCTCCCCCGTCTGTACTATCAAGATCCTACCATCTGTCACCACTGACAGTATACAGCACGTCTATTTCGCTACGTCTTCTACCTCTCATCCTTCTTCGTCGTCCTCGATTTCCTCCTCAATATTATCTGGCTTCCCATTGGCACGGCAAACACTTATGGTTTCCGAACCGCTGAAGAAGCATTCATGACGACGTATAACGGTACCGGAGCCCCTGCGGGATGGAATTGGTGTCTTTCGTACCTCGCGACTGCTGGAATCCTGATTGGGTTTGATGCTTCAGGTCATGTGGCTGAAGAGACGAAGAATGCTAGCGTTACTGCTGCAAGAGGAATTTTCTGGAGCACGATTGTTAGCGGCATTGGCGGATTCTTTACTATTATTTTGTTCTTGTTCTGTGCTGTAAGTTGAGCTGAGATTTTGGACGTGGTGTTTTGACTGATTCCTTAGCCTGGCCCTGATATATTGTTCTCGTTTGGATCGCCGCAGCCTTTTGTCCCGCTCTACGCTGTTGTTCTGGGACAAGGAGGTCATATATTCATGAATATCATATGCATCGTAGCATTATGGTTTGTAAGTTACCCCGCTTGCCTCGAAATTGAACCACCTTTTACTGACATTCCGAAGAACACCGCGATAGCTATCGTCGCAGCTTCGAGACTCGTTTTCGCAGTGGCTCGAGATGGCGTCCTCCCTTTCTCTTCCTGGGTTTCACAAGTCTCACGAGAAGGCCAACCACGAAACGCAGTCCTTGTCATCTGGGGAGTTGCAGCTCTCGTCACCTGCACAATTCTTCCATCCGCCGTAGCCTTCACGTCCTTGATCTCAGCAGCAGGCGTTCCATCTGCAGCGGCATATGGATTAATCTGTCTAGGACGATTCTTCTTTACTCCAAAAACCTTTCCAAAGCCTCGCTGGAATCTCGGAAGATTGAGCAAGCCGTTTCAATTCATTGGAATTTTCTGGAATGGCTGGGTCGTAGCTGTTCTATTCTCGCCGTATGAGTTCCCGGTCACTGGTGCCACCTTGAATTGTGAGTCTTCGCTGCATCCATGTGTTCTGTGCTGACAAAATCGCAGATGCCCCCGTAATTATGGCGGCTGTTACCATCTTCGCCATCGTCTCATGGTGGCTGACCCCTGCAGACGCATGGCTTTCAAAGAAGCACATCGAGCATATTCTCGAGAATCCAGGTGTTGATGCAAGTGGGCATGTGCATAGAGATGAGACCGTGGGACAAAAGACTGTGGGACAAGCTTGATGCAAAAGAGGAAGGTGTTGATCCAAGTAACGCGCCTCTTCCAGTGTCGATAAGTATAATCCGTGGTTGCACTAAAAGTGTTGCAGACAACAAAGAGCAACTACCCCTAGCACAGAGCTTGCGGTCTGGCTATGTGAATTCATTCCGAGCTAGCGGACCGTTTTTCTTTTCTCTAAGGTGTGACGAATTTGAAATACGACTTCTTAGCTCTTCGCTTGAAAGCGCCCGAGGAGAAGACTTGGAATTGGACATTGAAAAGAGAATTACTTGATTTTTAGGACGCCGCTCATCGGACGTACAACTCCACGGCATTAGCATATAACCTCATTGGATCCAATGGTTTTATGAAGCGCAGCAGGTTCTGTGAATTGTTTTCGATAGCGAGAGGTGTTTATTCAAGTTTCAGGGGTTTCTAACAGTCGGATTATGAAAGGGCTCTACCCTCTTCTCTAAGCGAAATTTCATGAAATGGTGGGAGTTCAAAGTTTGTGGCTCAAGAATACTCTGAGTTCTATTGTAAGTCATATATGGCCATACAGCAATAGCAATCTCCCACTACCATCCTAAGCATCATGGAAACACATTCATCAAAACATCCCCATACGCCGCATACGACGATTTCATCCTCTCAATATCATAATCATTCCAATACCCTCCACCTGCCAACGCGGCTCCCTTATTCCACCCAGCAAACCTAGACTTCGCCTGCGCAGCCGTCGTGCCCTGAGACGGCTTCGAATCATTCGTTACCCACACCAACGGCACAACTTTCATTCCTAATGAACTCTGCCAACTCTTCGGATCATTCCCAGCACCCCCGTCATAGCACTGAAGATAAACTCTATCAAGCAACGGACTATCCAGCCCGCTATTAATCTTCGTTTTGACACTGACCCAAAATGCCGTGTTGGTATATGGTGCGATGGTGTACTTATACCCTATCCCCCCCAGCATCCGCGCAAACGCCACGGTACTATCAACATCGTAGATCGACTCATCGTCATTATTCACAGCATCGAGATTCCACGCCATTTTCAGCGCCTCAAAGTTCTGATACAGCGTCGTTGAGTTACCCGGACCAGGACTACTCATCAAGTCCTTGACGTGCTGAGAGTTCATCGAGATTTCTACTCTGTCGATTCCTGTATTATTTCCGCTTTTGAATGAGCGGACTTTGTCAGAAAGTGGGGAACCGCCGATGTAGGAGCCGTTGCTGGCGACGAGAGTGTCTTTGCTGCCGGCGGTGTTGGAGTAGTACATTATGTCGCCGTTAGCGAGGATACCGATGTTGAAGATTATGAGGGAGTTGAAGCCGGATGTTGTGAGTGAGACGGTGTCGGATTTGAGGACATCTTTGAAGAGGAATATGCTTCTGATGTTGGAGGTGGAGGTACCAGTACCAGAGACATGAGAGATGAGGAGGGTGTGGAAGAGAATTAGTATTGACGTGTGAAGCTCCATCTTTGGGGGTGTTGTCTTCTAGAGGTTTGAAGGAACCGAAGTTCACATCTGACGAGAATCTGGTTATGGAGAATATGCAAATGTCTAGTGACCCCGCCATACTTTCGTTTGGGGTGAGCAGCAACGCCAAGCCGACTCGCTGAAGGCATTAGAGTGAAAAGAAACCAATATATGTTCTGGGTCAAGGTATGATCCCGGCAAAAAGGCAGTTGCAGTCGTCCAATAAGTGAAGACAAGATGTCGATCTTGAATTTCCCAATTCGGCTAAAGGAGCCAGCATTCGCGACTGGTCCAAACTCAGAACACGTTGGATTGACGTTTGATGTAAACGAACCAGCGTAGCTGGTTCCTTGGTCTTGAAATAAAGTCCGTGAAAGATCAAGTTTTGACATCCTGTTCAAACTAGCATTCCATCAAAATAAAATGGTTCATTACCACGTAATTGTCTTCGTCCTCCTTACTTTCGTTTCATCGTCGGCCGAGACCCTCTGCAAACACACCAACTTAGCCCGTTTCTGCGCCAGTTCAGCTCCACTCCATTTCACACCACCAAGCCTCGCCCAACCCAGCACCTTCCCGTCTTCAAGAAACTCCTCTTCAATTTCCATCGCCCATTGCAGCACTTTCCCCGCAAAGACACTGTCCCAGATACCTTCCCTCCTAGGATTCGACAACAAGAAATTGATGGCCTCTCTTCGAATCAACGGCTCGCGACACTTCAGGCCCACAACCCAAAGAGGAACAATGATTCTCGTATCGAAGCAGAAATTCGAGGGTCGTGTTGAATTCCGCGGTGGCATCTCTTTCATTACCGCTTTTGCCAGGAAAACGACACGTTTATACACAGGATTATACTGATCATGTATCGACTCATCACTCGAAAGATGCGTCGAGAGGCCAATATACCCAATCGCCATAGACAGCTGAATGAACAAGGCATAATGCTTCTGGGGACCATCAGCGACCTGCTGAAGCACGGGCTCGAAAGCTTTATTGAAGCGCCACACATCGGCTTGGATCTCCTCTTGTTCTTTCATCGCCCACCGCCATCGCGCGGAATCTTCGCGCACGTCGGGTCCGAGGTAGGCTGAGTGTGTGGTGATTAGGTAGACGCCGCGACGGATGATGCCGTTGTAGTATTTCCCCGCTTCGAAGATGTCGGAGAAGGTGGCGGGCATCGAGCGTGTGAATCTCGGTCCTTCTGTTCCGAGTACTGCGTGTAGTTCTGGGGAGTGTCCGTCTGCGAAGAAAGAATGTTGGACTGCTAAGCGACAGAATATTTGGATCAGATCGTCTTCGACGATGTAGGGTGCGGGAGATAGTCGTGTGAACTTGTCTTCGTCGTCTCTGTAGTTCTCTTTCCATTCTTGGATGAGTCGGATACCGGCGTGGACTTGGTTGACTGCGAGGTCCATGTTTCCAGTCCAAGATTCGAAGGCTAGGATGAGTAGGCAGCTTAGGAGCATAGTCCTCAAGTCGAGCTTCTTCTCGGCGGCGTCAGATGCCATGTGCTTCACAGCTTTAGCGTACTGTCTGAGAGCATTCTGATGATGCTCATTAGCCGCCGCATCTCTTTCGACAGGCGTCAAGGACATTTTGTCGAAACATTGGACCATTTCCGCGGTCTTGTCCAAGGCACCGAGAGCAATAATAGCATGACGGATTGCGGGGTTAAAGTGACAAGATTCTAGTAGTCGTTGGCGTGTACAACCAGAATCGAAGGTGGGAAAGATGTCGTAGCCCGTGCGAGCACAGAAGAGATCGAAGTACTGGTACTCCTCAATGTTGACAAATGGCGAGTTTGCAAAAGTGCTCAGGGAAGGGACTTTCACAACTGGCTGAGATGGTGAGACTTGTCGCTTCTGAGGCGATTTTCGCTTAGTGATAGGGAGGTAGCCATCACAACCGACTGCGGCGAATTAGTATGGGACTTTCAAACTCACTGGGGAGCCGAGGAGTCCATGGGGCATGGGCGACCGAGCTTCTTGACAAATAGTCTTTGAAGGCTCGTCAGACAGGAATTGCGGCTCTGGACATACCTCCAAATTTTATGCATCGCATGCAAAGCGGCTTTCCTTCGTCACATTTTACTCTTCGAATTCTAGGCAGAAAGTTTCAGCTAACTTGGTCACAGAGCTTGCGAAAATTCCTTACCTGCAAGTACCACATCCTGTCCTAACCTTTGGTGCACTCCTCCGCGGCTTCGTCTTTATCTTTGCTGCTGGACCCATACTTGCGATGATGAGACTCAACGAGCAAAGCACAATACGGGGAGAGCATTTAAGGTTGGGGCAAGCTGAAACGAGGTCGGCGTCGCCGTTTGCGCTAAGCCTTGTGGCTGATCAGACTGCAGTAGCTTGGTCTTGGTTCCAATGACCAATGGACGGTGATGCCAAGTACACAGCATGGTCGTGGAAATACGTAAGCAAAACTTGGAATATCTTCGTCGGTATTGTTTCCTACAATAATTGTATCTTGTTGAGTGGAACGAGGTAAGCATATCAAAGTTCGAGCTTGAGTCACAGGTAGCATCGTTGTTTCGATTGCAACGCTGCCTAAAACTCATCTCGGCTCTGGGAACTGCAGAGGCTACTAGCCTCGATCCTCGCCCGCATATCCCGCCCACAGCGCTCATCGCGAGCAAAGCGCAAATATCTGATTTGCAAGCCGTGATGAAGAATCAAAGAACATTAGGAGAGTATGGAAGATAATAAACCTTCAAAGGCCAACTACCACAGTTAAACCCCCCCCCCTGAGATAATAGTTCAAAATGCTCGCCCTCGCGACGTCCAACAAAAACTCATTTTCCTCGGCACCAAGGAATGGTCTGGAAAAAAAGGAAAGGAATTGACTTCGAAGAAAGGGACGAGAGTTTCTCTTTCAGAAGAGGCTCGAACTAGCTACTAAGACTAGTTACAGATGCTGTGTCGAGAACTGGCAGACATTAACAGCTAGCTGCAACTTCTAGGCGAACACTACAAGCTCTTGATTGGTTATTGCAGTTCAAGTCCAAGCTGAAGCTCAGTCATGCAGATCTTCCTACTGCTTTGAGCAAGACTTTTTGGATCTCACCCGCATCCAACTCTTGTACTCCTTGAGGCGAGCTTCTCCAAGCCACAAACCCATCAGGTCTAACCAAAACAATATCACGCTCCCAGATAGCTTTGCAGTGTGCTTCGTTTGGAAGATGAACCTTTGTGATAGGGATATTCAGATGGCCTGCGACGGCAACGAATCCTTCTGAAGCTTTACCGGGCTCGGTAAAGTCAACAATGGTGAAACCAGGTCCGTAGAGATCGAAAATACTTGTCTTGCCATCAGACAGGAAGACGTGAGGTGCTCGCGCCCCAGGCCAAGTACTAGGGATGTACTCTGTAACTGAAGTCGGGGGCTCAGGAACTGATGTGTCGGTGATGACAATCGGAGAATTGTTATACCGGTAGCCCATGACAGTTCCTGTTTGTTCGTGTATCCAGCGTCCAGGCATAAGAGCATCTCGTACCTGCTCTCGACAGCTCTGGCCGTGCTCGGTGGCCGCGTTGAGGTTCTCGAATCCGACTTCAGTTGCTTTCCCCAGCCATGGAAGGACAACTTCCATAGTTGATTTCTCGACCATGGCAGTGTTTAATTCGGCAATCGCCCGTCGTTCTAGGTTGTAGGACTTTAACAGGCCTTCTCCTCCCCACCCACGCAAAACTGCGTCCAGCTTCCACGTGAGGTCATATGCATCCTGGATCCCTGAATTTAGACCATGACCGCCCGCGGGTGTAAGTTGGTGAGCTGTTATATGACAGTCAGTTAGATTCTATGTGATAGAGGGTAGAGAGAGGGTTCCATACCAGCGTCACCAGCCAAGAAGACCCGGCCCTTCTCAGACCGAAATGAATCCGCAGTTGACAAGTCTGCTTGCCATTTTCCTTGCACAATGACTTTGTCGACTTTGATGTCAAAAGGTCCTCCGATGCCACCAAGTGATTCGTTGACAAAGTCCACGGCATTCTCAATCTTGAAATCAACTCCAGGAGGGATCATGCGATGCACGGTATAGGTCTCGATTTCATCTTGGTTGACAACGACGGCTCCATTCAGGATCACCATGTGCCAGAAGTCACCTTGACTTTGCATTTTATCCAGATCTTTTGATTTGAAGTGTACATACGCAAGGCCAAGGGGCCTGTAGGCGAAGAAGTCAGCGAGGTTGGAACAATGTACGAGCAATAGAAGATCCGCGCCAGTGGCTGAATACTCACAGTGAGCGCCTTGGTGACTTTATACCAACATTCAGTCGAACTTGACTACCCGCTCCGTCGCTGCCGATCACAAATTTGCTCCGGATAGCAATTGATTTTCCTGATGGATCAAGAATAGTCGACAAAACGCTATCGTCGCTCTCGGTGAGTGATTGGAAGGAATATCCCCAGTATGCATGGACCAGCGGCTCTTTTTCGACAAGAGACTTGAGTATTTCTTCATAGACAACCTGCGACTGTCGCATGTGTGGCTCCAATGGATGAGAACCATCATTCGATTGCGCCCAACTTTTGCGCAACTCGGCTGGCGGCGGTCGATCCTATTGAGATGTAAGTGAGTAAATACTTAGCAGATAGCGATGATTCCGCGTACAATTCTTGCAATAGGTTCTGGGAAGTTCTTTTCCCCAAGGCCAGTTGTGAAAATCTCAGCAAACTTGTAGGTTTCTGGAACGGCGCGGGGCTTGAGATGATCAATAAGTCCAATATGGCGGTATATCTCCATCGAGCGATGAGAGGAGTACTCCATTTTCGGATGGATGGTTGTGTGCGTGCTCTTCTCTATCACCACGCAGGACTGACCCAGCTGTGCCAGCCGAAAAGCGGTAAACATACCAACTGGACCACCCCCCACGACCAGTATATCGGTCTCTGTAGGTACGTTGGAGGACGACATTATTGCGTATATGTCAGAATGACCAATGAAGAATCGTGGTGACTTATTGCTACTTCGTGGTCGTGAATGTTATATATCTCGTGCGAAGTCGTCCACACAAATTTGGTACCAAATATTGTTGGCTGATGTGAGGCGTAGTAAGGTTAGATAACCATTTTGCAATCAGTGAAGGCTGCAAGGCACAATGTAGGCCTGCATCTTTGACGATGAGAAATCAACCTTCTTTAGTACCGCAGCCGCCAGCTCCCTAGTACCCACGAACGGCCCCCAAGGCCGTTAAACGATCCCAATGCGTTAAACGAACTCAGCCGCAGAGACTAAAAGTTCACGCCTCAATTCTTTACTGCATCTTGTTCAATATTGGTCAGGATATACGGTTCATGGATCGATCCGCAGCGTGCGAGACGCAGGTAGGTCAGAGCCCTGCATAGATACCTGGAACAGATATCTGGCATCGGTTGACTGATAATTTGATTGCGTTTCATTGGTGTGAAGGGCGTCTCGCGAGACTGAGTTCCATTGAAGCTGACGGTTGGAATGTAACGCTGCAGCCAGTGGCTCGAGATGCCAGGTTGCAGATGGACGAGTCAATTTTGACTCCATTGTTTAGCAAGCTTGAGTAGAAGAGCTCATGATTCATGATGAATCCTTCGAGTGCCAATCTTGGTGTCTGGCCTGGGGTATCAATCGTGCTTACGAGTTACACCGAAAAAGGGATGGATCGAGACTAACTGCAACGCCGAAAGCAACCCGGAGATCTTATTGACCAATGATGACAACGGTGAGATCTTGGAACCAATGATAGCAGGTGCCAATCTAGAGCCTTTCCAGATGTGGCATCGTATAATTCGACCAATGACAGCGAGTCGTTAAACGAGCCCACCCCGTATACTTCAACCAATGAAGCCAACCAGTCACTTCGGATCTTTCTATCGCTTGATACGAGTGAACGCTACCATTGCCTCCTCCTTTTGGCATGCATATATTCGCATTGCGTTAATACATGGCATGTTCTAGTCATAAGGATCATAAGCATAAGTGCTCGAGTTTCCCAACATGTCGAACAATTGGAGGGTATGTTGAACAGTAGTCATTAGTTCAAGAAAGAAAGAGTGAGAGTTGTTGAATTATGGCTGATCGTTCTGTAGAACGGTTTGGATAAAGTGACGACTTGAGCGAATGTGTTTGCATTCTTGACGACGGACGCAAATGTTTTTTGCTGAACCTTATATCTCTGCCGTATTGAAGCTAGTACTGTTAATCGGCCTCCTTAATCTTCCATTGACTGAGCTGATTGTCTCAACAAGCTGGCACATCTGAAAACGTACCTAGTGCTATTTCTACCTGTTGATTCCCGCGAGCGCTCCCCTAAGTTCCCCTGCAGCTAGATCGTAAGGTATTTAGGTTGATGACCTGAAGGTGTTCTTTGTTAAGTGAACGAAGTGAGCACCACTGACAGTAAGAACACTGTTCACGACCAGATTGTCCATGGATCAGGAGTAAAACCAAATTGAGGTGTACAAGCTGAGACCCCGCTACCCCGCATATCAGATCCGCAGTCTTGCAATAGTCGCTTTCAAGAAGCATTCAAAAGAGAGGATACCAATCCAACGACCAGAATCTCTGAGGTGATTTAGAGTGAAATATGTTTTTTGTCTTCAGAGCTGGCTCTACTTTGCCTCGGACTTAGCTGAACGTACATTCATGTGCTGACTTCTTGAAGTTGATCTCTTGAGCTAACTTCTTAGAGTAGACTTCTCGGAGCCAGCACCGGCATCTTGGCCTGCATCTCCGAAGCAAATTGACAGAAGCTGTTTGTTCCGGGAACAAATAGCGCACGCCGGCCGGTTTTCATTCACATTTTGTCACCGGATCCTGCAACAACGGCAGCCGGTCCGGGTCCGAGGCGCAATTTCGAGGTCGACAAGTTGTCATACCGGGCTCAAGATCATATCAATCAAGGTAATATCGCTCGCAAGCTGCCTGTTTTGAGCATCGTACCCATCGTACACTGATTGATGCGGGAGAAAGAAAAATTAAAAGTTGGGTACGAAGTAAACGAGTGCTTCACGTTATCTTACAGTAGCGTCCTTGGGCTCTTTAGCGAGCGCTTCAGGGGCTTGGAGGGGTAAGCGGGCACCGGTTTTACCTAGTTTAAAATCTTCCCTCAACATCTTCATACAACCTCTCCCTCTGTTCAGTTATCTCCAACGTCTCTCAATATTCCCATTTATTCTTAGTCGCAGCTTTATTTCAACTGCCGAAGAGATAAGCCTCACCATGACACCCCAAAACTCCCATATAATTCTCTTCAACCCACCCACAATCCGCGCACCTCGACCGTCGTATTCCCAAGTAGCAAGCACCATCATCTCACCTGGCTCTCATCTAATTACTACATCCGGCCAAGTGGGCACTACCGTCACGGGCGAAACGCCAACCTCATTCGCTGCACAAGCTAAACTCGTTTTCCAGAACCTGCATGTCTGTCTTCACACCGCAGGAGCTCGCATCCAAGATATCGTCAAACTCACTTATTACATTATCGATGCTGGAAATCACCATGCTGAGTTCAGCCCTGCGTTGATGGAATTCTTGACAGATGAGAAAGGAAATGTGCATAGACCACCTGCAACGATGGTCGAGGTGAAGGCTTTGGCGAGGAAGGACTGGCTGCTTGAGGTCGAGGCTGTCGCTGTTGTTTCTCCTCCTCCTTCGCTGTCTACTCTTACTCTCTCATCTCCCCCAGAAATCCGTCTCGTAGATGTTGTTGTCGTAGGAGCTGGACTCAGTGGACTACAAGCAGCTCTCGATATCCAGAAAGCGGGGCTAAGTTGTGCCATCCTTGAAGCTCGTGATCGAGTTGGTGGCAAGACACTTTCCAGACCTCTTGCGAGCGGGAAGGGAGTCGTGGATATTGGAGCAGCATGGTTGAACAACAAAACTCAACCCAGAATCCATGAACTTGCCATGAAGTATGGATTCGAGACCGTTGTCCAGAGGACGGATGGAGATCAAGTGATTGAGCTGAAGCCAGGAGAATCGCATAGATATGGATCTGGTGCGATACCTCCAGCCTCGAAAAGAGCTCTTGAAGACATGCGTCGTATTCAAGTCACGCTTGAGGAAGAAGCGGCGAAAATCGATGTCCACCACTTGCCTCGCTCAGATTTCGATAATGAGACTGTTGCTCAATTTCTTCGACGCAATGAAGTAGACAAGGTTGCGTACGAAGTGATTGAAACTACGATCAAGGGTCTTTTGGGAGTCGATGCCACAGAGCTGAGTCTGTACTATTATCTTGATTATATCAAGAGTGGGGGTAGTTTGGCAGACTTACGATCCGACAAAAGTAATGGCGCGCAGTATATGCGTCTCCGCCAAGGTCAGTATTGCCCCTTCAATCTTCTCGAGAAAGTTCTAAGTAGTGAAAACAGGCATGCAATCAATCTCCAAAGCCATGGCCACGGACCTCGAGCTAGGATCTCTCTTCCTCTCCTCTCCCGTCACGGCCATCACCAAGACCTCTTCTACAGCAAACACCATTACCACCTCTTCCGGACTCCAATTCAACGCCAAAAAGATAATAATCTCCATCCCAACTCCATTATACCGGACAATAACCTTCTCTCCCCCACTCTCCGCCTCAAAAGCTACCCTCGCAGACTCAACAACCCTAGGCTACTACGCAAAAACCATCCTAATCTACTCCTCCCCCTGGTGGCGCGCTTCAGAGATAAACCTAAACGGCTCCTTCACCTCTCTCACCGGCCACGTCTCATTCACCCGCGACACCTCCGTGCCCTCGGACTCCCAATACTCCCTCACCTGCTTCATAGTCGGCGGCACAGGCCGTTCCTGGTCGATCCTCTCTCCCATCAAAAGACGTCAAGCAGTGCTTGATCAGATCGCTGGTATGGTCGAAGAAGAACATCGACGGAAGGTTTATGATACGGAAGAGATTATTGAGCAGGAGTGGATTAAAGAGCAGTGGAGTCAGGGGGCGCCGTGTCCAGTTATGGAGCCGGGGCTGCTGAATCGGTATGCGGATGTGTTGAGGAGGAGGTGTGGGGATGTGCATTTTGTGGGGACGGAGACGGCGTTTGAGTGGAAGGGGTATATGGAGGGGGCGGTGAGGGCGGGGGAGAGGGGGGCGATGGAGGTTATTGAGGCGTTGAAGGGGGAGTGAGGCGTTGTAGTGATGATAGCTCTATTGTATCGACTACCATGAACGACTACGAGTGGGACTTTGGTGAAGTATGAAGGATCAAATCGTCTCAAGGTTCAAGTACTCTTTTAAGAATATCTCCAGTCAGTAAACTCAAGAGCCTACGGTAGATCTAGCCGTTCGAATATCACAGCCGCTCACAGAATCTTACATCTTCAACCTCATTTATCAGTTCTACCTCGCCAACGGATTCTACGGCAACCTACACGTCCTACCCTCTCTCGCAGCAGCAAATTTCACCTCTCCATTCTGCGTCCTATAATACGCAACAGCCACCTTCCCCGGCCCCCACATATCATCAAAACCCGCCCACTCATTCGTAGCCTGAAACTCGCCCGTCGTCTCAATCTCCTTCAACTTCTCCACCGTCCCCTTCTCCAACGCATTGCCCCTCCCCCAAACAACGCCCATGACTCTACTATTCGGCGCCTGGATGAACGACATGCGATCCTTGCTCAACGGTTCGTGGGGCAGGAGCGAGAATTTGCCGCGCCCGGAGGACGTGGAGACTAGTTCCCAAGGTCGAGGCCCGTAGGAGTAGACGATGGAGAATTGCTTGGGAGCTCCGGGCCAAGGGTCGCCGAGATGGTCACCCAGATCGTCGGTGTTGAAGTCGATTGATTGGCTGGGCGTTACCATTCTGCGGATGAGGTGCGTGACGTCTTGATCGGACCAGGCTGCGCAGTGGATGTGTAGCTTTGGGTTATTGCCGGTGTGCCAGGAAGGACTCGCATACATTTGTGCTGCTGGTTGTTGTCCGCTTGCACTGAATCCCGGTATATGAGAAGCTAGGCTGCCGAAGAGTCCTCCGCCTGCAGCGGCAGCAGCTGGGATTGTGAAGTCGGGTTTGTTTCCTCCTCCGCTGAGCTTGGAGAGCCATGATGAAGGGCCATTGCTATCTGGTTGATTGTTCGATGAATTGTCGCCGTTGTTCCAGAAGCTGAAGTGTGGTTTTTGGATCTTGCCTTCCTCTTCTTCGTGCTTGAAGATGGCACGGGCAACGAGACCACCAGCAACGCCAAGTAAGCCTCCTGCTGCTATCTTGCCTAATCCTCTTTCTCCATCGGGGCCAACCTCGCCAGTTGGCTCAGGAACAGTGCCTATCTGCTGTGATTGGGGAGTATCGGATTGTTGTTGCTGGTACGGTGGATACTGCTGAGGTGGAGGTGGTGAGCCATAAGGGGTTTGAACTTGCTCAACTGGAAAGTTCCACTGCGATGCATTGGTAGTGAGGTTTAAGTAGTACCTGCGATTATGAATGTCAGCGATACTTTCAGATAAAACCTTGCCATAGATTGTCCCAGTAATCCATAAAAAGCATACCAAGTATTATGTTCTGGACTCCACTCTGCTCTCCACCCCGCAGGAACCTGGGGCGGGGCAAGATTCGGAGGAAATGGAGGAGGTGCAATTGCCATCTTGCGTGTAAATACAAACAGAGATCAAAATAAGCTTTCTAACTTCCTCAACTAGAGGCACATTTGGGGGATTAAATATCGCCATCTTAGCTTCTTCGGGAGATGTAAGGATCAGAAGAGTTGCTTTTGAAATCTCACAGCTGAACAGACAGTTCTTGCTAAGGGCTAGTGAATTGATGCAGAGCATGGATTTACCAAATCCACATGCAGCAAGCCATCGGAGCTAAGCTTTCGAGGCGCCTTCAAGGATGACGATACACCCAATTATATTTGTTTGGATTTCAGCCCTTTGGAGTTGTCGTGTGAAGATATTCGCAGCCAACAATGTGGCACCGAATAGCACAGCCTAGTAGATTTCGCGAAAGACGAGTATGCGAATCATGTTGAGCGAAACATAGAGTTGCTATTCTTGGGCAAAGTGAGATGATTCAGAGGATTGGGTTGCAGAAGCCTATCTCATATCTGTCTAGGAATGAGACAAACACTACCGCAGGCTGTTGAAGCGCCACAATTCAGGACCATGTATTTTTGAGACAATGCAGTCGCGCTCAATGATTAGAAGCGCCAAATATCGTGACGAACATAATACACGAACACTCGCAATGGTCGTTAGGAATAGAAAACTGTTGAGAAAGTGTGCATCAGAAACCCAATGGCCTCCCTTGTGGCAAAAAGGGGCTCAAAGTTTCTACTGGAGACGCCGGTAGCCCCTTTAAGATCGTTCCTCCGAACAGATCACCTTCCATCCTCGATATCAAGCCATATCTCAAGTGATCGACAGTAAAAAACCGCTACACGACGACCAGAAGCTAGTCAGACCACGAGACTGAACCAAAACTGGTATACCAGACCGCTCTCATAGCAAGTGCAGCAATCTTTTCCATTGCTGAGGCTTCCATTTCCACAACACTCCCCAGCCGCCAAACACCGTCGACAAACCAGTGAAGACAATGAGGGGTCCATACGTGGTTCCATACGCAAAGTTCCCAGAGTTGATACTTCCAGCTTTGAGCAATGGCACACTAGCAAGTCCACCGCTGACATACCCGATTCCTCTCGCACCATTCAGCAGGCCGTACATGAGTCCAGGATCGATAGGCTCGTTGCTATCCGCAGCTTCTCGTTCCAGCTCATTGATGACACCGCCCCAGGTAGCGCTGTAGCCTCCGGCGAAGAAGCCAAATGTGATCGAGAAGAGGATGAGAAGCGCCATGCTTCCTTCTGAAGTCAGACCCCAAAACAGGAATGTGGATAATGCTGTGCTGATGGCTGAGATGGCCGTCACGGTAGTTGCAGATAGAGAGAAGCGCTTCTTATCGCTCAAATATCCGAAAAACGAGGATGATAAGATTCCGGGAAGATTGAAAAGGGTGAGGAGAAGGGTTGCAGATGTCTGAGATAGCAAAGCGACTTCATGGGCGTAAGTATTGAGGTACGTTTGTGGTATTCCATACCCCGCACTTTGAAGAACGATGGCGACGCTGTAGATATAGAAAGTTTTGTGCTGAAGGAACTTCCACGGAATCTTCGTTGTATGACGAGCGCTCGAAGATAGGCTTGATGGATGAGTTGGTATCAAGAAGATGGCGGGGATGGCCAATATAGCCGCCATGCCTGTCCAGATTCGCAATGCGTTGCGAAAACCGTATCGGTCGAGAAGGCCACGGAACAGGAACGGACAAGTTGATCCTACGATGTTTTTGGTGGATAGAACAAGTCCGTATGCCACTGCTCGGTTTCTGGTAGTGAACCATTCGCCAAGGGAAAGTGTTGTTGGGCTGTAGATCAGAGCACATCCCAGAGCTGCCATCACTCCTTGCGTGACGACCAAGTGCCAGACTTCGGTGCTAAAGGAGGATAGGATGAAGCTGACAGCCATGAGAACAGCTCCGCACAACGCTGCAGTCTGTCTTCTTCGAGCCCATCGCTTGGTGAAGAGACCGAACAGGAATGGCATGGAGAGGTACATCACTCCATTCTGTGTCGTCCCAACGATACCAGTAGCTGACCGGCTCCCTTTCAGTGTCCAATTATCGGAATAGTATTCCTGAAAGACACCATAGCTCATCGCGAAACCTACCATTGTGAGAAATCGCATTCAGGATATATGGATTGAACCATGCTTACCCCAGATGGGCAGCTGTAGAATTGCTGATCCAACGAGAACAGAGGCCCTCGTCCTATGAGATTCTCCTTGCACCCATCGTGAACTGGCTTCCTCGAGGGTAGAAGCATTTTGAGGAGAGATATCGTCAAGCTCATGATGGTCAATGCGTGTTGGCGCTGAGTCGTTCCTAGTTTGAGACATTTTGAAGTTGCCCGATTTTGAATTGGGGTTTAAACATTATAACTAGAAGATGGGATTTGTTCTGTTTATATCAGATCCACTGGCACTTGCTCCGTTGATCGGACGTCATTTTCTGACTCAATTGACGGTGTGAAGATCCCTGCCGTCCTTGGCATACCTTGAAATCGTCGAGCGTGGCGGGCGAGCAACGATTTTTCGAAGGAATTGCTGTGAAGGCTTGAGACAGGAGTTGAAGAGTTGAGCAAGTTGAGATTTTCTCGCATTAATTTAATTCGCAGAGGGGAGAACAATAAATGTTGTGCAACGATGATTGTAGAGATGTGAAGTTATCCACTTGGTGGCAAATTACCCCATGCTCACCGAAAAGGCTAGTCTTTGATTAGTAATCACTCAACTTTCAACCGGTGAACATCATCTTCCAACCACCAACAGCATCGTTTCAATAAGGAGTTAGTGTATACCCAGACAATTCAACCAATGGGTAGGTCTGGGGAGCAGAAAGACGGGCCGCCTTGCAACGTCTTTTCTGGACCGCGAGAAAGCTTGCAAAGGTAGCGCTACATGAGACAATATTGCAGCAGAAGCAACATTTTCGAAAAACAAAAGAGTACAAAATCAAGACATAGATCTGTCCAAAATTCTATATCATACTTTTCCTTAGATTAAACTACCTACGTAATATGTTCGAGTCCAGATTCCTTCCCCATCTCAAGCACTAATCGTCCCATCATAATCCATTCCACTCGTTGCATTCGCAATACTATAATTCCCAAAACACGCATAATCATAATTACTCAACATATACGCCGATTCCTGACTCTCCAAAAACGCCTCCATCGCACACATCCCATCGACTCTCCCACTCGTCGCATTCCCGCAATATCCGCCGCGAATGGTGTTCAACGGCACAATGCCATTGTTCAATCGCATTCGCACGAATTTGTACGTCGCGTTGGCGGGGTCGTAGCCATATTGCGTAGGCGTATAGGCTGTGTGGTGGGTTTTGACAGGATACGGGTCCGGGGACGAACAACCGATTGTTTCGGTGATGAGACGCCCGCCGAAGGGCGTCATGTGCGAGAGGATGAAGTGCCGGTTGGGGTTGGGTGGGTATTGGGTTAAGGAGGGAGGGTCGCGGAAGTAATCGACAGACATTGCGGTTAGGACCGAGACGATGATGTCGTCGTGACTAAAGTCGGCGTAGAAGGGTTGGTGGAGGGGGAAGGTTGTGGGATTGTTGTCGATGGTGGAGTTGACGCTGGAATCGGAGGTGGTGATGTAGGTGTGTGTGAGACGAGCGATGAGTTCTTGGACGTAGCCTATTCCTTGAGCACGCCCTGTAGGGTTGCCGTAAGAATAGTCATAGTAGTCTGCAGCTGTTAGAGAGTACACTAATTGTTTGGTGGAGCTGAAGTGTAGGCTTGAGACTTACATTCCATATCCAGCGTATTCTCGAAGCCGGCCCATTCATCAGCGGTAAATAGGTAGCAGAAGTCCGACATTCCAATGTAATTATACTCGTAGGCACAAATGCTCTGCATCGCATATGTGTCGTTATAATTGAATGTGAATCCAGAAGGCGCATACTTTTGCAAGCGAGCGGTGGCAGCACCCAAGTACTTGGGCAAGTAGGTGAAGAGATCGTCATCGCCTAGATACCCAATAACAGCATCATCATCATTGAAACAGCTATCGTAAGAAGCCAATGTGTTGTTCTCAGTTCCTCCTTCTGGAATGATGACGACCTCAAATGGCGAGGTGAAATTGGCGAGTGTTGGGTCAGGAACTGTTTGAAAGCTTGTGCCAAAGAATCCAAGAGCCCAGTTTATCTGACTGTTCTCAATTCTGGATTGAGATGTGGTTCTCAAAACAACGGGTGCTCGTGCAGTGCCATTGGGATAACTCGCATTGTATGCCAGCTGAGCTTGAGTGGCGTTGTAGAGGGTTCGTCCGTATCGATTCCAGAATGTAACACCAGCAGCAAATTCTGTCGAAGCTCCAATGCCCGTCAACAGACCACTGTCTTGCATCACATACTGATATTTGTTCAAGAACGCCAAAGGGCCAGTGAAGGAAGCTGTAGAATTTCCAGATGTGAAGTTCGACAGCTTCTGGGCAAATCGCGCATCATTTCCACCGTCGTCGTTGCCACTGGTTGGAAATCGCTGAGCATGGCGTTGTAGAGTGCTTGCAGATTCCTGAATTGGTCAATTGACTTCCAAACTTTGTACAGAGCTTACTCACGATCTGACATCCATCCGGGAGACCGACATACTCCACACCAAAATAATCCTCGTCATTATCTGCATATACGGACACTTGACCCCAGCTCCTAGAAATCTTGCTGATGTCTGTCTCGAGGTCAATGGCACTCACTCGAGCGACACTGAGTAGTACCCCGACAGCAATCGTGGAGAAGTACATGTTGCCCGATTCTAGACGTTCAATTGATGAGAAGCGGGAGAAAAGACCTACCCGGAGTTCTAGGATGGGAGCTCTTATATATTTACCCCGCCAGCAAGCTCACCTACCTTGCGTGCAGTACCTAGCTTTTTCCCAGGAAGCTGGACCGGCGTCCAAAAAAAACGAGAGAAGCTTTTCTCTGCATAGTGGGTATCTTACCAGCTGGATGGGGAAGCTCCAAAGTCATCGACAGGCACCACAAGGTCCAATTTATTATGGTGATTGGATGTGGGGTCACAATTCTGTGGCCTTAAAGAGCGGCCGCGCAAGCTATCGAGGTACGGTATGGAAGCTTCCCCTCGCATGGTCTGGAAGATGTGGTACGAGGGGAGTGAGAATTGACTGCGCGAAATTCCCTGGGAGGATGGAATAATGTCGGGGATGTGACGTCGAGAGGTGAGATGAAGTGGACCGGCACCACTAGCCAGGGACTTTGCTGCAGGATCTAATCAATATCCATACCTAGCGGGGTGAGACCTGCTTTGTATGTGCACCTCAGCGTCGTGAGGCATGTCCGGGTTGTCGTCGAGGCACGGTAGCTCCGGACTACCAAAGTCCCATGTGTATAGATCAACTGGTATGGGTTGTCAGAGGCTTTTATATCGAGCATCACGTTCTTGGCGCCAGGGTTGAGATTGGATGTTTCATCCGGGTCCGTCGGGCGCCGTTACGGAAGTGATTGCTCTTAGCCGAACGCCCGCATGCTCCTTTTTCTTTTCTTTTCTTTTCTCGGGGCTTTCAAGCTGTAACTCATATCGATACGACCGTGTCTTGTAGATCCATCAGTTTCACAGCAGCAGATAAGCCTTTCATCACCTTCTTAGCGCTTCAAAAATCATAGCCAAGCGATCACGTGACTTGAATCTGTGTAAAGCTTGATCTGAAGTGTTTTCTGGAGATATCTGCTTAATCTATGGTCCAAATGTATAGTCAATGATATCCGGTGTACCTATGCAATGATCCTCTCTCTCCAAGTGAAGCATCTCACATGCTCCCTCCGCCTCGCATTTCATGCTCACCAAGCTCGAAGTCCGGAGTCGAAAGTGGGGCAACTCAGACCGAGTACAATAACCTGCACTTGCCAACGCTCCGCCTCACTTTATATCATACTTGTCGTAACATTCTATTCGACGCCTCAAGACCACCACATTGGTGTCATTGGCCCAGCAGCCCGGTGTCCGTATTCGAAAACGACCTCGAGGTTCCTTGGCTCCAGTTATACGATAGCTCAAATCATGAAATCTGCACAAGGCTCGAGGTGCAGCTGTTGTCAGACCGAAACCCTTACATCCTACTGGCCTGCTTCATCAGCAAGCAGAGGCCACCCATCGAGGAAAAGGCAATGGGCCGTCGTCTGCCTTGAGGAGGTTGGGGGCGGTGATACTATTGGATAGAGAATGGCGAATTCCGTCTTCTTGCATTGCATTGCAGATTCAACAAAAGGATGAGCTGAACCTGATCTGCTCCCATTTCTATTACCTTTCGCAACCCTCCTTTCTCATTCTTTTCCGTCCCATCACACGACAATGGCAGAAGTCTCAGGAGCTGCTGTGTCGATTCCGGGCGTTGTTGACTTCGGTCTTCAACTTGCAACAACAATTCATACATACGTTGAAGCCGTTTGGGAGGCTAAAGATAGGCTGCGCGATGTTGCAATCGATATCAACTCGACTGCGTCGACGTTGAAGCAGCTTCAAGCCCTCATCGATGCTGACCGAGTTCAAGTCACGAAAGTCTTCAAGGATGAAGGCCTTCAAGAAGTTCGCGACTTGGCGACCTCCTTGAAGAAAGTCTATTCTTTGATTGTGATCCTCTTGACCAAGGCTGGAACTCCCGAATCAAGAGGAAAGGTCTTGGCCGAGTCTGTCAACCCGGTTGTATTGAATACATCCGTTCTCACTCGACACATGAGATGGTCATGGTTAGCTCCTCGTGGAAAGAGAGTCCAAGTCCAATTGAGATTGTTGAAGACTAAATTGCTACTCAATCTTCAACTTGCAAACCTCGCTAGAGTACAACTAGGGTGAGTTACTGCCATCGCAATACTTCGACTCAGAGCCTAACTTGAGATAGTCTACCTGAACGACAACCTGGAAGCTTCCAGGAGGAGCTTATACTTAGAGCCCTGTCGCTTAAACTTCGAAAGAAGGAACTTCGTTCTTTCAGGAACTTGGTGGCCAAATACCAAGTTAAGGTCGATGAGTCGGATGTCAGCTCGATCTATTCTGTGGACAGCATCAAAAGTGCCAGACCAGAAGAAGTTGATGATGTTATTGTTATTGAGGAAGAGAAACTTACAGAGTCCAAGAATGAGTGAGTGTCATAATTCGTTCAATGTGATGCTCGCTAACTCCTGTAGTGAGAAGGAACAGAATGTCTCTGAGTCTGGTGAATCAACTCCCTCCACGGAGGCTAACAGGTAAGATTCCTAACTGATTGATGAGCTGTGACGAGTTACTAACTCATCGAGTAGCGAGAGTACCGCTCCCACATCAGTCTCAGATGAAGCAAAGCCTGAAGTGGATAATTCGGACTGTGTCACTTTAGTTGACGAGCCTCAGAACGTCAAGGATGTTGACGCTGATCTCAAGAAGCCAGTGCCAGATGATTCTGTACCTCCACCCCCGGCTGAACCACTTGTCGAGGAACCAAAGCCAGAAGAGTCGAAAGAGAAAGAACAGCCAACGGAAGATTCTGCTACTGATGACAGCAAGAAAGCAGATGAATCTCAATCTGCTGAAGATCCGGCGATAAGCCTTGAATCGCCGTCTGGTACATTCAGCATTCTTCCATCATGGCTAAAGGATCTCTTCGGCAAGAGTGACAAGAAATTTACCCACGACTGGGAGAGCCCGACACTTGAATGCTTCATTGTGTCCAGAGAGTTCAAGCTTCTCAAGCTCCCATTCGGACATCAGCGTCTCACTTACGGTCTCAAGCGAACCCAGCGAAAGGTTGGCCTGACTTGGGATCAGTACATGGCTCTTGAGTCCCCACTCAAGAAAGAGATCAGCAAAGCAATCAGCAAGGCCAAGGCCCTCGATGCTCGTCAGAGAACCTGTGTTGCCATTGGTTCCCAGAAGAAGAAGACTGATGATGATTTCGTTATTCTCTTCATGACTTTGGGACCCAAAGTGGAGGCAATCAAGTTCAAGGATGCTGTTGGTCGCATGTTCACCGTTCCATTTGAGAACTGCAAGACTTTTGAAGTGGGTTTCGTTTCTCTCGAACCAGTAGTATCAATGCTAATCTATCTGCCAGGCAATGAAGAAGGTCATCGAAGAAGCATTCCTGCACGTTGATGTGATCGGCCCTCACGTTCTAGCTGGCCACTTTGACCTGATCGGCTCCAATGGGGAGATCATGCTCCCAAGTCTATGGGCATCACTCATCCAGCCAGGCGCAAGCATCACCATGCACATGTGGCCTATGTCCGAGCCTCGTCCTCCTCAACCTCCCCCACCCATGCACGGCGGTTGCTATCCACCCGCGCCCCCACCTCCTCAAGGATGGATGCCACCACCACCACGTCCCAGGATGGGTCCTCCAGGCCCCCCTCCACCACCAGGATGGGTTGGAAGATGGCCACCCGGTCCACCAGGTCCACCACCGGGACATCGTCCAGGCTTTCGTGCCCCACCCATCATCGTCATGAACCGATCTCCATCTCCTCCTCCCATGATTAGAGTTCCACCAGTACCAAAGGTCAAGACGGAGCCCGTCAGTATCTACAGCTGGCTCTCCGGCAAGACACCCTACTATCGACGACGCCGTTGCTACGACAGCGATTCCGACTCTGACGATGCGAGTGAGTTGATGTCTAACTCTGATATCGAGGCTGAGGATGCCGATATCGAGATTGCGTTTGACTTTGAGAAAGAGGAAGAGAAGGCCAAGTTGAGCGTTGGGGATCTTTTGGGCAAGTTTACTAATGCGTTGGATACTGTTGGTGGAGAGGACTTGGATAGTGATGCCGATTCCGACTCGAGCAGTTCCAGCGGATCGTCGAGAAGTTTAGTCGATGATTGAGCTGTTTACGGATATGGAATGAGATTCGCTGGGGGCAAATTACTGTGTTGAACTTTGGATTTATAGTGTGTTTATGATGTTTGCTGGTTGTTGTTTCATTCATTCGTTTTCTATCATTCTTTTATGTCGGTCTCTTTAGTACCGCTCATTCATTACTTCATCAGGTTCCATACTTTCCTTCTCTCTACGTCTATCCATAGCTATGAAACCAGACACAAGCTAGTACAGTAACGAATTGCAATCATGACCCCTCGTATCATCAGCACATTGTCCCCGTCCAACAAACCGTGCCAAGCTATCAAGTTCAACGGTGGTCGAAGCCCGCTTGGGAGGCTCTATTCGCGTCCAGACCTATGACCCTAGATCATGTCTTACGTGGTGCCTATCAATATTCCCTCACACACAGCCTCATGCAAGTGCAATCGCGTTACTACCCCGCGGTTGTCACATGTCTATTGCAGCGGAAACACGTCGGAAGCCCGTAAGGCTGGCATGATCTCAAACACGGCGGCAGGAGTGTGATAAGGAGCATACTCGTTATCATTTGATTAAGTAATTCATTCCGAACCCAAATCAAAATTGTGACAAGAACTCGCCATCCATCCCACACTCTCCACCCCAAAATCTTCCTCTCCACCATTTATTCCGCAACCATACCGCCCATCTCATCATTCACCCCTCTCTCAAGAGCTATTCTTCGTCGGCGTTCTAGTTGGCGAATCCGGTTCATCCGTAACACGTTCACGGTGTCAGGAATGAGATCTCCCTTGTCCCTAATACCGACGATATTCACATCTCTTACCCAACCTCCCGTGACTTTCAATGACGATCTCAAAGTTAAAGACTCTCTCTTTATGGGAATCTGGGATCGGACTGCGTTCGAGGGTTGAGATCAGGGGAGGCATGTTGGGGTGTGAGTTGTCGGGTAGGGGGAGAATAAATTCAAGTGTTGGTGTCTAGCGTTAGTGGGAAGACTGATGAGTGGAAAGGAAGGAAGGAATGAAAGACGACAGAAGGCTTCATTCTTATGCTTCTGGATCTCATTATGAGGCTGGCTCATGATAAGATACTCAGTGCTTAATGGTTGAAGTGATAAAAGTTCTGGCGCTGTTGATGTTGGCTGTGAGAAGCGGGCAGCTCTTCCACTTGATCTTGCCTCCTTACCGTGCCCTTGCCTACCTCATTAGTCGAGCCTCGATATTTGGGATTCTTACAGCAGCAAGGCAGATCTAGATCCCCTGACTTTTTGAACCTCTCATCATTTTAACATCTCCAAGTGATCCCTCCATCACGCTTAACACCAATTGACCAATACCTCTTTGTCTTCGGACGTCACCACAGACGTTCTTTCTTACCGTCTAAAGCCATCATCCCAAACTTCAGTTCCTTCTCCCCCAAATGAGTTCGTATCTCTTCTACGACCCTAAAGTTCACCTTCCGCTTGAATCTACAACCATAAGTTCGAAAATGGATGTCCGATTGAAGTTGGGATTTCCTCAGAAATTCGATCGAACTTGACTCAAGAGTCACGTAATCACATTTCATGGGCTTCAAATCATGCCACGAAACACTCCCCATTAAACTCCACCGTACCAACCAACGCCGTATTGAGCACAACACCCGGGTCGCCATACAAGCCGTGAAGCTCATAGTATCCTCGCGCCGCAAGTGCCCCATCGAGGCGACACTGGGTATGTGCAAGCTTCATAGAACCTTCCGATTTGTGTTCAACTAGAAAATTGGGAAACGCTATTCCCGCAACTGGTCTAGCATAAGGTCCGAGATGTTTCTCAACCCACTCGGAAACCATCAGACTGGACAATCCTTCGAAGTAGTCTGGTTTGGGCCTCTGCTGGATTTCTGGCTTTGGTGTTTCTCCCCATTGCTGCTTACCACCTCGAGCATGAGGCTCTGGTACTTGTAAGGGGACGTCAAAAAAAGGCTGGAACGCTCGGGCTGCCAAATCGTTCTCGAGAATACCAACGCTTGTTATGATTTGACAGTAGACGGAGTAATCTCTAATTTCCTCTTCGCTAGGTGGAATTGTGCCAGACGAGGAAGGTGATGCAAGAAGAGCGTCTTGAATCGCCAACAAATTTTTCGGTTTTGACGGATCAGGAAGAAGAGTTTCGTCAAAGATACCTCGTCGTGTCAATTGTTCTGGTAAATTCTTATCGTATGTTGACATCTTCGAGCTCCGTGTTGAAGGTAGATCTTCAGATACAAAAGCCGGGAAGGAATTCTGCCGCCACTAAAGAAATGGTCAGCACGTAAAGTGATGGCCATTTAGAGGTGTTTAATACGTGTCTCAAAGCGTTAGGCAAGGGCTCATTTATCGTCTCTCTGTTTAGATCTTGTAGAGCAGAAGAGCTCAATTTTCGCTGGGGTCCACTTCGTGATTGACGCTTGACTACTGGCTTCTTTTGCTTTGTCCCTGCGCCAAGAGACAATTTGGAGGCTTTGGCTGAATTCTTTTTCTTGCTGGGGCTTGCTTTGGATGCTAATGCTGCAATTCTTGTGGATCTCCGGGGATGTTGTTCTGGAACTTTCTTTGCCTGGGAACGGGTAACTTTCCTGTTCATGGCTGGACTTTTAACCTGACTAGAAATATAATAGAATGACAATCAAGTAAGGCTCATATGTCGTGCTGAAAGGGCGATGGACTAAAATATGAGATAGTGGGTAGTGCAGACACGTTGGCAATGCATTACATAAATCAGTGTATCCTACCTTATCGATCACACCTTCATCACGAGTGCGAGGCGAGAAACCGCCTGAGCAGCGATGCTGACTAACCGCATCGACTTCATTTCGTTACGGATTAACGTCCCTTCCGTAGCGAGAAACCGATCTGCCGAGAAATCTAAAAAATACTTTAACTTCAAGCACTTAAAAAATCGAAAAACGAATTATTAAAATATATTCGAAAATAATAATTTAAAAATTTATTTTTATTTTTTTTAAGACTAGCTACGGCTGGCACGTGATTAAACACGCGGTTAATTATTAGTTCGGGAAAATAGCGTTTTTTAATTTTAAGCTTAATAAAGCTTAGTTTTTTACGTAATCTTTAATTATAGCATAAAAAAATAAAGGACAAAAAAATAAAATCGTGGCACAAAGTAAGAACGGTTTAAAGACCACGATATTTTGGGTCTCAGAACCCTGAATAAGCATAGTCTGATCACATGATGTGAGCACGACGTGAAAACACGTGACTGCTTTGTGACACAGCGTCTCCTATTTAAGCTATTGTATTAAATTAATACCTAAGTATAAACTGGAAGGGGCGATGCGCCCTCTCTTACCCGAAACCCCTTTCTTAAGCCTTAATGGCCCGAGATAGTTTACTATTACTCACTAACTTAGGGTGCAGCAGGTGAGAGCTCGCGCTCACTACTGCACTAAGTGGAGCTCTGAGAGTACTGACTTTGAGAGTGCGAATTTTGAAAGCTCGATGTAAACTCTCAGTGAGAGCTTGGATCAAAGACGAGCCGCTTGTTTTGTCAACTAACATTGGACTTTTAGATCCCACCCGCAAAAAATCCTCCACGCTTAATCCCCTTGCCAAGGTTTCGGGAATTGCTTCCGCTACGTTAAGTATCTTTAAACCTATCATTCCTTTTACCGTATTGCCACGCTTTTTTTGCAATATTGCCGTCCGGCATTTCCGAGAGATATTTCTTAAATCGTCTCGACATCTTGACCACTTTATCCAAGTAATCGATCTTGAGTTCTATCTCTGTAGACTTCTCCTCCGAAGCCTGATACTCTGCTAATGCACAACTGTTTGAAAGGCCGTAATCAAATACATTAGCGGGGACTGTACGTATATGTATTGTGCGAGGAGATGCTCACCATTCCGAATTTCGCGCCCATTCCATTCAACTCTTTGTAAATCTTCATCTTTCTCAATATACTTGGTCAAAACATATGGAATGCTGATGTCCTTGCGGTCTCGTTGCAGTCGCGCAATCATTGAATTCCAGACTTTGACACGTATTTGATCGTCAAATCCGGGGTACCACATACTTATGTGGATTCGGCTTGCGAAAGCCTCGTCAAAGACACACCAACACGGTTCGTCGTGAGGAACAAAATCCCTTGGTAATATTCCAAATTGTTTAAGAAGACTAGAAGCACTTAGTTAGTCGAGCTAAGTCTCACGATGGGGCAACAAAGAAGCGCACCTGACACCAGACTATTGCATTGAAAATCTTGCGCTGTGCGCTCTTCCAAGTAGACATCCGCCTCGTCGATGAGAAGGATAGCACCCCATCGACGTGCTTTTTTCATCCAGAATTTGAGATTGTTCTCGACGAATTGTGGTGTAGTGCCTACATCGCTAACAGACAGCGACAGCAAAGGTCTCTCTGTAAACTCTGCAACAGTCTCTGCGCGTATATCAACAATGGGCTTTTGAGAGCGGATCGGATCCTAATTACCAGCTGTACAGGTTTTACCAACACCTGGGGGTCCATGCAAGAGGATGATCTGTCCTTCTCCTTTTCCTTCAATGAAGTCGGCAGCGTATAAGTGGTGCGAATTTCTTCCCACGACCGTCATACCGTCTTTAATCGCTGGCGGTAAGAGGTCGATATCCGCTGGCATTTGAGCATACCAAATTTTTAGTAAATTAAAGTGGAAATTTATTGCGTCTAAGTATAGGGTTGAATAAAAACTATGAAGTTTTTATAAATTTATTGCTATTAAAAAAACCTAATACGCGAATACTAAAAGTCGTTGCATGACTTGCTTCATTTCCACCTTTCAACCCCTCTCCATTGTATGAGACACAAGTGAATGCTTCATTGCCTCCGATGAACCAGAAAATACGACACTCAATGGTGCTCTCCTAGGTGCCGGATACGATTATAGCGAGTGGAGATGATTCTGGTCCCGCGGACAGGAAGTAGGCGAGAAGGAAAGCACCGAAGACTAGGAACACTAGGAGCCACCATTGATCATTCCATTCTCCCGGATGCTTTGCTTGGTACCTTGCTAAACCGACACTTATCATGACAGATGTCATGAATAGTGCGATAACAAACAATTCAGCAAGAATCATTTGTGTTTGTGTCTTCGGGTTGACGTTATCTCGTATCGTGGTTGTGTTTCGCTTGATTTTCTCGACCGTTTCCGCATATTCTAAAAACCTCTGTAACAGGTTAGTATTAGAGAATGGCTGCAGCGGAATTCATGTTTTTTCTGAAAAGCAAGTTTGATCATACTAAAGTTTAGATTTATGTATGTTTATATATAAATTCCTCGCCGCACACGCCGCACACCTCCCATACCTCAGTTAATCTCTCGGTTTGCATTCGTGACCACAAGCCTCCCCCAACGATAAGCCCAAAAACATCGATCATCTGCTGCTCGCTGTATGTGAAGAGTCGATCCCCTGTATACATCCACCGCATCGCTTTGCGCGCAGCATCGATTTGAGAGAGCTCAAGGCCGTGATGCAGAAACTCGAAAATCCAAGCTCTGCATTCTGAACGATCAAAGTCTCGTGTCGGCGTTGTGTGGTATGTGATGTTTGGGAATTGCTGCAGGTTGTTCATCTGGGCTGCCATGTCTTCCTGATGCTGCAACGTGGTTTTCTCGAAGGCAGGATATGTGGATTCGATGTCGAGATTATGAAGTTTGCGATAGTTGTGGAATGTCCTTGTGAAGTTCTCTGGTAGAAGCATGATAAGCTTCTGCAATAACGTCATGATGTGCGACTTGCTACTTCCTTCACGATTTTTTTGTGGTTGTTCATAGGGAAAGTGTAAATAGTTTATATACTTTTTGTGTGATACACTAAGTGTTAGCTTAACGTTCGGGTGATTTAGACGAGTGTACTGCAAACTCACTTGAAGGATCCAGATCAGTCACTGCAGTATTTTCAGGAAGTGATGGTGCATTCGTGTGAATGACGACTGTGCTAATCTAATAGTGGTAAGATATGGATGAATTCAACCATGCCAGAGAGAAACCTTACATCTGATAGAATGACTTTGTGGACCGCCTGAAATATACTTGTCCCAGTCGTAACTCGCTAGTGTTGGAACCATTGATGGCATTCCCGTGAGATGGTTCTTGAAATGGGTGAACCTACGTCATTTGCGGCTACCCGAGGTCCGAATTCTGGTATGAGGGCTTCTGATTGCATTCGAGTCTGCAATGACGGACTTCGAGGGCCTATGATATCCATGGGATCCCTAGGGCGCGACATTGAACGAGGGTTCCTGGCAACAATGTCTTGGGATCTCGCAGTAGGTCGAATGGGAGGAGGCTCCGTTGAATTCAAGTCCCTGGTAGCCGTTGTATGTGTTGGAGTTCAAGGCTTCAAGCTCAGCAAATGACTTGGTGACAGGCTGTACTCAGTCTCTGGCTGTGAAGAGAGTGGGTTAAGAGTAATGTGACTCGGACTCGTGGACAGTTGAATATCGTGCAGAGGGACGCTCTTTTAGAGTGTGAAATCATTTGTTAATGGGCAAGCTGATGAGGCTCCGATTGACACTCACCCGTTTCTGTTCTATTATTATTGACCGAGTGCGATGCAGCTCTTAGATATTGTAGGATCGACATCGTCGCCCGGTCTATGTGGGTGTGGGTGCCCATTCAGCCCCCAAATTATGCCGTGTTCAAGCACGGCACAAGGTGTGGTACCACATCGAGGCTCCCACCTGCTTTATCCGTCCAACTGCATTTGCTGCATCAGCTCTTCGGTACCGCTCATTTCGATTTCGAACTGTGACTGGATAACAAACGACAACACACTATCTTTGGATTTTCGTCACATTGCCACTTCAGGTGCTGACATGAAGGTTCAAGATATGTCCAGATGGGAACACTCTAGCCTCGTAATTTTTCATAAACTGAACAACGTCAGATCGAGTACGACGAGAAGAAGTGGTCAAACTATGCAGGAAGCTCGAGAAGCAGTTGCAAGATATGCAACGACGTTAGCCAATCTATCAACTCAGATTGAAGCAGCCTTGACTCGTGCAGAGCCGTTGATAGTGACACGAACAACAAATGAACTCAACGAAGAAGCTCTGTATGTCAAGTCACTAGATACTCTACCTCACTTCACCCAGAAATTACCACCAAATATCTTACCACCAAATAGAAAGATTCTAGAAATTGAACGGGATGCGCTCGCCTGCGCATGGGCTCTGTTAAAGCAAGACCTGTCGGCGAAAGGCATCGATAATAACATTATGGGGCCAGCCCCAACAACTTTCGAGTCCGTGATCAGCACCGCAGAGGACGCTCAAACAACCATGAACAATCGAAAGCGCCCAGGAGGCGGGAAAGCACGAGACTACTATAATAAGTTTTGCCACAAGGCGTACCAGCATCGGAGCGTCTTTGACATTTTTCCAAATACGAACGAATACGTCTCAGTCTTTTGCGGGAGTATCAAAACACTTGTTAAGGTAACCCACTCAGCTTGACCTTCAGGCCCCAATGTACAACAACTGCTTATGGCCATGCTTTGAACAGGCGTCTGTGAATTATATTCAAATCTCGGAAGGCTTGTCAAGCGCCCTCAACGAAATCACAGAGCTTGTGGATTTCGCAAAACGACAAGTGGGTGTCAACACAACGCAATACACAACGTTAGCACTTGCAAAGTTGTACAAAGAGATTTTTCTATACTTGAAGGAATACACTGAGTGGTTTACTAAGACAAGTAAGGGTACGTTACGAGAAGAGAGGCTGGTAGCTAGTGGATGTTTCTTTGTTACCTTGCTTGCTAACCGAGATTCGGATTACAGCGAGAGATCTGCGATCCTTCATCGAGGACTTCTACGCAATCTTTTCGGACCGCATGGAATGCATTAGGAGCATTGCTAATACCGTGTATCAGGAGGTGATGCTCGGGAGTATGCAGATGATTCAAACTAAGCTCGCGCCAACGGATGACCTGGAACAGCAGCGACGGAGAGACTCGGAGTATATGAAGACACTTCTTCGAGTGGAACGTCAGCAGATGACGCAAGGTAGGTGACCCCAAAGTCCTTATCAGAGGATCTTTGTAACATATCTTCTGCATGATAACTAAGTCGGAAAAAGCGGCTACCCAACAGAAAATATTACAAAAGTTCGAAACGCTTTTATTGCAGATTCTCGATCGTGAATCCGGATTACGTGCGAGAGGGATGCTAGAGGATATTGTTCACACGGATCAATGGCAACGACGTGCGCGAGTGGGTAGAATTGAATCTCCTTACTACAGTTCGGTAGCTCCTTCAGGAAACGATACGGAAACTGCTCTGTCACTACCATCACAAGACTACACTGCAGGTATTTCTACCGCAGCATCAGAATCAAGCCTCCACCGAGACGAAATCGTAGACTCTTCCAAGTGTCTAGAGAGATTTATACTGGGGAACTCGGTCGATTTCTTGAACATTCTCCCACCCGCGCGTTTCGCCTCTGCACCTGTGGCAACCAAATTGCGTGAATGGTTCGCAGGGCGGAAATCCCCTTTCTTATGGGTTCGAGGTCCATCGGCTGGTCGTCACTCATTAGAGTTATCCTCCTTGTCTGGTTCTCTGATCCGCGCGGCGCTGGAGTCAAAAGCTCCTATAATCTTTCACTTTTGCGAGCCCATTAGACAGGTCGATCTGGAACCAGGATTCGGTGTGGAAGAAGCTGGTGCTATATCCTTGGCATACTCTCTAATCCGTCAACTAATTCTTCTACTCGAGCCAGAAGTCGATGTCCGCATTGATTTGAGCGCTGCTAGGTTTCGCTTGCTCGAATCACCACTTATTAATTGGAAATTCGCCATTTCCATTCTTGAAGATCTCCTGAGTCTCTCACCGGGAGTTCTACTCTGTGTGATCGACGGTTTTGACGAGTTGGACTACGACCTCGGACAGTCGCTTTGCAGAGATCTTCTAACTTTGTTCAGGCGCAGGGAGCAGGAATCTACACAGAAAGGTCTCGTTTTCAAAATGCTGTTCACGACAAGAAACTTTGCAGAGTCCCTGCATGCCGGACTAACCATTGATGAAGTCGTTATCGATACGGAATGGAAGCATCCGAATCACAGCAGCCAGGGGCCTGGGAGAAAGTTCATATTTGACGGTGATGAAGGAAGCTCTGGTGGTTATGCATGACAAACAAACTGAGCTAAAGAATGTTTGATTATACCTTTGATAGACCCTTTAATCACTTCACTTGGCGTTATCGGAGGACTTATACACATGATCACGTCCCTGGATCCACAACTAATATAACATAACAGTCATAGTAAGAACTTCTGTGACATAGAAAGGCGCTTTGGCGGAGTGGTCATCGCGCTAGCCTAGAAAGCTAGTTCCTTCGAGAGCAAGAGTTCGAATCTCTTAGGAGTCGTTGAAACTTTTGTCCTTTTTGGCACTTTTTTAAAGTGGAGATGTTCTTGATTTTTACAGCCGGGAAGGGCAATGAGAAGCGAGGGGTGACGGTGAGGTGAGATCAGTGGTTTCGTATAGGTAAATTCATGGAAAAGAAAAGGAAGGAAGTGATTTGAACGGGGAAAAGTAGTGAGTGAAGCTAGGGAGTTAATCAAGAGGGCTTTTTGCTTCTGCATTTGGGTTTGGGTGTTTTGAAGAGAAAGAGCGTTGAGATTCTTTTGTCTGAAGGAGCTTCCGCTGCTATGAGCAACTACCAAGAATATCTACTCCAAGTCCTGGAAAGCAATGTTATGTCCTGCTCTTGAGAACATGTCAAACGAAACCTGAGCTTTTCCAACGAGAAGGTTTGGCCATTATACGGGCCTCAGAAGGTGAGGGGATATCTTGTTCAATGCGGGGACTGAGAGGACAATCACAATCATTTAATGACAAGATCTTATATTACGACTGGTCTTTCTGGCCAAGCGAAAGGGAAAATATAAATGTATCGTTGTTGAAGCGGAACGAAGACTACTATAAGCAAGGTTCGCAAACATATGAATATATGCCTGGGCCAATACCATCCAGGACACGTTCAATTCTTTGGACTATCAACCTGTGCAGCAGAAGTCAAATTTTCTTCTCACTTTATGTTGTTAGACAGCCATTGCTAGTATCACATCAGCCCTCAAAGTCAACAGTAAATCACAGGAAGGGCATCATTCTAGGAATCTACTTACAAATCCATCATATATACCCTCTCCCTTTGATCCGCTGCTTCCTTGAGTATACCATGTTCCTGATATCAGGGCATGTAACCCCAATTTAGTCTCTATTTCAGCCTTCGTCATAGCTAAGACGGCAAAGTCAGCTTTCGAGACAATGTACGCTATTCGTCGATCTTTTCGACTGATGAGCGTTTGTTCTTTCCATACCTTGAGAGACATCTAGCTTATTGCAAAACACCAACAAAGGCACGTTGTGGAACTCAGGTTTTATGAGAACTCGATGCAATTCCTCGGCAGCCTCACTAATTTTCTCCCGGTTGTGAGCGTCAACTACAAAGACGAGCGCTAGTGGACCTGACAGAGTATTGTTAACAAAAACTTATTTACCAGAATCTGTTCGTTGAACGTGAATGCCATACCTTTGAAATGAGCTGGTAGAGGCGGATTGACATTCTTTCCAGCGACAACATCAAATACCTCGAAACGAACGTTATTATAACCCATCGACATTACTAGAACACCTTCTGTAGTATATGCGGTAGATGAGCTGAGCTGAAGCTTTGAGGCGAGAGCTAGATGTTGTCAATATAAAGTTCAAGCCACAATGGTAGAGTACGCACTTCTTTTTCCTGCTCCTTCCAAGCCAAAAACCATAATATAAATCGGCACATATCCGATTGAGGCGGGTAGCAATTTAGACATGTTTAAACCCATGTTTGCCAAGAGGAAGATTGGTAGTTGCAGATAAGTATTTGAATGAACGTTGAAGGGGGACTTAGATCTTGCTAGCATAGGTGAAGAAGGAATAGTATAAGTAACCAACCTTTGCTGTAGAGCAACGCCGTAGAGGCAAATTCATGCGGCCGAAGAGGAGACCCCATTATCGGCCGCTCCAGGTCATGGGATTCGCGTTACGTGCCATTCTTTCTATTAACAGATGTTGGAAAGTTTTGGTGTTGAAAGGTCCGATGTTAGAAAATCCTGATGTTGGCAGATTTCAGCTTGACTTGTGGATCACTAAACGACGTGGCTGTTACGAATAGCCTTAGCGACAAGTATGTTTCCGAGTTGTGGTGCCACAGACTAGACCAGCTTTGTGAACCAACATCTCGTTCGCCGCATTTTTACGTCGAGTGATATAAGCCATATTTGAAATCATTGGTCAGTTTATCGAATGGCCGGAATTTCGGAAACGTCTATGATTTGAACTCCTAGCGCTTCGCCACGCCACCTCTCTTCCAGCGGCGAGGGAAAGTTGTGAAAATAGCATAATGTACGTGGCATGAGAAAGTGTCTTACATGATCATGATTCTTGGATCTAGTGAGCGAATGTCATTATTTCGAGAACATGGGGTTTGGGGTGGTGTGCGCTACGAGTTGCTTACACTGGACAGCTACTTCGTTTCGCAGGATCAAGTGTTCGGAAAACAGGACTGATGACATATATTCCGAACGGAATTAATGACAAATCAGACATCTCGTGCCACATGGTAACGATACTTCCGATTCTTTCTTTACCTAATGTCCCAGGATAAAATAAAGTTTACAGTAGGAAATGTAACATTAAGACAAGCGCTGTATTCTTCAATTAAGCTTGAGGGAGTAGCGCAGCACTGTGGTCCAGGGTATTTGTATTCAGCCTCAAATGTTCTCAAATAGCCTTCAATTCGCTTGGCAGCTGGTATAAAGTCAGGCCCGACTCCCTCTCTGCCATCAGCTCATGAGTTGTCTTTTGACTCATATTGTGCAAGTGCACGTATCTCTCACCGAGAAAACAGATTCAAGAGGCCTTCTCCCATCGTTACTTCCTTTTTCTTTGCTTGATATGCTTAGTTTTCAAGATGGAGAGGCACCAAGGAGTCTCATAGTGCAAGTCGCACGTGACCTAAGCGACCCCCTGAAGAACTCATTTGAAACACCCCACTGCTACGATAAGGGGCTTGCATACGTGTCTAGCCCTCCTTCAATTATTCACCGAGGTTGTTTGCTCCAACTCTATTCAATTTCCGACAAGGAAGACCTTGGCATTATCATCTGTCGTCCAATGCTCACTCCTAATATTATTGAAGTTAGCGATCCTTCCTCAGCAAGATATCAACTCTGCAAAAGACTTTTTGATCGGAGAAGCTTGAACCACGAGAACACCTATGCCAATTACAAAACCGCGAAGTTTGTTTTTGTCCGTGCACTGCAAGCGCTGATCATCATCCCAAGAAATAACGGGTCTTGTTTCAAAACATTTCCCCTCCAATTCGCAAATCCCCACCCCAAAAGGTAAAGCGCCAAAAGGATCCCACAACATAATTTATATGTTGCCCTCTGCCCCTCTGCCAAGAACTTTCCAACTAACGCCCCCGATGTTTGTCTGCAGGCTGAAAATCTGGGCATTTCCACTGAAACATGTGTGCTCCGGCACGGTAATTAAAGCAAAGTTGCTGTGGGCGGTTGCGATACGTCAGTGAGCATATCCACCGGCTCATCTCGCAGCTTATATACTCTTCTCTGCTGCTTCGAGGTGATATTTTTGCTCTGCACCGTAGGTTATCTATTTACTTTCATTACCGATACTCTTCACCACCCACATTCCTTACCTTTCTTTCTACGTCTCGGAACGTATACTGTCAAATTGTGATCAAATCTGGTCTGGAATCAGTTTTCAGCACTCTTCATTCTTTATCGTACAGCACAAATCTGTATCAATATCACTTTTCGATCCTCGATCACTTCGCCATGTCTCCAATGACTAAGACTTCTGCTCTTTTGGGCTTCCTAGCCTCGGTTGCCAAAGTTTCCGCACACGGCTTCGTTCAAGGAATTGACGTCGATGGTACCTAGTAAGTTTCATGCAGTATTCTACCGCGACACTAGCTAATACTCAGAAGCTATACCGGATACCTCGTCACTCAGTACCCTTACGAAACCGATCCTCCTGCTTCTATCGGCTGGGCAGAGACAGCGACCGATCTTGGATACGTTGCGCCTGACGCATATGCGTCTGGAGATATCATCTGCCACAAGAGCGCCACAAACGCTGAACTCTCTGCTACGGTGGAAGCAGGCAAAACCGTAACAATGTTCTGGAACACCTGGCCTGAGTCCCATCACGGTCCGGTAATCGACTACATGGCGCTTTGCGACGGAAACTGCAGCACCGTTGACAAGACCACTCTTGAGTTCGTCAAGATTGCCGAATCTGGCTTGATCAGCGACACTACCTCCCCTGGAACATGGGCTTCGGATAACCTGATCTCGAATAACAACTCTTGGGCTATCACCATCCCATCTACACTTACACCTGGAAACTATGTTCTCAGACATGAAATCATCGCGCTTCATAGTGCCGGGAGCACTGATGGAGCTCAAAACTACCCTCAATGTATCAACCTCGAAGTCACCGGTTCCGGAACCGCTTCTCCCGCTGGCACTCTCGGCGAGAGTCTCTACACCGAGACCGATCCCGGTATTCTAGTAAACATCTACACTACCGGCCTCACATACACCATCCCAGGCCCAACTCTTTGGTCTGGTGGCTCTTCTGGATCTACTACGTCTGTAGCTGCCGTAGCGTCAAGTACCCAAGCTGCTGTTGTCACTTCATCGGCCAGCACCTCTGTCCCTACAACCCTCGCTACCGTCGTCAAGTCCTCTTCATCCGTTGCTGTTACAAGTACGAGCTCGGCGGTTGAGACTGGTGCTCAAGGTGATGATGATTCTTGCGAGTCATAAGCTCAAGGACAGAGAAGGAGTGACGTGCTTTTCTTGTAGATATCTTTGATCTGTGTGGTTTCGAAAAAGGAGTTTGTATATATATGTCTTTCTATCTGTATCTTGACTAGAAGTCATGAATGCAAGAACAATGAATTGATGATTCAAGATGCCAGCTCGTTGTCTAGATTACTTAGTGAATTCTTCCAGTATATATACACTAAATAACAGGAAAACCGACCGACTCGCTGACAGACTTGGCTGACTTGCCATCAATTCGATATATGGTGGTACCGCACATAGATGACCCGCAGCATTCATGGAAGGTCTCTCTGGCCATTCTCCAACTCATCTGGGAGTTTTCGATAGATCAAATGAACATTATTGTGATTAGTCGCCTGAAGAAAATGTGTTCCATCTGGGGTCAAAATCGTCTCTTTGCTGTAAATGCAATCTCACATATCCACGGGTCACCCAAATCCGGATCCTCATCTAATGATGATATCATTGTACTGTAGCGGTTATATAAGGACAAGTTGTATGAAGTCCGGTGAGGGAGCTCATCAGACCTTCTCAACTGTAGTTGTAACGTACACATATGCGTTAACCAATTTTCTTGAACTTGCCGGCATTTCTCTATGACATCTCCTCCGCCCCAGTGAGCAATCTGAACATAGTCTCTTCATCTGAAAGCCAATTCGCGGCCCAATTCTTTCCAATTGAACCTCCTCCATCGGCTTGACCCAAATCTTCGGTCTCTACATCGTTGGTACTACTCGCTCCGAGATCCGCATCAAGCTCCCCAAGCTCCGTTTGGCTCACATGCTCGTCCAGTGTTTGGTCATCATGAGATATCCAGTCCTCTTTCTCCTTTCGTGTCTGATCCAGCATGCTCAATGCCAACCCTAATCCGCGAGGAGATTGTCCAAATGCTTGGCAGCCGAGCTTTTGTTTGCACCATGCGTGAAACTCTGCTTCTGCTTGATCCATCGGCTCGAAAGCTGCAATCTTGTTGAGGCCTACTCGAACGGCCTTCTGCATCCTCTTTTCCACTTGGTTCAAGAAACCCCGCTCCCAACTGTTGAAGATTTTTACCAGTCTCTCGCTGCTGGCAAAAGGCTCCCAAGAATCCCATAGTGCCCACTGTTGAGTTGGAGATCGGTCTTCACGGCTTTGTCTAGCGATCTCCTCCAGCATTTTGCGCATGCGTTGGCTGACACAGTTGTATTTAGAGACAACTAATGGATCGTTCAGGTATCCGAAAACAAGTATCGTCAATGTCAGCGCCGTCCACAACTCCTTGAGGTCGTTCAAGTTCGATGGTGGCTTTTGTGGGTAACCCGTCAAGGACTTTGGAGTATTGTGGTAGAAGTAGCCTCCTTTCAATTTGTTCACGTGTGCCTCAAGATAGACAAAGTCGTGATCAAGCATTCCAGATGTGTGATTTGGTAAGCAATCTGCCAGTAATTGCACCATGGATGTGGCAGGGCTACCATGGAATGGCCAGCTGGTGACTGGCTAACACTGTGGGTCGAAGAGAATGTTTTCCATGTCGCTGTTGCCACCAATCCAGCCGGCATAGATCATCGTGGCGAAGAACAATTTCAGTTGCTGCACCTCAAACACATGCTCGGTGTTGTAGTTCATCTGGCGAGCATGATCTTCGACCTGATCCCATTTCTCGCAATACTTCAGCGTAAATCCAAGTTGTCCATCTTCCAGAGTAGGAAAGAAGAAATGGTTGTATGGGTTTAGTGGAAGCGGCTTCTTGTGCCAGGACTCGTACTTTGGAATATAGAAGTGGCCGCGAATACTGCCATCAATCAGGCCCCTGGGAGTGTACCACAGAGGCGCTTTGGTACCGTCTTTGAGTACCCTTTCGCTTTTTGTCTTGCCATCAGGGCCGACGGACTTGGAAATACGACCGTATTTCACCGTTCGGTCGTCTCCCCTGAACTCCTTTCTATTCCCAGTACCACCTGGCATGATGTTGAGTCTTCGACAAGGCTGCGTCTCCAAACTGCTAATAGCCTTCGTGCAAGTGTTGCAGATATTCACAGATACCACAATAAAAATTCCACTCACACGATTGGTACGAAGGAGTCAATTATCAGACATCAAGAGGAGAATGCTATTGGAATGATTGTCGGTTGAACAGGAGCTGGGCGTACGTCGCGCCTCATGAAGTATAATTGTGACGGTGGCTTCAAGTGCGCTCTGCGATTTGCTGAAGATAGTTCAGCTGAGAGGTGTGCATCCGAGTGTGTATCACAAGTCCGAAAGCTTGCGTAAGACTTTGCTTTCGGCCATTCGAGACTCGCTGTGTGCTCAAGATAACCAAGTACGGCACGATAAAGTGTTCCTTGGGTTTCTGTTCTATTCAGCATCACAAATAATACATCAAAGCACCACACTACTACCGAGAGGCTACTCAAACCTACCCAGTAATAGCCAAATTAACTGAATTGAAAGTAGCCGAGAGTGATCAGATTTGGAGCAGAAGCGTCCAAGCTTGCTAATCAAAAACAGAATGAAAGCCGAAGCGTTAGAGTAGCAACTACCAGCGGTGCTGGAGTGGTCTAAAATTGGCTGGTTATCTTTTCATGCAGGAGTCGAGTAGTTCACCGGCCTTTCTGGGGTTACACTGAAATCGTGTTAGGGAGGATCGCATTTAGTTTTACTTGTCACAACTTTAAGCACGTTTTAGGAAAAACCACGCATTTATTGACTGAAAACCGCAACGCTTTTTGACTTTTCGCGGAGAATCATAACCCAGCAGCCGAAGTTCAGAGTAAGACCCACGAGAACAACGCCATCCATGGCACCCATCCTAACCATCAGAAACAACGAGAAAGCAAGCCAATTTCCCAGCAGACCCAAATCCTTGATGATATCCAGCTCACGGGTGCTTTGGTAGAATTAGTGTTGGTTTGTCTTGGGGATATGCGAGATTGAACTTACTAAGGCACAGTGCAAGATTTCGGCTGATGTAGTCTTAGGTGTCGATTGAATTTGCAGAGAGTTTGCAGATAGCATCGAGGGTGTACCGGCTACTTCAGACCAGCTAGAGTCGGCTTCAAGAGTCAGTATGCGCTTGTGAAAGAGAATGGAAAGTGCAAGTGGAAGAGGAGCAAGGGAAAGGGATGCGGTCCTGACCACATCAATGATGATAAGTGCATTCGCAAGTGGGAACATCAAACAATATTGTAACTCACAACAGCGGCTCGACTTCTTGGATGCACACGAAGCACATTTGTTGACGACGGGAGGAGGTGTGAACATCCTAAGGTAAAAGTGCTCAATGGCAAAGGCAGCGAGAAGAGAACAAAGGAAGACCAGAATGAAGAACATCTTGATTGGTAAACCAGGGGAATTTTTGCACGCGTTGAAGTGGTAATTGTGTGGTTTTGTTGAAGTTGCGATGATGTGTTGTAGTTGGAAGAAGGGATGTTGGTCGATGTTGATAAAGAAGAAGAATGAGACGCTAGAGAGGAAGACAGAGCTAAATCGACGTGCGAGTAAGCTAGCAAATCATAGCTAGCGGCATGATGAATTGTCTCTCTCCTAATCAAAAAAACACTAGTGAGCATTTGCTCATACTTTTGTGGGGAGATAATGTCGAGGCAACTTACTACCAACAATACGGAATTGTTGTACCACCCGGATAACCACAACCCTCGCTGTAGTCTGGCGCAGTGTAGCAGACGTTGTTAAGAAGCCAGACGTATTCAGCATCGCAGACGAGCTAAAAAAAAAGTTAAAGTCACTATTAGATTGATCTCATACCCGGAGGCATTGAATGGGAGTGCTGGAAGGAGAGAAGGAGAAGTGAGACAAAGGCTGGAAGTTGAAGGCAAGTGGAATGTGGAGCTATCAGGAAAGAAGCATAGAACGTACGATATTAGCCCAATCATCGGAGCACAGGTAATCGCCAGGAGTATCGCAGGCAGCTCCGAGAGTAGCAGTGGGGCCATTTCCTTGGGGTGCTTGTGCAGATACACCCGTAAGGTGGAAAGCTACGGCAAGGAGGATGGCGATCAAGTGAAAGAGTGAAAACATCTTGAGAAGAGACTTGAGTTCTTTTCTGGTGGTGTATGTGATTGACGTGGGGTTGTAGTTGAGGTTAGATTGCAGTTGCAGTTGGACGTGAAGTGGGACTGTAGATCAAGTTAAGGTTGCGTATTGGAAATTCAAGAAAAGAGTTGACGTTGAAAAGAAAGAAGAGAAATAAGTAGGAAGTGAGTTTATATTAATAACTTAGTGCTGGTTCTGTATTCACCAGAAACGTTAGAGGCTTTCCAATATCGGTTTAGAGTGAATGAGAACTTACCCCGACACAGTAAGGTGAACCATTAATCTCCTCGCAGTGCTCTCTTGGATAGCAGTAGTCGTTGACAATCCAAGTACCGGTGTAGTCGCAGATCAGCTGTTTTAGCAAGTGAATTTAGTTGATAATCAGATCATAGAACGTTCAAAGTCAAAATACTAACCAAGGAGCATGAGATACCACCAAATTTCATAAGTAATAGCAGAAGTAAAGCAATAGTAGGCGGTAAACACAAATATTAGGTGAACTTACGATGCAGTTGCCATCATCAGAGCACTCATAAGCTCCGAAAGTTGGACAGGAACTGCCTTCTTGTGGGGTTGGAAGTGGGTTTGCCATGACAAGCTGAGAGATCAAGAGAAGGAAGAGGGCAAGGAGGTAATTGAGAGGAGCCATTCTTGTAATGATTGTCTGATCTTGTTTCTTAGTGGAATGTAGTGAGATGAGTGCAGTGAGTTGAGTTTGGTTGAGTATGTTCAAGTGCAAGAGGCTTGAAGTTGGTGATGTGAGTGGATGAACTTTGTTGGAGAAGTAGAAGCCAGATGTTAGGGGAAGAAAGAAAGTTGGAAGTGAGATGTAGTTAGTGAGTTTATACACACGGATCCGGCTCCATATCTATCTGTGAAGTGAGTCAAGTTAGTGCGCCGATTGCCTGGAGAACGTAAATCTGGCAAGTGATATCAAGCGAGTCCAAGGCTTGGTGTTTGATCGAATTCAGCTCATAGATTTCACAAGTGATAACAAGTGTTATGAAGTGAATTTCAAGGCTCTGCATTTGAAAGACTAGTGAAGATTTTTCTTGTCTTGATCCCATTCTATCCCCCAGTTGGTGGTTCCGTACTACCCATTCCCGAACTCCCCTACCCGATTCCAAAGAACCCAAACGCAACGCGAGTGTCGAATCATGAGTCAGAGTCGAAGCTGTGACTGAAAATAAAGGAAATGTTGAGTGGAGAGAAAGTGCCCGTTGTCCTAGGAAGCTAATTGCAGATGAGTGGAGAAGTCCTCAGGGATACATCGTTGCTGCCGTCAAGATATTGTTTGTGCAATAATTATGGGTTGCAGAAGAACTATTGATAAAATCCGTTAGCTGAAGCCAAGATAGACTGCTGCCAATACACTTGAAGTGAAAGACCATAATGCATCTGATCAAAACAAGAACAAAGTTCCAGCGAATCTAGTGAAGAGAAGAACAGGCTGTGGACTTGCAATGCGATGGAGTATGGCGTGACAATCCTCTTCCTCTTGTCTCTCAGAAAGGGCATTGCTGCAAGATGGCTGTCCACCCTTCAAGCCGCAGATAGCTCCTGATGAGCATGCTTCGAGTTCAACCCACATATCAAAGGCGTTGCAGAACATCTAAACGTGAGAACTCTGTCAGTTGAAGGACACGTAGGGAAGTGTGGTGAAAGGAAACCCAAAGATAGCAAAAGATGGAACAGAACATACGACTGAGGAGCCAGTACTGTCGCAAGCCTTGGCACCAACAGGAGAGCAAGGACCACCAAGCTGGACAGCTCCGCTGAGGGGGCTAGCAATGGAGAGAAGGACGAAAGAGAGGAAGACGGCGATCAGCATTGCGAAGAAGCGTGTAAGAGTAGCCATTGCGATTTAGACGTATTGGTTCAGTTGTTTGTTTGGTGTAGATAGTATCAAAGAGTAAGGGCGAAACTATTTCGGTGAGTGCAGAGGTATGAAAGTGTTCTGTAGATGGAAAGGTGGAGTGGAAGTTGAGATTGAGGTTGAGGGAAGGATTTATAGACCGCGGGTTGTAGAGCCTTACCTTTCTGGGAAATCCCCTCGACTTTAGAATCTGATGTTGGCGGCAGCAGCCGGCGTTCAGCTGACATGTTGTGGCACTCCATACTTCGCAGATGTTGGAAATGTACTGAAATGGAGGCGCGTATGCAAGTCGCCGATTCTGGGTAGGTATATATTGTTCCAGAAATAAAGATATGCATACAATCCCAGCAGGGACACTCTTTTGATGCTGCTTTATCCAGTTTACAACAAAAGAGTCAAGTTAGAGTCCAGGAATAAAGCAATACGATGGAGACGGGCTGCTATAAAGTGCGACGCGTCTCGAACCATAATTCCCTACTCTGACTAAGTGGTTCACTCGCATTGCTCACTTCACATCATTGAGAGAGTATCAGTATTGCAAAGTCGATGCATATCTCAACGCAAGTCTATGGCAGTCATAAGAAACCTTCCCAGTTGCCAGCAATTCCTAATTCCATGTGTCCATAGCGAGCAATCCCAATGTGATGATCAACAAACCCTTATGTCCGCGACCAAGCCAATTTGAAAGTGATCCAGAGCCCGACCACCATCCTTGACGAATATGATTTGTGCGAGAAGAGAGCGTGCTTAGCCCTGTCGACGTGTCAATATTTGCTCTTTGTTAATAGAGAAAGAAGAGAAATACATACGTAGCAATGGGGGATACCTTGAGAGTCATAGGCACAGGAGCGACCATTGCACTCAGCAACGAGCTCGAAGACATCTTGACTGTTGCAGATGGACTGTATCGACAATCAAATTAGCAAAAGAGAATACAAATGATTGTGAAAGAGCTACTTACGATCCAGTAGTTGTCATCAGCACACATGTATGTACCGATTGGGATGTTCTCGCATGGAGTACCAGTACTGAATTGGGGTGCAGGGAGAGGGTTGGCTACCGCGAAGGCAGAGAGAAGGAGGGCACCAAGTGCAGCACGGAAGATAGAAATCATCCTTGCGGTGGTATTGTTTGAGTTCTTACACGAGAGAGGTTGTTGAAGTCGAATGAGGTATGCGGGGTCAAAGTGTTAATGGACGGTGAAGAAAGTTGAAAATGGAAAACAACGAGAGCTTTTATGGGCGGGGAAAACGACGAAGGTTGGTTTGGACGGTCAGGTGAATCTGAGGCGTAAAGGTGCTCAAAGTAGAAGGAGGGTCGCGCCTGAGGTATGAAAGCAGGTAAAGAATGTCTAGCATCCTCCTCTCTTGCTTCGACCGGCGATGCAACCACCGTCTTCGGACGGCATTCGCTCATCCAAAGGTCCCCAGCTGAGTTTGAACTGATCAGAATAATATGTCAAGGTTCGAGTATATGGAAACTTACCGAGTGCCACCAGTGTCAGAGCACGCTGGGCCATCGACTCCATGAACGCATGCACCTGGTGGACCGTTGACAATGAGCGGCTCCGACACGCAGATTTCTACGATCTCCCATCGACCAAGGCCAGTACATTTCAACTGAGATAAAGACACAGTGTCAGTGTTTGCACTGTAGTAGGATCAAGTGTGTTGGAAGAGACAGGACATACGATGTAGCGGTTGTCGAAAGAGCTGATAATTTGACCTTGGGGGGCACAGAGTTCACCTGGTGCTGGATCAGGGCCAATGCCTTGAGCGTGAACAAGACCGACGAGGAGTGAGAAGAAGCAGAGGGCGATGCTGAGAATGGAGAACATCTTGAGATTATCACGATGGAGCTTTTGAGATTTGTTGGTGTATTGGTATTAGAAGTGAGGAGTAGAGTGAGATTTTGGAAGGTCGAAGAGCTTCGGTCAGTCTTGGTTGTATTTGCTTTGATCGTAAGTTGTAGAAGATGGGGGGAGAAGGCGATTTTATATCTGGGTCTTGATGGGAAAACCACGCTAGACAGGTAGCTTGACTCATCACTCGATTCCTGGGATTTTTGGAAAGAGTGACTTTCACCGTCTCCTACAAGTGAATTACCAAATTGGGCTTTTTGCACGTGAAAGTAGCTTGAGGTTCAATAGAAGCCAGCCATAGGAACTTAAAATTGTAAATAACAAAATCAAGACGTTCTGAAGTCTCCGAATGGATTACAAACACTGCACATCTCATTTGAGTGCATGAATACCAAGGCATCTTCTACATGTCTCAAGAAACAATACAGAAACTACGCAAAACAGGTCTTGATCCTGCAACTGACCTAGCCTTTTGTTATTGGGATCCTTTGGTTCTCCTCTTCAACTCTGCTGGGTCCGTGTCGTTTGGTATTACACAGCTGCAACCCGTAGCTGAACCGGTGATTGCATTTTCAAGGTTGGCTGAAGGATATGATTCCGGATTGGATCTAATTCTCGGCTTTTGGCTTCGGATCACAAATGTTTTCGGTAGATCCAGTTCCCTGTGAATATATGTACCGGGAAGCATCCCGAACACACAATGTCCGTCTGATTAAGTGTTCTGAATGGTCAGAGCGGGGAGGCCTATACCAATGCAGTGTAAATTCCAAACACAATAACAACGCATAGTACAATAACGACGCCTCACCACTCCTATAACAAAGCCACAATTTCCCAACTTCAAGAGCCACAATTTTCCTTTCAGACATCAAGAGCTACACGACTTTACAGCTTCGCCATCATTCCCACGTGAAGAAGATACAATCTTGCCTCAACAAAACAGAAAGAAAGCAGACGAGGCTTTAAGATCAATCCCAAAACCTTACCTACAAACATGAAGATGTACGCAAGACTCGCCTTTCTGTTCCTTGGCGCCTTTTCCCTCTGTATTGAAGCCAAAATTACAAATCTACGATTCTTCGGGCTTTGGTTTGGCACTGGCAGAGACATCATCCTCAAAGTATGTCACGAGATCCTCTCCAAGCCTCGTTGGTAATGCTAATGCTGCCTCAGTTCGAGAGCACCCTCGTCGTTCCAGGTCCATCACCTGATGCTCCTGGGGGAACTAGAGTCCAGGCGGTCTGGCCTGGCGTTCAAGGTAAAGGACTCCTTCAGAACGTTATCACCATTGGCGACAAAAAAGGAGAGTGGTGGCAGCTACCATACTACTGCTGCAAGTGAGTTGCCCAGATCGAGATCATGTTTCCCCTGCTAACCTGTGCAACAGCCCTGGCAAGGACTTAGCTGCTGAAGTTCAAGGTGAGCGTTTAAAATCTGATGATGGTGTTGATAGATGCTGATGTGATCAGTGTATCCTGGAGATAGCATCACGAATACATTCATACTCAACGAAGCCACGATGGAGTGGCAAGACAACTACGCGGTAACACCTGGTGCGTCTGCGCAGGAGCCAGCAACAGACAATACAACCACTAGTAGCTTTATCTTCGATCAAGCAGCTGTTGTCGATGATGGTAGGAGTTCCGATGCACTCAAACGATGTGATTATGAGGGCTAACATACTCTAGATTCAACAGTTGGAGACCACTTCACATGGGTAAATGAATCACTGCTCGGAATTTGACTCAAATGCTGACATGCGACCAGACATTCATGACCATTGAACTTCAGGGAGATGGAAAGTGGGATTTTGGGCCAGTTGCATGGAGGGATATCTTGCTGTCAGTCAATACCACTGAGACGAAGTGGTGCATAACGTTCGTACCTTCTTGTGAGACTCTGAGAGATATTTGCTGACTCGAGAGTAGCGGCCCGGTTCTGAATGGGGGTACAAAGTTCAACTACACCTTTTCGAAGCCTACTGCATCTGCGGTAGGTAAGACGACTACTTGTTACATTGAAGAGATGACCTTTGTGTCTCCTTGAGAATAATGTGTTGGAGCTGTTGGGTATTTTCCTTCGTCGGGGGTGGCTTTTCGGATTGCGGATAGGGTAGCAGATGATTGTTAGCTACCAATATTCTTAGGAATAATGTTGTAGAGAAACATCATTGCCCCTTCTTTAAACTTGCTCCACTGTACACGGTGACTTCACGAGAGACTGAAAGTAATTGCTTCGCCAGTTGAATTTGAGATGGAGAACTCGTCCCCAGAATATCATACCAATTCACCCATAGTGTTTTCTGATCGCCGTCTATAAACGGGTTACCACGATTCCAAGATCTCTGCTGCTTTGCAATCCACCGATAGCAATAAAAGCCAGCTAAAGAAAATCCCGCTCCACCGATCCCAAAACCAAAGCAAGAAACACTATTTCATTCAAGCATTCTTCATCTATTATGTATCTCCTATCTATCTTCGCGGCTGCCATCCTATTCATGGCTTCCAAGGCCCTGGCTGAAATAGAGCCTACAGCCTCTGATAACCTCAGATTCTTCGGAGTATGGCTCGGCGCCTCTATGGGTGCCGACATCTTTAGGGTATCCCCAATCCTTTGATTAATGTCTTTTCTAGGGGAAGGACTGATAATGACTCCTTCTTAGTTTCAAAGCACACTCATCATCCCAGCCGGATCTCCTGACTCGAATACTCTCGGTCTACAAGCAGTCTGGCCTGGCTTGCAACCCCATTCACAACAATATGTTCTGCAAAATGTGCTCGCGAACGGGGTTCCGGGAGAATGGCTATTGGAGCCATATTCTTGCTGCAAGTAAGTTTCCAGGAATGAATGTCTGCCACAAACAAAGACTCTGACGTTATGTTTAGTCCTATTGCGATGCTAGTTCCGCCAATGCGAGGTAGGAGACTTTCTAACAGGGCCATGGAAGCATATTACTAAACACACTTTTAAGTCTACCCTGGAGACACCTTGACGAACACTTTCTCCCTCGACAGATTTTCGATGCAGTGGCAAATCAACTGGGTGGTCATTCCAGGACCTGTCGGCCAAGCTGCGGGAGAGGTTTCCTTTAATGGTGGACTAAACTTTGATCTTACTCAATATGACAACGATAGTAAGTCTAAGCCCACCATTTCATTCACCTACTCTGCCTCTGATACTAATGTAGTCCAGACGCAACTATCGAGGCATACACATCTGTACGTTGACCCACTAGCAGAGATCGATACATACCTGCTAACAATCAACAAGTCTATGTTCGCCATCGAGCTTCAACATGGAGGTCAATGGGATTTTGGACCCGTTTCGTGGAGAGATATCCTCTTGGAGATCAACACTACAGATACCACATGGTGCAAGAGGTAAGCATCCCCGATTGTCCCGCCTTGAGCGTGTGTTGCAAACTGATTCTCGCGGAAGTGGTCCACAATTGCAAGCCGGTAGTTTTCACTGGAACTACTCGACACCTGTAGCATCTCCGGTGGATAATGTAGTTAGGTGTTACATCGCTGAGATGAATTTCGAGTCTCCAATCTAATTCGTCTCGAATTCTCGAGAAGGAGAGCGTCCTGGAAGCATCACAAAGATTTTGGAAACTTTAGCATGGACTAGATATTTAGCAATGCCAGAACCCTGGTTTTATAACTGGAAATTCCCATGATTTCGTCACAAGCGTTGAATCAAGCTAGAAGGACATTTCTTCTGGCTCTTCACGTGCTGTAGCTCCAGCACCTGTCAAAGAAGAGACAAAATCGAACTACAATCACCAGGCGGATTTAAGACTGAACAAAATTTCCGTCACTGCAAATAATGATCCGGCATGAAACCTATAGTATCAGTGGAGCTTCGACAGTACGTAAAGTCATGCGCGGCGCTCTCGCTAACGAACATGGGGACAAAAGTCCGTGCGTTCAGGGCATCAGAATCATGAATTTTATTAATTAATTAGCTGTAGACCAGCCACATCGCTTAATTAAGTCGTGTACCCAGAAGTCCTGCTGCTCAATAAGCCCATTGATCCATTCCTGAGGAA